ATACAACAGCATTGTAATTTATGTATCGTCGTGATAACTTATCGTCGATAGTTAAACGCGGGCGAAAAATAACTCTAGTTTCACTTTCATAGGGAAATTGGAATACGTATACGTTTTTCGAAAGTAAATTCACTAACGAAGATTACTGTAGTAAAGTGGGTAATTTGATATAACTTGTGTATAAGATTTGTATTTAATAGACAGTTTGTGCCATACCATTTCATTCGTAATATAGCGGTACTCAAGCAGCAAGTATATTTATTTCTCCCTATTAACGATAGTTCAGTGGCGTACGAGTTCGGGATATTTAAAATAAATAAATTTAAAGAACAAAAGTGAAATGGCGTGCGGAAAATTAAACGAATTTGACATTAATTCCGGGGACTGGACATTATACGTGGAAAGGTTAGAAATGTACTTTAAAGTGAACAAAGTGGAAAAAGACTTATGGCTGCCTACTTTAATTACCGCGATCGGTGATCAAGCGTATGAATTGCTTAGCAGTTTGGCGAGTCCGATTAAACCAGTGCAATTAACATATGATGCGGCGGTTGCATTATTGCGTAATCACTTACAACCGCGGCCGTCCGTAATGGCGGAACGTTATCGCTTCCGACAAAGAAGACAACGGAACGATGAATCTGTGGCGCAGTACGTAACCGAATTAAAAAAATTATCGAAATACTGTGAGTTTACGAATAATCTAGAAGAAAACTTGCGGGATCAATTAGTGTGTGGATTACGGAGTGACGTCACACGGCAACGGTTATTCGCTGAGGATAATTTAAATTATAACGGCGCGTGGAAGTTGGCATGTGCCCTAGAAGCAGCTGAACGGGATGCTGCAGTGGTGGAGGGCTCGAAGGCACCCTCTGTAGAAGGGGTTCACGTGATGATGGGTCGTGGATCAAAGGAGCCTGAAACAAGGCAAAGGGGACCGAAGCAGCCTGGACCTAGGATCCCTGTCCCAAGTGATTGGACATGGGGGGAGGACAAAAGCTGTTCAACGTGCGGGAAGCCAGGCCATAATAACAAGGTTTGCCGCTATAAAGGTTTTACATGTCGGAGATGTAAGGAAAAAGGACATCTGCAACGGGTTTGTCCAAGGTCGGGAAGCCCTAGAAGAGGAAAGAAAGTCAATCATGTGGCTGCCTCTGATCGATCGGACGGTGATAGCAGTTCGGAAGAGGAGTTGCATCAACTCAGCTTAAATAGTTATAAGCCGGTAAGCTTAGAAATATGCATAGATAATATTGTATTAAAAATGGAAATAGATACAGGGTCTGCAGTGTCATGCATTAGCAAGAGAACGTATGATAAATATTTTAAGCATATAGTAATAGAAAAAAAAAAACTTAACCTTTAAGTTTTATGATGGTAGCTCGATACAGCCGTTAGGGATAATTAAACCTAATGTTTGTTATAATAATGTATGTAAAAAATTAGATTTATTTGTTATTGAAGGGGGAACTACGTCGTTATTGGGGAGACAATGGCTGTCCGAGCTAGGAATACAAATACCCTCTTTTCATAAAAATATTAATTGTGTGCAAAAATGTACTAATTTGTCGAATTACGATGTAAAAACTTTAATTAACAGATATGATCAACTGTTCAGTGGCGGGCTGGGGTGCTTCACGGGCGGCAAGGCTCAGTTGCGAGTGCGGGATGGAGCGACCCCAGTGTTCTGTCGCGCGAGGCCGTTACCTTACGCGCTGAAGGGTCAAGTGGACGCGGAATTAGATAAAATGTTGCGAGACGGCATAATTGAACCGGTGAACAGTTCGGACTGGGCAACTCCGTTAGTACCGGTACGTAAGAGTGACGGGGGATTACGCTTATGCGCGGATTATAAAATTACAATTAATCCCGTCTTACTGATCGATAGGTATCCTTTACCGAAAATTGAGGACTTATTAGTTAGTTTAAATGGAGCTCAATGGTTTTCGAAAATTGACTTATCACAGGCTTACAATCAGATCGCTTTAGATAATTCTAAGGATTTGACAGTTATTAATACACATAGGGGGTTATTTAAGTATAATAGGTTGGTATTTGGACTCTCATCTAGTCCGGGGATTTTTCAGCGTATAATGTCCCAGTTACTTGGTGATATGCCCGGAGTAGAAGTGTTCCAGGATGACGTCATAGTTGGAACCAAGGGAGGTCGCGAGGAGCATTTAGCTACACTCGAAAAAGTTTTTTATAAATTGCAATCTCATGGTATGAAATTAAAAAAAAGTAAATGTTCATTTTTAGTAGAAGAAGTTAAATATTTGGGTTATGTAATATCTAAAGAGGGTGTTAAGGTAGATAAGGATAAAATTGAAGCCATTGTTCGAATTCCACGTCCAAAAGATGTATCCGAGCTAAGGTCATTTTTGGGCTTAGTTAATTTTTATGCTAAATTTGTTAAAAACATAAGTCAAATCTTGTATCCGTTATATAAATTATTAAAAAAAGGAATAGGGTGGAAATGGTCGGATGATTGTGAAGAAGCGTTTATTAAAATTAAAAAAATTTTAACGAGTACGAAAGTCTTAGCCCATTACGATGCGGAAAAACCATTGATTCTAACTTGTGACGCGAGCTCAAGAGGCATCGGCGGCGTCCTCGCTCAACCGGAGCCGGGGGGCGCCGAGCGGCCGGTAGTGTACGTATCGCGCGCGTTAACAGAGACCGAGAAGCATTATTCACAGATCGATCGTGAGGCGCTTGCAATTGTATTTTGTTTAAAAAAATTACATCAATATTTATACGGTAGGCGTTTCACGTTGCGAACGGATCATAAACCCCTAGTTAGCATTTTTGGCCCCAAACATGGCATTCCGGCCATGGCAGCGAGTCGTATGCAACGATGGTCAGTAATATTATCTGCGTACACTTACGATATTGAATACGTTAATACAAAACATAACAGCGCCGACGGCTTATCGCGACTGCCCGGCCGCAATGTGAGCGGGGATGACTCACCTCTCGATCCGCCCGAACAGACTTATTTACACTTCGCTCAAAGTGAATTATTGCTCGATTATAATAAAATTAAACAACAAACATTGCGAGATCCTTTATTAGGGAGAGTATTACTTTATATTAAAAGTGGCTGGCCGGATCAAAATGAAATAAGGGAATTGCAACCTTATTTTAATAGAAAAAAAGAGTTATACGAGGAATTAGGATGTATCATGTGGGGTCATAGGGTGGTAATTCCTGAAAACTGTAGGGATAGGGTTTTAATGGATTTGCATGAACCGCATATGGGGGTTAGTAAAACTAAAGCGATGGCCCGCAGCTACGTGTGGTGGGCGGGGATCGACGAAGCGGTGGAGGCGGTATGCAAGCAGTGCGAAGTGTGTGCCGCGGAGGCGGATGCACCAACCCGTCATACTGTAAATCCATGGCCGTGGCCTTCAAGGCCCTGGTCACGGATTCATTTAGATTTTTTGGGTCCTTTTCAAGATAAAATTTACTTAATTTTAATTGACGCGAGAACTAAGTGGATCGAGGTATATCCTGTTCCTAGTACCGCCGCGCGTTATACATTGAATAAATTAGAGGAAGTTTTTGCGAGATGGGGGCTACCGAAGCAGATGGTAACCGACAATGGTCCGCCATTTACAAGTACGGATTTTTCAAAATTTACAAATAAATTAGGCATAGAACATTTATTTTCAGCTCCTTACCACCCTGCGTCAAACGGTGCCGCCGAAAATGCTGTACGTACGATAAAAAAAGTAATACGAAAAGCAATCCGTAAAAAAGAGGACATTCAATCATTTCTTAACACGTTTTTATTACATTACAGAAACACGGAACATAGTACTACTGGGGAAAGCCCTGCTTCTCTAATGTTAGGACGTAGTTTACGTACAAAATTAGATTTACTTAGACCAGATAGGGATAAAAAAGTGAAGGAAGCCCAAACGCGTCAAAGGAAGTTAGGAACAGAGAACAGTCGGTCTTTAGAGCCGGGAGAGAATGTGTGGATGCGACAGTATCAGGGCGCTAATAAATGGGTGTCGGGTAAGGTTATAGAACGATTAGGCGCGACGGATTATAGCATTTTAGATGATGTAGGGAGAGGATCGCACAGACATATTGATCAGTTAAGACGGAGATCTACGCGTAATTCCATAGTTGCTCCATACACTCCATCGCAGCATGATTCCCCTGGGGTTCGGACACCGGCACTCATGAGCGATAGTCCAAAGATGCCAAGAATGGGTGAGCCGGTTGTCAGAGAGGAGTCGTGTGGAGAGAGACCGCCACCAGAGCTAAACGAGCCAAAGACTGATATGGTTCCAAGTTCGCCCACACTCGCAGCTGAGTCGCCGCTGCCCGTGTCACCGCCTCGGATACGGCCAATACGCAAATGTCGTTTAATTAAACCATTGCATGATAGTGTTAAATAATTTAATATATTGTAAGTTTACTTAATAATAAATAAGTTAATATTAACATTTAAAAAAAATATATATATGTTTAAATCTTATGACTTAGGTTAAGCTAATTGTATTCGGCTAAGGGGTTGTATTGTATAGAGGGGAGGAGTGTAGTAAAGTGGGTAATTTGATATAACTTGTGTATAAGATTTGTATTTAATAGACAGTTTGTGCCATACCATTTCATTCGTAATATAGCGGTACTCAAGCAGCAAGTATATTTATTTCTCCCTATTAACGATAGTTCAATTACTTTCGTGTTACGTAATTTTAATTATATATATCATAATTGTATTACTGTTATTTATGATAACATTTAAAAAAAACTTCTATATATTCCTCTTGTTTTAAACCTCTACTTTCACTGTTACAATGGATGGATCAAAATGATTTGCAACGAGTGTATGACACGATGTATTTGGCTGATAGCGAGGACGTTGACTTTAAATAAAAGAGGTTTTATTATACTAAATTTAATTTATATATAAAAGAATATTCTAGAATTCGATGGATAGGCTGTTATCAATTTTTGAGTGATGTCATCCTATCCGATTCTTGTTAACCTTGCTTTACAGCTTGGCTGTAGGAATACGGACGTATTGGGCTTGCTTTGCCTTGACTGTCGTAGAAGGTTACCAGCTGTTTAACACTTCCAGGTCCAGGAGTTGTTATCAGTTTAGAAGCAGGTGTAGGGTAAACAGGTCTTGGTGTGATCTGACTAGGACTTTTAGCTTCTTGTGCAGGTTTAACGGTTGCAGGTGCTGGCTTCACAGGTTGTGAAACGTTTGGTTTGATTGGTTGAGGAGTAGTCTGGAGGGGTAAAGGTGCTTTAGGTGCTTGAGTTGGCAACAGGTGCTGGACCTGGACCTGGTGCTGGGCGGGCGTTATTAGGAGGCCTTATGCCACCACTTTCCATATTAATGAAGGCGAGGTTGGCATTTTTGTCAATCGGCGCATACGTTTTACGACCTGTAAAACATGAGATGATCGTAAATATAAACACAAGAAATATAAAGATTACATTAATCTAATATAAATTTTTATTTAAAAACTTAAGGGTGCTAATCAAAAATACAAAGGAAAGTGAATTGAAATAAAATTATTCTTAGCTTCAAACAAAGCATCAACATGACATTTAAATGAACGAAGTCATGGGAGCAAACAGAATAAGTTTCTTGAAAATCTCTAACTCCATTTATCTCAGTATAATTGAAACAAAATCTACACATGAAAGTTTAAAACCAAGAAAACACTCACATTCGGCGTAACAAAAGGCGAGAAACAAAACAAATGTGAACAACTTCATTTTTTCACACAGCAAATTATCCGACGCACTTCACTATGGTATTGTCTTGAATGTTAATAAATATTATAGCAAATTTCGTGCTAGCTTAAGGTCGAGACGCTTCTCAGAATCTGATTGTAATGTCAAACAAAACAGTGACCTCTGCCGTTGACCTTAAGATAGCTTCTCATTTGCATGTGGATACACTGTAATTAAACGTATATAATATCCTATACAAATAAAATTATTTGTTAAAAAATATCTGATCCCTCTTTAAATCGAGTTAAATATTTCAGTTATTTTTATTCTTTATTTATATTTTAATTTAATTTTTTATATGTTATCTTTTAGTCTTATATGGAACGCGAGGAAAAACGTGTAAATTTGTTGTATCCGGAGATGCAAATTAACTCAATTGCAACCTTAGAAGAGCAATCATTTCATAAAATATTTTTCCGCCTTCGCACATAGCATCGTTTTCCATAAAAAAAAATCGATTTAAATTATTTAATGATTTAAGTGTTGAAATTTTTAAATCGATTAAAAGTTAGTTCCTGAGTTCTTATGCAAATGTGTTATGAAATGTGTATATAAATAAAATATTAAATAATGAACTTCTTAAAACAGGGAACATCCTATAGCAACAGAATTTTCAATTGAAGCATAAAACATAAAAAATGCGATTTTCCATCACGTTAGAACACGCAAGTTGCATTGCTCGAGTGCTTTCATCTGCAACTGTTTGAAATGTAAATTTATTAGAAGAATGACATTTAGACGGACGAGATTATTTGGAGCAAAATACTATAAAAGTACACAAAAACAAATTAATAGTACTTAATTTCTACAATCCTGGAGGAAATTTTCGACATTTTACGTTTCCATATACCTAACCAAAATTTCAAAATAATTGTAGCACTCTAACTATTAGGTCCGTTAAAATATTGTAAGTCGAAATAGCGTTATCAAAATCACTGCTAAACTTAGCTTACAGGCGCTTTTTCGATTCCCAAGGCTTTATATACATAAATACTTTAAAAAGTCCATACGTGTCTCAATTTTCTATAACATAAAAGTAGAATTATCAAGGCCGTATTTGTTTACGGTACTACTTTTTTTACATTAGCTATTCGGAACAGTCACTGTAACCTAAACTGTGTAGACGCTGGTTGAATCTCAATAACATGCCGTATCTCATGTATAGATTTGTAGATGACGTCACCCAAAGGTCGTGTGTATCGCCTACTCGAGTCCGGTCTAGAGATCACTAGTGCGCCGTAATCGCTTTACTTTAAACGTAACATTTGTCCAGGATGAAGCTGGCGCTAATTCTCCTCGTCTGCGTCGTGGCCAGCCAAGCTGATGATATAGCATCGGCTGCTGGCCAGATCTTCAACAGCATTCTGCCTAATCTGATAAGCAATTCGGTCACCGGTCAACAAGGTAACACCGCTACTAATACCTTGCAGCAAATCGGCACCGTTGTGGGTGGGGTCGTTGACTATGCCAAGAAGAAGAGCTACGAAGAAATGTTACGACAAGTACAAGACTCACTAGTGATGAAGACCTGCTTCGAGTCAGCGACGAAATGTTTAACGCGGACGTTAATAATGCATTTAACTACATCCAGGTCAATTTGCAAGGCAAAACCAGCCCCATGTCTAAGAACGATGAAGCGCAAACACAGTAAGTAAACATCTAAATATTATTCACATAATATAATATCTGTTTGATTAATTTTAATTCATAGAATTAACTAAAGTATTTCATTGATTTAAAATTATCAATCGTATTATTTCATTAAAATTCAAATTTAAACTTAATGTACATACAAAATAGATTAATCAGATATTATTCAAGACGCGTGGCGAAATGTATTTTAATGGGTCATCAACGGGTCGAGAGATAAACAAATCACTAGTACTGCTAGTTAACAACATCTATTTTACTAAGCAATGATATGAAAAATCGTACATTATTACAGCCTCTTGAACGTGCCAGAGAACGTATGGAATGGACCCACCATCCGACCATTCGTGGCTCTTTTTGACAATTATCACAAAAATGTCATACGACCAGAATTCGTGACACCAAACGTAAGTATATATGTATGTGTATGTAGTTCATAATTAAATTTATCAAAAGAGATAACTGAGTTCATAGTTGTATTAATGATGTGTAACATTTTATACAAAACCCACAAATACCACGTAATGCTTATACGAATATAAATAGTTCTACACGAACAATGCGAAATATTTTCTCATCCATCGCCTTGTCTGCTAGTTAGAAATATATAACTTCAATAAGATTGAAAACAAATATTATATAGAATTAGTCGACGTTCTTAGTATTACTTTTGGCTCTACTTTATAATTAGATTAATATTTCATCCTATAGGGTACACAACCATATAAAATAAAGCAATTAAAAGTTAATAAACATCGCTTCAAAAGTTACCTATTCATTTGATTAAGTAAAATTTAGCAAAGTAATTATATTTTATAAACATTATCTCTTTTTCGGAAAAATATATATGTCAATACATCTCATATTATAAAATCTAACAGATTGTTAGAGCTAATTATCGTGTGCCCTTACGTCTTTAGTCATCCGGACAAACATAAATAAACAAGTAATTCCTACACGTCTTGTTGTAAAATATTTTTTAATGACGCATAATTGTTTATAAAGGATTTATTAATTGCAACATTTATATAAATGTTACAATTAATAAATCCTTTATAGCTATATAGCTATATAGCTATATAGCTATATAGCTAGCTATATAGCTATGATAACTTTAAAGAAAATAACAAGAAAATAATTAAATTAGTAAAAATAGACGTATAAAAAAATCTGTGTTTTACCTACTTCAAACATTCCTTCTAAAGGTAAATTCATTCCTACCTAAAGTCATATTCGAAATTAATTAAAAAGAAATCGATTTTTTTATTATTATTATTATGCCCATTAAAATTCCCATATATTTATCACTTCAGGAGGAAACAGAGCAGATAACATTTATCAACACTATACTAGCGACGGGACCTATGAGGAGTCTAATGTCTTTCCTCGTCAATAAAGGTAAGCAACATCGGTAAGATTAGTTTACGTACGTGACCTCATCATGGTAGGCAATTACGTGATAATCATAACACTGTGACTAGAATAAGTATTTAAACAATAACAAAACAAAGGGATATATGAATTTGAATTTGGGATTGAATATTCGTTCAAAAAAAGCTTACCTGCCATTTTGATTTGATTTAATTGTTTTTATTAATCATATTGATTTCATATAATTAAAAGAAGTATGCCATGTATAAAATTTGAAATCGTCAGTTATGTCAAGCGACATACTCGTTTTGTTTTCTAAGCCTTAGTAAGGATGAGAATCGTGTTGTAAAATGACGTCCGGCTTACTTTCAAACTGGAGTTGAGTTAATAATAATTTGTTTTTTACTACGATAGCATAATTAAACAATTTCACTATTATCGATAGACTCATGCATCTTAATGGTTTAAATAAGATAAATATTGTATGTCATCAAAAACCAGGACTCAATCAAATGAACGAGTATAATGAACAAGTGGAATTATTGAAGAAGATCTGGTTCACGAAGTACGCTCGACACTGGACCGGTCTGTGCAAGTGCAGCTGTGCCTTCGAAAACATCTTCATGGCAGAACTGAAGTCCAATGACGTTTTAGGTAAAATCTCAGATTAATTAGAATCTTTCACAATGTTTTTTTATTAATCTATGGCAAAAAAGATGTTAAAATGTAGGAATAAAACTAATATTTTTGGATTTACAAAGCTTTTATGATTAGTTTTAACCACATACTCCCGACGTTTCGGTAACTTTACATGAACTGTGATTACGGGCAGACGATTAAAAGTAAATACGAAAAATATTCGTTTTATTACCATGAATACTCGGGAAAATCTTAGATATTATATTAATACGTATTTATAATATTAAGATGAACAACTATGTTTATCTGGATACTTCTTTGTCATTGCCAAATAATTAAAAAATATATATTTTGAGATAAGAATAAATCTCATCCTATTTTTTTTTGTTTTTAAAATTTAACATATTAAATACATTATTAAACTTCAGGTTTACACAGCTGGTTGTTCTTCGCGAAACGAGAGCTCGACAACAAAGCTAATTACTTGGGATACATTAACAAACTCGACCTTGCTGGAGTAAGTAGTTAAAGATACTTTATATAGAACTAGCTTTCCGCCCGCAGCTTCGCTCGCTTGGAGTTCGGTTTTATCGCGTTTCCAAGAGAACCTTTCAAAACTCTGGGATAAAAACTATCCTGTTCTTTCTCAAGGTCAACTCTATGTCTGTACCAAATTTCATTAAAATCAGTTCAGTGGTTTAGGCGCGAAAGCGTTACAGACAGACAGACAGTTACTTTCGCATTTATAATATTAGTAGGGATAAAATATATATTTTTAATACTAATATTATATTTTTTTACAGAAAGGGATGATTTTGAAACAACACTCAGTTCTTAGTGAAACGAAGGACGCGCCTGAACTTACAATGTTTGTGGGGACTTCCCCTGAGCTTGAAGTAGCTTTGTACACGCTTTGTTTCATGTCGAGACCAAACCGTCCTTGTAAACTACGCTACAACGATATCCAGTTCAGCATTCAGACAAAAACAATTAAGGCTGAAAACCTAGTGGTCATTGACACCGCGTATCCCATTTTTTAAGTTCCAAATTTGAAATCACAGATTATGTTAGCTATAGTCGCAGATTATATATTTTAATAAACATCTGTTAAATAAATAAAACTGATTTTTTTTCTGTTACATTTATTGTCTAACACATGGCACAATTTCATCTAAAATGACACGAATCTACATATGTTTAAAAAATATATTTTTAAATACAATTACAAAGTCGTATCGTGATTTAACATCAATAACAATAGTTATTCAAAAACAATAAAAAATAACAATATCTTTTCAAAATCCTATACAATAACGTTTGAGGGTCTTTTGTTGTTTCAATTATATTACGATATGACCAAATCAGTCTCAAACATAATTAATGACGATACAAAATAATAAATTCTATAACTACAAACAAAAAAAACATATTAAAATCATAAAATACGAAACGTAATATATATGCTATATTTAAAAATAACAGATTTCACAATACTAAAAAGCAAAAATATATAGACTATAGAGTAATAAAAGATCTAGAGGGATCATAATTTGCTTTAATATAGATATTATCTAGTAATATCCAATAAAACTCAATAAGTGGAGACAATAACAAAAATACTTTCATTATTCTGTTATATCTATACATGACTAGAGCTGCAAGGAATACTTTATTGAGAAATCTATAGGAGTCATAGGAAAACATTAGTATAGGCATATAATACTGCATATAGTTTAAGAGTAAATGCAAAGCATTTCTGTACAGTATATATGTATATATATTTGTATACTCTAAATGATTCAAATTCTTCTAATATTCCAAATAAATCAATACAACAGTTTTCAACTAAGAGTAATGTAGGAAATTCTGATTGACTTTACAATAGACTAGTACATTAATTAGTTCTAAGTAGAAAAATGATATCTTAGATCATATATACTATATATAAATCCATATAAACTTAACACTACAATTCAAAATTATCCTTATCTAAACGAAATAAGATCCATATTCGTGCGGCATGACCCCGCGGCGGGGGTAAAACGTGTGCGTCAGCGAAAATTGAAGTAGGTTCCTTATATTGGATGTGTAAATATCAGCGAATCTGAACAAACGCCGGGAGAAATACGTAGGGTTGTGATACGTCCGGAACACACTACCGAACTGCTTGTTGAACACCGACTTGGTTGAATTTCTGAAACACACAATACATAATAAAATTATTTTTGACAGCCCTATTGATGTTATATATGCCTTTCAATAAGAAAGCAGCTAGTTTTAAACATAAAAAATAGTTTCACAAAATACTAAGAAGGTTTTAACTTCGACTAAGGAGGTTTTATACAAATAAACTTAAATAAATATTGTTACTATTTTGTCATGTTAATTCTTAATCTTAAAAGTTCTATTCTATGTCACTCTTAATATATATTCATTGTTACCTGCCAATCCATTCTTTTCTTAAATCCGTGGCTTTGCTTGCGTTGCAATAACAAAATTGTTGACATCATGGTATACATACAATTAAAATTTTTCGGATCTTAGTTTCAGCTTTAAATAAGCTTTCCCAATTAGTAGCATACATTTATTATTGAAATTGACATTGGACTGGTTTTAATAATTTTGAATATTGATGGAATCATACTATATATTGTTTGGCCGACCTGTTATCGGCTGGTTTAGTCAATTTTCAATCTTATCGATATACCATTAAGGTTGAATTCTGATGTGATGTTACTTATCTATATTAATATTACAATTACCTGAGATAGTCCCTTTCGGCCATCCAGTCAGCGATGACCTGCATCGCCTCAGGATCCTTATAGTCCTGGTGGTCCTCTATTAACTGGGTCAGCATTTGAAGCCAATTAGCGTTACGCTTGAAGGTCTCCGTGTTGAGAGTATTTATTTCGTGCTGAGAAAAAATATGGTTATTATGAGTGATATTTATTAAACTATATATAATATTTGCTTAATGAACGAAACATGAACTGCGTTTACAAGTACAAGTATTCCCGGCAAAATTTTAATATGGAACTCTACACCATAAACGGACAAGGCTGCAAAATTGGCTTGTCATAAAGTTTTTATTTTATAAGACTTAAAAATAAGCTCATAAGCTTCATCTACTATATAGTACTATCTGTGATATGATTCTTAACTACCTATGTAAGCGATTTTCAATAGATACAATTATCATAGCTTAGCGTTATAACATGAAGTTTACTATCACTACATAAATAAATTCTTTTTTTTTTTTATTAGAAAATCACATTCTAAAATATAATCGGTTTTTAAATAATCCTGCAGCCATTTTGGACAGGGCCTATTGTGTGTATGGCCTGTATTAAATTGAAAAATGAGGGAGAGGGGGTCACACCGAAATATGACATAATAAGTGGCATGAGGGATCAATATTCTTGTGACGTCACACATTGATATATACAGGGTGACTGGTGAATTACTATCGATATTTGAGGACGTGATATTTGACGATCATATATGACAAAATAAAAATTAATATAACATAAATATTAATAAACTTCTAAGTAAAGTTAACCAAAAGTTATGTAATTAATTACGCATCGTGTGAACACCCTACAGATTAGGTATACACACACACTCACACATACGCGCGCGGCGGCGTGGTGTTGTATCAGCACGCCGCCACACGCGTCCACACTTGGAACACTTGGAACGTGTCAACACTTTATTTATTTATACGGAAATTTTGTCAAAAATTAAGTGCCTATTTTTTTTTACATAATTCGAATGAGAATCATGTACCGAGTATTCTCCTTAAATATTGATAGTAATTCACCAGTCACCCTGTATATATATATATATATATATATATATATATATATATATATTGTTAACTATGTTCTATACCGTTAGTTCGTTGATAATGGCCCCGGTCCGCCAGCCGTGCTCCAGCGTCACGTCTGCCAGGTCGCTGTACGGGTGGTCGCCAAAGTACAGCACCTGGTGACCGCTCCAGCCTGTTAGCTCCTGCAATTGCTTCACTGTACCCTGGAATACGAATTACATGTTTATTAAATGACTAGTTTTGGCCCGCGACTCCGTCTGCGTTGTCATGATATTTGTGCTCTGCCATCACGGGCAATGATACTGAACTGTACTTCATGATTCCACTCGTGTAGTTTTGGTATCGTAGTATAAGGTAGTTTTATCCTTTTTCATAGTTCCATCTATCTCTATATCAAACTTCAACAAAATTGTTTTAGTCGTTTAGGCGCAAAAATAGATAAAGAGAGTTACTTTCTCATTTATAATATTAGTAAAACTGACCTTAATATTACAAGTGACAAAAAAATATATTGAAGTTTAAATACTCAATATAGAAAATCTTAATCTGTTTTGTTTTACTGTAGATGACAAAAGACGATATTGTTGCCGCCATTTTGAGTATTATTTAATATGAGGGTTCAGACAAATGTATACGACTTAATACTAACTGAAGAGAGTGAAGTATTTACATGATTACTACATTACATAAAGAATTACATATTAGATATATGAAATGTATACCTCATAATAAATTATCCCTTTTTCTAAAGACGTGACCTTCTCCCAGATGTGAGTGTTGGCGTTTTTATCGAAGACTCGTATAGGGCGTGAGACTTCGGTGAAAAACTTGGGTTTGTTGGCGTTAACTATGACCACGTCGAAGTAATCCCTCCATTCGGAACCCACCAGCATCTCCATACCAGCGTTACTAGATACGTACACACATACAGAAAATTAGATATGACAGATCAAATTATATTAGCTACCGTTTTATTTGAATTCAATAAATATTAACATAGTTTAATAATTATTAAACAATGATGTGATTTGGAAACTACATGTAATTTTATATTAAAATATAATACATTTTATATTCTCCTATACGTCTTTATTTTATATTTTTAACGCTTCAATTACACTGTGGTAATCATGTTCAAGGTAACATATATATTACATTACACATAATATATTTATTATAAGCTATATAATAAATACTTTTTAATTTTAGATTGGAATCATAAAATTTAAAAACCTTATTTTAGCTTGAATGTGTACAAAACATGTCTACAAAATGCTATTGTTAAAAAGTCAAACGTTACCACTTATGACTTTTAAAACAGAGCTATTTTTTTGTATAGATTTACTAATTTATACAAAATAAATAAATGGGTCTGTTTCAATATTAAGACACTCACTTTCGGATTACATTTGTAATAGTTACACCGATTTTGATGGGACTTTTATTTCCAGATAGCTCACGTGACGAGATCATGAGTGAGCGAGAGTCACTCATGATCTAGTGAGCGAGAGTCACTATTTTTCTTTAATTAATAAATATAATTAAATCAAATTTTTATTCTTATAAATAAAAAATGCTATTCCCCTAAACTAGCAGGACTGATTTCGACGGAACTTTTACTTTCAGTGGCAATACAGTTGACGCGATAAGGAGTAACTTCTTCTCTTGTAATAATACAAATTTAATTAGATTTTTATTAATATAAATAAAATAAAAACAACTCGACGGAGTTACGGGGCAGGGCAAGTATAGCAAGTATTTTAAATATATTAAATATTCATGAAATACGATTATGTTAAAACAATATTGTATTCACTTACACAAAGTGGTACGGACTGTTTGTTACAAGAAACAGTTTCTTGTCGTTTTCTTGAAGTAGTTGGAAGTATTTCTTCAAATCAGTATTCGGTCGGATGTATTCTTCAACATTCTGAGCCACAATCTTATGCATGATCGGATGACAACTCTTCACTGAATTCTGAAATGAAAAATCTATTTGAAAACAACTCCTTAGGAATAAAAACTGCAGGTCTTTATTTATTTGACCAGAGAACTAATTAAGAGATTAAATTAAAGCTATTCAATAGAATACTTGGAGTGTGGACATCTATTTGGAATGAGTTGATAAGAATGATTACATTTCTAATATGAGGAATGTTATCTAAAAAGTAATGGAAATTTAATGTATTAACAATCTTTATATATTACAACAATTATATGAAAAAAACGAAACTTCGCTGCATTCAATGGATTCAGGTATAGGTTTAAGGAGCCTATTAAACGCTCGTTAAACACTCGAGATCGTTAAACATCGAGAGAGAGGAGCTTTAATATTAGTGCTGCCTTCAAAGTATGTTCTAAGAATAAATTGATGTTAGTTCTGAACAGGCACAAGTTCTTTAATAGGTTGCAGAGAGATTTAGCTTTTATATATGTCACTCCCACTGCGATTGTAATATTATAAATACGAAATTTTGTATAGGCCTTAATCAAAATTTTGTAGATTGTGCGCCATTACAAAAATTTTCCTATTTAGAATAAATGTCGAAGCTTTAAAGAGGACTCCATACAAAAAGACAAATAGAATCATAGAAGAAATCGATTTTCATCTTTTAAGTATATACTTCTATATAACTTGCTAATCAAAAATATTTAAGTATTGTAGATTGCATGATTCAGTCATAAAATTTGCAATGAGAATATTGAAGAATAGTTAAGAGTAACACTTAATAGAAATTATTATATTAATTATTGATATAGGAAAATAATACATACCTTGACATCTAAGAACAATATTTCCGGGTGATAATCTATTTGATTCTTAATAAAAAATTCAGCTACATTACATAATAGACCCATTTCTGGCACTGAGAACAGATCTGCTAGGTGCACCATTTTTGCTCTATTAGCCTGTTAACAAAATGATAAAAAAAAAGTCAGTTTAATATGTGAAATAAGATATTTGAAATATAAATTAACTTTTGGAAAAACATTCATATTTTTTATCATTCAAAAACTTTTTAATATTGAGAAAAAAAATATAATTCCTTGGAAATTTGGATCAATTAGAAATACGTTTTTTTTAATTTAAAAAATCACAAAATACCAAAATCCAAGTATCCAAAAACATTATAAATATATACTTAAGTATATATTTTTAATAAGCACATATTTATAAACCATTTTTAATTAAAAGTATTAAGTACTATCAGAAAAATATAATAATTATGTATTCAAATAAAAAAAAATATTATCTATCATACATAATTAACTGTACAATTAGTAGCATTGTATAATGAAATGATTATGATATTTATTGTATATAGAAATTATTATATTGCTAATGAATACACAGTGAACAAGCTTGTTTTATTTACTACACAATAGCTGTCCTATTGCTATAGGAAGTCACAATTGCTGGGGGATAAAATGATTGCTTACAAGTGCCACTATCATGTTTAGATCATTCAGAATATATCTCAATATAATTCCCTTTCAAATTTATTATTTCCAATTATAATATCAATTTAATTAACATAATTTTCATTGAGCCTTGACATTCAAAACAGGTTGTATAGATATTTATACATTAATTTATAGAATAAAATTATACTGAAAGGAATTAAATAGTAATGTTTTATTATTGGGATGAATGAGAGTATTAATCATAATGAACTATATTTAAATTCATATAACTTACCTTATGAACTCTTGTATCACCTTCTACATAAGCAATAGGTATAATTCTATTTCTGTACAATTTCAGGACCTCTTCTGTTGAAACCGGCGTTAAGCCTCGGTATACAGCACCAAATTGAATTTGTAAAAATGAATCCAGCTTAAGTAATAAACCCTTTTCAATATCGTAATGCAATCCTCGAACGGCGAAATCGGGTTTGTATTCTAATTTTGATATCTCTGCCGGATACTGAAATATTGGAGGTGAATTAATTATTGTTTACAGAAAAAAATATTCTATAGAAGTAACAATTATTTACCTTATACTTATTTAGTAACATATCTCTACCGAGGTTGTACAACAGATGTTCTAAAGATGGTTTGTAATGCGCCAATGTGTAGTCATAATCAAACCCATAAACCTTCACTTCAGAAAGATCTAGCTCATTACAAGCAAAAACACCTTGAGGGTTCACATCTTGAGGTAATTTTTTAGCTGCAATATTTACAATCATTTTATTATTAAGTTTCAATTGAATCATTTTTCGTAATACGAAGTTTACTTACATCTACATTTTAATTTTGTACGACAATATGCCTCTTTTAATAAATCACGTGTAGAATAACTACTTTTCGATGTAAAGTAATATTTGATAACATTTTTATGTGATAAATTGCGATTTAATTTAAAAATGCCAAACGAGTATGTATTTAGGAAATTCATATTCACGGTTTACTAGATTTATAATAAAAAAAATTATATGTTATCCATTATTAACTAAATGATAACTTAAAACATATCAAACACTTTATCACGAACTATTGCAATTTAAAACAAATGATTTACGTTGCATAATTTAAGTATAGAAATTGAAAATGTCATATTCACAAACACACGTATAACCGTCAGTCCGTCATTAAAAAACTGTCTTCTGAAGACTGACGGTGACCGGTGACGTTGTGCGCTCGTAAAGATTAGCCGTGATAACAAAGATAATCAGTGTTACCATGTTAGAAGAGAATTTTATTATGTTGGTTATATTATATAACAAAAAAAATTGTACTTATACCGTTTTTAATTATTCATACGAAGTCACATTAAATAGTATCTTAATTTACATTAAACCATTTTTTTTTATTATGACACAACTTGTACATTATATTATAATAACAATTTAACAAATTTTATTTAATTTATATTTTGACTCTTATAAATATTGAAGTGAAACTTCTTATGTAACTTCCAACAAAGTTGTTTTCAATGTTTGATGCTACCATGGAGAGGGTATAAAAGCACTGGAGTTATAAATGTTCAACGCTCCCGGGTGGGGAGGGATAAAAGGACAGGGAGTGAGAAGAAATTGTGACTTGAAAATAATTTTAATAAAGTTTGTCTTAAAAAGATACAAAAAGTCCTTAAAAATCAATTTTCACCCCTTCCTTTTTTCATTGCAAAATAGCGATGTTTTTTCATTGCAAAATAGCGGATAAAGCCGCGCAGAAAGACTCAACACACCATTTTTTTAAATTTATGTACCTATATGTATTTCACTAACTCACTGAAATTGATCCATCAACAAAGAATATGAGAATGAATATTATAAGGTCGAAGATTCTGATAGATATTAAGTATTTCAAAGTAGATTTTGATAGAAAATGTAAAAATTACATATATATCTTTTTCTCACAATTTAATAATACTTAATCAATGACGAGTGTAAGTAAGATTATGTATCAAAATGCAGTCAAGGAAGTAAATAGGCACGCCAGGCAAAAGAAATGTTTCAAAGTTTAATTAATACATGTCAATAAAGATAAATGTAGCAGTTTTCTAAATTATGTAAAATTTTATTCCTAAATCGTAACAGACATTTTTATCATCGATATCGATAGCAAACATTTCACGAGCAATCCCTAGTGAAATTAAAATTGCGGATAGCATTTCTAATTTCTCGAGTTAAATCGACAAAAGTTTCTCTTGATAAACGAATTTAGAAACATAAGTGCATAAAATTATCATAATTAAATTCTTTTAATTATTGAACGATAAATTAATTTTAATCTAAGGTCAATAATTTGCCCATAAAAGAATATAATTCAGAGTCTTAATAAAATAAATAAAAAATAATAGTGCGTGGAGCGGTTAAATGAAATTAGGAAAGGGTTGAATTTTATTTCAAAGAACTCATTTTGTTTCTTTTAGACAAATTTTGTTAATATAACATTACTCATGAAGCTTACAATTCACAATTGATTCGCACTGGCCTGTAACAGGTGTAGTACATTACACATACGTTTTCGCGCCACTCTTTCCCTTCGTCTCTTTTTATCATTATAATTCCATTTCTAAATATTATATAAATGTCTTTCACTATAGAAAATAGAAAAGGATGTATTAGAATTAGAATGAAACACATTTTTTAAAAAACAATTTTAATTAAAACGCATAGAAAAATAGTTAATAATTTTATCTAACATAATATTTGATCTATAATGAATTTATATTTGAGGGTAAGCACTTCCAATGTAATTCTTACTACGATATCTGTAGTTATGAGTTACTATATTCACATCTTTTGTTCCCAATTTAAGATTGCAATCTTTATCGACTCGTGTGACGAAGCACAGAGTATACAACGCCATTTCTAATTCAGGCGAAGTACCAATGAACATTGTATCCACGGGTTTATCGACCCCTTGTTGATTGAAATGCATTTTGATAATGGCTCCCTTCTGAAAAAAAAAAAAATAAATAAATATAGTTAGATTAACGCCAATTTACAAAAAATATTTTGCAAATGAACTTACATCACTTAATTGAAGATTTTTCAAGTAACCTAGATAATTGACACGGTTAGCCAATTCCTCTCTTGAAAAGTATATCCAATTGTGGAGTCCTGTTAAAAAAAAAAAAAAAGAATTATGGATGAGGCAATTTTTTTTTTTTTGAGAAATAAAGCAATTTTATAAGCATTATTTTACCTGACACTTCTCCATTTTTCAGTTCAGAAACAAAAATATGTTCGAATCCTGAACTGCTGATTTTACCTTTACCTCTTGAATATAATCCAAACCATATTTGTTTTAGAAAATCTCTTTGCAGCTTCGGATCCGGTGAAACGTAACCTGCAATGGAATATTGATTATGTAAACATTTTAAATTTTAAACAAAACTTTTTTCAGAGCTTTAGACTAATTAGATAATTAGACAACATCTGTAAACTAATTACCAACTGCTATAAGTTTTCCATTAATTAATCTACGCTGATACGGTCAGGTGTGAAAAATTATCAATAGAAACTGAAATTTCTTCCTTTTGAGGTATTTAAGACGATTGAAACTTCTTATAAGTAAAGCGTTATACTTTTTTTTTTTTACCTTTGTCCTTCAAAAAAGTCATTAGGTGCCGAATAACACTCGTGGTCATAATAGCATCCATAAAAGCGTTTTCTTCGTTTCTTTCCTGCAATAAAAACAGTATTTAATCATTACCTATAGTTAACTTAATTAAATGACTAGTAGATAAGTAATTTATTCATTATTATGAGTTCGAATTTAGTGTTTTATATTAGTCTGTTTCCTGAATATTCCCAAATGTATTTTTTTTTTCATAACAAAAATATTACCTGTGGTGTGACGTATTCGTTGACAAGGGTATCTCTTTCGTAATTATCCAATAGCGGTATAAATTTCTCTATCGTCGGTATTTTCCATGCGTCAGGTGTTATGGTGAGTAATCTGGTAAACAAAACACATGTAAGGAGATATTTACAATAGGAAAATGTAAACAATGATCATGTTGTGCGAATTTACTTACGGCAACGGGGATTTATCATCTTTTGACATGGCCGTGGTTTTCTCCTGATACGAAATCGTTATGTACTTGGCTGCATTATTTACATCTTTTCGTAATAATTCCTCGCTAACATTTTGTAGCTCCACATCTGTTAGGCCATTCGTATTAGTGCCTTGGTTGTTAGCTAGCGAGCTGGGTAAAACTAAATTTGTAGGTAAATTATTCAGCGCTAGTTTAGATGGGCTAGTCGGCGTTAATGAGGAGGAACTCGATGGTAGAGTACTAGGTTTCTTCGATCCTGAGACTACGGAACTAAAACTTATAGGCTTTGGCGTGGGATTTGTTGATGCTGTGGACTGTGTTCCTTTTCCTCCTAGAATGGAACTGTAACTGGGACTCCTAGTTGGGGTGGAGACACCTTGTGATTTACCGTCATAAAAGTTTATAAGATCCTTCACCTTTCCAGGTGTTTGACGATTGTCTTTGGGTGGGACTTGGAGCAACATAATCCCTTTTTGGTGAAGGCGTTTTTTGAGTTACCACAGTAGGTGTATTGAACTTCTGTTTTTGGGTTGTGGCTGGTTTGGTCGTAGGATATTGCGGCGCTACATAATCTCGTCTGGATGGATTTTGGGTAACCGCTGTGCTTGGATGTGTCTTGGGTGTAGTTACCGTCGTCGCTGGGTTTTTGGTGGATATTTGCGGTGCTACATAGTCTCTTTTACCAGTTTGTTGTGGTTTTGCGGTAGTCATTAAATCTATTTGTAGGAACAGAAGGTTTTGCTGATGGTAAACTTGGAAATTGGGATGCATAGTTATTTTTAAAATCTGGTGCTGGACCACCGGCTTCGTGAAGTAAGAAGTCGCTACTTGGATTATATCGTTGTACTTTGTTGAAACCTGTAACAAAAAGAAGCAAATGACTTATTTACTACTAATCAATAATATAAAACTTGCGCTTTTAATATATAAATAGAATAAATATTATCCTCTTCACACCATAAATTAGAAAATATGTGAGTATCAGTTATGCTTAAATATTTGTTATGAATGTACAAATGAAATGAAATTCTACTTAAAGACGCTCTTTACGCTTAAGAACCCACAGCAGATCAAAAACTTTTCAAAATTACGTATTTGCTTTCAAAATTCTTCAAATACTTTTATTGAATCCATTATTTCGTGCGTTACTTTTGCATTAGAATCAACAAGTAAGAGTGAAATTAATCATTATTTAATTTAGTTTATTATACGAACACATAAATTGACAAATAAAATGCGCTAAAATAGCCTATTTGTTAATGTTGTGAGCAAATAATTTTCAAATGTTATAAAGTTGGTTTAATTTTTTTGTTTCTTTGGGCTTTATAAAATTACAATTTAAAAGAAAATTAAAATAAGACAGATAATTTAACTAATACCTAAAGAAAAAAGAATATTTTAAGTCCCTTAAAGAAATAACTTTATTTCTTCTCTCGCGACATGAGATGCAGAAAATAAATTTATATGAATTTCTTCAACTACGTTTTTTTTTTAATTTATTACTTAAAATACATTTTTATTTATTCTGTGGTACGCAGAAGGAAAAAATTCAAGGAATTACTAAAATGGCATTATAATGCACATCTTAATATGTATATGTATAACAAAATGAAATACGTGTATAAAAACATCGCCCACCCGATACCCTTGACTTCTTAACATTTCTAATCATATGATAAACGTTAATAACAACAAAATATAAAAATAGTTATGCTCACCTAAACTAATTTGAAGAACAAATATAAATAACGTTAATAATTTCATGTCACTTTCCATCCTTTCCTCGATCTATATAAAATTAGAAAGCAATGTTGACTAGTTTTGTTATAACAACTTAACGTCTGTAGACCGTTGCTTTGTTTACATAATTAAAAATTAAGCTGGACTTTTACAAAGAGCAGCCAAATGTGTTCAACGTCCGGGAGCCTTTTAAGATGTGAACGTACTGTAGAAAATGAATAATTACGCAAACTTCAAAAAGATCTTGCATCATCAATATCGAGGCTGTTGTCTTTTAATAATAAATGTATAAAGTGCGTTCCAAATAACAAAAAGTTAGGAGGAGTTAGTAAGAATAACTTAAAAAATAGGTTTTGTTTTAAGTACCATATCTTATTATTGTATTTGATTTAGTTTTAGCTGAGCTTTTATTTTGATAAACTAATGTACCTAAGTATGTATGTATCAATATATTTATTAATCATACAAACATTAATTACTTGATAAGTATATTACTCGATTTTGAACCACCATTAATTATTTCTTTAACAATATTTAAATATTTGAGTTACCATTAATGAGTTTCCAAAAGAGAAATAAGAGATTTAAAACATTTTTTCTTAATTTATGTTCACAGTTTCTTGTCTTAACGATTTATATCAAAAACGGTATCGGTTAACGTTAACGAAATGTTATTGCATTCTTCATATGAAAAATTAGAGATCTAGTATGGGATCGGCAATGATACGTAGAGAAAACACGAAAGGCGATGTTATATTTAACAATATTATTTTATTTTAACACATTTGACCGTAATTTACAAAACACTCCCCAAATTAAAATGTTCGTAGTTGTAATCACAGGTAGAGAATAGAAGGCATTCTCATAATAATAAAAGAACGTAGATACCTAATTTGATTGGTAGGGTAAAGTATTAGTCATTAGATTCTATTGATTGACATTTGACAATGACATACAATTTAACATCAATATCTCACTGACGAATATAACCAATTTGACTATTTGCAATATTCATTAAATCTAAGGGAAAACACGTCTGTATTACGATGTTTAAAATTATTTATTTAATACATATATAACGAATAACTTAAATTTTATGAATTAATGATATGAAAATACAATCGTTGTCTGATGCCACAGAAGAAATCACGAACTGATCCTAAATACACGTATCAAAATTAAAATAGAACTCCGTGTAATATAATATTTAGTATTTTTGGTTAATTATAAGGTCGAAGTAAAAAAATTATCTAAATTAAGTGATACCGGAGTAGATTCAAAAGTAGATATGTCTTTTATTGATTTTTTTCTTCAATTCTTTTGAGTAAAAGTTTTATTAAATAAATTATATGTAAGATTGTTTTTAGACCGTTCCATAGAGAAATGAATTAATTTATAACAAGATATTATTACTTTTCTTAATTTGTTATTTAAGTCGATCAACTAAATATGGCGGTTTTTGTCGATATTTCTTATTTTCAGACGCATCACTAAAGAAACTAGCCACAGATAGCAAATACATATTCCATTTCAAATAAAGTCTTTGGCAGTCTGGCAATCTGACGTTTAAGTATTTTGTATTTACATGTTTCAACAATAAGACATACCAAAATGGGATTCGGCGGGTAACAACTTTGTTTAAAATGTCGTGAATAAATTCTAGTTTTTATAAATAAAATGGAATATAAAATAAAATCACATGAAATTAAAGTTTACTTTTGTATTTGGATCTTCGCTAATCTATTTTCTTTATATAAATTAATAGAAGCACAAAATGGTAACAATTACTTTAAAAACTTAAGTATTTATTTGATATTTCTGAATACGATGTGTTAATTTTTGAATGGATATTGTTGCAGATATTTTAAAACATAACAATGAACATCATGAATTAAGTGATTTACAACCAGGTTGGAGTATTACCTCCAAATTTAAAGATGTTTCAGACATTGAATGGAGCACTTGGAAATACTTTATTATAAGTTCTTGGCAGTACTTATTGATTCAGTTTATTATTTCGGAATTTATACGTTATATATGTGTATCATTTCTCAAGTACTGGTACATTTTATCCAGCCTCACTTTTATATCAGTGTACATGGGCTTAAGACAAGTCATTATTATAGTAATTCAACCTGTGATATATTATTTAATTTTATTGTGTGGCGGTAAAAAAATAAGCATTTGGTTTACAAGCATTTTATTACTATTAAGCTATAATTCATTGAAATACAAATATTACTTTTGGAATTTTCTTGACCATGAAAATTTACAAGATGAAGAAGTTTACCTCCTTTTATTCAGCGTGGCTTGGATTGAACTGCGATGTATAACATTTTGTTTAGATTATTTAGAAAGGAAAACAAATAAGATTCAGATCTGGCAAGACTTAGTAAATCTTTTTAGTTACATATTATACTTGCCGTTGTTGTATACCGGGCCAATCATCCTCTACGATGAGTTTGAGAAGAGTTTTACTTCAAAAGTAAAATTAATGACACGGTTAAAAAGATTTGCTATAGATATGTTGGTTTTCCAATTCTATACATTTGTATTAGACCTGATGTTCCATTACATATATTTCTTTGCTATGCAGGACAATATGGAGGTAAGATTTTCAATATATTTTCATGAACATATTGTTTGATGATAAGTTAAATGAAATGTTTTTTTCAGCTCATTAAAAAGTTGCCGACAATAGCTCTGTGTGGAGGTGGGCTTTGGATGGGTCTGGAGTTTCACATAAAGTATGTTATATCATATGGTACTACTGCAGCTTTTGCCAGATTGGACAATATGGAACCTCCCCCGAATCCTAGATGTATAGCCAGAATACATGTGTACTCACAAATGTGGAGACACTTTGATGTCGGACTCTACAGATTCTTAGTGAAGTATGTTGGCCATACTCCTAATATATGTATGACAATATATTCAAGTACAAAATCTGACCATTACAATGTTTTTAGGTACATCTACAAACCTGGTTATGGCTCGCTAGTCAAACATTGCAATTTATCCAAAATGGCCTGCAAGTTACTTGCTTCTTTAGCGACATTTCTTTTTGTGTTTGTTTGGCATGGGACTGTTTGGCATATACTGGTATGGTCAGTACTGAACTACTCCGGGATTACCTTAGAACATTTTGGAAAGGCAATATCCAAACATGAATTATATCAACAGTTTAGAGTTAATTATCTAAAAACAGAGGCTATGGAAACTCGTTTTATTGCACTACTATGTTCACCTTTACTAGCACTTTCAGCTGTTTCAAATTTTTATTTATTTGCTGGGAGTGATGTTGGTAACTTATTTTTTGAATGTTTTTCTCAACCTACTCTGTTAAATTTTTTCATATTAAGTATTTCCTTGTACAGTTGTTGTCAAGTATCTATGTATTTAGAAAATGTTCCTGCCAGAGGCACTGTTTAAGACTGGTTAACATTGGTGTGATATATACATTTAAGGAATAAGTGACGTTTTATTTAAATAAATTTTATTACTAGCCATTAACACTTATAAAAAAATATTTGCTCTTTCACCAGCAATAACACAGTTCTGACTACCATTAATGATATTATTTTAATTTCATATACTAAAAGAATCCTATAGCAAAAATTAAATTTTGAAGTTTTCAGGCAATTGTATGAAGTTGTATGATTAAATGTATTAAATAGCTACTAATTGATACATATTAGATCCTTTTAGCAAGAGATAGGAATGTATATGCATAGCTTCAATGAGATCGTTCGCGTCGCCAGCGACTCCAGCAGCTTTGTGTATCTGTATTAGTTCTTGACGACTAAAAACATCTTTTTTTAATTGGTGGGATCTTCTTGTTAGCACTTCTAAGAACTTCTTAACCTGTACACATTTAATTTAATCAACAAAATATTTAGAAATTTAATACCAATAATTTTTAGATAATTTTAAATCTTAATAGCATTTTTTACCTTATTTCGTGAACTGACTCCCGATCCGTTAATAGATCGCGATAGTTGTATATTTCCGAATTCATCACTGAACGTGTCCATTAAACTGTGTTTAACGAGACTTATTACATCAAGAGCATCTTGGGCTGTAGCTTCCTCTCTTAAATTGACTCTGGCTCGTGCCTAAAAAATTCAAGCGATTTACAAGTGTTTCCGTTAGATAAGGGTGCATTAAATGTTTTTGGTAAAACATATATTGGCTAGGTTTTGAATTGAAAGAAATAATCATTTTTGATAAAAATATCAATGAACGTAATAACAATGGAGATAACTTTTTTGTATAGCCGTAATTCTTTGGAAAGGAAGGAAATAAATTTAAAAAATAATTTTCCAGCAATCGTGAGCACGGGAAGGTCTTGCAAAATGTTTTATTCGGGTTAATTAAAACTCCTCTCTTCAACGATAGATGTCGTTAATAATTATTTATTAATTACCTGTGTCAATCGTATGCACGCCTCGAGTTGCCTGGTGGTGATAGGAGCGCCGTCATTGTAAACACTCTGATGATTGTTCCTGAGTTCTAAATAGAAATCTTGTAGAATATTTGCTGCCTCCGAACTTAATTTCGGATGGACGTATCTTCTTGCATACGCTATATATTTTCGGAGCAGTACTAGCGGTAATGTATCAATTACTTCGCCAGATTTGAGACGTAATCTTTGACTGTTAAGATTATTTTAGATTTTAGTTAATTTTCCTTTAGCAAAAAATAATGAAAATAGTAACTTATAAGAATTTTTACCTTAAAGGCACGTCTGTTTCTGTTTGACTTGAATTTACAGCATTTAGTTGACTGGTTCCACCCTGTTTTCTTTTACTTTTAGATCCTGAATGAAGAGCCAACACATGTTCAGACAGCATAGCGTCAATTTTCTGAAATTTTACATTGTATATATCAATCATTTTGAAATAGTCCATATATGTTCTGTATACGAACATTATTTAATAAAGTTACCTCATCAGGTTGGTCCAGCAATATAAAAACTAGATCGAATCTTGATAGTAAGGCTGAATTTAGTTTCAAATTCTCAGACACCGTTTTAGCCCTGAAAAATATGATCATTTGAAAATGTCCTAGTATGTTTCTGACAACTTTAACATTATAAAATATGTGATGTAAATAGAGAAAAATGACATACAATTCGTAGTTTACGAAATGTTATGTGAATATTCATATTTTACAACAGAATTATCAACTATTAACTTCTGAATCATTTCAAACATTTAAGTATGTAAGTTCATCAAGAATCTCTTTTATTATGTAATAAACAAAGTTAGCCTTGAAATATCTATAATCGAACTCAAACTCATTTAAATGTTTACAAAATTTATCTTGTTTCGTTGTCACATACCTATTGTACGATCCGGCTGCTGGGTTAGCAGCTGCTAATACCGTGGCTCGAGCTGGTAGACTGCAAACCACTCCACCTTTAGCGACACTCACACGTCGCTGTTCCATGGCCTCAAGCAAACTACTGTGATGTGCGCTCATCTGGAAGTCAAGTCATTAACTTGAATTCATTGTTTTTTTTATATGTCAAAGGTGGCAAACGAGCAGAGGGTCTACTTAATGGGCAGTTGTCACTATAGCCCATGGACATCCGCAACATAGATTTTACGGTTGCATTGCCAACCTTGGTTATGGAGGAAAGGGAGGGAGGAAATGAATGGAATGGGCAACCGGCTGTATACAATATTGTTGTAACGATTTAGCGAATACAAACGATGTTACCTGACTCCTGAGATCTTAATAAAGTAAATATTTATGTTCTCTGTTAAATATCCGTATTAATAATGCTAATAATAGCCTAGTTCATAACAATTTTATAACCTCGTTAGGAAGCGAATGATCATTCGGTTTATTTGATCATCGCTTGATCAACTCACAGTGCAATTTAGTCACCGCACTCCTTAATATAGTATTTTTTTTTTTACAAAGATTTCGTAACTATTTGGCATCCGATTATTTATTACTAACACATAGGGAAGACTATCAGAAACCTACTTGATATCATGATAAACATTACAAATAAAGAGTAATATTACAAGAATTGTGCTAGAAAATATATGTACAAATCTTACTTTATCTAGTTCATCTACACAGCATACTCCTTTATCGGCCAGCACAAGAGCCCCGGCCTCCAGGGCGAAGTCCCCGCCGGCCTCTCGACCCAGGGCCACCGTTAGACCACCAGCTGATGCAGAAGAACCGCATACATAAACTCCTGTAATAACAATTAAAACCATATGCATATACATGTTACATTCCCAAAGAGGGTTGTTGTCAGGGAAAAACAATTTGCCAAAATTATTCACAACATGTAAGGCAGACCCTGGCTAAAGCTGGGAAATTGCCAGGTAGAAAAAGAAGATGCACATACATGTTACATACAGATGAAACGAAAGAAGTTTTACTTCAATAAATATATTTTGTTACATATAACTTCCAAAAACAGAACTAAAAAATAATATGGAGGAGAACTTCAAAGATTTTACATTCAAATTCGAACCTGGAAGCCCTAATATCACTTCTTGATGGCCTAACAAAAGAAAATGAACTTTTCTTTCTATATTTCACTTGTATTTAAATTAATTTATTTTGCAATAAATCGTTTTGATATTAAAAAAGTAATAATGATTCTTTTCAAAGAAAATTCCTGTCTTTACACAGAAGTTTAGTTACTCCAAAGAAACATATTAGTTACAAAATCGTGAGGTGAAGTGGTGAACGATTTATAAATTTATACCTAGTATTTTTTTTAGGTGGTTTTTTTTTTGGACAAATAAGTCTTATTAGGTAAATTATATACAGGGTGACTGGTGAATTACTATCGATACTTGAGGACGTGATATTTGACGATCATATATGACAAAATAAAAATTAATATAACATAAATATTAATAAACTTATAAGTAAAGTTAACCAAAAGTTATGTAATGAATTACGCATCGTGTGAACACCCTACAGATTAGGTATACACTCACACTCACACATACGCGAGCGGGGCGTGGTGTTGTATCAGCACGCCGCCGCACGCGTCCACACTTGGAACACTTGGAACGTGTCAACACTTTATTTATTTATACGGAAATTTGGTCAAAAATTAAGTGCCTATTTTTTTTACATAATTCGAATGAGAATCATGTACCGAGTATTATCCTTAAATATTGATAGTAATTCACCAGTCACCCTGTATATGCAAATTGCACACCTCTAGGCGCAGCATGTGCAGCCGCTTGCAGCAGTTGAGACTTTCCCAAACCCGGATCTCCCACTATTAGTATGTGTGGATTTGACCTGGTGCCATGATCATACTCAGTTCCTCCAAATAGTCCCAAAAGTAAACCAGCCTTAACCGCTTCGTGGCCGAATATAGATGGACATAAAGAGTGCACTAGGAGTCGAAATACGTCTTCCGAGGCATGAATTTCCTATAAAAAAGAACGCTTTTTTTATGAAGTGGAGTTCGGTTATATTGCGTTTCCAAGAGAACCTTTCAAAAGCCTGGGATAAAAACTATCCTATGTTCTTTCTTAAGGTAAACTCTATCTCTGTACCAAATTTCATTAAAATCAGTTCAGTGGTTTAGGCGTGAAAGCGTAACAGATAGACAGACAAACAGAGTTACTTTCGCATTTATAATATTAGTATGGATTGGTTCATGCCTCACCTGGATAGCGTAATAATCTTTTATAGTGAACGTCAATGTAGGATTGCTCAGATTCCTTTGGCTGTGAATAGATACCGCTTCAATATATAACTGTAATAATCTTGCAGCTCTACGACCATCTTCACCACCCTTGCTCTCACCACGAACCTTTGATAAAAAAAAATATCATTATAATTATTGCCATTAAAGTTATTATTATTAAGAGACAAAATCTCTCTGTCAGCATTCCATGGTTTCACAGCGCGGGTGCTGGGTCCATCGCGTTGCAGGGAGAGGAGCTTCAACAGTGTCTGGGACTTGCAACCCAGGTGTAGGTTTAAGGGGCCCCTATCTAACGCGCGTTATACGCTCACCTCCACTGTCCAAGCTCTTCTCTCTACCTAACAAAATTTGAAAAGAACCTACTGGGCTGCTTTGGAAGTATGTTCCACGAATGTATTAATGTGAGTTCAAAAATATCATTTAAACATACTAAGTACATAACTTACATGGTGATCATAATTAATGAATGTTGCAAAAAATTAGATGTTTAAATATATTAGGTATTAAAATCCTAAGACTAACATTTGTGTCAGTATGATAAAATCAAAATAAATACTTATTATGTGTTACATACCAATATTAAATTATTTTAACCAACCTGTACAATTCCTGTTACAGACAGAACATCACCAGGGCATGCACTGCCCACTAAATCACCTTGGAGTTCAATTTCCACTGTCCTCGGAATAGTCCCGGACAAACTCTGTAACAGATAAGTAATTGGATTTATAGAGTAAAATTTTTACTATACCAAAAACTGACAAAGAACAAATGAATGTATATTAAATTTGTGTCAAATTATAATTACCTGTGATTGTATTTCTTGTATCTTGGCAACTTGCCAGTCATTAGTGTTAGTGAATGGAGATGATTGAAGTGGTTCAAATTTGTAGCCGCTTTTACAGCTCTGACAAAAGTTTGGGGCTGAAAATAATAATAAATTAATACTTTTTGTATGAAAATATGATTATGGTATAATTTTAGTCATGTTTACCTGTAAATACACCCTGGGGTTGCATTACAGCTTGTACACTATGACAACTTGAACACTCAAATGCCATTGCATTACAAATTAAGCCGACACTACCAACTTTTATAACAGTTCCTTTAATTGTGACCAGTTTCCCTGTAGGAATATATGAAAAAGAAAATTTTAAGTTACAAACTGCCTAACTTATACTCTTACAAAATCACATATATATTTATATGCTATTATGGATATTCATACATACCAAAATAATTAACTTTGAGATTTGCTATTGGAATAACTGGCTCATGGTTCAATATTCTAACTTTTATTTTGGCTTCACATTTAAATGTCTACAAAATATATTTTTATAATAATTGATTTATGTAATACAAAAAAAGAGAAATTAAAGATAATATGTTACCTCATGGAAACAATATTCTAAAAGACGTAGGGTCCTTTCTGGTTTCTCAAACAAATCAGCTTGAAACGTGGACCACTTAGTACTAAATTCAGAATCACTTAATAAACATTGCATGTCCAGTGCCACACTTCGAGTTTGATCAATTTTTTCTAAATCAAATAAACTTCTATTCTTTTGTATAAATTGTTTGAAACAATCAATATTTTCAGACATATCGGCTTTTGCTTGTTGATCTAAAATTATTGAAAAGTTAAATTGTGTTTGTGAACAAGATATTTGAGGTAGAAGTAAGATATAGTCACCTTCCATGGGAAAGTATAGTTTCCATACATCTTTATTGGAGTAAATAGGTATAACAATTGGTAACTGTGCAGCTGGGGCTCTTGAAGCACTGGAATTTAAAACTGAGCCTGAAGAATTGTCAAAACTCTTTGAGCTACTACTCTCAGAAGTGGCTTTTCGGCGATTATTTCCGCGGTACCAATTGTTTCTATAACGACCTCTCCAATTTCGTCGCATGTTTATTTACTCACAAAATACAATAAATTATATTTATTTTATGTTCTTAAATTATGTATATACTCTTTTTTGTTTATATTTATTAAGTTCTACCAATTAATTATCAACTTAAATTCGATATGACATTGACATTTAAAATCATATTACGCGCCTTTAGAAATGTTAACGGTTGTTATGGGTTGGCATGAGATTAGAAATACATTGGTCATTGGTTCAGTCGTGTAATGTCACGGTATAGGTACTTTTAACACTAATTAATGTTTTGATATTATACTAATTAATAGAAATAAAAAGGAACGCGGCAGTCAAAAATATATATAAAACATGAATAAATATGTCAAATAAAATAATAAATAAACATTACATTCATACATATTATATTTAAATAAAATATTAAAATAAAAAATTAGCTTTATTCTTACATTCAAAACTAAGATAATAGGTATCCTCATTATAGATTTCAAAACTTTTCATATCATAGAAATAGCTTCTCTTAAACTTCTTTTCACAGAAACAACTTCATGATATCTATGTGTATTGGGTCGGGTATCTAAAAGGAGGAGAATAAAATTGGATAACAATGGAAAACAACTGGATTGGCAAAAAAAATTATGAAGAACTTATTATTTTTTAGGTGGTAGAGCCTAGCTGTAGTCAGTTACTACAGCTCGAACATGGGTTGGCTCGACCGGGGAAGTACCACCCTCTCACAGAAGATTGGCGTGAAGTAGCCTTTAATGGCTGCGTTTCGTCTGATGAGTGAGAGAGCCGGTTGCCCTTTCCCTATTCCCACCCTTTCCTACGATTTCCTTATTCCCACCCCTCCCTATCCCTACAAAACCAGGTTGGCAATGCATCCGCAGCATAAATGTTGCGGATGTCCATGGGCGACGGTAACCACCTTCCATCAAGTGGGCCGTCTGCTCGTTTGCCGGCTTTCACATAGAAAAAAAAATATGAAATAATGTAGACAAAGATATGTACTTGCATCGATTTCTAGACCTTTTATGGTATTTTTCTTGAATTCGTATAATGAACTAATGCTTTGCCAATATTTCCAAGTCCGGAAAAGACACACTAGACAGAGTGCTTATCATTTTTTAATAACAAATGTTTTGTTACAGTTTATTGGTTGTTTTTTTATCATCTACCATTCAACTGACTCAATGATTCGGAACATAAAGAAATTTACGTAATGTTAATTATGTATATGTATCTTTTTAATTTTTTTCAGGTTAAACATATGTTTGTAATTTGTATATATCTTAGAAAAAATAACTAATTATTAAGTACGCTTGTAATGGGAATCGTATAGAAATAATTAAAATTGCCCATGCATTACTACTACTTTAGTCGTCAAATATTTACCCTTATTTTATACCAATTTACATAGAAAAATATTGATATTTATTGTATCAGGGTAGCACATAAACCCTGTGGTTATTACAAACTTTCTTTTAGCCTCCGAGTATAATCCAAATTCAAAAAGTTTTATTATTTATATAAATGAAAACTCAACTGGCATTTTAAAATAACGGTTTTTGAGTTTCAAATGTAAAATGAAATTTATAAAGTAAAATGATTATTCAATACAACACCAACGGACACATTACGTTGCAATTGAAGGTCACTGCCCTTATAGACTCCTTCATCAAACTCAACAATTATTCGAAACAGTGACTTCTTTCGATATGTACATTGGCCAATTCTCGTGGCCAATCAACAAATCGCCAAAACAAATGACCTTATAATAAACCGCCAATAAACCGACACAACTTGAATATAAGTTTAATGTTTTACTTAAAATATTTTTTCCATCGTCATCATACTGTGTCAAAATATCTCATCTTTAGCTTAAAGCTCAAGCTTTATTTAAAAAGGAAACCTGAATGAATAAATAATTCAATTACAAAAATATTTTTATTTAGTTTTGTCCAGTTGTAAGGACTTCGGAAAAGTTCATCTTGCCTTCATGCATATCTTTAATCCTAATAATAAATAAATTTGGAGTTGAATTTATTTCAATTTATTGCTGATTTTGAACCGAACTTTATATGTGACGAAGTCTCAAGTAAATATATTTCCCGCGTAAATTCTGTCTAGGAATATTCCCACTATCACAGTTCGACTTAAATAAAGTTAAGGTCAACTTCTTTTGTTATTTTCTAAAATCTCACAAATATATACAAGCAAACCGCTAGAAAAATATAAATAATATTGTATCATGATATATTGTTACATGTCAAATATAAATAATAATTGACCACTTGACAAAATTTTGGTCTAGAAGCTTATCATTAAAGTAGGACAAAGCACAACTTGCATTCGCCTACAAGGACAGCGAAAGATATAAAAAAACAAGAAGAGACAACCGAAGTTTCAAAATTAGCTACATAGAAGCTTAAATTTTACTAGAATTATAATTAAGAGTGTACCTTTTAATATTATTTTCTGTATAATTTTTTAAAGGAATTGATATTGAAGTGAAAACCTTCTTTAATTATTTTTTTTTGAGTATTAAGATATATATTTTTTTGCCAAAAGAAAACAAAACTCAAATAGGAAGACATCTATCTGTGTTTAAATTGACATTGGCTGAATAATTAAGACCTCTTTTTGTATTGATTATATTGACAAATTCGTTCAAGCATGTGGAATATGAATTAGAACAGAAACGGTTCCCATGGAAGTCACCACACATTATTAATAACGCAAAAAGAACAAACGTTCGTTGCTGGAATTGAAGGCGGTAAAAAATTCTTAGAACACAAAAGAATTAATACAATCGCTTCCAGCCTCTCAGTTCATTGATGGCGAGCGGCGTGCGCAGGCGCACCACCTCGCCACTCGCAAACCACACGCCGAAGCGGACGCAACATGATGGTGACCCCACGATGTCTACCAGTAAGTTACAGCCAAATTAATTACCATACTAATTGCTTCATTATTTGTAAACCTCTATTCCGTTGCATAACCATTGTGAGATGGTAAATGTGCGAAATTTCGGTTGTGACATGTCAATGTTATGAGATTATTTCTACATTTTAATGGTTGTAAAGAAACTAATATGTTTACATATTTAATTATGGTTAACGACTAACATGACAGAACTAGTTTATGATTAACGACATTGCGTTAAAGCGTCTTTGATTGCTTTTGATTTATTAAGGAGGTTTTGACAGTACTTTTTGTATGAAACAATACTGACTTTATAATTTGCTATGTATTATTAACAATTTAGAATGATTTTTAAGCCACTTGACTAAGGTTGGAATTTGTCAAAGAATATTTATTTAATAGCATGTACCAACAATGTCGATTGACATTGCTCTCTTAGCTTTTCTCTATAATGGCTTCTCTCGTGACAATTCACATTGTTTACATCTGTTTGATATTATAAAGTATGTATGTCATTAGACCTTCTAAAATAAAGAATCGAGTAATTTTTGCGAAACATGTGTATTGGTTTTCTGGTATTGTTGAAATTCAGTTGTCCGTGACGTTTGAGGTCAAGCTGCGTTGGTCATATTAATTTGTTAAATAACTTAAAGATATATACAGGCTATTATATTCATTAAAATCGAAAGATTTTAGTTATTTTTTTGTGAGTATATTTACCGAGGGCCTCTAGGTAAGGGCATCAAGATCTTGGCAAGCGATGAAGAAATTTCATGAGTCGCGTCGAGGCTAGTCAGGGTCACTGAACTCCATGCCTCCATCAGAATGCACAGTGATGCACAGGAATAGTAAATATTGCCTTTCGCATTTGACAAAACAATGGCATAAAATTCTACTGTCTCTATACATAGCTTTATACCTTTGACAACTACGAATATATACATATATGTATATGCTTTCGATCATGTAATTAAGTATCTGTAAAAATTAATCAAAAAATAATAGAAATCAAAACATAGAAACCTACTCAGCAGTAGTACAGAAACGTTAAATTAAATTGATAGTGAGTAATTTGAGAACTATCAAATAATTACCTGACCTTAAGTTCCATTTCTTAGACCTTGAGGGTAGTTATTAAATAATGTGAATGTCATTACAACGCGCCAATTTCCGTATTGGAACCGGACATAGCCGCTGTAGCCTGTAGCTATGTAAATTTTTTATTTAATATTTTTAACTGGTCCAACAAGAAAGGCAGTTTATTTAAATAATATTCCTGGGTGTTTTTTTTATGTATGACAAGCTCTAATCTCTTCATTTATCCTGGTACGTGATTTATAGACAAGTTATTACATATTATTTTTTTGAATAATCACACACAATAATGAAACTTCTCATTAATAAGTTATAAGGCTGAAAAAAAGTTTCATAATAAATTTAATATATGTATCTTTACTTTCAATTAAAGTTAAAGCTATTGTATAGTTTCTTATAAAGTAATTTAAAGCGAAAACCCTCCAAAAATCATAAAAAATGGCATTTCATTTGTTAATTTTAATACATTTTTGTATTACATTTTTCGCTTACAAAATATGCGAAAATATATGAAACAATACTGATGAAAGGCTTAATAATTTTACATATCTCAAAAGAAGAGTTATTGCAAGTCACAAATCCGGGATTAAACACAATTATCTCATCTCTCATTAAACAGCTTTAGAAGTCAGATTGAACAAGAGTTACTGATTACTGATACTCCGAGCAAGAGTTGGTGATATTCAGGTTCCATATTTTTGTTAAATTTTAAGCACTTTATTGTTAAATTTTAAGGATAAAGATAATCTTATATATAAAATTCTCATGTCGCGGCGTTAGACAGAGTACTCCTCCGAAACGGATTGACCGATTTTGATGAAAACTTGTGAGCATATTGAATAGGTCTGAGAATCGGTCAACATCTATTTTTCAAACTCCTTAGTCAAAAGGGTTGTTCACCTTTAACTAATTTTTTTTTTTTTGGACGAAATTTTGTATTTATTTATTTATAATTTAGCTTTAACAAATACATACAACTCAACATTTTTACTTTTTTATCACCCACCCCTATTTTTTATATGGCAAAACAACGTTTGCCGGTCAGCTAGTTAATATATATACATATTTTTTGTCAGACGGTAACATAACAAAGCCAAGAGTATCTACATGCTTTATAGAGTTAGCTAAAAAAAGATAATTTGTTTTAACAAAACTTAATGCAGAGGCAGCTTAAAGAAGTATATAAGTCAAATTGTAATCGAAATAGAACATAAAATATTGTACAAAATTACAAATACGACACTGAAGAAACTCAATGCACTCACATATTTTCGTAGATTTTTCCTATAATTTTAACACAATCAATAATTGATAGCTTCCAACTTATATTACATTAACATGGGAAAATAAAGAAATATGTACCTTACCGCGAATAGTACAAGTGAAGGTACATAGCTAACAATGATTCATGTTAACAGGAAAAGTCATTAATATATTGATCACTTAGAGAATGGAAAACATTGTGACATTCATTTCACTTACATATTCATTACAACTGAGAACTTTGTTTTGTTATTACGTTTTAATTTACGGAGACAAAAACTAAATAAGTAGTATAACTTTAAGGACTACTTCATTCTTACTACGAGTTTGTACATACATAACCTAACTACTACATACGGAGTGTTTCTCGTTTCTCATTCAATAAGCTACGATAATATTATAATGTGTGAAGATTTGAGAATGAAAAACTGGAAATTCACTGATTCACACAATTATAACATTTTTTTTTACAATTTTGTTAGGCTTATAAATAACGACGTAGGTATCTGATAGTCGAAAAAAGTATCTTATTTCACTTTTAGAATTCATACTACACTACTACTCCTAATTTCATCCTCATTTCATATATTAGTTAAATCTTTTCCTATTTAAACTTATTTTTTCTGTTTAGAAGTTAACCATAATTTTCAATACAAAATACTATACATAGTTAATCCTATATTATAAAGGTATATAACAAAATTTCAGAATTAAAAAATTACGAACATAAATGTTACACTGTCAGTATAGGTATTTACTTTTATTTACAATGTAGTAACAATGATAAATTATATTGAGGAATCTGTAAATGTCTTTACTGGTTATTTGCAAATAAAAAAAAAAAATCTTTATAAAGCTTAATGCCATATAATGGAAAAGTTCATTTTAGTTTTTCAGTAATTTTAGCATTTATATTGTTATGATAATTACCTTTGAAAGTTTCTATGTGTGAGCATAATAGCTATTTAATATTCAGGATTTAGTAATGTTTTAGATAGTATCGACGTATGTGCTCTGACCTGGCAAATGTTTTGGTTTACTGTAAATTTCGCAAGTGGCTTTACACTCATCGTTTAACTATGTAGGTGCATGTCTAGTTTCGGAAACATTATTTCATCACATTTCGGCAATTAACCAAATAAGTGCTATTGTTTATAATTAAAACCGTTTGTTCATTGAAACTTTGGAGTTTTTATCTCGTTGCTTGATCATTTTTATCATTATCTGAGCCATTTTTATCGAATGTCAGCAGCGTTATAAAATTAGTCGTATAAAAAGTTTCTAAAACTGTCGTACCTTTTACATTTGACAATATTTTATCTCAATTATAAACGACGCATGTGACCATGCACTAGTTTCTTCCCTTCACTTAAAAAGGCTTGTTAAAAACACTAGCAATAGTTATGTGTTTAAAATACAAGCTCATAAATAATGTCCCCAAAATGTTGTAGTTTGAAAGACACTTCTACCAATTGTTTGAACATAAGTCTTGGGTTTTTTTAATTTAAAAATCACTATTTATTCCAACCATGTTTATACAAAAATATATGTATCTTATATTAGTTCTTAGTCTCCTTCATAGCTTGACAAGTAAAGCATTCTGTATTAGTAGTCAAGTACACAAAAACTTATTATTAGTAATAGGAATAATGAATGACTATTAGACAGATATGTTCAAGGTAATAATGATTACATTCTTTATAATTATCAGTTGCTACACATAAACTTGTTTTTCTTAAAGAGGAAATAATCATAATAAACTCATTCTTGAATAATTCAAAACGTATCTGCGACAGAACATAGACAAGAATATTTTAATTAAATAAATCGGCTAACAAAGAAATCGGTATTTCATTAATAGTATTCCTTTTTTCATTTCAGTTGCTCTTCACTGTGTTAACAGTGGTTGCAGCAGTACCTACACCTGGTAGGATACCTAAGGTGTACAACGCTTTGATAACCTCCAATCAGAATTTGGAACCTAGCAAAGCTTTTCCTCTATATCAGCCGGTATTGCACAACACATTCCCATTTCCCTACCAAACTATTGTATACGGAGATTATCCTCTAACAAATGTAAGTATCTTTAAAAGAAACATTTGCATGCAATTAAAGGACAATATTATTTATCGATTTTTCAGATCAATTAAGAAATACATCAGTAATTAACAGAATAAACATAAATATAAATAAATTTGAATACTTGTATAGTTTATAAAACACCAGTTATCTATATATGTAAATCATTTAGTAATAAAATAATAAAAGGTTAAAAATATTTCCAGGGTATAATTCCTGTACCAAGTTCTCCGCCAAAAGATACTGACGTGAAATCAGAAGAACCATCAACTCCTGCCCCGGAGGCGCCACCTGCTGGGTCCACTGAAAAACCTACGGAACCAGAATCCAGTAGCCCGAAAGCTGATGATGAAAAATCAACCCCAGTTCCACCTCCACCTAAAACAGAGTCACCTATACCATTAAATGAGTTTGGCCTTCCGCCTCAAGTGCTACCAATAAGTCGTTTCCAGCCCAGTTATGAGTACAGTCCGTTTGCTTTCCCATATTCTTACTCAGGGTTACGATTCTATGATCCTTACGATCCGTTCGGCTTTAGCGCTTTTCCCAGCTATCCGTTGTACCGGCCGTTGAGTAACGTTTTGGGACCGTCTCTTCCTTTCCCAGCCGTCAAACCACAGGCACCAGCCACCCCTGAATCAAATAAAGGAGACGTCCAACCTCCACCAGCGGAGCCGAGCGAACTTAACGTTTTAAATTACTCTTCAAAGGACCCCGCTATACCTAATGTACCACCGCCACCTCTTCCACAAGGCGGTCTCAAAGTTGATAAGGAATAAATTACATATATAACACATTAAAACTAAAAAAAAAACCTATAGTAAATTTTATAAAGATTAACATAATCCATAACAAACACATGTGTCTCATATTTACGATAATGTTGTAAAATATTTAATTCTATCAAAGTTCCTCGATTACCATTTCAACTGACAAAACAATATGTACATATATAAACATTTGTATATAAACTCATAATCTATGTGATTTATAATGTATTATAAATATATAATAGGAAAATCAATGAATTATAATTTTTTACATTTTACGATTGTTATTAATATTTAATGCTGGGTAATCAACATAAACCTTTTTATTAGAATACAATGAAAATTGAACATTGCTTAATAAATTCTGATATACATGAAATTGAAGTTATTCTAGATGTTTCTTATGTTAAAATCAGTTACAATTACATATAGCTTTTTACTTTAGAATAGGAAATTTAATCAGTTTTAATCCCATTGTGAGCTTCAGAATCTTAAGGCAACAAAGCCTATCAAAAAATATTATGAACTATAATGCATCCTCACTATATTAACACAATAGTTATATAACTCGTACTTTATGGAAGTGATATTGAATATTTATATTAACGAAGCTAAAAGCTCTTATCCAAGTTTATATTATAGATAACGGAAAAACTCTGTTTGTTCACAACACAAGTATTTAACACATACATTGAAGGATAGTCGGATATTGTTTCAGAGTTATCTTATCTTATTTCGCTGATGGAAGTGACAGTTATGTTAATAATTGTCGAATGTCCATGTGTCTTTCAGGATATACAGGCTGATTCTAATGATTAAATGGCTAAAATAATATAAAAAGGTCAGTTAGTTACAGTCAAGTTTTACATTTTGTTTTCTGGAGAAAAAATTTATGAGTGGGGTTTCCGTATAGAATTAATATTATCTTAGTCTCTCATTATTCCATTCCCTAACTATTTAGTATACAGGTTGGCTGACAAGTCGCCAGTGGAATTTACCGGATTATATCACAGTTGAAAAGGTAATTAATAATATAAAGGTGCAGGCGTTTCAGTATATAATAAGAAATATTAATATCTGACAAAAAAGTCGAAGTAATTCTAAGTAAATCATTATTCTATTCTTATTGATGCAAAAAATAAACGCCCTGTATAGTCACAATGTACATGTTTTGATTATCACAGTACCGTATCTAAAGCTTTATAGAAAATCTCAGATTGACGTTTCGATTGAACGCCGGCGGATTAAGTTGCTTATGGGTTCTCTTTATTTATATACCTATGTATAAATATATAAAACAAATATGCTAGGTTGGAGTAATTTGTTTATATTCAGCACCTTTTTCTACGTCGGACTTCAGGTAAAATATATTTTTGTAATTTAATTATTATGCACTATTAATTTAAAATAACAAAAAATCTTGTTAAATATAATAATAAGGTTTCCTGATAGTCAAAACCAGATCAAGTAGTTTTATATTGATATTTTTTTATCGAGATATTTTTTATATTCCAATGTGTTATATTCTCAGAAAAATTATATCTCTTACTCCTACTACATTTGAAGTGCAAACCGCAAAAAAAATCTATAAAAACAATTTCAGTTTTTGTTATAATAACAATAACAAAATCATTACACAGTATTGCTTTGCTTTTTTAATATTATCATAAGATATAGGTATAAAAGCTTTTTTTTAATATTATCATAAGATATAGGTATAAAAGCTTTTCTGAAGCTTTGATTTTATCAAAGAGTAAGAATATCAGAAGGCTTAACCCAAATTCTCCTTTAGTCCAATGAATTTTGTAAAATCTTTTGCTTATTTATGCGGTCAAGGTATAAAAGGAAATGAACACTTTTGAAAAAATATATTTAAGATTCCGTAAAAAGTAGTAGCAATTTATTAGTTGACCTGGTTATACGCTTTGCATTCTTTAACATAATAAAAGGTTAATTTAACTTCATCACATCTATTTTATTAAAAAGTAACAGTAATTTAAGCGACATATTGATAAGGGTCAGTAATTTTCCAAAAATTAGGGCCCCATTTTTTTTGTCATTGTGATAACATAAAACCTAATTGATTATATCTTATTGATGTACTTAAATTGTATGACGAATTAAACTTTAGTTGGATTACAAATATAAAGATTAAATGATTGTGTTTTCTATTAAAAAATAATGTAATGTCTAATACTGTATAATGTTGTTCTAGTTATGTCTAGAAGAAATAACGAATAATGGAATTACGGTACAATGGCCCACAAGCTTCTCAGAAAATAATATTATCTCAAATCCTTTGTGTTATTATGATGGCAAATTGGTGACGAGAAATTGCACTGACAATAAATGGGAACCACCGGCTGCAGAGCTACAACCCTGCATGATGGCTGAGAATATTTATAACTTATCTGGTTGTCCACCAGGTTTTAATAAAATATCAAAAAACAATGATGATTTATGCTATCAAATTGGTAAACCCAGGGAATGGAACTATCCTTGTCTTAAAAGTGGGGGAGCCTCTGTGATTACGGATTTAAGTAGCGAAGACACTATAACCCTCTTACAATCATTAAATGCTCGCAATATTTCAAGATATTTTTGGCTACCAGCTAAAAGACAAAAATTTTTCAACCCAATCATCTGGCAAATTCCCGGTCCAAAATGGGGTCACCCAGTAGAAAGTAGAAATTTTTTGAAAACTAGATTTTGGTTTTTACACGCATGCTTACTTTTAGATATAAAGGAAAACGTTTTAATAACGGAAGCCTGCACAGAAAAATATCCAAGTTTATGTTTTTATATTAATGAACTACATTATCCAGCGAAATGTCCAGAAAAATACATGTCCGTAAGATATCTACCAGATGACGGAACATGTTTTGGAATAGAACAATCCGATACTAATCTAACATTCCAAGATTTTGTTACAAAGAAATGCGAAACTCCTATGGGTGATAGAGACAGTGAGCTTACACGTTTCATATTTAAAAACATTGCAAAGTTTAATAATTTACCTGAAGACGTATGGTGCTGGTTTACTTCGCTCGAAAGAAACGTTACGTCAAACACTGGCAACTATTTTAATTCTACCAATACATTTATGACTATTAACAGTGTTGGTACTGTGAGTTTAACAAACAACGAAGATGAACAGTCCCTTCCTTGCATGGCTTGTCAAACTGCAGTCACCTATCCAGAGGCTGAATTAAATTTCGAATACAGTGAAGAAGAAAAGTTAATATATCTTACAATATATCATCCTTCAAGCCTGTGGAAATATAATCAGTATGATAGAGGAATTCAGTGTTTTTCAGATGGGAATGGGTTAGTAAAGGTGGTCCACATCGATGATTATCCGGTTCTAGAAATAAAAGAAATTCTTAATTTTAAAAATTCAGACACAGATAATGTCGATAAAATAGTATATGCTATAAGTCTGATAACACAGAGATCAGCACAATATTGGTGCGAAGGACATACTAAAAATTTTTCCCTCATATCAACACACAAACTGGTAGTAAATCCTTTGGGAGAAGAGGTACATGTTTTTTCACTTGTTATAAAAATAAACATTTACACTTATGATCTTTTAGATAAGTGGGAATCTTTTAATAATGAGGTAGCTAGTAACATAAAAATTATGTTTAAAGCTAAAAAAGCACTCGTAATGGATTTCCTTGAATATTCCGAGAAGCACTTCATGATTTTACTGCATTTAGACGTCGATATAAGAAATGTGTACAACGATACAGGTAAAAATATTAAAAGGACATATGACGCGTTATTGAATATAGCGCAATCAGAATTATCCAAGTACAATTATACTTTTATTAATATATCCAGTTCTATGTATTGCCTGCCAACAAAATCTTATGATAATACTACTGAACTAAATTGGGAACTAACGTCTATTGGACATATAGCAGCCCCGGAGGAGTTTTGTTTGCAAAAAAATGGCTTACCTGTAAAGAGATTATGCTCCGGTTCATATCTTTTAGGAAGTATTTGGGGAGGTGTGGAAGGCACATGCAATCAAAATTATAAGCCGTCATATACAACGACATTCCTATATAATTTTGTGAAAGACCTAGTACCTGAAAATGATACGTCTCGTTTTCTTATTGACGGTCTGAGCTTCGTCTTAAATGATGTGAACATTATAATACCAGCGGATATTTACTATCTATCCATGTCTTTAAAGCATATACTGAATAAAGCTGATGAAAACCTTACTAAAATCGATATGGGAAACATTGGTAATATTGCGTGGGCTATTGATAGAGTTATGCTTCTAGATACATCTTACTTGAGATTATCTCAAACATTAAATTCAACAAACGTTATTCTTGATTCAGTTGGTGGCATAATTAATAGATTAGCTGTGAAAGAAGCTAAAGTGGGTAATACTCAACGAAATTTCTTAAGTAGCTATCAGTTGGCTGTTCGACCTCGGTTTATTTTACAAGTGTCTTATCCACACATCAATAATGTTAGTGGGATTGCTGTGACCAGAACGTCCAGTGACGATTCATTTATATCTATGGAAATTAAACCCTTATTTATAAATACGACATTAGAAGATGTATTGTCGATAGATAATTTGGAAGTAGCAACTTGGGTACCGATGAATGTTTTACAAACACTGAAAAAAATTAACTATAATGGAAGTAAAGAAGACGCTGAAATGAATGAAGACATTTATATTATAATAAGTGTGTTCTACAGCGATGTTATGTTTCAGGAATTAAATGTAACTTATAATGTAAATAGTCGAATAGTCGGAGTGGCGCTGCCTCCTGGTTTTATTTCAAATTTAGAAGAGCCAATTCCTCTGATATACAGAGACCTAGTATCTGCAGGACCGAATAAACATTGTGGGTATTGGGATTTCCAAATGAATTCAATGGATAGTAGCCCTGGTCATTGGTCTAACAAAGGATGCTATTTAAGAAAAACCAACAACACTTTGACTGTTTGTCAATGTTACCATCTGACACATTTTGGACAGTTGATAGACTTTAATAGAGCTAAAAATAATAGCGACGCTCATTCACGCCATTCCATACCTCTGAATATTATATCATTAATTGGAAGTTTTCTTTCCTTGTTGGGTATCATGGGTATGTGGGTGACAGCTTGTGTTTTTCAGACGTGGAGGAAGAAAGCTAGCACGAAAGTTCTACTTCATCTTTCAAGCTCGATTGCTATGCCCCTGTTGATTATGATTATTTTCAATTTGAATGATACTATTTTTGTCGAAGATAACGGCGTTTGTACATAAAAGAACGTTCGAAGATAATATGTATAATTTTGGGTGCAGCTTTACATTATTTTCGTTCTTTCTAGCTTTATGTGGATGCTTATAACTGCTGTCTTGCAATTTATAAGATATGTGAGAGTTCTCGGTGTGTACAGACCTAAAAGATTCATGATTAAATTTACCTTAATAGGTTGGGGCACACCTTTGATACCTGTTATCATTGTATTGGTTCTTGATAAGGAGAACTACTTGTATAGATCACCAGTTTACACCAATTTTAAATATGCAATCTGTTATCCGAGTGGCTTTTATTTCATAGTGACCGTTCTTGTTCCTATATGTATAATTCTTTTAATAAACATTTCATTGTTTATTTTAGTTATGTGCGCAATTTCTAAAGGACCTGATGGTAAAATGCGGTCAGCTGAAGTTGATTTATTGGGCGCCCAGCTAAGATTGTCAATATTTTTGATATTTTTATTAGGACTGACATGGATTTTTGGTATATTTAGTTTTTCTAATAACTTAATCTGGTCTTATCTCTTCTGTTTGTCTTCTACTATGCAAGGATTTGTTTTGTTCGTTTATTTCATAATATGTGATTCCCAAACAAGAAATCTGTGGTTGACTTTAGTCAAACCCCAATTCCGTACCATGTCATCGAGGGAGAGTGTAGTAAGTTTAAGTAGTAACTAAGTAATTAAAAAATATATTTTACACGTTATTCATATTATTGTTCACTGTTAGGTTTACAATTTTTTTGTTTAAAACTTCAAGTTGTAATATTTTTAATGGTTTAGGTAATTATTTTAGAAAATATTTTAAGTTTAGGTTTAAATAGACATAAAAGAAAAAAAAAATTGTTTAATAACTTAATATTATTTAATGTAAATCTGTTATTGTTATTGTTTGTTTTCGAACTAAGCACGGTATAACAATACCATGTTGAAAAGCAAAACGCTTATAGTTAAGTTCATGGCTTGTTAAAATATACAAAGGTTATATTACATTAGAAAAATAATGTAACTTATTAATAAAGGACTTTAAAACAGACACATTCGTTCTCATTGACTTGATTTTCATATTTTTGTGAGCACATGTTTCAAATACCGTCTACAGAAAATTTGGTATAGTTTAACATGACAGTACGAAATTTACCGTGTTCCTGGATTTTGTAAATTTATTTAAAAAATAGTATTAAAAGTTTAATCCAGAAGTATTCATTTAAAATTTTATAATTTTTCTAATAAATAAGATACGTAGCAATTGGATTATAAAGTATGTAGTTTTAAAATTAATATTTAATCCTCAGTATTCCTTGAACAACTATTTCTAAGTTATTTTGTTCAGTTTTCATTCCAACGTCAATTGTTCGTCATAAGAATAATATTTACAAACAGGCGTATCTTGTAACAGTACAAAAATCTTTCATTTGTTCACAATCATAGTTGGAAATCGGAGATGGACACTCGGAAAATTATCCTTATCGCTTGTAAGTATACACATGTGTTTGAATATAAAAACATATTTACCCACAAACATTTCTATTATATAAAATAATTTTACCAAAATAAAAGACATTTTAACAATATATTTAATGCTTAATATTATTAGTTGTATCAGTTACTAGCAGATTGGTATCATGCATGATAAGAGATTTCGCTACTTGCCACGATGACTTCAGCCTCAAGCCACCAGATGGCGTTTTAAAGGACCATACATTTACATGGCTAGGATTCGTCCAATATGTTCATGGTGAGATATATTTTTAAAGTATATACAATAAACTAGGATCCAGCTATGTTCCGGGGGCGAATTGGTGAATTGCCATAGCAGGTCCCAAATCACCCCCAAATACGGGCAGGAAGGGAAGCCGGGGAGTTTTAGTGGGTATTCCCAGGGCCAACAACATCAGGCTCTGGGCGACCCCCACACAAGTCCCACTGTCGAGCCAGGGCAGTGGGTAGTCTGTAAGCGGATTTCTCCCCGAAAAAAAAAAAAAAAAAAAAAACGATCCAGCTATGTTATGAATTTCTAAACTAAAAATTACATTTTGAGTCTGTAGCGAGAGATTAATGGTTTTTCTTTTTTTCAGAATATGGTTGTTTTAAGATAATAACCAGCATTTTATCATAGTATCAATTTGTCAAAAATTTATCTTAAAAAATTGTATTGGTAACAAAATACACAATTTATTAGTCTTAATTAAACCAAATAATTTTAAACTTTTAAATCTGATTGCTAATTAAGATGTAACGACTTAGCTCTCTGTTTGTTATAAAAAATATTAAGGACTTTAATAAAAAAATATTCACTTCTTTAATTTTTTTGTTTTTTTTGAAAACTGCTTAACTTTTTTCTACAAAAAAAGGAATTGTAAACGGATTTTAATTACGTAAATTATTTTCAATATTGTTATAACTACAATAATTAATAATTAACTTTATTTTTACTTATACATATATTTATTAAAACATACCTAATTAAAAACATTTCCATTATTCGTCATTGGTTTAAATAAGTGAACTTTCCAATTATTCTTGATTGTATTTAAATGTATAGTGTATAAGTACATTTTATAGCATTTTATTATTATTTTAGTAACAACAGGCCTGCCTCATCACAGCAAGGCCCCAAGGGTGATACTCATTCATAAACAATTTGCGGCAGGAACAGCTACGGACCTCTTACTATTACCAAAAAACTATAAACTGTTACCTAATATCATTTTGCTTCATACATTTTGATACTTGATTGAATATGATACATATTATAGAGTTGTTTTTTATAGGGGAAGTGTAGTGTTTGGTGATTATGAACGTGATGAAGAGGACTGTGGAATGACTCGCAGTCAGGTCAAGATGGGCATGCACTGCTCTCGAGCTTATATAGAAATGCCCCTAATTGATATAACACCTCATCCAGAATATTCCAAGTAAGTTTTGAAGTCATCGTTAAATGACTTCGAAATATATTTACATTTCGTTGGGGATAGTTTAAATCCGCGTAGCTACATTAGCTACATTAGCTACATTTAAGCCCGGCGTCGTCGGGGTGGTCCTAATTGCCGGGATCGCCCCCATTCTCCGAGGGAGTAAGTCCGGTCTTTGCCAGGACCGGCCAGTCGCTGGTGTGCCCTGTCGCTGACAGATCCGGGGTACACCGACATAGCGGCCGATGGCTTTCGCAGTGGTTTTAGTGAGTAGGGGCCTGCCCAGGCCGAGCCTCACACATCCCTTCCGGCCCCACCAAGGCCGGTTGGACGGCTCGTAAAAAGAGTTTCCACTACGTCATCAAAAAAAAAAAAAAAAAAAAAAAAAAAAAAAGCTACATTAGAAGAAAGTTTAAGCTAAAATATTTTATAAATTAACGACTTTTAAGGTAATTTTTTCACAATTATTAATTATTTAATATGTAATTTATTGCTTATTGTAAAAAAATTACCATATTACATTATCCAATGGTAGTTATGCGGATTAGCACTATCACCGACGATTTTAACTAGTTGATGTGCAGAATAAATGTGACGTAATGATTATTTGGAATCACCCCTGCCTGTTCACAAATCTCTTAATGTTTCCTCTCTGAATATAGTTCTTTTACATGAAAATTAAAATATATAAATACCTAATACGAAATTTTATCAAACAATAAACATTTTCAGATTTGGTGTCGGAAATAGTTTGGCCCTAATAAAACTCCTTCGTCCAGTCAAATCAAGTAAGATAAATAAAATGTGTGTAACACTAACTTTGCTATCAGGTAAATTAATTAATCTTTTATAGATTACATGGTACCGATTTGTCTACCATCACTAACGGAACGCGAAAAAAAAAGAAGGAATAAATTCGTTTTCATGGTCGATTACTTAAGTTGTAAGTAAAAATATTTACATTATATTAAAAATGTATAATGTGTACATACTACTTTTATTTTCACTTTTTCTAAAGCTGTGCCGAGAGATTTTGATTCGGAAAAAATGGCTAAGAAAAGTTTAAAAATGTACACACATAAAGAATGCAGGAGACATCGCATGCGTTCAGTAAGTAAATTATAATTATAAAAAATAACTATATATTATAATATTCCATAAGATTAACAGACAACTAACTGGTTATGATTTAAATATGGAAAAACATTTGATGCTTTATAGTTTATTTATTTACTATTTAGTTCTTATCTTTACTCTTTTATTATAGCTTAAAAATTTATAATATTTTCTAGAAAAAATATTTAATAAAATTTAAACCAGTTATGAAAGAACTTATCAATTATCTATGAGATGTTGTGTTTCTTTAGAAATTAGGCAGTGAAGGAGTGACGCACGTTTTATGCAGTTCAGGGTGTGGCATACGCCCTGGGGCTCCTATAGTCAGTCACGCGGCTGAGGGCACATTCCAATTAATAGGAATAGCAGCTGGCGGAGCCCCATGCTCTCGTCGATCTATGAGACGACGCCTGAACAAAGAACCACCACTATACATTGATGTGTACCCCTACGTTACTTGGATTATCAACTTCATTTCCGCGCATGTTTTGCCGCGGCCTTACCCAGAACACTTCATGCTAGTTGAAGGGGGAACGAGTACGTTATTATCATTGATATATTTAAAAACTGAGTCGTTTTTAATGAAACGAAATGCTTTATTATATGTTAATACTGTTCAAGGTATCGGAATTCATCAGCAGTATCTCAGAACAAGAAGGAAACAAAAGGAAGGCTGGAAAGCACGTACATACGTTTCAGGGGACTATTGTTATAAGAGCTTAAAAAAACAAAGAGCTACAGCATTCTTCTATTCGGAGAAATTTGAAGTAAACGCTGATCCACCAGCTAAATTATCGATATTCATGCAGGTTTGTTATAAATTTAATATGGTACTCAGCTTAATATGTAAAATATAAAGAAGGTAATTAAAACGATAATTTAATTTGCAGGTATCAGCGGGCGTCGAATGCACAATAGTATGTGCTCGTCTTTTGTTACCAAATCGATTGGTCACTCCATTCATAGACGGGGTCGGAGGCTATAACATAACTATTTCATTCAGCACATTCTGGTTCCCTTATACGTTTTACTTTTCACTCGGTTTAAATGGAAAGAACACTACCGAAAGAGATTTCAGGAACTGGATCAGCGAAAGAAAACCCGGATATTGGTAGAAACTTGTGTGGTTTACAGACAAAAAACTATTTTGAGGACGGACGGAATAAACAAAATATTTGTTTTAATATTTCAACCGCTATTTGTTAATTTTCAAAAACACATTTAAAGGCATTCAAATAATTCAATATACTAAATAAGTTAATTACAATTGACTTTTTATTTATCCTTTTTATAGCCAACCAAGTTTTATATAAACAAAAACAACTTCTTAGTTAATGCAGAATATATTTTACTGAAGTTTTAAATGAGTTATAAAAATTTAATAATTAATTTATTATCATACTGCATATAACTGGCATTTGAACGATTTTGCACTGATTGCAATTGTCATTATCGCTTAAGTTTAACATAATTTTAATAAAATTTAATTGTATCAAATATAAATGGATAAGGTTTTCATAACATTTATTTGTAATATCAAATAGAGACACTTTTTTCCTACACAAAATGTTTTTTTTTTTTTTACAAAAATTTGCTTTGTTTACCTTTTCGCTCATATTATAAACCTACGTTGTCGAAACCAATAAAAAATCGCTAATGACACTTTAATATTTTCCTCAATTCAAAATCCAATTTTCCGATGGTCAGTTTAATTTTAATAGCTGTTATGTATTGTTTAAGGTGTATAGTTTTTGAAAATGATACAACATTATCATGAAGACTCATTTATGTAGTATAAAAATAAAAAATAGAAACACGTCACTAAACATGTTTAATTAAGACAAGTGTGAACTATTGTAAATACTTAAATTATGCGGCATCTACTGATACGCTATCTTCATCGTTATTAGATTGCGCCCCACTATCAGTGGATGGGAAACTTGGTGCAGAAGATGAGGGAGGTTGAGGGAAGAGTGGGTTCATTGGTAATTGTGGAAATTGGGGAAGTTGTGGGAAATTAGATCCAATTTGGGGTATTTGTGGGAAGGAGGGCAATTGGCCAGGGAATTGTGAATTTTGACCTGGGTATTGGGGGAAAGGAACGGGATATTGTGGGATTTGTGAAATCGCGGGCATATTTTTTGAATCTAAAGATTGGGATGGATTGTTTTGAGAGGGTGGTTGAGGTTGTTGTGACTGAGGCATGTCGCTAGAAGGTTGTTGTTGACTGGGAGGGAAATCAGCGGAATCAACAACAGCACTGTCCTCATCTCCTTGCGGTTGCTCAGAGGGGCGGCTTGGAGCAGGCTGTGGGGGTTGAACGGGAACACTGGGAACTTGTGGAACAACTGGTGCAAACGAGGGATATAGGAATGAGTTGGAGGGAATGTATGATGGGCTAATAACTGGTTGATAAGGATGATATCCTGGCAAAGCAATCTGATAACCGAAATGTTGCTGATGAGCTAGTTGAGGAGGGACCTAAAACAAAAAATATACTATATATACCACGCATTTAATATATACTACACTATTATTAATGAATATTATTAACAAAGAATATTTTCAAAGTACTTAATAATATTGATATTTTATATAGGTAAAACAGGTTTAACTTACAGCATTTATGTACTGACTAGTTGAATAGCCAATACTGTCGATTTGTGCTGGGATAATAGTCTTCACGTGAGTCCTGGTCACCGGTATTGCACCAGGCCAAGCTACTGCATGGCTAGCTGTGGTGCTCGCCACGGCACATAACAATAATAAAAATACCTAAAACATCACATATCTTTTAAATTTTTTAGAAAAGATATAAATTTTTAGGCTGTCATTGAATTTTTTTAATTTATTCGAAACTAAAAATGTAATAAAAAAAATAATTAAAAAGGAATATCACGACACAGTCACAGTGTTATATAATCATATATCGTACCTTCATGTTGATACTAGTCTGAATACTGAGATGTCTCTACTCGATTTAATCCTGAGACGACTCTTTTATACTTAAACAAGATCACCCACTTACACGCAGACAGAAAGAAACTAGATGCGACACCGAATTTGTATTCAAAAACAGTAGCTTACTCAACGTCGACACTCGTATACACAATATAAAAACAAAATCAGATTAATCACATTTATCCAAATAAAGAGACATATTACTTGTATATTATTAAAGTAATAATAAAAATTTCGTCATTAAGTAACAAAAAGGCGATGAAAACGTAAAATAACATATAATTTCTTAATTTATTATAAATAATTATTGCAATTCTTTGTTGGGATCTCTTCCGACATCGGGTACAAAGAACTCCACTATTTTCTGTTTATATAATGCGATGGCTGCTTTAGGTATGTTGGGATGAAAGGGATGGGAACCGCCTATGTATGCAGCATCCCAAAAATTCTTGAACAACTGCAAGAAAAGCCTCATCTGTTTCACCTTTGGCATTTTAGCGGCTTCCGTGTATTTACCTTTAAGAAAACGAAATATCTTTCAAACCCATTTAAAGGCACATTGTTTAGTTACAAATGTGTTTTGCTTGTCTTTTTATTACTCTAAATACAAAGCTTTTTGTCATTGATTAATAAAAATGGTAATTAACAGAACAATATGAATATTACCGGCTCCACTTTGTCTTTTCACTCGAACTTTATTTGTTCCGTCCATGGCTGATACATTGACTTCTTTTCTTAAAGGTTTTTCTTCCTCCTGATAAATTAATTACAAGGAATACAACCATTTTAAAATCAACTCTTTATATAAACATAATTTCGTTAAAAAAAACTTACTTTTACCGTTCCTACGTCTTCTATTGGAGAAGAAATGGCGAAGGTGTAATAAAGTGTGAAATATAGAAAATAATATATGTGATTGAAACGCATTTTAATTTTCACAAGAAATGCGAGCGATTATTATCTTATAATAATGACAAAGTGCAATGCATTTTCTTTATAAACCAGAAGCAATTGTTTTGTTTGTAGCTATTTATATAAACATAACCATTATTGCATTTTGTAATCCAACGATAAGTCATACGCGAGAATTTTTTATATAAACAATAATAATTTTCATTCGATATTGTAAAAACTTGGTGGTATATACGTTGTGAATATATAAAATTACTAAAAAGACTCTTGAACATTACGTTAAATAACAGTATGAATAGAATTGTTCTCAGTATATATAATAAAAAGATACTAAGGCTTAGGCGAGGTGCCAAATATAACTTGATAATGTAGTACTAAAATAAAGTATTATCAATGTGGCATCCTAGTGGCAATGGCAATTGACAAGGCTGTTCTAGATCTCGCACGATACAGATCACTGACATTTACTACCGGCTTCCCAGCTGACATTTCACTGTGGTATTAATTGCAGAAACGTACTGACCATTAAAATGTACCAACAGTTTACTAAGTCAGCTTACAGGTAAGTTTACATATTTACATTGATATTAATCAATAATATTCTTATTAATATATTTTTTTTATTGATTTCATAAACATTTAATATGCCAGAAGCAAAGGATACTACCTAATGTAGTTACTAATCAAATGTATTAATAATAATTGTCTGGTAATAGAAAGTAGCAAAAATAATTACGTAACAAATTACTCCGATTACAAAATGTCAACAAGAACGTAAAAAAGCTCTAGGAAATAAAAGTCACAAATTAACCAACACTGGCTGATAAAAAAAAAAACGGCTTGTCAATATTTGTACAATTGACTCGTTGGCATTATTAGTGCAATAATAACCTCTTAATTTCAGATACAAAACGAATAAGGCATTGAAATGTATAATATCTAAAACAAATGTTTCATTATAAGTAACTAACATTTGTTATGAATGAGAAATGTCAGGTAAAAGGGTAGCTTGCTTAAACCTGTAGTAATATAATTATATTTTTAGCAAGTCCTCGTCTTTAAATATACCCCCACATACCTATATAAAGGAATCATGGAATTAACATAAACGGACCAGTTTTGCTATTTTTGTACATACATCTAGCAGGAACATTAAGTTATATAGTGAATTTTATTTCAAGGATTTGGTTATCGAAGCCGACTGCTCGGCACAAACACAGGAAATCAAAAAACCAAAAAAAAGAGGTGAGCATAACAAAAGTATTAATCATTATATATTATAAAAGTAATTACTTATTGATCAAAACATTTATTATAAAAATTTGCATATATGTAGTTATTGCATTCGGTTTTAATATACATAATTAAAATCAGCATCGGTATTTTTTATATAATATGTATAGTGTATCTTTTGTGGCTTCCACAAGCCACAATTGGTGCAAGAGCAATTACATACAGTACAGTCAGTAATACACTTCATATAAATACGTTAATATTAATTTTCATATGAACTCGTAATAATCATAAAGACTTTGTTTAAATCGAAAGAGAAATTGTGTAGAATAGAATATTTAGAACATTTTGTTATAAAAGTAAAATGTAGTTTTCAACTCGGAACTATTTAAAAATCCATTCAAGAAAAAGTTTTGAAGGATTTTGAGACAATTGATTAAAGAAAAATCTTAGACTGGATTTTTTAAAATCTCTCGCTGATTCTTCATAGTTCTTTTATAGTGTGCATTATAATCCTTTGTAATTATATTTTTTATTTTAATATATTCAATAATTGTGCTCTCAGAATCACCTATACACGTACGTAATATTTCTTACGAAATTTGATATCTTGAGCTTTGTTCTCACATATTAAATCCAAAAAAAATCGTGTTTAACATTTTTCATGAACCATCTCAAAAGGACAAAAAAAAGTTTGAATTTTATCGTGATTCATTCTTAAATGACTCATGTTTAATCTTTGCTTCTCTCTATAATGTGAATTGTCTGTCATATATTTTCTTCACGAGTGTCTTTCGTAGACTGCTTTTTGATGTGTGACCTAGACAACAGGTCCTATGATCATGGTCTTATCAATACAATCAACGTCACACCTGGATTGCCACGGTAAATTCTTTATCTCAAGTTGATGTTCCACCCCTTTTCAATTCCTTAGAACAGAATGCTACTTTACAATAACATATACATATGTTTGTATACGTATATTTACGAACATAATTTACAGACAATCGTTCTTAAGTAGAACGCTAAATCCTTTTTAGTAATTTTGATTTTATCATTTCACGATAAGTATTTCATTAAGTAAGATACATTCAGTGAATGTATCTTTTGTAACTGTGAACGTTATGTATATAGTAACATTATAGAGACCAAGATCGCAATTTTTTTAAAAATTTTATAGAGATCAAATATGAATACTTCTATGTTCCTTATTAAGACTTAGATCTCTGTATATAAAGGGACCAAAAAGGACTAATACCTATATTTCGGAATATACTACGCATATTTTATTATTTTAAAAATTAAGTACATACGCCCGACGTTTCGTTGAGATGTCAACATCTCGTCTGCTCGTGATCACGGTTGCTGAAAAGTAACCGAAATATTGAGAGTAATTAGTTTTTAAAATAATAAAATTCGCGTAATATAACTCGAAAAACATTAGTTTCATTTAAATGAATACTCGCGAAAGTCTTAGATCCCATTATGTGCTGAAAAGGACTCATGAATTAACAATATTATACAATAAATGTTAATTCTCTGGGACATTCGAGGTGGCAAAATAGATTCGTACAGAGGTCGCACCGCGCGCCTCCCCGCGACGCGACACCCACGCCGTTTGACGCGAGTGCCCCCGTCTAACGTCTAGTCGGCCGCCGGCCGCCGCGGAACACAGAGCTCGTGTATACATCACAGCACTTTGTTTATTTACAACTTGTCATAATTAATTATAGTGTAGACTAGAGGGCAACACTTAGCAACGTAACCACAAACGTACGTCTTCACAGCAGATTTGTGAATTCACGCATACTGTCACGCCATTCATATAGTCATACGAGTTTTAATCCACATTCAAAATATTACTATTTTATTTTCATCGTTATTTTTCTTTGGACACATTCTTGTTATAAAAACCAATATAATTACATTTACATATATAAATGTCTGAATCTAATCCACTTATTTACAATGTACTAGATCGCTCAGTTGCCTCTTTTCCTCTCTATCTTACATGCTATTATTTCACCAATACATTTACTGAATAAAACATGCAAATCTTCGACATAAATATTACATTAAAATTTTAGTTACTACACATGGAATTAAATCTTCATTACTTTCAGTATTTCTTCACTTTTATACGATTTGATTATTGAGTCAAATCCGTCATCACAGACTAATAATACAGAATGGTCATATGATATAATTGAATGTTTATACATAATCCCAGCGTACCGCATGGCGGACGACGCGGGCGACTGTTTGTTCGAGCGGCTCCGACTGCACCAGCAGCGCGCCCCGGACTCGACTGAGGTCGCGCGTGCTATCACAGCTAGAATCAACTCGCGTCTTACATCACACGGTAAAATAACACTCATATTTAATACTTAAAAGAAACTTCCCATTACATTCTTTACTAGAAGTTTTAGTAGTAGTAGTTTTAGCATTAGTTTTTATTCTATATAAAACCATTTTTATATATTGCCAAACATAATAGCATTATGAAATAGCGATCTGATTCTGATGTATATAATAATAATGACGTTAAAAATCTTTGTTTATGAACATGTTTATAGTTTAAACAGCGTTGCAACTTACATAAATCAGAAATCGCATCGTTTAAAACCCAGATCTAGATATTTATACCATCGTCGTCATATGGATCATTAAACCTAAATGTTCGAAATTAGAGCTGGGACACAAACATTGGACTGGTTCTAAGAAGACTTGACTTAATAATTAATAGAATAGCTTTAGATATCATACATGTTATCAGGTTTTTGTCATTGTGGTTTCATCACACACAAAATTATGCTGCACTAATGATTCTCAAAAATGTGTGTACTCATTTTTCAATAGATATTGTAACTATATAAAACATATAGACATATCGCTTTTGTACGTCTACAATCAAGAGAATAACATCATTTAAATTATTATCCTAAAATGTAGATATACAAAGGTATTATCTAGTTTAAAACGAAGTTCACTAAAAGCTTACAGAGTAACATTTGTATAAATACATTGAATTTCCATTACAACCATGTAAATTATCTGACGCTCTGCCCTGACATCAATGGAATGAACATTAAATAAAAGATTTACTAGGGCTAGTAGCTCTTATCAATACGTATTTATTGTTTCTGTCTAAATACCTATTCTTAGTCCTTATATATTACACAATTTCTACGGCATCATTATCATGTAATAAATTATTATAAATGAATGCGTTCCAGAAATTTAATGAACTCGTGAAATTTGTGTATACAAATATACATTTATAGGTAAATTATGAATATTTTCAAACATACAAAGAGCGTTTAAATTTTTTTTGAACTCAATTCTCTGCATGTATGTAAGTCTTTCGATGTTATTTGTTTTGTCTATTATAAATTTTGAAAAAGACATCAAACAAAATGACGAGAATAAAATCCACAACTAGCCTGAAAATCGCAGTATAATATTTACTTTACCCACTTACATTACAAATGATCTCAGATTTCATCTTCGTTTTATTTAGGGTTCCAATAATTTTTCGTGGTTTTTTTTTAGATCCATGCTCGAAATATATATTTATAATCTGTATACATATAATAAATATAGACAAAACTTTTTTAACACCAAAAAAATTGTAAATTTTTGAGGTAATTCTAATGTAAATGAGATATAAATCTGTGGCAGTTTCTTGGTATATTGTCAACGAAATGCCACAACGTAAGAACCTTATAGATTAATGACAGAACACATATTGTTTTAGTGTGCTAAGAGAAATTTTGATATATCGTCTCCATGGGGAAAATGACGTGCGTTAATATTTTTTATAACTGGCAAACAGCCAGAACTGAAGATATCTTTCATTAAACATAACGGTAGTGTTAATTGAGGTACACGAACGACGACTAATCGCGCTTAGGTATTTTGAAGATTTAACATATTGGTGCCAAATTAGTGATGTGTAGGATGAGATTGATAGAAAAGATACACAAATTACAGCAAAATTATTACACATACATTATATCCTAATAGTATTATATCTTATAGTTCTTATACATATGAAAAACAATACAAAATCCCCGAGGATATTTGTGCGTCGGCCTCCAGACCAGACATATTTATGTATACGCGAATTTTAAAGCCCGTTGTGGTTATATAACTTACGGTTCTTTGGGAAACCAACATCCCTAAAGACCACATCATCAAGGTCAATAAATATTACGAGCTCACTAACGAACTCACTCGAAATAGGTTCGTCGTGAATTTAGACGCGGAAGAACGGCTAAATCTTTCTACAACCTACAAAAGACTTGGGCCTGTCAATAACTCACATCAATTCATTCTTGGAACGCACTTTCAACCTTTACAAATGGAGTGTTAGTAAAAAAAATTATATGATCATGGAAAATTATTCTTTTTAAGAGCTTCCGCTGCGAACATGAAGTGACGCATTAAAGCTACCTTAGTGACATATTTGACATTACAATAATTTCCAAGCCTTATACAAACAAAGTAAGAGGAAAAGTTTACATAAACATATATATTTTCAAACAGACAGTATAGACAGACTTTTCCGTTCTTAACACCGATTCATTATCAAAAAAATAGTTTAATTCAGTTTTTTTGATATCCTAAAAAAATTATAATAAATATTAATTCCAGTTCTTCCATACAAATTTATAACATTAACTTGATATAAAACAATTCTTCATTAAACTTTAACTGTTTACGTAAAATTCTTTCTTTCAAATGGATCCCATTCCGTAGCTCGAACTAGTTACAAAGTTACTTAAACCATTAGTCCCTTTGAAGGAACAACGTGATCGCGTGTTCTGCTGTTGTTTATAACTTTGAACAGTCTGGATAACACCAATAATTTTGGAGGCTTTAGACAATAATTGCTTTGCCAACAAAGTAATGAATAGCTACGTAATCATTTCGTTTTCTTATTATCAAAAATTAGTAAGGAACTTTGATAGAAAAAAATTGATTAAAAATGTTTGAAATTTAACTGGCTAATTAGTGAAATAATACGTGTTATACTGTAGCCTGTTATAATCACAAATTATACAAGAGATCAAAGCCGAATGGTTTTTAATTTACATATTCATCTATCTATTTACCTTTCCTTAAGCCTACTAAAGCATTTTTTGTAAGACCATTATCATAAACATCCGATCTTTAAGGACCTCTACTAAATCTCTCTTTAAACTTCAGTAGCCAAAAGAGTGTCTTGTAAAAAAGTTTTATATGTATTCCTTTTTATTTCTTACGTGAACAGCCGACGATTAAATACTTTATATCCGTTGAAAAGGTTTGACGTTTGATGTGATTTTATGAACATTAAAATATTAATATAAATACTTTGAAGTGGTTAAAAATCGAGCAAAGATTAATAAAGAGTTTCATTTAGAATAGATGTCAAAAACGTCTATTAAAGTTATCAAAAGAAATAAACACCATGACATCTTGTTAGTATTTCCATTATATGTAGAGACCCCTGCAATACTATTTTTGAAAACATAATTGCAGTAGAATAGCGTGTAAAAAATAAATAAAAAATCAGCCGACCACCCTTGCAACTTTCGTGCCGCATCTCCAAGTGTTACCATTAATTTGTACTATCGGAAATATCCCATTACTCGTATATTACAATGAGTACCGGTTGTGCCATGGTCTTGCTAAACCTAGATTTGGAGCTGGGTCAATGTTCTTGAATCTAGAGTAATAGTTCGATTTATTGAATGGATAGCCGTTCGTCTGAAATTAAAATTAGGCTTCAATTTGCCGCTTTTGAACTACTAATTTCACTTCTTGTTTAAACTTGGCTGTTTCTTCGTTTATATATTTCTTTCATCTGCAAGTTTGTTGACAATTTAAATCTTGATTGGTGTCATTACTTAAGATTATTTGGCCTGAAATGAGATGTCAGAGATAATTGTGTCCTTAAGATTTATTGACACAAATGTTAAAAAACTTCTATATATAAAAGTCTTGACCTTAGTCTCGCTAAAAGTTATTATTATTTATTTCTTTTTCGTGGAGGTTCATATTTTTTAAAAGTTGAAAAAAAGATGATAAATTTGAAAACATAAAACAGCTCTTTTTAGCATACAAAGCGTTCTTTGATTTGTCAGTGGTAAGTCATTGTCACAATACTGTGTGCGATCACTTTCCAATGTAGGTCCAATATCGATACCATAAATCAAAATAAAATAAAAAATAAATTTTGCATTTTGTATTGTATTAAAAAATACATTAATGCTTTAACTAAAACAACTGCTGTCGCCCATAATACATTTTTGAGTGGAATTCAACTGCAATTTAAGTCAAGGTAGATGTACCTAATGAATATTTATCAGGATGAGGTCGGTGAAGACAAATGCAGTAAGGAAAGCAATAAAAAAGTCTTATGTTTAAATCTAGATATCTACATTAGAGCATCGTTGTAAAACAAAACATCTTTTTCAGTGTTTATAAATTTACATGAATCAGAAATGCGATGTTGTATAAAATATGACTTACGTAAATTAACTGTGGGTGCTTCATACTGAACATATATAAGATAATAAACTGAAATTAATCAAAGCCATATATGAAAACAATTTAATTACATTTTTTTTTATATTCTGTGTGCGGTGTATAATCTGTTGTAGTAGTATTGAAATGGCGGCGCGGCTTTAGTCGATTTATTGTTTATGACTAAATCGTTACAGTGTTATTCCAAGAGTAATGTTTCAATTCTTGGTTTCGTCTGTAAATTCGTCTACACGTATGTAATATACATAATCTTTGTATAACTTGAGCTCATCTTTCTTCCAAAGAAGACCGACAGTAAAATTTAACCAAATTAAAATACAAATTTTAAAACCATTCTTGTATTCACTACGTAAACAAAATTTCATTACATTTATTTATAATAAACACACATTCGGGATGATCAAAGTTATATATATATGAAATGGTAAACACATTTTATGTAGATATGTAAAATATAAGAAATTTATTGTAATTGTGGCATCACTTATCACTATTGCTTATTACAAAAGCTAACAAGAGTCTTGATGGAATAAAACTCATGAAAATTTACGTAAATCTCAAACATAACAAATTGGTTTCAGCTGAGATGTTACAAGCTTATGATATTTATAGGAAATGAGAGTATTACAAAATTATAGACGCTTAAATCTCGCTCACCATCCGTTAAACGAAACCGTTAATTTTTAAAATGTAAGCACTATTTATAACCTCCTGAAATTATAGCAACACATTGTTAGATAATGCGACCCATTATTTTTAGATTTTTGATATAACTGTTTTCAAAATAAATCTATTAAACGCTATAAAAATAAGGGCACAAGAATAATATTTAAAAAATTGACTCTGTAAAAGTATAGCAATAATAATCTTAGTGTCTTAATTACAACTTATTAATAAAATTCGTCATTTCCATTGCCGTGTTTGGATGAAATATCAGTTGATATGTCTGAATGATATTTATTTGTGTTATTGTATACAATAAAAAAGCTGTTTCAGTAGTTTTGGCATCAGCTCAGTAGTATTACAGCTCTGTGCGATCGAAAGCGACCGGTGGCAGCGATTCATCAAACTCACTTGATTTATTACCACTCGGATAAACACTCGTAATAACAACATGATTTTTGTTTTCGTAGGATGTATTCGATTTCTTTCTTTTCTACCATTAAAAAAAGATTTTATAAGTATTACTAAAAATAATATGTATAAGCAAACGAAATATGTGTTACAAACGGTGCATAGTTATATTGAATTCTATGCAATCTCCGTCACACGTTTGGTATTCATTGCGGGGCTAACGTTGAAGAAATTTTATTTTGGGCTTCAGAATTTTAATTGCGAATATATTTTGCAACAAATACATCCAACTTGCAGACATTAATGTTGCCAACGATGTCTAGCCCGGGTTTTAGCTGATATTGTTCGAGAAGTAAATCCGAAGTTGTAAATTTTGGGGTAATTTTTTACAGTACACTAATATTATAAATCCTTTTCTAAGACCGCCTTAATGAAGGGTTCAATACTGGAACGCAACAAAATAAGTTGAAGATTATAATCAATGAAGTATATATGTCGCTGAAATAAAAGTTATATAGTAAATTAAACGTCACATTATACGCTTTAAATTGTTGTTTGTTAGCTACTATCGCAACAGAACCCCGGATAGCGATGACGTCACACGAATGCCCCCACTGGCGCGACGCCAGCACCTTCGAGACGGCCTGTCATTATTGTTATCGTGCAAAGAAACGAAGAAAGACATTGTATATATATATCACTCTAAATGGCTTAAGAGTTAAGACCCTGATATGAGGGAGACAATAAGACAAAAGTAATAATTTAACATAAATTTAAAGTAGACGTGAACTTTAAAAATGGTAAGGTTGACGACAATCACATATGAAAATAAAAATATTTTTTGCACAACAGGGACTGTCTTGTAACGGTGTAATTTATATGCAATAAGTTTTATAATGTTGCCAAAATAATAGTACACATAAAACTATTAGTTGTTGTAATGATTTAGGACAGGCTTTAGGTGTTAACTATAAATAGGTTGATGTTAAAACGAATGAACCATAATTAACGTAGGGTACTTATGGATTTTTATTTTACGGAAGCCATACTTAAAGCCGAAACAAGGTTATCTTCTTACTTATAAATTTTATAATAAACAACGTATTAACTGCCAATTTTATGGGTACAACTTGTGATTTTTTTACAGATAAACACATCCGTCAGAGCACTCTTGATAAACTATGGAACAAGCAAACTGGTGCGATACAAATGCTTCTATCTATATTAGAGGTAATTTATATTAAAACTGTGTATAATATTTGATTATTCTATAATTTATTTTAGTGTATGACCTCTTCTAAGTAGTATGCTCTAAATACATTTATATCTTACACATGCATATATGTATATTTTAAATATGACTTAGTGTTTAATAAATGTTCGTGGAGTTTTCTTATTTAGAGTAAAGTTAAAGGGTTGTAAAAAAATAACATTCTAATGAAAACTCCGTAATATGTGACTACTTGAAAGATTTTTTTTAATATACTTCAGAAAAAATTCTCGTGTAAATCATATTTATAATATAAAAACTATAAAAGTTTAATCTTTTATGCAAAGGTAAATCTATTTTTAGCCTTATTAAGTTATTCGTTTTTAATATGTTAAATAAATACATGTATATATGTAATGAAACTTTGGACAACATATACTGGGCCCAAAAAATGAATTATATTACTTAAAAAGAAAATTAAATGTATTATGTAAACTTTAAATATTACGAAAACATGAAAAAATTTTTTTGTTACAGAATTCAAGAGATACGGCGACATCAACCTATATAACATCAATATTTAGAGAAGCTCTCTGTCTTAAACAAGGAAAAGGAAAGAAATGTTCAGGTAATTGACAATTATACCTTTTAGAAACAATCGTAGACATGTTGCTAGACTTCTTATTATTTAATAATTAGTAGCGAACGAACCCTTGGGGCCGAAAAAGAAGGAAATGAAAAAAGGCAAAGAAAATAAAACACCATTGAATAAAAAGGGTATGTGGAGAGTGACGCTTCGAATGCAGTTTTCAGTTAACACGCTTGCGAAAATTTGAAAATTAACCCTTTTTAACCCTGTTTAACTCTTTTTAATTAACATAAGTAATATTCAGGCACGGGCTTTCAACACAAGTATGTAGTTTAAATCGAATATGTCGCAATCGCACGTCAAAGAAAACCAGATACCCTTTCTCCTATCCATAAAACACCCACTGACATTTGAATTACTAAGACATTGAACATTTAAAACATGACCTCGTCTATTGTAACATTTCAAAAGACCGCATGTGTATTTCGTAATCATATTTGATTAATTGAAATTCGAGCCTCGTATAGAGAGATCAAAGAATATGTCACCGTTAACCGCTCCTGTCGTCCTATTGTGTCAAGGATATCTGTTAAAGCTCACCGTATCTTGTCTCAGTTTATTGCACTGTTACAACTAAATACGAAAACACCTGTTGCTGGAAATATATGATGATGAATCATTTCAGCAAACAACGTAGCGAGACAGCAGTGCTCACAACAATTCATCTCCCTAAACGGCACGCAAGCGGTGATACGTACACTACTTGCCACACATAGCAAACGCGACAGCAATGTTAGCACGGAACTAATGCTACAAGACCTCGTCTGGATACTTGCAGCACTTGCTCCAAGAGGTACGGACCCTTACATAATAGTTTTGTTGAATTCCAGCGAACAACATACAACGACAGCAATGTGCGCAGGATTTTGTGGAAATGAAAGGGACACAGGCCATCATTAGACGAGTGATATCAACGGTCCATGATAAGAGAGAGCATCACGCTGGGACGGAATTAGTATTAAATGATCTGGTGTGGATCCTTGCTCCGTTGGGGTCGAAAGGTTCTATTTTTCAAAGTTAAATGTATATGACGGAATAAAGATATTAGAGAAATGTAAAATATTATTGTCTGAAATCATCACATAACATATATTTTTAAATTTCAGATCCAAAATTTGCAATGAAGGTGAGAATGTTGGGTTGCGTTAGGACCATGCATCTGATTTTGAAAGGACATTTCACTGACAATAAGTTGATATTTCCACTATTGGTCATCATGAAACAGCTAGCCAAAAATTGTGAGAATCTTTTTATTAAATTTACCGTAATGTCACTAAAGCTACTGATGATTTTAGTGGTTGTTTATGTTATTTCTTACAGCCGTAACAACTTCCATTTTAATACGTGACGGAGTCATCGCTACTTATGATCGAGTGTTGATAAGTCTAGGCTTCATTCCTACGGCGAGACTGAGACTCTGTTTAGACGCTATAGACTACTTTAGCAAAAACAGTTAAGTTATTTACAAAATATTTTAGTCCGAAACCCAAAAATTCCAAATTTTTATACCAATATAACACTTTTGTTATTTATTTATCTTTTTGGAAAATATTTAAAACTGTTATAAACGAAATATTTATTTATACTCCTTATTATATTACTATAACACACCGGCAGTATTAATTTTTCTTGAGTATAAACTTAAAGATACGCATTCGTGTTGAGGCTAACGATTGAAACTAGTATAATTGTATGAAGCACCAAAATCACATTAGCACGTTACCAAGTACTATGCGTACGTTCACTCTATGGAACTCATACAGAGGTGTGCTGCATGCAGATTGTGAAGACAGGGCTGTGTGGCGTGCTTATACGAGTGTTCGACCGCTGGGACCGCTACGAGGGGCGCATGAGGCTCAAGATATGCGCACACATACTCCAGACGTTACAGCACCTCTGCAACATCAGTATGTTTAATACCAAACACAGAAAATTAATTTATTATATGAATGAAATATCCACTGTAATTTGAATGTTATCTCATGCATACGACCCTCGTTTCACTGCAGTTTTTTATTTCTGTGTCTAATTACGTAATTCAAGTCGTATTATTTTTCTTTTTATTTATTGTATTGCGCTATTCAATATTTAATTCAGAGAGAAAATGTAATGATTATTATAGAGGCTGGACGTCGTGCTCTCTGCACCAAGAAGCACGTGCAGACCCTCCACAGATTCTGCTCTCAGTGTCCAGATGAAATCGAGTTCGACGGACTGTTGGCGAGAGTGTGTTCTGTCATAACATTGTGTCTCAAGCATCAGGCACTACCAGTGCCATCATCTAGTCCAGCTACCTTCAACCTCAACCCTATACTTAAAGGTCACTGATTTAATATCATGATAACACTTAAAAATTGTTAAAGTTCTTTTTTAGTTCATTAATTGAATGTCTCTCTTTTATTTTAGCATTTGTCTTTGTTATCACGATAAAATTAATTTATTGATTTTAATAGAGTTTTATACTTTTTACGAAATACATAGATAGATATATTTTAATCATTGCTTTTCTTAAAGTTCACGTGCACTATAATTTAAATTTAGACAATAACCTATAGTAAAAAAGTAAATTGTTAGTAATATCAGTGGAAAAATAGTAAAAAGTAATCATTTACTTTACAGGAACGAATGCCACATGGCCATGTCATGAAGATGATGATGACGGCGGAAACTCAGACTCGAAGACAATCAATTCGGATTTAGAAGACGACGCTCCTGACAGTGATAACGAGGCCATTGATGACTTCCCAGATATTGATTTCGAAGATAATGACTTAAAAAACAATGAAGACTTGGAGAAATCACATACAAAAAGTGGAGAGAGCATACAAAGTGCACTGTGGATAAATCCCAATGAGAGAGATATCGAAGACTTAAAAAGGTTTTGTACGATGCCGTAACCCTTACAATCAAGTTTAAAGTGTCTTATGCTTATAAATTTTACAGATACTATATTTTCTTCAAGGAGTTCGGTTCCTATAACAAGCAAATAAGGCTGGTAAAAAGTCGATCCAACTCCCGGGGGTCCATACTCGATGATATTTTTATATCTCAAAATAGCGCCAACCGAAGCCAGCCGTCGCCAACAAATCTTTCTCTAACAGCAGTACTAGGGAACACTGACTACGACAACGCTTTAGGATCATCTCAAACGCTTTCATTCTTGCAAGGATATCATAAGATACATGAAAGCACTTGTGAGTACCAATCCATTATAATAACTATAGAAAATACGTAAATATAAGGTTTTTTATTATATATTACAGCGACAACATCTTGTTCTTCCTTAAAAATCCACAAAGATATATCAAAATACAGTCCGCTCGAGTCAATTTATTCAATAATATCATCGAGAGTTAAAAGCATCATTCCATTTGTAAAAGTTGCCTACCCAGATATGACAGGCGGGCAGGGTACTACACAACCAGAGCCATTAAATAAAATGGAGAGAACAGCTTGCAGGTATTATAAATAGTATTCGTATAAGAACATCGTATATAATGTATGTTTTTACTTATTTCATAATGAAAAGAATTATTTTATTGAAGGAATAAATTACTCGCTTGCGTCGAGAGGGCAATTAATCCGGAGGCTTATATGAATGAAGTTGTGTATGATTTGGATGCTTTGAACTGTTCTAGTGCAAACGCAGACACGACTTCGCAGAAAAGGTAAATAATAAATATCAATTTTGTATAATAATTTCTTTTGTATTAAAAGAATTTCATTCGACGAGTGAAAATAAAGAATATCTTCCAGTTTAAGCAACGAGAGTTTATTTTTAATTAACATGGACGAACAGGAAATAACAAAAGTCAATAGTTTTTCATCGAGACTAAATTTTGAATCGAGATTCGAGTCGGGAAATTTAAGAAAAGCTATACAGGTAAGTAGATCAGTTTTTTGTTCATACTAAAGAAAATATACGAATGTATATTTAAAATTCATATTAGTCTCATTAAAAACTATTATTTTTTTCAATATAATATTTTTACTTTTTAGGTAGGCCCAAGGGAATACGAATTAATTTTAATGCCAGACGTAAATTCTCCAAAACGGCATCAGTGGTTTTACTTCGAAGTGCGTAATATGCAACAGGGACGGCCCTATATCTTTAATATAGTGAATTGTGAGAAATCAGATAGTCAATTCAACTTCGGCATGAAGCCTGTTATGTATTCCGTGAAGGAGGCTGTCCTTGGAAGACCCGGTAATTTTATGCGATTTTATCACATTAATATACATTTATTTTTTAACAACATGATCTACTTAAATAAACAGCACGTAATTTAAGTAATAGCGGACGAGGCTATAATATTGAAACATCAAACAAATGACTTAACTATGGACTTTTTATAACTATCCGTATCAAGTTAATGAGATTGTAATAAATTGTTAACAAGATTTTATATATTTTACATCTTCTTTTAGCAATGTTTTGCTTTATCGTTAAATAAAATATCACTATGGCTGTAAAAATGTATATTAATCGTATCTTTCTGTGGTCTAGGATGGGTGAGAGCAGGTTCTGATATTTGCTACTACAGGAACAGTTACCACTACTCCAATCAAAGAAACAATAAATGCTATCTAACAGTTACTTTCAACATCGACTTTCCTCATACAAACGACGTCTGTTACCTCGCTTACCATTTCCCATTCACTTACTCCATGATGATGGTAAGTTAAATTTTCATTTCATTTTTATATAAACTACAACATATAATTATATTCTTTTATTATAATTTCAGACTAGAATCTTCCAATGGAGTTCTCAACTGCCCCTGGCGCTTATCTAAGAGCTGAACCCTTGTGTTATACACTAAATAACAACGAAGTTCCCCTGTTGACTATATCAGCTGATGATACTCCGTCCAATCCTATAGTTGTATGTATATATTTTAATTTATTTAGTAAAATAAATTCCCTTATCTTTGTTGATATTGAAAACTAATACTATTTTGTATGGTTTGTTTGTTCTTAAAATTAAATGGGTTTGATTCCACCAGCCTTTTAAATAAGTGTACTAATAAGATTTTCTGTTTTCGCTGTTCGTGAAATAAAAATAGCCCGTTTTATTCCATATTCAGAGTTTGAAATGACAAATTTTATTTTTATTGATTCCATTCTTTCTATGTAATTGAATGATACATATGAACTCTAATTTCATATATAGAAAAGAGTAATAATCGAAAAAATTATCAAGCATTTTAAGTACGCACGCGTGTGTGTGTGTTTATAATTTAATCTGTAGGGTGTTCACACGATGCGTTCAATGATGATTTTAGTATACTTTGCTTAGAAGTTCACTCTTTACTTTTAGCCACTTTTATATTAATTGCTATTACTATGTCCATTGTTACTATATACATATATCGAATGTGTAAATAAAACTTTCCCTGAAGTCAATGCTAAGGTTATCTTGTTATTTTAGCAACTATAACTGAATGAACTATAGAAATATGTAACTTCATACTAAGCATTTAAATGCAATGTACAATTTTTTTATATTGATTTACCGTATCTATAATTTTATTTTACATTATTCATATATGCTTTATGAATAATGTAAAATAATTTTACTTTAAATTGGTCATATATATTTGCCCATAGAAAAAACAGGTGAATTATATAATGAGATTGAATTCAACAGGATAGAGAGATAGTATTCTTGACGGCTCGTGTTCACCCTGGAGAAAGTAACGCGTCGTGGGTAATGGATGGAACACTACGTTGCCTGCTAGCAGATACTTCATCAGCAGCGGCACTTCGTAACAAGTATGTCTTCAAAATCGTGCCGATGCTCAACGTCGAAGGTGTTATTAACGGCTGGTGAGTTTTTATTATAAGTATTTTATTAAGCTTTTTACATATTTAAATGAAACTAATATTTTCGGATTTGACTACTCGATTTTTATTTTTGATTTTAAACTACATACTCCCGAGTTCCGACGTTTCGGTTACTTTACAGCAACCGTGATCACAGGCAGACGAGATGTTACATATTAGATATTTTCTTATTCAATACTTTTTCTGGTAGATGGCGTTTTTTTTGGGTGTATTAAAGTTTCTTTCACATAACATTAAAAAACATGTTTCTTTTAAAATATTTATTTTTAATTTCGTTTTTATTGTGCATGGTTATGTCTAATTGATTTGGTAATGAAAAACTGCATTTTTTTGTAATTTAATTTATTTCCTTCACTTACATCACCGTTTCTTAAATTCTTGAGTTTCAACTTATAATACTTAACTATGACGTCATTAATATAAACACTATCTTAAACTTATACGAAAATAATAAATGATATGTCCAGACATACGAAATCAAGGAATTTTCTTAATTTAATTAATATATAACCGTAAATATGTAGATACCGGAGATCGGACAAATGTACTAAAATTATTTTAGCGAAGGTTAGGTTCATGTATATTTTATAGAAAAGTTATTGCAACCTTCCATCTGGAAGACGGAGGCAAGTCGTGAAACGAGTCGCCAGCACCTTCAACACTATACATTATTGCCCGAAATTAACCCTGAATATCCCACCCATTTTATCAAGCATACAAATACGACTTAACTACATAAATGTCATTTACATCGATGTAATAAAGACTGACGAAGCGATATCACCCTCAAAAGCAAGCACTTAGTCTTAATGTTTTACATACAACATTTGAATAATACTTTTGGTAGTTGATAAATCTAAACGAAGCTTATCATATATGTGGGCCGCGAGTCGGACGCTAGTAGGCGGGGGGTGCCAACATGCCGCTGGCGTGGACGGAGTGCTCTGTGGCGTCCGGCTCCACGGTGGACGGAGCATCCTCGACGGACAGCTCCCGGGCCTCGTGGGTGAGATACGCAGCGGGGTCATCGCCCGCCATTCCCTCGTCGGCCTCGTAAGGACCCTGAGTTGTGTCCTCTTTCTGTTCGGGCTCCTTCACCTCCTTCGAGTGGGCATCGGAAGCCCGCGAGTAGTGGGAGTCGATCTGAGGTGGGGATTTCAATAGTGCTCCGGTCTTGAGGTGAGGTGACTGGAGGCCGTCGAGGGATGATGGTCGCAGCTTGCCGATGAGGTCGTTAAGAGTGAAGTGTGTCGGGAGGTGTTCGGAGCGTGGTGGTGGCGGCGACGACGAGGTCAGCGGGTGGGCCGTCGTCGTTGTCGTCATCGATAGCGGTTTCCTGCCAAACCAAATAAAATCGACCCTCATATTAGAGAGCCGTTCAACGGATGCCCGTGCTTGACGCTAGATATGTACCATATAAAACGTTTACAGGCAATTTCTTACAATTAAAATATGATTATATATTGCTAGAGATACCAAGCAAAGCCCCCTTCACCCACCCACCAAATACTTTGTTAATTTTGTAATTTGCTTTCTACATAATTAATCTAAGACATTACAAAATTTTATATGTAAGTAAAATTTTGCACCAAGTCCGCTGGGTGTAGGGCTATTGTTTGGTGGTTGGGTTTGCGCAGAGACCTTATCCCGCGGGCCCGCGCGCTTCTAATGTTTTGTAATAAGTATTTAAATTGAATATATAATATGTTAATCATAACAATTATGACAAAAACTAATAGCTACACACCCACTATACTATGTTAAAGATGTCGTCGTACGGACACATTTGTTAAGAGAAAGGAAAAATTACAATACATTAAATATGAAACAAGTAGAGTGCGCGCGGCTAATCGGGGAGCGGGCCTCCGGAGACGGCTGGCATCTCACCTGCATTACCCCTGCGCCGAGGAGACTGGGATGGAACCGTAGTTGTAGTAGTAGCAGCGAGTCTGCTCGCAGATAAAGTCCTTGATCTCTCCGCAGTGCTGCGGCTCCCAATGGAAGGACGGCGCCTTGAGGGCTACGCAGCCATTTGTCATCACATGCTCGGTCCTAGAAAACAGACTATTTTTTATGCAAAACAATCCTTTTTACTTTCAATAAGTCCACCAAAGACTCTTAACTTCTCCTCTTTACCATTCAATATGGACAGTAATATCTACTTTCCAATATCTAGTTTAATATGGAAAGTTTTATCTACGTACCCATGCCTGGCGGTGCGTTGAGGGGCAGTGCTTCCCTGGGGCATATCTAATGGGTCCATGCTATCGTCATCGTGGTGGTTGGGTTGATCCATTGTCACTCGTCTCATGTAGTTAAATGTCGCGTTGAATGGCAAACCGGTACTCATCCACAAGTACATGTCAGTGCCGAGGTTGTTACCGGATGTCCAGAAGTCATACTTGTTGTAGCCTAAATGGAATCGAAATAGAATCCAAATTAATAATATCTATTAACATAAATTTTTCTTTTCTATCATCTATTGAAGTCCAAAGAAATTATAATAGCATAATGAGCTGAAATCTTTACCTGCGTTTGTTAGATATGTAGTAATTGAATCCGCCTTTTCCTTGGTTTCAAATGACGCTAGCTGCAGTCCCAGAGACCTTTAAGATATTTATTTTTTTTTATTAATCATAATAAAATGGATTTATTTGAATTTTATTTTTAAAATATGTATGTATAATTGAAAAAAAAAACGAACGTGATTCTTAAATGTATATAATATACGTTAATATATTTTTTAATTTTCACCAATTTATTATCATTATTTAAAATATTTTTAAAATCAATTTGTAATATTTTTTCACTATAAACGTAAATATAAATATTATATAAAGAGACATATATTATATACGGCAACGAGTATGAGTCACGAGCTAAATATAAATTAACACCTATCAATTGAAAGTAAAAACCTCAATAACAATTATAAAGAAATTGTTATTTAAAAGAACAACACTAGAAATAATAACAAAAAAAAAGTTTACTAGAAGATAGTATCGTTGCTTATGGATATGTTAGTCGGACGCTTTAATCTTTTGATTCTACAACCGAGTAGTAACTTGCCTCTCCGGAACTTTAAGTACGATTTTAGCTAACCACTAGCCATTGGTATGATACGATATCTCAAGCCAGAACTACATCGCAAAGCCAGTTTATCGGGCTGCAATTTACCCGCTAAACACTCGATTTGGCCTTGCAGGACCAGTCCACATTCCAGGCGTACTCGGCGATTCAAGGGAGATTAAAAACTCCTAAGTCCCGTACAGCACTCCCGTATTTAGTTACATTTTTATGGCCGGATCACGTCTCGCCGAGATTAGAATCCCGATTATAATTTCCTTGAGAGCATGTTTTATGGTATAAGGTAAAAAAGCTTCTGGGAAAGCTTGGGAAGTTATAATAAAAAAACTTTATATCGCCGACGTACAAAACATATTAACATGTAATTTTTATAAACAAATATTCTACTACTATATTTCTCTGTCGTAAAATGTGTCCTCACTGACAAAGTATACTTAAATTGAATTAAGTATACAGTACATTCTACTTAACCTACTTGTAGCATTTTTATCCACTACGCTATCTTCGTCACATATTTTAGCACCATAACCGATTTTGCAAAGTTTTTTTATTCAATCTCATTAAAATTCATAATATATTGAACGTCCTATGAAATTATTTCCGTGAAATCGTCGAAATGAATTTTAATACACAAAAATGTTTTTTTTGACTTTCAAAATAATACCAAAATTTCAAGCGAGATATAAAACTGTTACATTTATGTAAAATACTTTATATTACACGTGCAGCCGGGTTTTATTGCCATAAAAATTGCGGTCTTTACCGTTACACAATTTGTTATCTTGACAAAAGTAACTGCATCAGTACGACAGGCAGTTTTGCATTAGCCACGCTAAGGAGTCACTCACGAAGCATGACACTCCGTCACGGTACTTGTCAGTGTGTACCAAATTACCTTATCGATACACCTACATGATACATTTCTTGGAAATCATATCGTAATAATGTTTTTGAAAGAACGTCAGATCAAATGTAAAACTAAAACGTAAATGTGGGTCGTGACAAACCCTCAATAAGAGGACATCGTGACCACGAACCGGGGCGAGTGACCCTTTAGTTGTTAAAGCGTGCCCGTGTTAGAATCAAGTTCGCTGAATGCTCATTAAATCACTTCCCATTCCGAAGAAGCCACTTGGATCGTATAAAAGCATTTCTAAAATCTAACCCTGCCCTTTTAACCCCATGAATAAAACGTTGAACATTCTGCATTGCAAAAAAGCGAATGCAATTGAAAAATTCTTTGTAAACTGCATAAAATTTTTGCTATTGTGACTGAACATAGGTTTGTAACTTAGGAACCGTGGGAGCGACAGCGCCATAAAACCTAGGTCCATTGTGCGTATATAACGTGGGGAATGGCTTGCGGAAGTGACTAAACTTTAAGGTACCGATATTGTTCTCAAGGTTTCCCAGAAACACTAACGGTAATGCAAATGTCCTGAGTCTTCCTGGTTAGTGGTTACTTTGAAGCGTACACAACACTGCTTGTTAACGCCCGCAATAGCGTTGTTATAGTGGGACAAGAGGTAAGATAAGACGCATAAGCTCTCTCAGTCACGACGTAACCATAATATCCAGTAAATGCACAAAGAGAAATATGATACGACTTGAACTGATCTACGGGGAGTGTCATTGTTAAGCACTTGATGGCCGGTTTGATACGCTGTTATGTTAGCATTGAGAAATGTTCTTACCTGCAATACTGATAAGCGAGGAAATAATTTAGTTCGGGGCTGTAGGGGTTCATTCTTGATATAAAATACTGCACTCCGTCCAGTTGAATCGTTGTGATCCTTTGGGCTGTAAAAGAATTATATCACATAAATACTTTTACTAGTAATTGAAGTTAAATTATTAACAATTAAATGTATGGCATTTAAGAAATGCTTCTGGGAAATATAATATGAAATGGAAATAAAAATTGCAAAATTTCCTTATTATTTTTTTACAAATAAAATAACATTTAAGTCTGCGTAATTTTTCATCGTGGTATAATATTCATTAAAAAAAACTCTGAAACTTAAATGCTTTCAGTGCAGCATCAAAATGCTGTAACCGCAAGTTTTTGTTGCATTTATTTAAAGCTTAAGTTCATAAAGTGGTTAACAGACATTATAATGTTACATTATTTTCAAAGTGCTCTCAGGATACCATAACCAACTCTTGTGGAAAGACAACCCCGTTTTTAAAACAACAAATATTTTAATCAACAAATTAAAAGATATGGCAACTCTCGTTGATTTGAGTCCACTTCCAACTTCCAAGGGAAATGGTTTCATAATCTTTAGTTTTATTTTCATACAAAAGCTCGTATTATTCTCTATAGGTATCAATAAATTAATTTAATGTATCCTGTCTATCAGATGAACACGGGATACCTCGCATCCGCCTAATTTGCATACCTCGGGATTGCAATCATTATTACTGATAAATGGTCTCCATAGTACTTTGATGTATAACATAGATTGCATAACGAATAACTGTTTCTAAATTAACATTAGCCATTTAGATTTTCAATACACGATTCCAATTTAACAATCTCATTCGTAGCTCCTATATTAAATCATGTGGCTTTGTGATGTATACAATTGCATAATTAATAGACCGAGTCCCGACCAGGTTTTACTTATGTACAGAACCCCTTCGGAATTCATGCATAATGCAATCTCATATGTAATTCAATATCTCGTTGTTAAGTATATGTTTTTCTTACTTCACCGCCGACGTTTCCTTTAAGTCCGAAATGTTTTTGTGTCTCATACTTTAAAGGTTTTGAGACGATAACGTGTTTTCTCGTATTCTAAGAATATATACATCTGCTAATGATCGTAAAATATAGTTCTCGCGAATATAGTTCTGATTCGATTCGAGTTCGTATGATAAAAAATAGATTATGGTTCATTAAATGCGAAGTCGGTTGCGGTGATGGAGCTCATTTTGTAATGACGGATGGTGTGTTGGATGATACTGGTTTTGACGTACGAGGGGAGTGTGGATCGAGGAGGCGGGTCACGTCGTCAGACGTTTATAGAATAATGATGCGATGCCATCCCGGGCGGACAAGCTATCTGTGTACACAAGCTCCGTGTGTATCTTCCTTTCGTTTCTTGTATTGAACTGACACATTCTCTATTTTGATTTTCTTATTTACGAACATTCAACATTACTCTAACTATATTTTAATGAATATAAAGCCTTTGTATACGTATGTAGTTTAAAACAGGGTAAATGCACTTGGATATCCTCCAGCTCATCCAATACTAGCACCGGACGGCGGTCTAACGGCCCCTTGCCCAAAAGCATCTAACACTTCACCATGACGCATGACAGGTGCTTATTTATTACAAAGGTAGCCCACATAACATACCATTCATAGAATCCTTTTATGTTTCAGCAAATAAGTATCACACGCTCGTATTCGCGTGCGACATGAATGTTCATTAGGACATTTTGTTTTCACCCATCTAAATAAAATGCAACCATCGATTCCATTGTTATCATTTGGACGACGAGGGCGATTGTAATTTTTATTGCTAATATTAATGAAAGTTCTTTATTAATTCAAGTGTCGTCTTGTATAATATTTCATGTAGATGCTCTATCTCATTATTGGATCAAGTTCCGCCCGGCAATGTCACATAAATTTTATTCCTTTCAAAATTCATGTTATATCTCTGTATGAATGGAAGGAAGTTGTAGTTATTATTACGTAGTACTTGGGAGTCCGTCACGAGACAGTTTGTAAACGAATACTAATGAGACCATACCTGGTGGTTTTATAGCGTTTAACAATTCTTACATATAACGTTGTATAATAAACTTTGAATAATTTCTGTATAAATGGATGTTTAATTCGCCGATTAGTCACCGGAACTTGTGGTGCGTGTTAAAAATAACAATCGCTTGATCGTAGACGAAAAAGGTAGCTTTCGTATATTCAGTTATATAAATTTATGTGCTTAAAGATATTCTAATTATAGAAATTCTGAATACATATTGTTAAGTATGATGAATGCTTTTTGTTAATATTATTATTTCTAACATATCACAGCCAGATAGCCCCGAAGAATCCTTTTGCCATTAAAAGAAATGCAAAAAACGCTGTCTAGGACATTAGTAAAATAAGTAAAAAATAACTAACATAAATAATATACAACACCTGGTGGTAATAAGTTAGCGCCTGCATGCTAACAGTGCATTGCGGTTAAGCTTCGCGCCGGCGCTAAGCGACTGCACCGAGTACCGAGTTACATAATGGAAACCAGTCGTACGCATCGCAACGACTTATTATATTACAGAACTTAAAGGGCAAGGTAGCCATTTCACGGCCGAGTTCATTAACAGTCCATAACAACATACGTATAATTGATGTTCGGAAATTTATAATATCTCAACAACAGTCAATGAACTGAAATATTTTTTCCAAAAATACTATGACTCAGAGGAAGAAGGAGAATCGTTATTTAATATGCCATAAAAAATGGCAGTTTGTGGTTCCATCGAAACTTTTTGATTACCCCCGTCCGTGGGAATATTGATTGGTTTGTTCGCGGTCGGATCACAAAAAAGGGTTCCAAATAATGGAGTGTGAGCAGATGACGTGCTCAAGGACGAAATGCCTCGCGCCAGATACAACGCACCGCCTCTACTTAGCGTAAACAGGCTTTTAGTTATCAAATCTTATCTAGACATGGTCAAAGCTGCAAGAAAGCTATACTAACTTAGTGACGTTATCGGACTATGTACTTGAATTAATATTTTCTCAAGAGAGAACTCTTAAAGCGGACATAATATAAAGATCTTAGATGTATAACACAAAAACTGCTGTTAGAGGATATAGTCACCACCTGTTGCAGACCTTTCAAAAAAAGAAATCGAAATAATAATAAATCTATTTTAATAACTTTCGGCCCACACGTAATGAAAAGTTAATCCACTTTTATAAACATCTATTTCGTGCCGTGAAATTTCAATAAAAAAGAATACTGTAATGATGCCATAAGCTATAAAATTGCATGTCAGATTTCTTTCAAATAGCAATACTGTTTTGATGTAGTTCAAATTTAACCTAATATATTTTTTACGACTAAGGTGTTATTTTGATGATTTTTTTTTCAAGATAACGATGGATTACAAACGATATCCTTTAAATATATATTTTTTAATGTTATAGAAAAACAAAATTAGAATATGCAAAGAACTTATTAGTTTTGCCAGACTTATGATTTGATAAGCAATAATTATTTAAAATTCAACCATACTCCGGGTGCTAAAACTAAGATGTGAACTTTTTTGTCATGGCTTTCTTGTTTTATGCTAATCAGTTTGTAAATAAACTTTTTTAGCGGGACTTGATAAGCCGGACCAGTCTAGACTCTAGTTGTCCACAATTATATTCAAACAACACAAGACAATAATAGAATAATGAACTTGGAGCGATCATTATACAAATGGTTACGCTAATATGATGTAATTTAGAAAATTTAACAAAGAAAATACGAGAATTATGTAGATGCAACGGAAGTGCATAATATACTGTAATGGCATGTAGATGAAAGTCATTTTCTTACATAAAATGTTAGCTAAGATTACGACATTTTTGCATAATGGGGCTGCAATTATGCTATGAAATGGAATGTTAATGGTTCAGATGTGGACGAGCTTTATGTCATTGACACGGAGTCATTGCCAGCTTGCAAAAATACAGCAAATCTATTACGCAGCTTGACTCATAAAAATATTACTACCGCGTCGTCAAGACCGGTAGTAGCATACCATCTAATCGAACACGTATATAGATTATGTCTGATAAGTTTTATATCTTGACGGCTAGTACGGGTTCCATTCTTGGCAACTATGTGGTGGTCGTTGACCTCGCACCTGTCACCTCCCTGCCTCACCCCTCGTTATTTTTTTTCCCAGCATCACTTCCGCTCCTTAGTTTTTTTTGCAGCGATGTCGATAACCCTCAAGTTACTACGGATATGGTTGATTAGAAAAATCTCTCACAAATCACAACTAAGATTTCTAAAAATCTTATAACTTAAACAAATTCGAGTCTTAATATATTTAGTGAGCAATTTCACGAACCATGAAGCATTCGTTGCACTCCAAATAATTTTGCTTGCTGGTACAATGTCATTGACTTTGAAGTACCTAATTCTGTTTTCGAGTATGATGACCATTATTATCTATGCATTGATGCGGACATAAAAAGATATACAAAGATGCTTTCATATCGAGCTGACATATTATTCTTGGTACAGAACATGATGAGTTTATAACTTCTCCGTTCAATACATGAACTTTGAAGATTAAATTTATATTAGTGGATTGCTATATTTATTTTTATTTCAATTAGTTCCATAGTGTTCAAATACGTGTATTAGTAAGTCTCAACAAAATTTCGTATAAATTCCTTGTCGGGTACAGTGCACCTTACTGTATATTGTGTCTCTTCAGAACTAATCGCACTTGAGTCAACAAACTTCGTGTGGATGTGGTTAAAATAACTCTGATTTAATAACTAGTGTACAATCATACTGTACTTTTTCTGTCAAACGTGAATCGTTAAATAAAATTAAATAAATTCTTAAAATTTAATATCTAAAGTAATAACATATAAAATGGTTTATTAATAAAAGTTAAATAATACTTTATAAGTTGTAAATGTTCGTTGCTTAATTTGAAATGTCTAAAAGCAATCACAAGATTTAGAACCCACGCCCGTTTTAAAAATTTTAACCGCGGCGAGAGTTTATTGTGCGGGACGTGTAAATCTCGTTTTTACACGACTATTACTCTGCTTACAAAGCTTAACATAAAACATTTTGATTTTACGATACGAAACCCTTGTTAAATAACGGTTTTGTATTTCACGCATGAGCTTTGGGGCACATAAATGCTTTAGCATATTTTCAAACATTAATCTCATAAAATTTGAGTGCAATTTGATTTATCCGAACAATATTGTAAAACAATTTTTTTTTTGTCCGTACTTTTTTGATTGATTACATTCCTGTAAAAAACGTAACAAAATAATCGTCTTTGATATAAGACGCAAAAAAAAATATGTCTGCATTAGACGTAAGAGGTTATTCACTTAATGTATTATTTCATTTAATTAACCTGTAATTTTAATCACAATGCTGTAATAAAAAGCACGTTGAGAATTTTTATAAGTGGTTGATTACCAAAAAAAAAAAAGAAATTGTTGTACTTTATACATAAAATACTTCTTTTTTTAGATGAGCTTGTTATAATGAAAGGAATTGCAGTCAACATTGTTTTTTTCTTACTGCTTTTTATTCTGCTTTGAACATAAGAGTTATTTAACTCTGCTTGTGGGTTGCCCACTGCCATTGTACTGTAATAGAAGCAGAACAATAGAGGTCGAGGACCCGAGGGTCACAACATTCTCGCAAGAGTTAAATAGGAATGTAAAGACTTCTTTCATACATTTATTGAATTTGTTTACATACGTTTTGTAACCAGCCCAGTTCCGTAATTAGTAACATTCTCTTTATTAATTTTTGTTATAACTTTCAATATCAGTATATTTTTTATCTTGCTAGCTATTGTTTTATATGTATATACATTTTATATCAAAAATATTATTTCAAAATTTGTATTATATTTTCTCAAAGTAATAGACGTACTCTTTATTATCGGCTAAAATTATATTTGCGAAAAGTGTCAGTCTGGCTGAAAAATCTATAACCAACCTTTCACATCTTATAAAGTTTTTTATAAACTCATAGTAATTTATAAAGAATTATTCTTGATGCTTTGAACATAATTAAATGTGAATACGTCAGAAAAAAAAAATTTTTTACTATCCTATGTTTGCGTAATATATTACACATTTAAAGAATTTATTATAATATCACGCCATATATTCTTTTGAAGAAAAATTTGGCATTTTTTTAAAGACATAGCAATATATTCTACCAATTTTATGTCATAAATATATCTAAGTCACTTGAAAATTTATTCTAACATCGACAGCTTTGACTGTTTTTTTTTTTATAATTCCATAAAGTACATAAATCTTACGTCGGTGATAAGCGGATTATTGGTTATCTATAAACTGGAGATAGAACCTTTTTTCTTTATAGTTCTTCATTTATAGTTGGGATTTAGTAAAGCAACAATCTTGTTATATATTTGTTGGTAATGTTGGTAGTTTTTTAAATAAAAATTATAATTTTTCCAACTCCACATGTTCTGTTGTTCCACAAAAATAATTCGACCATTACGCAACCGAAAATTGTTACAAAATCAACAGGCTACGATTGATCCTATTAAATTAATTTACCGCTAGTGTTGGCGGAATAGCGCCACAGGGAACGTAGGAGGATGAAGCATTGAAGCATAAAAATATATTTAAAATTATATCGCGATTGGAATTTTTTATGTAAAATTATTTGAAGTAACCTACTAAAAAATATCGAGAAATATAACAAATTCATACAATATATATAAAAGTTATGAAATAATATTGTATAATTTTGAAATAACGTACCCGCTGAAGACCCAATAGCGGTCGCGAAGACCAAGACAAAGCTGGCTAGTAGAAGCATTTTTTTAATCTTGATAATACAGCGGGGTCACTTTCTGGAGTGCGCACACGCAACACGGGACACTCAGGCACACTGAAGGTGAGCTCTTCTGGACCCCCCTTTATAACTGCGACGCGTCCCTCGCCTCTACACAAACAAAGCTCTCCGACAAATGGCTTCCACGGCCGTCTAGAAACACGTGACGTACATCGCCCCCTTAGATCGAGTGCAGCGATAACATTCCTACTGTGGTCGGTAATGGTGATACAACAGTCGGGAGGATCGTTGTGTAGTTGTCCGATGGCGCGGACGTCCGGCGTGCCGCGACCGCGCACAGCGACACGGGAGTTATCTCCGCGAATCGCACCGCACTATGGATGCGTTTCTTCTTAATTTGTTCTTGTTGCGATTGTCGCGAATTCTTCGCTCGTCCGGAGGGCCCTCGTAGTTTTTTCTCTGTCCAAGAAGCAGTTTGGTATGTTTTGATGACTGTGCTTTTATTATTTCTAAATGCATCTTGAACTTCATGTTGATTATTCAAGGCAGACAATGATTAGAAGATCCAATTGTAAATTTGTTTATACACATATGTATATGTAGTTTTTTTTACATATGTGTAATCAGATGAATTTGTCTACTGAGAAATCAAATTTTTTCTTGATTATTATTTACATAGACATAAAACAATTTACCTTCGTAGTTACAAATAAATTGTCCCTCTTAAGCTTTTAATCCTTATAACCAAACTATATTCCCCATTCCAGAGCTTGTTTCACTGATTTCGGATCAAATTGACGCTGCAAAAGAAAAAAGATATTTAACTCTATGGCATTATTTCTTTTATAAAATAAGAAACTTATTTACTTACCGTATATTATGTCCGTGGACCAATCATCGGAATCTCTTTCTCACTGATAACCCATGAATTAATAACTTAGGAGATATAATAGTCAATTCTATGACCTTCCAAGGCTATAAAACAATCTAGTAAAATTTATACCTAATGACTTCAAAAATTTAATCTTGAAGTTAATTTTTCAACATTGAAGTCATATAGCAACAAAATGTTCGACGATAATAATTATTGATAAAATACTAGTTCTAAATTCATGAGTTAATATTCAAATTAATTGTGTAACGCAGATAATCATAATTATGTCTACTGTCACTTTTATTATAAAGTATGTAATTTAAATTAAAAACTATATCACTCACACAAATGCTGCCTTTCAATAAATCGAATACATCTACAATGATTGTCTGTCACTTCGAAATGACTTTGAAAAATATCTATCGTAGAAATGTTATTTTGGTGATGATTCCATAAACATACATTATTTTTCACATATTTTTCATTTATTTTATAAATAAAGTTGTAAATAAAAAGTAAATAAATTGATATCACAAGTGTACGGTTAGAAGTACTTATACTAAACATGTAAAATAATTGTTAAGTACGCTTATAAAAAGCTAATACGGACTTACCATGCTGAACTTTTAATGAAATCAAACGTAGTATCGTACGTTTGTACGTATTATCAAGATACGAGTGTACAATTTGTATAATAGTCATTTGGTTTAATTTGCTTCAATAGTTTTATTCGCATTTAAACAAACCCAACGCGTTTTTTCGTTGGAGACTTGGAGAGATAGTTCGTTTGCTGTAAATCGCGAAATCCATACCGTACCTAATTACAAATAATACTAAAAAGAATTCTGTCCCAGGTGTCCAACACTTAATTTATTAACATTCGCTTCTTATATAGTATACATTAACAGAGCTTCAATTAACCTGTTAGAGATGACATCACCCAGATAGCGTTTTGCACGGAATTTATATATCTCATGTTGATTTATAAAACAACATTCTATGTACGTCATGTTGGATTGCATATTTTAGTGAAGCTAAAGTAAGTTTTTCGCATCACTAGTACGTAAATATGTTTTATAGCTGTTATGTTTTATGATACTTCACGTACACTGTTTGAGGTAGAATGTTGATGAGCCCCTTTTACTAGTTCATAACTATAAACAAATAATCCTTTGTAACAGAGAGTGCATACGGCTCCGCCTTTGACGATTCCGTGAATATCATGATATATGAATATGAAAATTATATTACTTTTAGTTTATTTACGAACAACGGCCAAGCTGCATCGGTTTAATTTTTAATATTCGACGATAACATATATTTGTTATCACTACTAAGAATTGCAATGCAAAATGTTAATAAAAAAGACTTTAGTTAGTAGAAAGTATCTTAACAAATACTTCAGTAAGTAAAATGAAAGAGATATTCAAATTTTAGTAGGTATAACTTAAATTTCGTTGACGCTAAAATATGTTAGATAAAAAATAATAGCCTTTAATTCATTTAACGTAGTTTATTTTATTAAACATCGTGGTAAGAGTGTTGGGGAAGATATTAGACTTGTGTATAGAAGCTGGAAGAGCACGCGGCAGACATAAAAGACACCGCCGCTGGCTCACTACAAGCATTTGCCTTTGAGAGCTACGTTAATTGGTGGCACTATGTACGCCGCTTGGCACCGTTGAACCCATTCTGCGCCAAGCACCGTGTACCTCAATATATAAGTATACCAAAAACAGAATGTACGCGCTTAAATAGTATAAAATATATCTTGAAACGCAACTTTAAAAGCAATTTTACTGTTTCACTCATCTGACCGGCGGGTTTTGTTAAGCTGAAAAAGTTTATCTCTGCAAAATCTAATCGTTACCTGAAGATACTGCGTATTCGATGCTATTGAAATAACAAGAGACTGCACTTAAGATGAAGTAGAGGAAAGTTTAAATTGCCTCCAGGAGCGTTTTTAATAATCTTTTTATCTCACCCTATCGTTGCCTATCGTATTGTTTATATCGGATGACTAACGTGTGCTTCGGATGCTAGTCAATATAGTAATATATATATTTAAACAAAAAACAAAGCCGTGATATTGCTTCAATGGCTAAAAAAGAAACAAAGCGATCTGTGATTGAAGCAGTGTACTTTTTTCTTGATATGTTCGTAGAGGTTCGGACAGCGTTTAATTGAACGGCCGGACTTGCAAGGCTGAGACGTTTGAATACAGCCAGAGATAAGGGTGCACGTTCTTCATACGTCCCTTTGTACATTCACGACTTTGTTTCAATACAAACACACAAAATAAATACATATAGTAGACTTATATAACTCAATTAACACATAATACAAAACTTTTTATACCTAAATATGCACAAACAAAATTGTATATGGTTATACAAGTTCACCTTTAAAGATTGTAGTTTCACCAGATTGTTTCACTGCAACTATAGACATTAAAAACTACATAAAATAAATATAAAAGATAATTTTCTTAATTAAGCTTTGCGTATCTTAATTACAACTATTATATGTGACAAAAGACGTGATTAAGGTATCAAAATAACTTAGTCTGGATTCATAGCACTCTAATTCTTAATTAAATTGAATGAAAATGTAATTCAAATATTATACATATATACATATATACATATATACATATATTGTTTGTATGGCTTCTCGTTAAACTCCAAACGACCCGTTGATCGGATGTTCGAACCGTTTCCGTTTGTCATATTGTTGGTTTGTCGTAGTTTTTGTATATATTTTACGACAAGTTGAAGTAGTCTTTACAACACAATGACATATCTCAGCCCGCTTCCCGCGTAAAGTTATTAAAACAGCTCGATTCCTCCTCTCGCCAATAACATGAATGCTGTCGTATAAAAAGTGACGCTAATTCTTTAAATAGCATTCGTAAGTTACAAAACGTTTCGTGGTAGAGTTTTGTTATTCCGATCCCCGCTCTCGGGTTCCATGATTGTCGGGTTTTTATCCTCGAATTCATACCGCAGACACACGCCCGCTCGGAATGCGCCCTTTAAAGCAATACAATTAAATGTTTTACTCATCAAGCGCGAGCGAAACACAATTAATGTTATTTAATATTATCTTTTTTTTATCTCTCGTATTACGGCCGGAGTATTAATTATTATTCTTAGAATTGTATATAAGTTTTGTTTATTGATTTTTTTTTAACTTTAAATGCCCGATAGCTTTAATCGGCAACAAAATTCGTTAATTTTCTTCTTTCGATTAATTGAAAAACTTATGGATGTAATCACGTTGTCGTAATTATATAAACTGTTAATGTATTTCAAGTGGAAATGCAAACCTTCATTTGTTACGAATAACTTAAAAAAAACTGTGTGTTATGTATTATTTTGTTTAAATAATATTTTAGCGGATACCCGAAACATATATCCATAATATGACACCAATTTTATTATTTGTTATAAGTTTAAATCTAATAAACTTCGAATCATAACATGTACAATCTTCGCGTGTCAATAACAATGTTATTGGTTGTACATTTGTATATTTTATGATCTCATAGAAAAATGTATATTATTAAAGGCGGCCTGCCATTTAGATTGCCGTAGGTAAATTGAATAGTCCATATTTACAGCGTCTCAAATACAATCGTGGATCCACCATCCCGACAAGATCACAGCCACTGATAAATATTTGCATCCGTGCATACCAAAGAAATTTTTTTATTGAGTTCATTTATTCCGTAGATGTTATCGCCGTCATTTCTTAGGGTTAAGTTTTTTTAATTCCATTCCAAGTTCTATTGGTGTGTGTCTTTATAATATACATTTGATTTGTGGCTCGGTAAACGGTGTGTTTAAGAAATTATTCCCTATAACGACTAAGCAAGTCTTGTCAGGATCAGTTCCCGTTATAATTGGTGCAGGCTAGATCCGTCTGGGGAGGTGTCAGAACTAAACGAAGCAGGCCACGTACATCTTTAACACACCCCCTATAATTTCCATCGAACCAATTTCGACAGCATCTCATCATGTAGTTACTGGGAATATTCCTATGTTTTACATAAATTGTGATCCCTTTAATATTTTAATTTAAAAAATAGCTGTTGTATGTGTACTCTCAATTGACTGTGTAATTAAATTAGTGACGTCATTGAAGACATTTCATTTGTTTTGCCACATTATATAATTTAAAATTATGTCTAAAATTACGAAGTTAAAAGCAAGAACATTATAAAATGTAAGTAGGTATTAATTTCATATATTTTGAATTATACCTATTATAACATTGAATATTAAAACAAAAACTATAATATAAGAACATAAATTCATTCTAACTTTATTGTCATCATCTTGGGCCATTCATTTTAAATTTTCCTATATAAAATTGAAAACAAAAGGCATGTATGACTCACGATTAGATGTTTTTCTCTGGACAACAAGACAATCTCTTGTGTCTAAGTGTGAATTCGCCATCCCAGGGTTCAAGGTTACGAACGTGATACCGATGTATCGTAAATACAATCAGCACATCTGCGCGACCAATCAATGCTTTCTCACGAACATTGAATAATTCATGGTCTCTCGAAGTAATTCTTATAACTCTCGTAATAAAGATCAGTCTTGACACGGCTATCTTTTTTTTATATATTGAATGTGTATATTAAACATTCTGTTTGAGAGCCGTGTTTAGCATCCACGCTTCGTTTCTTTTGTTATCACTGTATACTCTCCTAATATTGACTCTCCAGCTATCAAGTGTTGCTTGTGCCTTGATTTTGAACATTCATGAAAAGATTTTTTTTCCAATACAACCTGTCAACATATTACATGTGAATGTTAATATATTTCTTTATCTGTCTGTCGTTGATGTGTCATTTCCTTCTTATAATGTTGTTATTTTAATGTGTTTTTCTATCTTCCTAACTATATCATGATTACGATTATACCTATAAATAGAAAAGTTGTCGTCTTTGGTTGTTTGTTACGAAGTCCTTGCAAAGCAAAATTTCAAGTAAAGTATGTAATCAAATCAAATATGTATAACCAAGCAAAAGTCAGAAAAATTCAATTTGAAAAATTGTTCTTCTTCTTCTTCTTCTGGTGTAATATATAGCTATTATTATTGCATATTTTTTACATTTCTGCTATTATTACACTAGGGATTTTCTTTAGACTGTCATGGATCAGAAATCTTCCACTTTGAGCTAGTTTTTTAGACCCTCCCACCTTTCTAGATGTAATTAAATAAACTAATTTGCGTTGAATATTCACATTATGTAATAAAAGAAGAGGTTGTTATGTTAATTAGAGTAACACTTTTGCATTTTATGCAACAATTTACATGAATGCATAAATAGTAGATGATATAATTTATTAATTTTGAATATTTTACAAGTACTTAAAGATAATTTACAGCTTAATATTAATATCAGATAAATTATAAACATAATGTGTAATATTCGTGTGCTTTTGATGTCGTAGTAAAACTTGGTACAGGGCTGCAAGGATGCCATCAACGCCCAGCAATTAAAAACTGACTGTGGCCCTTCTGAGAAGTTCAGTTTTACGTTATGGAGCCCGGTCCGGAGTCTACTGGCTATGGTCATTAAAGGATGGGTGAAAATGTTACGGGGTTTTAAAATGATCGAATTTAATCTTTATTTATAATTTAGTGACCTTCAGAAATGATGTTATGTGAAGATGCCTCTTAAACTTTCGTTAAGTCCAAAAGACAAAGACTAGAAATGATGGAAGTATATCTTATCAAATTATTATCTTTTTTTTGAGGTTTATTTATAATTTTCACTAAAACGATATGATTCTAATTTCTATGTACATATATTGCATTATACTAGGATTTATTTTTCATACCAAGTCTAATATATTTAGCATTAAACTTGCGGTTACTTGTAAAATTCCAAAGCTCAAGTGATCCCGGAAAAGGGAATATAGAGTTACACCGGTTCCTCGATAGAACAGATAATAATTAGAAATCCTATCTAATACCGGGCTATTAAAATAAACTTGATATTAAACTAACATACGTATGTTGAATAAAGCAATTACGATGTAAAGGTTTTTAGCGATAAAATATTCAATATAAGATTTTACATTAAAGCTTCGATACTTTCATAGAGAGAATTTCAAGAATATTTCAAACTTGGAAACCATCTAAAAATGTATAAAGCAAACGCTTTTAATGGCTGTTGTTGAACGTAACAAAATTATTTTTATTATCTGCATAATTGTTAGGGTCTCGTCATTAAAAGAGTACAATGTAATTACTATGTGTGTACTTTGAAATATACAATATGACTGGTTATGTTATAAATCATATGAAGACATTGCAAAGAGGCCTATCAAAGGAGCGCAATACTAAAAGGCCTTGACCCAAGATGTCCTATTCAAATGTCCTTATTATCCCTTACTGGTACCACCATTAAGAGTGCTACAGCGTTGAGAATATTCCAGGACAAAACCTCCAGCCATAAATAATACGAGTTGAAGCGAGTCAACTAATGAATTACGATGGCGTGGTGCGAGCGCCTTATAAAAGAGGCGGTATAGCGCACACCATACGAAATACCACAATGAATATGTACACGAGACATCAAAGATCATAACGACTTTATTAACAAACGACAGAATATTTCACGTTTAAAATATTATCAAACGTCTTCTCCATTAATATAAAATTATCCGAGATAGAATTAGTTATTGTCTAGTGATGCGAATAAACCATTGTTGCATCATTGTGAGCAATTTCGGTGTCAACGACATCTGGCCGCAAGTCATCGCCGTCCGTAGTCAACAAACACCGCTAACAGAGAACATTTAAGATTTAACGCATTACATGATCATTGTTACAAACCGTATCATTACATTACATTGTCATATAATATCCACAACACTGTGTAAGTTCATACCTATTACATATTACTATATTTTTTTTCTTACGTCGTATTTAATAAGAGCTTTTTGTAACTCAGTATCGGTTCCACTGCTTGGAAATAAAATATTTGTCTTCCAGACATAATATTTATTTCAATATTCGTTTATTTCAGATACAATGTTTAATTTTAATTTCTTTTATCTACAACCATTAATGGTAATGTAACATTTTAAATAAATTACTACTATGATTACATTGTTACTGAAAATGTAAAACATAAAAATCTCTTCGGATCTAGGATCGAATCTAAATCACATAATTACATAGATACTAATAGAGAAGCCATTTAAAACTTGCTCACTTGCTTAGTATTGTAATGTGAGAGGTAAGTACCATAATTATTATGCTCGTATTTTAATTAATTCAAGTCCCGCCTAAAGCCAAAAACCGATTTATTTCGACTACTTATTTTTTATATACTTAGCTATATAATAAACACATATAAAAATTTTATCATTAATATATAATTTGTAAATAAACATAAACAAATTTATTGAAACCAAAATTCTAAATTAATTGAATAAATATTACATTAATTTATATGTGATGACGTTTTGTTTAATCTCAACTGAAAAGACCCAAGAGTATATATTTTATTTACTTGAAATAAAATGTACGTTTTTACAAAAGTTTATAGTTATAATTTATTTTATATCACAATACTCTGAATTGATGATGAGATATCAACTTGTACCTGCTGAATATCCAACTCCTTGTCAATTACCAGTAGAGGTATCACGTACGATCGTATTGGAATGGCCTCCGAGTATATTTAATAAAACAATACATCTCGGTAACTGAACACGTAGCATAACAAATAAAAAATATAATTGATAATTCTTTAGATTTGATTAAAAAAAAGTAAATGATGTTAACGCATTCATGCAAAATATTCCAGCAATCATTGTTTGTACAAAATTGTGTGGTGATAGACAAAAACTTATCCCACATTTATCGGACTGAATTCTCTTCTAAGATAATGCTTTTCAAATTCTAGCCTACGGATTGTATTATAATTTCATTTAATATAAATGTTGCATGACACGAAAGGGTGAGAAGAAAGGTCAGGCCGCGTCAAGGTCGGCCGGTTGGCTCGATTATGTAAATAATGTTCTGCGCCAGATCTGACGTCTGGAGGCTGCGGCCCGTGGCGCTCCACCGGCTATTATCTGATTATTATCGTCCCGATCTGAGACTCTGCGAATTACTTTGTTAAAACTGTCTTTTGTTTCTCTTACTACACGCGTGATTTCATCTTATTCCATTTAATGTATTGCTGTGTATTTTTTTTTTCAATGACAAAGAAGGTATTGGAAGCAAATTTTTGCGAGATAATAGATTTTCTATTATATCCCACGACATGACTTATGCTGTTTAAGGAAGGACGGTTTTATTAAAGACTCACGAGGGTCGTGCTTCACGTCAAGACACGATGAAATGTTTTGTGACCTATGAGAAAGAACATCTATACCATCCGCCGTATCGTTGTTTGGGAGATACTATTGAAATTGTAAATTCCATTATCGGTTTTTCGAATGAGATAAAACGAATGAAACGTCGTTAAATATACCTATATTCGTCAACACAGTTTAAAGATATTGAAATTATTTGAAACTATAACCATATTAATAGAATTATGTTGAAAAACAGTTATACTAGTATAAAACTTAGTTAAAATTGCATAATTACACCTTCCTTATGTCAATAAAAGATAAAAATATTTTATGTTTACTAGATACAAGCTAGTTCTTGTAATGAAGTGATACGCGATATAAAGAAACTGCATTCCAGTGGTGTAGGGACAGTTGTTCGAGAAGAGTCGTGTCATTGAACTGATCTGTGGCGAATTGCTCCGCTTCCGCGACAGACGGCAAATAAAATCAATTAGTAGTACCGACGCTAGCGCCGTTAGTTTAAACCACGCGGACATTATTGGAAAATACAGCAACAATCGACAAAGCGCATCTAAAGCACCTACCATAATAATACCGCAATGCAATAATAAACCCGGCTCACAAACGTAAACTGAAAACACAATGCCATTATAGTCCACACGGATTTATTATTACTGTCGTATCTAAAGCGTGATTCAACCGCATTTCTATAAATAAAAGAGTGGCACGTGTGCTAATTCCGATGAATGGTGTTTAATGAAAATGGACACGTCATTTTATTGGCACCACGTCGACGGCACCGGATAAGCCCAGCGACCGGGCGATTGTCTCGCAGCCATCGTAAATAACTCGCCCTGTGTCCGGTGTCGACGAGGAATACAGAATCGTCGGCTCCGACTGGCGAATCCTGACGGACGTTTGAGCTCTGAAACGATCTCCTGTCGTCGGAAGCCGTTCCTAGACTCATTAAGCAACATTTGTTATGTCAGACAAAGACTCGAATAATATATACGAGGTGAATATAGAGGCGTACGTGAAGGTGGGCTGCTTCCCTCGCAGGTCGCAGGAAGCAGCCTCCGCGCCCGGCATACGGATGAGCTCCTAGCGTGCTGAGTCCGCGCCACGGGCCACAACGACATTCATCACCATCAACATCCAACCTATTATAAATCTTCCATACCAAAGGCATTATACATTTTATTTTAAATGCAAAACCCAATGATTCATTGCTATTCAATTTAATCAAGTTAACTAGTACGCCGAGTTCGAAAATAGTCCGACCCGAGGCTATGAATCCGAAGTGAAGCAGAAACAATGGACATATGATATAAATAGCTGGTCCAAATATAATATGGAGTTTTTGTTTGTTTTGTTTTATTGGGCGAACGTTATGCGAGGGGTGCACAGGGGCGGGTTGGGATCGTGCGAAGCCGAGGAATGGCTGAGGGCCGATAGCATCGCCGCGGCGCACTCTATAAATAGACGGCAGGCGGACCCTTGAGCCAGCCTCGGTCGTCACTACACATCTCAAAGGGTTACAACTGTATATTTTAAATCTACAGATGTACCATTATAGCTGCAACTTGCATACCTTTTATATACGTGCCGTCATTTAGTTTATACCGTGTTTTTATTATAAAGCCTATTTTAGAATAAGTATACAGAGAATTTCCCTAAATAATCGCTATCCTTGTATAACAAACTTTTTTTTCGTTAATTTTTAAACAGGTCATGTAAATTTCCCGCTTCAACGGTTACTATACCAAACCTTAATAACTGTTTTATTTGAATATACCTATTTGTAAATAGTCATAGCTAGTAGTTAGTACAGACAACCCTAATTCCTGTTCAGTACCGCAACAATCTACCATAAAACACGGTAGACGGGGTGCAGTTTCTCGCTTGTTCGCTTTCGTTGGCGCATGCAGCCGACGCTTATTTTTTTCCCTGATTAGAGTAAAAGATGCGCAACCGGTTGTGTTGGGATGCGCTGCGGTCGGGGAGCGAAGGCCGCGGACGAGCTCTGCCGAGTCGAGGACCGGAGCCTCGATGGCCGCTAATGATGTCGCCGCCTGAACCGCTCCTAATTGGTCGAAACGGCGACCCTACATCATCAGGAAAAAACGACCTCGTCAGAACTAAAGCCGTGAATGGGATACATCATTATATAGTATACGTTGGGTGTAAAAATATTTTTATCGGATATATCAATAACATTACATGATAACATGGCCGTTCGCTTTAATGATATGAACATATTATAATTGGCATTGATTCCAATTTGAAAATCATAATATTATCCAATTATTGTTTATTATACATAAATATCCTGTTAAGATGTTTTTGAACATATGCGTAAACCCATCCAAACAGTGACAACACGTGGAACACGTACTATACAAGAATTGCCCTGTAATAACGGACGTGAATATATAGGATTGTCGTAGATTACAGACGCACCGAGTGTAGCTGTAAATAATGACACAATTGACGACGTTACTCTTTCTTAATCAAGGAGTAATGAGACTCCAACGGTAAGCATTTCCTTTCACACACCCGCGTTCATAACAAAGATAATAAAAGTGACAGGTATACCGTTTATTTCGCTAACATATAAATAATAACCTTCTAGGAATCTTAATGGCGGGTTTTAAAAACATATTTATTCTCAACATAACAAAACAACAGTTGTATAATTCAATTTCAGCGTGAATATGAAACAATTTCAAACGCTATTCGACTTCTAACTTCGCAGTTCGCGCATAAGAAAAATGTTTATCTGCGTTTAAAACTCGGAGCCCATGCTGAGAAAATGTAAAGTAGAAGACTTGCTGACTTACACGCTAGTATATCTTTGTTATTTATTTATATCTATGTACCTATTCTTTATGGATTATTTCGATTGCATTGCTCGTATTTCTGTGAGGCTTATGTTTCGAACATGAGTAAGTTTTATCAAAACGTATCTGACGCATGAAGTTGTATTTCATTTTAAGGATTTCATTATATCAATCGTCTTTTATTTTATGTGTCTTTGAGTTTATTTTTAATGTGTACTGTTTGTATTGTAATATTTTCGTTTTTGTATTCCAACGTAGAAGCCAATCATCATATAACATAATGGATTGTCACATTAAATTGCAACGTGGAGCTTTCTTCGTCAATCACGAACCTTATACGACCAAGAATCATAATCAATTATCGTTTGATTATAATTTTTATAACCGTGCAGTCACGTCACGCATATAATATTAAAATCTCAGTCTGTCGAAACAAAAATAATGATATATTCGTATTTTTGATCTGAAATTACTTGTAGAAGGTAAACAAAGTTCTTGCAATAATAAAAAATGATTGATCGAAGCCACTCGTTATCCAAAAAAATACAATGCAGAAAGTGTACTCAAGCGACCAATCGACATTTTTTTATAATTTATAGTTTCACTTGAATAAACCTAAACACAAGATTTAAATTTACTTGGCTAGTTTATTTTTACCACTTTTTGTTTGAAAACTAATTCGAAACCCCAAGTTTACCTTTATGTGTGAAATTTATATTCTAACTTATTGTTTTCGTTATATAAAAATATCAAGCTTATATTATATATGACAATAACCCTTTGACCCTTGGTAAAAAAAATTACATCATCAAAACAACTAATCTTTAATGATTAAAAATGACATCCAACATATAAAAAATACTTTAAAATTATTTTAGACACCCTGATTAAATTGTCATGGAAGATTACACAAAAAAAATTATAACGGGAACCTTAAGTTGAGCTTAGCTTGAAGCAATATAACCTTTTACTTCCTTTACTTCAATATTTCTATAAGTTCACCTATAAGTTTGAAACCAAAATAATTGGAGATTTCAACGATCTTTTATCGCTAAATAATGACAATCATTCACATAGTTTTGCTCGCTATTAATAGTATAATTTTTAAGTAATTTTCTTATTCACGATTGTCTGATAAATCCTCTCTTAGGTTTTGTAATTCTTGTTGTGTCTTTTATGATGTGTATTATTAAGATGAAAAATATGAGCAGTTTATTTGATGATGATGTACCTAATAAAATTTTACTGCATAAAACGAGTTTCTAATACCAAAACTTCTAAATAAAAGTAAAACCTGAAAGTATTGGCTAGTTAAAGTTAATTATTGGTAATTGGCTGCCAGTAATTATTGGTTTTATACATTTCATATCTTCAGTTCATATCCACTGCCTTTAAAATAGTTTGAAACTTGTATTATCACCATACACCGTCTATTTTTAGTATTGTATATTGCATAAGGTTTACATTAATGATCGTAAAAATGTATGAAATATTACCTATGCAAGTTTTTTTTGCTCATAAATTCCAAAACACGTAACCAGATACTCCATAGCTTAAGTAAACGTTTAGTTTCTAAGCTCGACTGACTCACTGCGTATCTGATAGCCGACAATACAGATTCACCACGTCACCGGACACGTCCGAGCCACTTACCATCAAGAAGGCATAGTCTTCCTGGTAATATCTAAATATAATACATAAAAATGTCTACGATGTTCCAGCCATCGATGCGGCTTAACTAATGAAGATTTAAATCGACGCTGGTGCAAGCCGAGCCCCGTTTTGCATCCTTCTATTTACCATACCAAGGTAATTATAGCAAGAATTTTCGCTCATTAGCGAATGAAGTAAGACGTTTCTATTTACGAAAGCAATTTTATGCGAGACTAAAGTAACATTTATCTTAGTTGATAAACAAAAAAATAAGATGTTATACTATGGATGTACACTCCACTGAATATTAGCTATTCACTCCGCTTATACAACTTTTTACTTTTTGTAACACTGACTTGTGCTATGTAGTATTTGTTCACGGCTTTGCTCTCAAACAAATATCCATATTACAACGAGCTTAAAGAAAGATCTCTTTGGAACAATCTTCGTGGTTCTTTTATTGCCCGCAAACTCGACAAGTATGAAAAATTAAACGATGCTAGGACGAATAGTGAAATTGTAAATAAAACAATTAATCTTGTAGGATCTACATGTTATAGATAAAAAATAAGAAAAATTAATTCAAAGGTAATTTTTTATTTGAAGGGGTTAATAGAATATTTGGTGCGTGTTTGGAAGAAGCCTCCTGTAGTTTATTGCGACTACCACGGTCACTCTCGCAAGAAGAACGTGTTCTTTTACGGATGCGCCGGCGCGGAGAGCTGGTGCAGCAACGACCGGCTTGTCCCGGACGAGCCTGTTAAATATCTTGTAAGTACCATAACCAATACCGGCCGTGATTGCTAAGAGCTAATTAAAAGTTTTTCATTCTAATGCGTTCCGTTATATATAAACGGTAGTGCGGAAAAATAGCTCCACGGTACGTTCCTCCCGAACGTATTTCCATAAAATCCTTTAATTTATTTTACGATAGCTCTTAAGTGGAATTGCTGTGCAGGCAGCGTAATTGGTGTATTATGTACTTTTAGATTTACGTTTGGAAAATAAATACAAATTGGATATATTTCATATGTTTTGCAGATGCTTCCAGCGTTAATGCACCGGCTATCACCAGCGTTCGCTCTTGGTTCGTGTTCCTTTCGTGTAGAGCGTGAGCGTGAGAGCACAGCGCGCGTCACCGTGTGGCGCCATCTAGGAGTCACACGCTCCTACACTATGGAAGCATCATTTTGTGGATTTGATAGGGGACCTTTTAAAGTGAGTTATAATCAAAGGATACTCATTATTCTTCCGGACATAATTTAACTAGAATACTTTAAACTTTGTATATTTTAAAAATAGTTTAAATATAGACATTGTTACAATACTATAATTACTATAATATCTTAAAAGTAAGATACAAAAGAGAAGGTTTCTCAAAAAGAAAATTTGGTGCTTAGAAAGAAATTATTTTCTATAATGAATGAAACAAAAAAAAATGGCAGAGTTATCTTGGCTTTGGCTACAACAGGTAACAAAGTAATCTATCAACATAATAATTCCAAGGATCAAATTAATGATAACTACAAATTGACCGTCACAGTATAGGAAATAATTAAAATAAAATACAAAGAACAAGTGGGTATATTAATTATCTGCGAGACGTATCGCATTGAGAGCATTTATTTTCCAATTACAAATGATGGTGTATCAGAGATTAATGATAACCACCCTATCCATCTGACACGTGGCCTCATACATCTGAGCTTGTCTTAGACTTTAGATTCATTGATAACAGACGTAATATATTTTAAATACGATTTTCTTGAGCTAAATTATAATAGCTATTTTACGAAATTTAATATTTACAGAATAAATTAACAGTACTTCAAATACATAAAATTATAGAACGACATAAAATAATACGATTTAAACTTAAAATAAGTAAGTCGCAAGTGTTAGCTGTAGTATTTTTTCTTTGAGATATTTTTAACTCACATTTATTAAGATGACTTAACGCTTTGCAACTCCATAATACAGCTTGTTATATGTCAGAGCCGCCCACGATATACTTCACCTCATAATTTATCATGTCCAGGGATTTCATCTCAACACCCAGCATCTGCAGAGCGTGGGCAGTGACTTTTGCGAAGCCCTCAACGGTCTCGGAGATACAACCAACAATGTTGACATACAACTCACTAAAGATCTCAATGGGTGAGTCCGATTTTACCATAAAAACCACGTATTATCTTAATCCCCATCACTTATTACATTTTAATATCCAACTATTATCTTGGGACTGGGAAACTCGAAGCGTAACGATTTGGTCAAAGCAATGAGAGTAATTGCACTTGGAAACGAAACCCGATAAAGTTGATCGTTTATTACACGCATTGTAGGTACACTTCAACATGATATGTGTACACAATACTTTGTTACAGCTCAATTAAATAACAATTTATTTATCGCGAGGGTTCTTTACCTGTTAAGTTATATTGTTTAAAAAAAATACAACTAAGACTAGGGCGATGAACGAGGTTGTCAGGTCCTATCGGTTAGACATGGAATCGATTGTGCTTGTTTAATTTAATTAGCCATCTACATAATAGACCTTTATTCCTTGCACACAAATGACTAAGATAAAAAGCATACAAGCCAATATTGGAAAGGTCTGCTTATAGATTATAGAATAAAATATTGTAATTGGGCTTAAAATACTTATTCTCATAACGGATCCGCCGTCGCGCAACAATGTAAGTACCATAACAATGTGGATAATGACAGAAAGATGATAAAAATTGCAGCGTATAAATAATGAGCCAGTTAGTCTTGCACAATTAGTACACGAGATCCTAAATTATTTTATAATGGTTTTTTTTAACAGAAATATGGTTGAGGTTCATTTAACGGGCGCACCAAGATACAGGCAAGTTAAAGGAATTACAATGAATGCATGTATTCATTATAAACCCTTAACAGTTGTTTGTTTGCGCTAAATAGTGTTTACTAAAAATAATCATTTAAATAATAAAAAAATATCGCTTAGCTGTACCTATGTAATCAAATCACATTTCAAATCAAACGTCACAATTACACACATGACTATCCTAACGAAATGCTTTGAAGAAAATGTACGTAAAGAAGCTATGAATAAATTTTATTTCTTATCTAGTAATATACTTATTTCTCTTTTTTTTTTTTACAGCGAAGTTGCAATAGACAGTGAAGCTGGCTCGGCGTCCGATAGCGTGTTGAAAACAGATTCGGATGAAGATTTTGATTAGACTTTTGGGGGGTATATTTGACAGATGTCAATTTCTATAGTAATAAGAATACGGCCTTTTCTTGAAATTTTCTTTTGCCATATTATATTATATATTTCATACTTTTACGACTTGGAATTTGTAATGGCGTAAATTAAACATTTTAATTTTTTTAACGTATATTTATTTTAATTTATGTTTATTTACAAATTTGACTTTCTAATGTTTTAAGTTGTGCAACGAAATTGATCGTGTCTGTGATTATATATTGTAGTTTTTGTTAATGATATTTTTTTGTGTGAATTCTGGTGATCTCAGTAACAAATAAAGTATTAAATATGTTTTTGTTTTATTTAATCTCTCTCACTGGTTGAGCTGCCACCTTAGAGCCTGTGAGAGAGCTCGGTTTTATTTTGGGTCTCCTCCTTGGTGAGTAGATTCCGTTTTGAGGCACAAAATATCCGCCTTTAGCCCTGTACCTTCAGTACAGCTGCATCCTCAGGTAGCGGTCACGTTTCTGCGCAGTTGCAGTAGTTCCCAGGAGGGCCGACGGGACGTGGTTGGCTAGGACTTGCTAGGGCTCTGCGTTACAAAGGTCCCTACTAACACTGCCGATAATTTCTTGGCATTTTGTAGATACTACTCAACTACTGTCCTCACCAACAGTGATTCCCATTATACCGTGCCTCCCCCCCCCCCCCTTTTAATTAATTAATTGGTTCATGTTTAATATTTCCATATTATTTCTAAATTATGGTTGAAGCGTAATTGAGAACACTTCGGAAATAAAGCAAATGGTCAATAAAAACAAGCTATTCATGAAACATCAAAAAGTTAGTTATATTTCAAAGTCGGTTTATTTAATTATAGTAGGTAAGTAGAAAATGTTTTTTGTTTAATTTTGTTGTCAAAAGCCATTAAACAGTTCTAAATTTTCTATTTCTCAATGGTTAAATCTTCAAAAACTTTTGTGAATAAGTTTAAACTATCCAAGCTTCAAAGCTTTATTTAAGCTTTTTGGGTTATGAGGAGATAAAATTAACAAGAAAGTTGTAATGTGGGTATAAAGATTTATTAAACTATTAATAATTTATCAGGGGATATTAACATAGAAACACTTCACAAAATAATAATAATTAAACAAAAAATGTGCGATTGTTTTATAAAAATCTCATTCTATATTATATGTTACATGTTAATACAAAGGATATATTGTTATTATAACTTGAACTGTTATGGTGTTTAACTTAGTTGATAATAATTAATTAACAAATGTTTTTTCTCACTTTAACTAAGATGTTTAGGCCTACTATATATAAGTCTATAATTCTTAATATAGACTGTATTTGTATTTCAATTTTATTTTCATATACATAGTTGCAACTGAAAAGTATAAAAGAATATTTACCTTACTAATAAGGCTTGCAAGTTTCAATTAAACAGATATTACAAAAGGGGTAACGTAAATAGATTTCACTATTAAAATGATTGAAAACATTCAAAGTAACAATGGCAAAAATGTGATTATTGATGAGAATAATACAATACATAATATTTCTTCATATATCAAAGTAAATTGTATCAACACACTAATAACTCCCAAAAAAATGCTACCAAACATATTAAAACTACTAAAATAATTACATTTTTATATTCATTGATAAACAAATGATTTCATAGTAAAAAAAATGAGCTCTAAATAATAAATATCTCTTACTTATAACTGGACATAATATTTATATGTGATTGTCTATCTAAATTGCCTAAACACTTACAAGTATTTGTTCCTCGGCCCTTTAACAAATGGCGACATGATGAATAATTTACTATTGACTTTGAATATGTTTAATGGAAATCACACTTTAACTAAAAAAAAATCAAAAATGCACAAAATTTGTATGTTCTTATACTAACATTTTAATGAGCAAAAATTAAACTAACAGAAAAAAAAACACTTAATATATCATTAAATTTAAAAACATATATTTTTACGATTTCTTTAATTCAATTAAGAAAATTCAATAAAGTCTTTAATTGCACTAATTACTTCTTGTAGAAACTTAGAAAGAATATACAAAGGAAATATGATTTAAATATAGTAAAAACATCTTTTATACCAAATGTATACAACTTATTTATAAATGTATTAACTATTTATAAGTTAGAAGACAGAAAAATAATGATTTATGTTGAAAATAGTTTGAAATTTTACTAAAGAGTACTATTTTTCTGAGGTAATGTTTATGAAGACACTAGGGTAGTAGAGTGAAGGCTTAAAAATCAATATCTGATTTCTTAATACTAAATATAAATTTAATATAATTGCACTCTCGCTACCAATATAACTAGTTATGTATTTATTATATAAATTGAAAAAATAATATGTTTGTGTCTCATAAATTAAAAAAAATAATATGTGAACGCGAGAAAACATTTAACAGATAAAGAAATATGCAAAAAAAAGTCAATTATAGTCATTACATTTACATATATGTGATGTAAAATAAACTGAGATATTTATTAAACATAAATCATTAGAAAAATTGGATTGTTGTAGTAGAAGTGTAATATTATCATATCACAAACACTACACTAGTTAAGTAAACAAACACTCAACGCACACATGAATCCTACCAACACTTATCACAGTATCAGAGACCTGATCAATGAAAACTTTAACATTCAAATGGACTTGTGGATATTAGAGTTTGTTAGTCACACATGAACTCACTTCCATAAATATGAATTATGATCACAATCAAAATAGATTGGTGTCCACTGTAACATGAACGGGGTGTAGCCCGAGCATGCGTCATTGTGCGGGCGCTGGTCTAGGGCGAGGGGGCTGTCGTCGTTGGCGGGCCAGGAATGAATGACCCGCGGACAGTAGAGCGAACCTCGACTCAACAGCTTCGCGGTGGCACCTAGCGCCGAGCTGGTACCAGGCGGACGCTAGAAGACGTTGCTCGTTCACACAACGACCACTCTCTTCACTACCACTGGCGCTGCCGCTGCCACTCCATCTGTTATTTACAGACACATATTAAACAATCTTAAAAACCGACGTAGAACAAACATTTCCTTGTTTATTTATATACATATTTGCTAAATATGAGAATACCGTGATAATAGATTATTATTTATAGATTACTTCATTCAAAGTTGCTATATTAAATTTTCCGGTCGGTTTATGCAACGACCTATCAGCCTATCAGAAGCCCACTGTTGAGCAAAAACCTCTTTCTCACATGGAGAAGGTTTGAGCATTAATCACCACGCTTGCTCAAGACGGGCATTAGTGATTTGAAAACGCATATTAAACAATATTAAAAACAGACGTAAAACAAACAGAGATTTTCTTGTTTTATACTTAGATAAATATGAAAATATTTTATTATTTAACTACTTTATTCAATGTTTCATTATTAAATTCTGTGATGGTGGGAAAAAACAAATCCCATTTAAGGCAACGAAATGATACGATATCATATTTAAAAATATAAAGAAGCTTCAAGTTAGAAACAAATGAAAGAACATATTTGAGAAAAATACTTGGAAAGAATTAAACTCTTTGCTATTCGGACTGTAGACCTGTTATATACAGGGTGACTGGTGAATTACTATCGATATTTGAGGACGTGATATTTGACGACCATATATGACAAAATAAAAATTAATATAACATAAATATAAATAAACTTCTAAGTAAAGTTAACCAAAAGTTATGTAATTAATTACGCATCGTGTGAACACCCTACAGATTAGGTATACACTCACACTCACATACGCGTGCGGCGGCGTAGTGTTGTATCAGCACGCCGCCGCACGCGTCCACACTTGGAACATTTGGAACGTGTCAACACTTTATTTATTTATACGGAAATTTGGTCAAAAATTAAGTGCCTATTTTATTACATAATTCGAATGAGAATCATGTACCGAGTATTCTCCTTAAATATTGATAGTAATTCACCAGTCACCCTGTATATAGCCTTTACTTTGCTCCGTATACTTTATATGAATATCAGATAAATGTTGTAACCCTTACTCGTGTCTATTATTATTGTTAGTGGCGCCCTCCGCCCGGGACGCAGAAGCACTAGTCGCACTCGCCACTCCCGCGCCACGAGTGTATCCCAACGTAATATCCGATAAAGACTGCTGACCTATTAATGATATAAAATATTAATTACAATAATATATAATACACATACTATAATTCAAATTATTTTAGTATTTCATTTGAATGAGGCCACACAAAAAGAAAGATGATAATTTTATTCTGTTCAAAGATGTGAGTATCTTAAAAAGTCAACTTAACTAACAAGCAAATTAACCGATTAAAACAAATTGTATAATGCCATATTCGTCTTGATAAATATAGACAATCAGTTTTTTCTGAGCAATAAATTAGCATTAATTTCAAAATTATTCATATCTAATCTTCCTGAATGTAATCAAACAATTTTTTTGTAGAATGCTGACTCACACAAAATTGAAGTTCTCATTGTATTATGAATATATATGATTATTATTCAACTCAATTTAAAAGGTCTTTCAAGGGCATTGCATTCGTCGAGTTCTAATATACCAGCGAATAATTAAGATTTAATTCTATATATCTATATAGATTCGAGTGTAAATCTCTACACACCAGTAGTCCTAGGATCCAATGTCTTTATAACCTCCTTGGCCTTTTCCACACATTTCTTGTATTTATCCTCAGTAGCTAGTAGTTCTGCTTCGCGCGCAGATAATGCTTCCTGTAGTTTGTTCACTTGTGCTTGTTTGTCTGCTAGCGCTGTTTGAAGATCTTCAATTTGTAGGGCTGGAATACATAAATATATTTAAAAAAAAACCGTCAAGTATTGTCAATACAATTTAAATCTTCAAATAATTATACTGCCAACACTACTATAGCATTCGTAAGTCATATACAATTAAAACATTATTTCTTATATATAATACTAGCTTATGCCGCGGCTTCGTCCGCCTGGAATAGTTACTTCCGACAGATTTTTGGTTCTTCCCACATAGTTCCCGTTCTTGCGGGGTTTTCGGGATGGTCGAGTTCCCGTAGAATTTTCAGGATGAAACCATGTTTTTTTTATTAATAATGAAGTACTCTTAACCAACAACATATTTATTTGTTTATATGAATAAAGATTAATATTATTATTTGGTAAAACTTAAACAAATTAATTCGACAAAATTAGGTACCATAAAAACGGTTTTTGTGAGTTAATCTTAAAAGATAGACATATACTGTCGCGGACTGTTTTTTAGATCATTAAAAGAGCTATTATTCTTTGATACATATTTTTTGTGTATCTTGAACCGTTTTCACGGCGCACGCAACGGAAGGCTTCAAAGATGAAATAATTTCTCCCGTTTTTTACACATTTACCACTATATCTTTGCTCCTATTGATCGTAGCGTGATGTTATATAGCTCACAGCCTTCGTCGATAATTGGACTATCCAACACAAAAAGAATTATTCAATTCGAACCAGTAGTTTCGGAGATTAGCGCTTTCAAACAAACAAACAAACTCTTCAGCTTTATAATATTAGTATAGATATATACCAATTGAAAACGAGAGTATCAAAAATATTGAAATATCAGAAACACAGAAACGCTTTAGCGCCAATTATTATTAGTAATTTTTTGACAAGTAACACAACAAACTATTGAGGCATATTCCTATAAATATAGAAATATATTTAAGGGCCATAGTCAGTGGTGGCCCAGTGGTCAAAGGGTCCGCCTCTCGTTGCTGAGGGCGCGGGTTCAAACCTGGCAAGTACCAATATGATTTTTCGGAGTCATATGTACTTTCTGAGAGTATTTAGACACCACTGACATACGGTGAAGGAAAACATCGTGAGGAAACCTCGACTTATGGTTTCACAATTATAAGTTTGAAATCACCGACCCGTCTTGAGCAAGTGTGGTGATTAAGACGAATTCTCATATAAGATTAATTATAATATTAATAGTAATATATATTACATTTCCTGGCGTCGTCAACGGCGGGTCTGGAGGGCGCGGGCTCCAGTGCCGCCTCCAACTGCATTATACGAGCATTCGCTTCACGGTTCAAAGCGCGCTGCTTTTCAAGACGAGACGCGTAGTCTTCTAGAAGCGCCTAAAAGGAGTAACAAAGTAAGGTTAGAGGAATAATAATATTACATCAATAAAATACATTAAAAGTCTGGACCGAAGAAATAATACCAATAATTTTAAGAGAAACTTCACATACAGAGCAACAATTTTAATAGAGTTGATGGATAATCGATTTTTTCTATACTAAACTTTATTATAAGCCAGTACTAGTATAAATAATAATTTAATTTCTGTTACAACAAGATTTAGAAAGATTTCTATATACCTATTTAATTTTTTTTCATATTATATTTGCTAATGGATATATGTATTGATATTTTTTGCTCTTTCACGTCAAAACTACTAAGCATAATTAGATGAAATTTTATAGTAATGTGACCTAGATAACAGGATGAGATATATGCTATAATTCTAGGAAATCCCCATAGATTCCACAGGATCAAGTAATAAGTTTTATTTCATATAGTCACGTGACACACTATAGATGTCGCTGCTGTTTAAATATTATATAATAGTGGTCGGTTACTATACATTTTTCTCTCAACCTGACTTCTAAATTCTCGTAATACTGAGGCAAAAAATAGTTAATTATATTTTTGATAGAAACTTACCTGTACAGAGGCCTGGTCCGCTTGCGCTCCCTGGTTCTGTCTCAACAGCTTGTTCTCATGTTCCAACCTTATCATTCGTTCCTTCAGATCGTGCGGTATCAACTCCCGAGATACATTATCTTCACTTGCACCTGAAAATTGTTAGTGATATTATGATTAACTACATACATATTAGAGGAAGCCTATGTTGAAAGACAAGCTGTTTCTAAAGCGAACGTCGATGAACGCATTTAATTATGGACGGTTTTATATTATTACTGTATGTCGGTATTTTTATATTCATAATAAATCAGTCACCATCTTGCTCCTGTGTTTGATTGACGTTCCAATTATAAGCAATTTAAGATTAGTTTAAAAAGTATATGATAATATTATAAAATGTAGTTATTTAGTAGAAGTAGTTTTTGTTAGTTGAAACAGCAATAAAGGCTAATTTTATTTTATTTTTATTTTAGACTGACATATTTTACTAGCTAGAAGATCACAAGTAGGCTTTACTGACATCATTGACTTTACTATAAATAGTAAAATAATTAACGCGCCCCCTTTCTCTCCCTCTTTCTCTCTCTCCTTTCTCTCTCTCTCCCTATTTAATATAGGGACACTAATTCAAAGCCGACATTAACTCCTAAACCCTAGCCACTAGTCACTAGTCACTAGTCACTAGCCAGTATATACAGGTGTTCATTTACCGACAGTGATGGTGGAGCACCTTAGTTCGTCCACTGTTTCCCTCAGCGTGTCCCTCTCAGCCAGTAGCGCGTCCCTCTCCCTCTGTAGTGAGGCTCCGCGACTGCTCAGTTTTTTGTTCTCTATCTCGAGCTTATCCGCTTTGGTGATCTCCGCGTCTAGTTTCTCGTTTAAATCCGTCACCTGGATATTATATAAGCTATTGTTAAAATATGTGACTCACAAATATATATACATATTTTTACAGCAACATCAACGTAAGTGTTTTTTTTTTTTTTTTCTTCATTACTATCTGAGCAGTTGAAACATTTATTATGTTATAACATAGTACAATAACATAATGAAAATTATATAAACACTAGATGCTTAAAATAAAGCAAGTAAACGAAGTATTTCGAAGGCATATTTTTCCCCCATTTTAGGCACAATACTCATTAATGCTTCTCCTTTATTGATGGTAATAGTATGTGGATAGCCTTACTTAATAAATACGTATCCAACATTTTTGATATTTTGAATTCCAATCAATTTCTACTTCACAACAAAAAGGGGAGGTTTTTGTTCAGTTTTATAATATTAATATTAGATAACTGTGTATAAAAAACAACTGCGATAATAAATCTCATACATTTTAGTACAAACCAGTTATTTGATATGTGTCACAGATTCACAACGGTTAAATTAGTGTTTTAACTAGTAATATATATCATACCTGTTTCTTATATATATCAAGCTGTGACCGTAGCGCCTGCGCACGCGCCGCCGCCTGCTCGTGTTCGATAGCTCGCTGCACGTGCTCAGTGTTAGCGCGCTCTAACAGCTTCACCTGAACACGACATTCATAAATCATATAAGTGCTATATGTGTGGTTAAATTAACAGAGATGACTTTAAACCTTTTAAGTTCGTTCTTAAGACACAGATTGTCTGTTTATGTATGATTACTCTTTTCCAGAAATAAAATGTTTATCCTATTAATGAATTTGCATATATTATTTAATTACGAAACACAATTCCAATTATATAGCAATATTTAATTACCACATAAAAAGAAGAATAAATATCGGGCTGATACTACTCATATTCGGAATTGCACTTAGATATAGAAAGTGTTTTAAAACAATATATCTGTTAACCAAGCGACAGCGACATCTATAATCCGCATCATGTGACTGCATACAATATATAACTTTTATATCTAATCTCCAAAATCTACACTAAATTCCGGGACAAAACATAGATCATAGCTATTCTGCTATCTAAGCTATATTATAGTAAAGTTTCATAGAAATCAACCAAGTATTTTTTGCATGAAAGAGCAACATACATCAATACTTACATGTATAATATTGGAGGAATAATTAATAATTGCTATTCTCACCTGTCTCCTAAGATCCACGTGTTCCTCCATCCTCTTCTTGTATGAAGCCACCGCGGCCTCCAGAGCCGCAGCCTTGGCAGCCGTCTCTCTTAGTGCGTCCACTTCATCTTTAAGAGCCACGTTCTCTGATGCAGCCACCTTGAATAAAAAAAATTGGATGATTAGATGGGTTAATATGTTTTTGGGCTATCAGCTGTATATCTTACTTTAAATCATTCATCCTACTAATATTATAATTGCGAAAGTTTGTATGTGCGTATGTTTGTTACTTCTTCACGCGCAAACGGATGGACCGATTTTGGTAAAATTTTGTACACAGGAAGCTGACGTCCAGGAATAACATATAGACTACTTTATATCCCGGAAATCTTGGAAATCCGCGGATAACACCGCGGGGCGCAGCTAGTATATATATATTCGCTGATTCAAAGAGCTATCGCCTATAATATAATAATCCTACTTATTATCATACCTGTAACTCTTCGTTCTTCAACTTGGTCATAGCCAATTCCCGCTCCAAGTTGTCGGCACGGACCCGCTGGTCGTCCCTCTGTAGTTCAACTTTATACAGTTCATCCTTCAAAGCATCAAGCTGAGCTCGCATATTGCTGTACCTTAGAGTACCAGCGTGGGCGGGTCCTAATGAAGCCCCGCCCTCATCCAAATCTTTATTATCCTCACCACCTTCCACTCTCGCCGCAGTCAGGCGACTGACTTCGCTCAATAACGTCATCTTCTCTTCTTGAAGTATTTTCACCTAAAACAAGTCCTCATTTATCAGATATTACAAACGAAATTATATGATGATACATATTTTTATTCGAAACTGTATTCTCTATTATATAATAGGTTTATAACTATGAATGGAATTAAAAATAAAAACAGATTCAACGATATTATTGTTTGTTTACTTATTAATTAACTGATAAGTGATAACAGAAGAGAAAGCGTATCATAATATTAATTATATTATTTGTGTTACTGAAATTACTTTATCATTATAATTAACAATAACCGGCATTCAATTATAATTAATTATTTTTAACATATCGTGACAAGTAAAACATAAAACGGACTATTTATTGCACATATGCAACAGTTGTTACCATCGTAATTAGAACTGAATTGAATGCGTTACAAATAAGAACGAATTAAAATTCGTTAGTTTTGCAAGACAACTTTCCTTTTACGTAATTAATTAACAACTTTAGCAGTAAATATATGGACGTGATTCAAATGTTGCGTAAGTTTATCGCAGATACAGAAACATATATGGGGGAAATTTATATATAAGTATATATTAGAAAATTAAAGGTATCAGATGCCTAAAATTAGTAATAAACAAATATAGTTTTTTAATTTTTTCTAATCTAGAACATAAGAAAATTTAATGTATATAATTATACGCTGTACATGCATTATATATGTAAAAATGTTTTTTACGTATACGTTCTGATTTAGAGGTAACAACTGTATATCAGGATAGGATGCTTGAAATTACTATTGAGAAAAAAATACAATAATAATAATACAATTTTCTTTGCTGAATACCTGTGTATCGAGCTCATGACATCTCTGAGCGAGCGCTTCTCTCATATCAGCATCAGTCTGTTCTACGGTCGGTGTGTCCGAGTGAATGCTGTTACGATTCGGACCCAACGTTATCGTCTCCAACTCCTTTAAAACACACTACACATTAAACACTAAATAATTCACATGATGGACGCATAACAATGAGCCAGTGCCGATTTAAAATTTAAAAAATTATAACGAATATTTATGTTCAAATCTGACAGACGTCACTAGAATAAGACTCGAACGCTTACTAACGTTGCACCGCACAATTCGTGATTCAAGGACATTAAAGTGTGCGTAACTAAACCGTACTTATTTATTAGCGGGCCAACGAGAACACATCAACGAAAGTGCCGTTGTGCAATAATATGCGCTAATTTATTATTATTTTCGCAACATCGCTACAATTTAATTCGAATGGAAAATTTTATTTCTTATTTTGTTTATTTTTTCTCACCTGTATAGCCTGCATTATCGAACGCTGGCACGATAGCTCCAGATCCATAATACGAGTGATGTATTCCTCTTTCTTAATACAGTTGACTGCGCAACCTACGTGCAATCTAATGCTGAGTATGTCATGTCCATTATATTCTTTATTACATAAATCATACATTTTCTAAATTGCATCGCCAGCAAATTAGAAACTGGTATCATGTAGTAAAATACTAAACATTTTTTGTTCATTAGTAGAATTTATACAATATACGTAATATTTAACTGCACACTTACTAAGCACCAATTGCAACAGTCTCCCCAAATCCGTCCGATCAGCATGCTCAGCGATATTAACAACATCTGGTCTAGAAAACTCGTGAAGACTCAGACTCAGTATATCCTGGTGGTAGTCTGAAAAGTTTCTTGTCTTATATAACTAAAGAATTGAAAAACGTCTGACCTAACATTATCGTGAAAGAAAAAATTACTTTTTTGACAGAAACTAAATGAAAGAAAAGGTTTTTGCTTTAGTAAATTTATTAATAAATTTGGAGCACTGGACTGGGTGAATTACGTATATATACAATAGACATATAAATCAAAAGGTTGTCCCTATACAAAATCGATCCTACATAAAACTATGTAAAACTTATACTATTATGCAAGAAAATTCAAGTTATGTTAAAGAAAGTATTTTTTGAACTCTACATTTGTTGTGATTTCTTTTCCAATTAGGGCACATATAATAATAATATAATAATAATATTATTATACAAAACACATCTTATCTGCATAATTATTGTTTGAAAATCAATTATTAAAAACGATAGTGTCTTGTATAATATAAAAATTAATCTAACTTTCACATCACAAAACTGACAATAAATTATTTTTGGTTCTATTAAAATTATGTACATAATAATACATATATATATATTCTTTAAGATATTTCTTTAAAACTCAACAGCCATGGACCAAAAACATCACAAATAGTTACTTATTAATAGACCCCTTTTAATTTTAGTTACCAAGAAGTCACAGAGCTTTTATAGTTCTTGTCAATAATGCCTCATTAAATCAAAACAATCTCATCAAATCAAAACACTATTCAATAAGCAGAGGGAAAAATTTATGAATGATTAGGTTGATATTGTAAGGAATCGACAGTGCCATCTAATGCCTGCGTAGAATTACTTCATACAAAAATACAACAATTCTGATGCAAGAAGTATACAGGAGACAGTTTAGCTTATATATTCATCTATTGCAAGACCTATAATATTATTACTGTTAAATTTTATTAGATGAATTTAGCAATCTTACTAAAAAATAAACCAACATATTATTTTGCTTAGTTAACACTTTTGTAACACTAAATCAAAAATATGTTTGTAATTACAAATGTATGATTTAAATAAGTAAACCTTTATTTTCTTATTTCACAAATGTTTACTGATATTGTTCCACTTACATCAAGACCTAAATATGTAATTAACTCTACCATTGTATTAGATAGTTCTGTGACTAGATAAATTAACAAACAGAAACATTAATGCTTGTATTATCAGTTGGTTGATGTGTGAAATAAGTTTTATATGATAATTAGAATATAAAGGAATCAAAAACACATTTGATGGTGTTAACTTAGAAATCCACAAATAAAAGTGATGTATTTTATTCTTTACTTTGTCTAGCCCGATTTATATCATCTTTTGTCGATATAACAGCATTAGTCATATTGATATTCAAATTTTAATGATAATAAAATTATAACTATTATGAACTTCTTCATTTATAAGTCTATTACTATACAATTTCATTCATAATACAAAGGTGAAAGGTATTATTTTCAAGGTTCATGAAACTCACCCACTACTCCTTCTAAGATTTTTTTTAAATTGCTGACTTTTAACCGCCAGTTATGACCAACATCAGTTTTAATTTTGGAATTCCAATTCGAGGTGAAGTATTCGGGTGCTATTTGAGTGAGTGCTTCTGCTATTGCGACACCATCTGACAATTCTGTGGGCAACAATAGATTAATGCAGACTTTCACTTTATCTTTCAAGACTTGAATTTATTAGTTTGGTTGAGTAATCTTAAATACGACAATGTAACTACAATCTTTTAGTTTCCACCAGAATGTGGAGACAGTTAACTTATTATTTAGATAGAAAGATTATAACATTCAAATTGTCAACAAAATTAAGTGCTATAGTAAACAAAGTAGGACATATATTTTACGGCAAATTATATATTGTAAGTTGCAGTTGGTTTTAAATACCTGATGGAGTAGCATGTTTAGCATTTAGATTCAAAGTCTGCAACCATTTGATTAGATTGTCACATAAAACAACACTATTTGCTTCCATTATTGTATAGTTAAATGTCACGTGGAATACTTATAGTAATACAATATACTTATATTTACAATGTGTAAATCATTATAATTGTTACATTTATATTGAAAATAACAATAAAATAATAATTATTTATTAACAAATAAAACCGACGTTCAGTGAAGTGACAAAAGTGACATTTGTGTCCCTATCTGTTTTCTCTATGGAGTGATAGAACTTAGACAATTATATCTGTGTCTATGCCTCAAACAGTTCTCGTTAAATAAAAGTTTACAACTCTTTACTAGTGTTGAATGTATGAGGTCATTAGAAAATAAGTTATTAGAAATTACCACTTGTTTTAAACAGTCTTAAATCAGTTTCTATGAATCATGTTTACTAAATAATAATAATCTAAGATAAGCTTACGAATTCATGAAAAAATTTCTGAATTTTAAACCCTCTGAAGAGTTTTGTTTGGTTACGTATTAAGAAAACTTAATGGCTCACGCTTTAATATGCTAGATGATTGATTAGTAGTGTTCGTGTTAATGTAAAACTAATTGTTCTAATTTGTTTCTTTAATACTTATATACTTTATCAGTAAACGTAACAACTTCCGGTACCCCGTTCAAATTGTGAAACTCATCAGTTTGTATTAAAAAAATTATTACTTAACATCAAGTAGAAACATTAACAACGGTAGTTTAAGCCAAGTAGTAGGGGAGAGTTGGTTATATCGTACTAGCATTTAAATCGTACCACTTCTAAATTTCCCATTTAATGAATATTTTTTTCTACACTGACAACGCCAAATCGTGGCCCTGTACCATCCCTCTTCACCCACTAGTTTAAATCGACGTGAGTTAACAACTGTGCACGTAATAAAAGAAAAACAGTTTTTGTAGGAATTAATATAAATATTGTCGTACATTCGTAAGGAGATAACTCGTAATCAAGGTAAGCTATAGTTATTCAGTTTTTTTTTTATTATTCCACAATTGTATACTAGATTATTGGGGGTTTTTGTTGCGTGTCTAAGTTTTGAGTTTATGCCGGATATTTGCTTTTGTTTTAGAAATACCTTAGTTGGTTTAATCGTACCACTTGCAGTTGGTTAAATTGTACTGGTACGATTTACCCGACTACCAACCGCAAGTACCTATAGTACTACCGCAAGTACGTATAGTAAGTACTACCCAAGGCCAAGAACAAAAGTTATAAGAGGAAACGATCTCATTCCATCACCAGTAGCGATGATTCAGGAGAGACACTTGTTGTAGAACTAGATGATGATGATGACAGCGATGATTATCTTGAAAATATATGTCGAAAGTGCAATTGTTCTTACTATGATAAGAAGGGTCCAAAAGTTGATTGGATTCAATGCGTTCGCTGTAAACGGTGGCTACATGAGACGTGTACTTCGAATCCAGACATTTGTCATGATTGTTTCCATTAAGAAATATGCACAATAATTATATTACAAATAACATTCATGTTAACTGTTACTTTATTATTATAGTTAACTGTTTTTTTTGTCTCATTTTTATTAGGTAGTTATGTTGATTGATCTCATTAGTATAATCATGTTATTTTACTGAGAAAGCTTATTGTAGTTCCTTTATATAACTTAAGAGTTAAAAATTATGTTTCTATTACCTAAAAGATATAAATAATGTTGTTTCATTACTTACCTAACAGTTAAAAACAAATAATTTCATTGAGAATTTTAATGTCCTTCATTCAGTGGTACGACTTAAACACCCATGGTACGATTTAAAGACTTAGTGGTACGATTAAAACGACTAGTCGGCTAAATCGTACCGATGGCAAGCCTCTATGAAAAAGCATTTTTAACAATGTTAGAATAATCGCAAGGATCTGTTCTCTTCTTCTTAGGAAGCTGAAATATGAAACTTTATTTTACATATGTATTAATTATTATAAGACCTGTTATAGTCGAAATATTTGAGTTAAAGTGAAAAGTGGTACGATATATCCGACTCTCCCCTACATGCTAAATAATTCTTTCTTAGGAGAAAATATATTCAGAAGTTGTAGTGGTGAGTGTTTGGTGGATCAAGAGTAATATCAAATATAAAAGCTCCTGAAGTCCTTCGTCACAATTATAACAAAAATTAAATAACTAGACCTACTTTCACATAAAATACTTTTCACAGAACTCAAAGTACAATGGGTAAGGCTGTCGCTGAACGCTACCAGTGCCATGTGAGACCAAAATCGGCTGACTCTTTAATCATGGGGTTAAGCATAAAAATGATTTGATATAAAAGTTTGAGCGTATGTGGTATCGTAGCCTCTTAACGTATCGGCCTATTTCAATGAGGGATTTAACTCACTTGAAATCAAGTTTCTTAGCTGAATTTGCTTTATATCGGTTCAGTAGTATTATATGTATTATCTTTTCTATTCCAAAAGAATGCGAAGTTTTTTTGGCCTATGATTACTAGATTAAAAAACTATTGCCAGTATAGTCGTTTAATTAATTCGAAAGGATTTTCATATTTAGCACGATTTGATTATTCTAATACTTTAACAGTTAATGGTTTAGATATTTTATTCTGTGAAAATATTTTCGATATTTTTATTATACTCGCACATTTACCACAGTTCATTACAGATCAGTCTTCCCGAGATTGGTTTAAAAAATCACAACGTACCTACTGTGAATTATATTAAATTACATTAAAACCGTCCTAATGACCGGTTAACCGCTAATGTGAACATTTTTTTTACTGAGGATTATATAACCGAACTAATGTATAATGGCGAAAGTGCATAAGGTATATATAGTCTACAACTTTCGTAGCATAACTAAAGCTGTATCAGAAAGGTTAAATACATATTTTGATAAACTATTGTGTTTTACTTTGGGAATGTTTTTCTTCTAAGGATGGAATATACAAACTTACACCGATACGTGACATGAGTTTACAAAATTCAAGATTGATTGACTTTTGATGGTAAAAAATTAAATCATTAATTAACAATAATAATCAATCATTTAAACTACTGTTATTGCGAATATGAAAAACAATATTTTAATATTATAATTCAAGCATTCAGTTATTTAAAAACACATAAATATAAAAAAAAATATACCGAATAAGGTTAAAATAAAACACGCAAATATTCATTAAGATATATTATTTATAAGACTGGTTGGCAAATCGCAGCCCGTATACTTATCATTTGAGACTGCGTAGCTTATAACTTTTCTCCACAAATTGTCTTTGGCCAAGAGGTGTGGATTACAGAATAATATAACTGACACTTGTGCCCGCGTCAAAGCTACATTTAGTCTTTTCGGGTTTTTAACAAATCCTAAATAATGTTTGAGGTCTTCTTCGAGGTACGACTCGCTAGATCTAACGGTTGAAATTAAAATGATCGGTCGCTCTTGACCTTGAAAGTCTTCAACTGTACCAATTTTCGGTTGGTTCAAACCCATTGAATCGAATAGCAAACGTAGATACTTTGTCTGAAATAAAATTTTACACATAAAAACTTAAGTTTCAGAGCAATTAAAAAATTACCTTAAAGATTTACTAGAAAATAAAAACCTGTGCTACATATGGTGTGATAATGCCAATTTCCTCTTCGGTGATGTTTTTCTTGAACAGTTTACAGGTTGTCAGTGCGACCATCGCCGCTTCTTGTGGGTTGAACCACGACGGGCTGTCCTGAGCTCGCATGTTGGATCCTTTAATACCATACACAAAAATACCGCCATTCCTATCATCCGAACCAAAAATTTCACAAGTCGCATTAATGAATTTCTCAGTCCAGGGCATGCTTTTATCTATATTCGGCACTAGTGTCCCATCATAAAACATATCACTGGGTAATGTTAAAACCTCCTTCAGAGACCTATAATTATCATTCAATTTAGTGACCAGACGGTTATCGAAACCGCAAGCATAAGATTCATAATCCTTCAAGTATGGAAAGCACTCTAGAAGTCTGCACAAAAACGATACGTCCATTCCAAACTCCTTACAATATTTTGACATAACGACAGGTCCCAATTGCATAGGATCCCCTGCGAGTATAATTTGCCCATGTTCCTTATTGGTAAAGGTCAAAGGTAACATTATTTCCGGCTCCGTAGCCTGACCAGCTTCGTCCACAATGATATGAGTGTAGTGACCTCGAGGTATGTCTAAATGTTTTAAAGATCCCAAACAAAAGCATGTTCCAATAGTGACACGGTGCCTGACTATTAAAGATTTCTGACAATTAATTTGTATATTATCCTTGACGTAATGTTTCGATTTTGTTGTATTCTCTCTGGCTATATCCAATGTGGCACAAAACGGCTTGACATCCTCTGGTATGGAGTCAGAATCAACTAAATAGTTAGCGATCAGTCTCACGACTGATCCCGAGAACGAGTTCCTGTATTTTATAAGTCTCTCAGTTATCAAATTTGACGCACTATTTGATGGTGTAGCAACTAAAATCCTACTGTCTGGTATTAAGGTCAAAATTTGTAAAATTGTTTCTATGACTGTCACAGTCTTCCCAGTACCGGGGGGTCCGAAGATGATATAAGGCATCGGTCGACATTCGCCTTTCAATATATTAATCACTGCATTTCTCTGATCCACGTTCAAAGTGGTGTTAAACCATGTAATATCTTCCAAGACGTCATTAGTTACTTGAGAGTCTTTAGTTATTACACGAGACGGAAATAGGATTTCCGGTCCTAAATTTGATAGAGCTTGGTTGATACAATGATGTGATCGTCTATACAAAGTCCTACTGAAGTGAAACTCAATCGAAACATCACTACCACCGTAATATTCATGAAATCTGCTGTTGAATTTCATTAGCACCATATCGCCGTTTATTGCATGAATATAGCCTTCGTATTCTGGATTTGATTCGTTCCAGATATCTTTAACAATGACCCTATCTCCTTTAACGAGCGATGGTCTCTTCTCTGACAACCCTGGTATTTCAATGCCAAGATATTCGTCGCAATGTATCAAGAATACCTTTGATCTGTCGTAAACACGCATATTGAGGTTAACTTGTATTTCTTCCATGTATAAAAGAGCATGCCATTTGTCAATATAATTTGTGATGTTCAAATCTTGAGCTAAATAAGGTAGCTGTCTTTCAATAGAAGACACTATCTTATTGAAGTCACTACCAAAAATGGTCTGCTCAGAATCACCCAAGACTACAGCCCAGATTTTATCAGGGATTGGAAAATTACCAATTTTCACAGATATAAAATGTGGTGATTTGATCGGTTTCACACCGGGTACATATGAATTGTTATTGCGTCTAATTTTTCTCATCATATCAATTTTATCTGATTCCATTATATGGCAGTCACCATTTAAATTAAAATTAACTTGTTGCTGATCACTACATACATGTATATTAATATATCTCTTCAGTTGGAAACCTCGAAACAAAATAACAAGGCACTCTTGTGCATATCCCATGAACTTTGGAGCGCATGTTATAGTAAAGCTGATATTTTCTTCTGGTGATAATTTTATTGGTTGATTGATGAATGGATTTATAAAGACTTGTGAATCTCGTTTCTTACTCAGTATTATCCATTTATTTAGAATATACACATTGTTACTCTTATTTGTTATATTTAATATTAAACTCTCTGTTTGCCCAAATTTAACATTCTCAAACATTAATGGGAATGTCATTTGTATGTTTTTTTCCTTCTCTAAATCAAGACTACCTCGGTCTTCGTTTAATTCCCCTGCCACATTCTTCTCAGGACCAAACTCAAGAGTCATTAATTTCAACGCCCTCCATGTGCATGATCCTTGATTGCTTTCAATAGCCTCCACCATGACCTGAAATGAAATTCTACCTTCAATAACTGTAAACATATTTATTTAATACGTCAAAATTATTAGTTAAACTCAAAGTCTTTACCTTTGAGCCAACATTAATTTGTGATCCATTGACCAATGCACTGTTATTAATATAAATTTGTCTATCACAAATCCCTTCACTTCCAGACCATTGGTTAACAGTGGCGCTTTTTGTTTTGGTTCTTATAGCATTAAAGGATTTAACCTGTAACACCTTAAAATAACTGTAAATCATGTTGTCCTTTGCAGTCTTAAGGAGCAAATTTATAATAATAACTATTCTAATTTCTGAAACTAAGTGAATTATTTAAATGAAACTAATTTTCGGATGTACTACGCGATTTAATATTTGATAACAAACTACATACACCCAACATTTCAACTACTTTACAGCAACTGTGATCACAGGCAGACGAGATAAGTGAATTATATCAATGTAATAGTTATAGTATTTCTTACTTGCTTTGTATTAATATCCACGGGTTTCTTTTCATTTTGTTGTACAGTACATTTCATTTCCAACCAATCGCCTTTAATAGGAATGAATGTACCGGTGACATTGTCCAAGTTGAATTTTAAATCACTGTCAACAATGTAAACCATTCGTTCCTCTCTATAATCTACTTGACCTATTAGGATGTGCTCAATAACATTGAAGTTTTCAACATCTTCTTCATCCTCGTCACCCCAAAATAGGCCCTGGTTTTCCAATATTCTTACAACTATTATCGAATCATTTGAATCCTTGTAACCAAGATAGAGAACTTTGTCATTGACATTATAACTCAGAGAGTTCTGTGTCGCAAAATATAACATTCCATTGATGAGAACATAGTCATCACCACAATCTGTTATAATACCTGTAAATAAAAAAATAATTTGTGATAGTTACCCAAAACCACATAGATAATATAGGTAATAAACAGATCATTTAATTAAGTAAGTCAGTGATGGACTAGTGGTTAAAAGGCTTGCCTCTCATGCACAAGTAGGTAAGTACCAATGTGATTGTCCAAGTCATATGTACTTTCTAAGAGTGTTTAGACATCACTCATTAATGCCGATTCCCAAAGAGGTTTGATGTTGTAAAAACAAATAGCCAAAATTATTTACAATATATACGACAGATCCTGGCTATAGCTGAGAAATTGCAAGGTAGAAGAAGAATAAACAGATCATTTAAAACTATATTTAGTATACACATTTTATGGTTGTTTCAATATTTACCAGTTTTTTGAAAACAGACTGCACCAACGGCAATCTTAGGAGGTTCATCGGAATATGAGTGATTAAACTCAGATGATTCATTTTCAGCTTGAAACTCTAATTGTAATAATTCTTCAGCTAAAAACATCTCTTTATCTTCATCAGACTCTTCGTCTTGCTTATTAAATAGGTAATTCAAAAAATTATACAAATAAGAAAGCATTTTAATGAGTTATGTGTATCTTATTGAACAAAACCCTTATCACATTCAAATTTCCATTCTGTTGCCTTCAAATATTCAAGCTCTTTTCTTAATGCTTGTATTCTCTTTTGGTGTAATTCTTTTTGGGGATTTTTTAAAGGTTGATCAATACTGTCTTCATTGTTCAAGGACTGATCAAAATTTTGACTTTGGCTCTTAGAGGTACACTAAAAATAAGTCAAATATTTAACACTCATATAAAACATTAAGAAAATTCCAATATTATATTATGCCAAAAAGGAACATACATTCGGAGTCTCCGGCTCAGATGTAGAGTACGTAGATTGAGATATGTTGCTAGAAGACGACATCCCAAGATTCTCTAGTAAATTTAAGATATCATTATATTTTAGACATTTCCTTCTAAAATAAGAATTATTTTATTCTAAACTGCAATCGACAAGTGTCGGTATTCATTAACATCGTTTGTTAATTGTACGAATTATTGGAGATTTCTAAATACGAATGAAACGTATGAAAACTTACCAGTAAATCAAAATCTAGATTTTTTCAAAACAATTACGGGAGAAATCAGTTTTTACTGAAAATGATCGCAATATGCCTATAAACCAAAATTCAAAACATCTTCTTCTACTTCTTAAACTATGAATTACGAATTGTCAAAACTCGAAATCATTTGACAGTTAACTTTTTCAAATCAAACAAATACATTTGTTTCATAATATTATACTTGGACAAATTTTATATTGAATTTTTCAATTATTATAATTATTAATTAGCAGTGTCTGTTTTAAAAATCTATACAAAGGAACAGAGATTACTATACTTCGCATTGATTCGAAAAACCTCTCTAGCTTTTTCAGATCATTGCGAAGTATATTTAGAGTTTTTTACCCTTAGTGGCAGTTTTGCGTTGGATCAGATATTTATTCCGCTGATTTTTGAATCAATCACCGATATGGTATTTTCAGGGTAATGAATACCAGAAGTAAAAATGTCACCCAACCCTGGGTGGATGCAGTGACAATAAGGGATGAACATGTTAAAGACTTAGCAAGAAAAATTGTCCAGATATAAACCGAGACCAAGACCTTTCTCAACAGAATCTTATCCACTGTCTATATAAATTGTATCTGAATTCAAGCATTTAAAAAAAAATTGTTTAGGATGGACATAATTTTATCTTATGGAACCCAACAGCTGAGACCTAATTACACAAAAATGACTTCATTTTTAATTATGCCTGTTCGAATTAATTACTAATAAAAGAGAAGTACATACATTCATTCCAATATATGTACTTCTCTTTTAAACTTGGCTTCCCTCGAAAACTTTAACATCGATATAGCAAACGCTGTAAAGTTCTCCTAGTCCAAAGTGTCATAGAAGATGAATTTAATGAGATCTAAGACTTTCGCGAGTTTAAATAATTTAAATGAAACTAATATTTTTCGGATATATTACATCCGATAGCAAATTAGCTTCAAGGCAACTTGATTTGCTCGATCACTAGATTACAGATACACCAACAAAGTTCTTTTCGGGTATCTAGAAAGGACGTAGCAACACAATATTTCATTATATTGAAGTTACATGGCCAGGCCATTAAGTTTAAGAGTAATAGTTGGGCTAGGAATCATGGGGGAGTCACAAATGTGCGTGTTTATATGACCTTATTAAAAAGACGTCCAATTACATGTTTTTAACTTATGTTAACATAGTTCGTGTCCAAACAATATCATTATAGAAAGGTTAAGTTTCCATAAATGAATGTATGTAATGTTATTTAAAGCAGTGAGTTTTCTATGTTACATATTTAGTTTTAAATCTGTGCCAGAATAACTTGGCAACAAAAATGTTACCTTTGTTATGACTTATGACATGCGACAAATGACAACTACAACATGTTGACGTTAGCCTAATTTTCTGTCGCTATATTTAATTGTTTATATTTTGAAGCTCAAATATATTAAAATTTTTCAAAATGCCAAAGAAAAATACTAGAAAGTACGTTTTTAAAGGTAATAAAAAGCAAGATGATGGTGACATTTCTGACTCCCTTATGTCTCCGTGTTTGCAAATCAGTCAAGATATAGAATTAAAAGACATTCCTTCGAATGGGGAAGAGTATCTTCTGAAAGTTATGAAAGAAAGGCAAAATTATTCAACAGTTACAACTTGCAACAGGGATTTTTCCAAGTTTGCCCGAAACCAATCATGTTTCGTTAAAGAGGTTAATATATATCTTGTATAATAATTTGATATATTAAATGTACCATCTTGTTTTTGGAGCATACTATCATTGTTATTGTGTTTCTTGCTTGTTAATAATATAAGATATTCGTTTATTTTATAGTTGCCACATGCTAAAGCTCCAGAGAGTCTAAAACCAACTATAGAATGGCAAAATATTCAAGTTGCTGATTTCTCAAAAGTTAGGATGTACATTTCAAGGTTGATATCTAATAGATCACTTTGGCCTAAAGATGTTATAAATATAGAAATAGATCCAGATAACATTGCAGCTTGGATGAACTTATTTGAAAATAAAGACCCAAAGCTTTCTTGCGTGCTTGGCTTGCATCATGCACTATTAGACCACGGCCTGGAGATTCTCATTGAAATGCTGGACAAAGTTAAACCTGGCAGTACAATAAACTATAAAACAGGTAAATACTATATCTTTTGCTAACTCCTTTAATTTTTTCTATGATATGGGTGGCAGCCAATATTTTAGAAAAGAGATTCTGGCATGAACCTCTTATTTCTATGCATACTGATCTTTGGACTGGTGGAATCTGGTGGACTATGCTTATGTTGCCTTGTAGTATAGTATATGATCTATAAAATTACTAGACTCACAGATCTCATATGCTTCTGAAACATTCCATATTATCTTGTAATAATTAACTTGATGTTAGAATTTCACAGAACTTTAAAAATACCTTTTTAAACATATCCACAACACAGTTAGATCCAACTTTGACATGCAGTACACTAGTAAACTGGGTAACCATAATAAGGTTGGCTCAACATTCAAGATCATATTGTCCCATCTTATAGTCAACTTCTAAAGCTAATAGAAGAGCATAGAATAATAAAAAAAAAAAAAAATAAAATAAAATAAAAATAAAAATCTTTTATTCTCAAGCAACATAGGCTCATAGTTGGTTAGTACATATAATTACTTAGAAAACTATGTTAGTAAAATATATATATATAATAAAAAAATAAAAAAAAAACAATGAATACATACCTACCACAGGGAGATTGACCCGGCCCCACTTTTTACATGTAGCCTGATAAACCTCCCCATGGTCGGCCCATCCTGTCTTGCTGCAAATACCTTCAGGATGCTGTTGGAACTAACCCTTACCCTTTGTATTATTGACGCCACCTTCTTGCGCATTATTGCGAAATAATCATCGGTGTGAGCGTCTGCAAACATGCCTGACGCACTACAATGGTATGGGAGCCCCAAGAGCGCCCTGAAGGCATTATTATATTGAACTCGCAGGGTATTGACCGCTCTTTGGGTACAGCTAGCCCAAAGGCTGCTGGTGTAAAATGTTTGGCAATAAGCCTTAAACAGAGTAATTTTAACAGGTAACGTACAACCAGCAAACCTTCGAGCCAGCATATTGGCCCTCACAGCCAACGCCCTACGTTCTCTTTCGATATCTTTGTCATCTTTTAAATTTTCAGTAACAATATGTCCCAGATATTTAAATTCATTTACTATTTTTATAATTTTCCCACTAAGTTGTACAGAAGGTACACATGTTGGTCTTTTATTTTTTCCTATTATAATTCAGCCAATGATTGGTAAATCCCATGTACTACATGACACATTAGTTTAGTACTGATGACAGGTCCTATCTTATACAAATGTTCCCACTTTTTATGTTGTGTTTATATGTGTGTCATACCCATCATAGCTAATGAGTTTTGAACCATTACAATTGTTAAAACTACATGGACCAACAACTCAACCAAATCAATATTAATCAACCAAAATCAATATTAATATCTCTTTCACCAAATATAAACAAAAAAATTACAATATTTTTTTCAGGTCAATGGATTTACGCATTTTTAGCCTGCACCAGACAACCTTTGCTCTCTGACACTACAAGTATATTAAGAAATCTAGCTAGAAAATGTGCAGAGATCAGGTAAGCTATACTATATATTGTAGAAATTAAAGCTATTACTTTCTCATAATTCTATTTATTATGATATTTTACAGATCTCATCTTAATACGGAGATGTGACTTCAAGGGAGGCGGCCGCACCATTAAATATTTTTATATGCTTGGTTGCTCGATACTTCAGACAATATGATCTTGCTGATTGAACTCTCAACATAGTCTTTGAGACAGAATTCTTACACACAATGCAGAGATATTGTGTTGAATCTACACAAAAAAATAAATGAAAGTGAAAATAAAGGGAGAGCTGGCTATTGTAATTTATAATTTTATATGATTAATTTTTTTTTGTCACTAAAATTTTTTTTGTCATGAAATTGTGTTTACAGAATAGACATTACTAATAATCAGCGCCATCTATTGGCTGTGTCACGCGTATTGTTTTGTTGCTAGGATATCTCATTTCTTAGTTAAACACATTTAAAAAGCTTGATAATTTTATTTTTCTACTGGACATTAAAAAAGATATAAGATAGGATTGATTATGATTTTTTCTGCAAAACTATTTCTTTATTTAAAATTCTTGATCATCAACATCGTAATGTACGCCGAGTTGTTTTCGCACAGCATCCAAGATCTTAATCAATTGGAGACTGGTACTGTGAGTCATTATTGGTGATTCCTTTAAGCCTACAATAAAAATTATATAATACTATATTTTTGTAAATGACTCCACATTAAAGAATGAAGTATTCAATATAATACAGTACCTTCCTTAATGCAACGAACAGTTTCCAAAGCCTCGTAGATCAAACCGGCGCTGTTCTTAAAATTATAGGGAATCTTTGAAGGATGGAACTCGAATTTTTCCACGCGACCATCGACGTGAATCATAGTGTCCGGCATATTAAGATGCTCCTCCAACTGTTATATTAAGTGTAAACATAAATCATTAATTAAAAACTTTTTTTTAAGAAACAATTTTTGTGTAATTGACATTACGATTAAATTATTTGTAATCTGTGCTAAAAAAAATCTGTTTCAGTTTTCATAGTAAAGTTATAAAAATAAATTGAAACTTTAAAATAATTAAAGAATTTTTTTAAAACCAAATTAAAAAATTAATATTAAATATATCAAACGCTCCTACTGTTATTCTTTTTCCATAGTCGCCTACAACAGTCGCTTTGTTCCAGAGTAGTACTCTAGTGTGGTTGTTTAGAACAGCTCGTCTCCCTTCCGAATATTCCAAGATAATGGTTTCCACACTATCCACCCCATCATCATTTAATTCACCAACTGCCGTTATCTTGATAGGATCATCTTTGAACACCAGTTGTGCAAAAGTTTACTGTATAAATACCAATGTCCATTATCGCACCGCCTCCCAGTTCCTTTTTTCCTGCAATCACGCAATTATTTTATTATATTTTCCTCTGTGGTATTGTCACTGTGGTAGTACAGTATATTAGGCATATATATTATATATACATATTTCTACAGGCAGATATAATTTTTGCAATTTATTATAATAATCTCTTCTCTACATAATAGTTAATCAAAGCCTTAGTGGTTCATTTTGCGACTGCTCACCTCAGTCTCTCCATGTTTTCAATGGGAGCTCCTAAATTTGCTTCTACAAATTGAGGTCGACCGATAACTCCTGATTCTAGTTGTTTTTCTAAATTACGGTAAAATGGAGCAAAACGAGACCATAAAGCCTCCATTAAGAAAAGGTTTTCCTTTTTAGCAATTTTCACCAAGCTTTCCACTTGTTTGGCATTTAGACAAAACGGCTTTTCACATAATACATGTTTGCCAGATTCAAGGAATAATTTCGATAGTGCATAGTGGTCATGATTGAGTGCTCCTATGTAAGCCACATCTGAAACATTGTTTTATTAAAAAATAAATTTATCTAGTATCTACGGTCTATCAAATAGTTTTCGCGTATTAGAATCATATTGTAATCCATTACCAATATCTTTACTGATTGCCATATCTGCGTACGTATTAAATACTTTAGGAATGTTGTGAAGTTTGGCAAATTCTTTCGCTCTGGTAGGATCACGAGCAGCTACTGCAGCAATGACCTGGTCTCCTTTATCAGGATATGAATTAACAGCATTGACAAAGTCATTGCTAATTTTGCCAGCAGATACGATACCCCAACGAACAGTCATCTGTAAATACATTATATTCATATAATACATATAAGAACAATAATGAGTATTTTAATATTGAAGGCTTCCATCATAAAAAATGTACTTAGTTTATATCCCTAAAGTTTTTATAGACCTATATTTTTTCTACTTAAAGTTAAGTCCCAAAATTGCAAACGTAAGGCCCCCATGACATTTTCTACCCGTTCCAAGGGCAAAATAGTAACAATAGCTTCTTATAAATCGACTAAGCCGCTTTTACAATAAATACTTACGTTAACAGCAGCGGCACACACAACTTATCACAAGATACAACTAAAACATTAAACTAAACAACCATTTAATCAATCCTTATCATTGTTATCGATTGTATGTAGTTGTTATGAAGACCTAATATTTTCCTCACTCTAGATATTATCAACACTCCAAAATTATAAACACTTCTCATTACATTAAAATAGCAATTGATATATAATCACTCGTTATCGGTTTAATGTGTGTTTTCTCATATTTTCTAATGACGTCCTTATTGTTTTCATAGTAGATGAGTTTAGTTTGCAAAGAAAACTTAATTTTTGAAGATCACTTATTCGTGTAAAAAAACATGACATGCGTCTTCGAAATAGAAAAAAGTTAGTATCTTTATCAGTAGATCTATTCTAGTAAAAAACAGGAAATGCTCCGTAAGCATTATATATTCTAAGGCAGCGATAGACTTTTGGTAAGCGTACTTATCGTTATAACATGGTCCAAAAGTCATAACTTAAAGTTTTGGCATCGAAATTTGAACCTGTTGATAAGATGAATTTTTGTAACGTTAAATGTTTTGTAATATAAAAAATGAAAACTGACTATGAACAATTGTTTTAGGAGTAAAATAAATAACTATTTTTCTTTACACGATCTTAATGAAATGTTTAATATCACAGAGTAATGTAAAAAATTAAGTAACTTTAATAGTAACAAACAATAATGTACAAACACACTCTAAATTTGAGCATAGTAATAAATTAGTATTGCATAATCAATTGAATATATTATTATCTGTAATTGTCATTACATATTATTTATATTTGAAAGTTTTGTTTTTTTTTTGCGTAAGGGGTACATGGAATAATTGGTTCATGACAGCGTTCAGAACTTGATAGTGTACATACTTAAGTACGGTTAGTTACTCTCCACTTTCTGACCTTTATAATTTTTTTCACAAATGCCTTCGTCCTTCGATATATTTACTTTACAGCAAAGAAGTATGACAGTTTAACTAAAATTTATTCAGGTTAATATTTTTAAAAAGTAAAGAAAATTACAAGGGCAGGAGAGGTAGTCACTTAACCAAATCAACTATTATTAAAAACTTTTTAAATACATATCTGAAATTTATTATTTATTAAAAATAAATAAGAGTCAGTGGTGGCCTAATGGTTAAAGGGCCCGCCTCTCGTTGCCGAGGGCGCGGGTTCGATCCTGGCCCGGCAAATACCAATGTGATTTTTCCGAGTCATATGTACTTTCTAAGACTATTTAGACATCACTGATAAATGTTGATTCCCTAAAAAGGGTTGATGTCAGGCAGGCGGCCGATCGTAAAAACAAATAGCCAAAACTATTCACAAAATGTAAGGCAGACCCTGGCTATATCTAGGAAATTGCCAGATAGAAGGTAGAAGAAGAATAAGCCTCCGCTCTCCTCTCCGGTTGAAGATTTTTATTATCTACACCCTACAGAATCCAATAGGTAATTATATAGGTAGGTATATATAAATTTAGAAAAATATAAGAAACTAAATTTATAGCAATATGAGTGAATGATCTTGAACGGTAACGACATTCATCAACAGAACTAGTGTTTACAAAAAAATATAGTGCACAGTCGAAACTATTACATGTTGTAAACTTTAAGAAATTGGTACTTAATCTATAAAACTGTTTACTGAAGACAACAATTTATCCTTAGTTAATTTATTACAATTATTTTAAGTTAAGTGAATTAACGTTATTTTGTATTGCACAATGAACTGAGACAGATCATACCTCTCTATCGTTTGTTCCGCGTTCTCGCTTGCACACTCGGCTCAGGCGCAAATAGTCTAGACTAGATATTCCAAATTTGTTATTTACCACCAGTATTTATCGATTTCTATGTAGTTACTACATCTTTTAATAATCAACCCATACAGGGTCGTCACATCAATGAGTTTGTTTTACTTTTCAATTGGTCAATGTCGTGGTTGAAGAATAAACACAAAACAGTATCCATGAGAAACATGTTACTTTATTAACTTACCCTTCTTAAATTACAAACAATAATTTGTTCAAAAATTCTTCTTTGACAGCAAAATTTACCTTATTTCTCTGTGTACAGTGCAATGGTTATGCTGTAAATAAAATGAAATATCCTACAGCAGCACTATAGATTATAATCTATACTATAGACAATAATTCGTACTTTATTATGCGTGACCTTTTGATTGTGTGATATGACTGTATTTTATTTTATTCTCCATTAAAAAGAGGATGGATTAATATTTAATATACAGGGTGACTGGTGAATTTCTATCAATATTTAAGGAGCATGCTCGGTACATGATTCTCATTCGAATTATGTAAAAAAAAAATAGGTTCTTAATTTTTGACCAAATTTCCGTATAAATAAATAAAGTGTGGACACGTTCCAAGTGTTCCAAGTGTGGACGCGTGCGGCGGCGTGCTGATACAACACCACGCCGCCGCACGAGTATGTGTGAGTGTGTGTGTATACCTAATCTGTAGGGTGTTCACACGATGCGTAATTAATTACATAACTTTTGGTTAACTTTACTTAGAAGTTTATTAATATTTATGCTTTATTAATTTTTATTTTGTCATATATGATCATCAAATATCACGTCCTCAAGTATCGATAGTAATTCACCAGTCACCCTGTATATCTTGTTAAGCAAATTTGCTAAGTTTGTAAACCTAAGGGTACATGACACATACGGCAAATGAGAAAGCAATACTGCTCGATTCACACACACCATCTAACTTACCTACCTCAATACGGTTCGTTTTTACTTATAATTACAACTGCATAGTGCTCAAGTATCATTCCCTCCGTCGGTAGGTCTAAATGAAGTAGAAAGTGGTAAATGCACTATCTCAATGACAGCTTATTCGCTCTTTCCTTGAAACCTCCCAAAATCTAACTCGTAAATCCAAGGAAATACAAACACAGGTCAAATATTCAAATCCTTTGCTGCATTAGGAAGGAGGAAGCGTATCGCTTTATTCGGATGCGAGGAGGGTCTACAACAAAAAGACGGAGGCCCATCGTGCGGTAATTTGGTGTAGTATCTATGGCAAAAAAAATAAAGCCTTATGTGCACCGCTTTGCCTCCGTCTGTGTTTCCTTCCAAATATAATTTGGGTATCTTCACGACTTAGTTATTGAGGTAGCTCTTTCACCACCTATTACTTTGTTTCCACTTACCAAACGGACAACTTACTAATTGAGACTTTGTAATTAAATCAAAAAAATCAATTAAATTCACAGTACTTACATATTCCTTATTTCTATCTGGTATCCTACAATCGAATCCCAATCTTTATTTGAAAGATCAAACGTTCACCTATACATGTTTTTAAAAAAAGAATGAGATATATAAAACAGTAATTAAAGCCTTTTACACGCATACTTCAATAAAAAGTGCTTATTGTCGTTTTATATCAAACTTTGTTTATTAAACAAGTCTTATATTCACTAATTTTTAAAATAAAATACCTACTGCCCTACTAAATTATATGTATATCAAATTAAACTAATACAACAAATAATATAGAACAAGATGTACGTGTTTCAGTTAATTTCAACGCTCAGTGCTAATTCGCTGCATAGCAAGAATAGTGAATACCATGCGCATCTGTTTGGAATCTACTCACTCTCTTTCTTTCATCATCGTAATCTTTCTTTCTCTCTCCGTCAGCGCAAACGTTTAATGCAACCTTGTTGGCAGTCGCAAAGAAGTGTCTCTTCAAAAAAGTACACATAGACCACTTAATAATTTATAGGATTAAAAGTCAATATCGGTATAGTACTTATGTCTGCCGATTAATCTATTGACCCTTAAGGTATTATGGTCTTTATAGAATTTAAAGTGCTTCCGACTGTTGTAAGAGGCGACACAAACAATGTTATCATTTATCAAGCAGTATGCATAATGTTTCGTATCCAGTTCTGATAATTTGAATGAACACTTAGGGTATTTCTTTGTTATTAACTCTTCCACTTGTTTTCTTAATCTATGTATAATTAATATTTTTGTATTTGAAATAGACTTATAAACCGTAAGTATATTTATTTCGCTTGATTTTCTAATTTTTTTCCTAATAGAAATTTGATGATAAGGTACAAATAAATTTTCATATTTTGGTCACAGTTTTGCCAGGTTTCTTGTTCCTCTTTTATTTTTAGAGCTGGTCCAGAAAGAGCGATTTCGCCAAGAATCGTTTCGCGCTTTATTGAGATACAGGGCACCTAATATTAGTCAACATGAGTTTTTATTAGTGACTTCTTTCTTTCATAACTGGGTTGACTACTTCGGATTTTATTTCACAATTGTAAATAATAATTTGAACGTATTCTCTACTTATGCTATCAATTTTTTCCTAGGATTGCTAAGTAACTTAAAAGCTGGAATATGGTTATTTATAGAAGCAAAATCGAAATTTAAAGATAATTTTATTAAATAAACTCACTACCCATTGGTTTTATAGTTAAATTGAATTATATTTATTTTATATTTATGTAACTTCTGTACATTAATAGCACCAGATTTTTTCGTCTAATATATATTAATAAGCATTTCTAATTTACTTGACTTTTAAACTATTTAATATGAAGATATTTTTAATATAAAGCAGAAAATAAAAAAAGCTAAAACGGGTCGTGAGATTTTGTCATCATAAAAATATTAATTTGGCTGTGTACACACAAAAATCAAACCAAAGAGGTTTAAAGGCAGACATTAAATTCACCGCTCAAACCTCTTATCTAAAACCATATGTGTATTTTCGTATAGCATAATTTTCATGAAAAAAAATTCACCTGACAAATTTTCAGAATAGCTCAATTGTCTACCAACTAAAGCCCTATTAATCGTGAAGGTTAAATATTCAAAGAAATAAAAACACATTTCTGTATATTAAAATAATAACAAAAACAAACAATGCAACATAAAATCTGAATAAGAATACAATGCTTTTTAAATCATCACATAGAGTACATGTTGTTTAAATACTGTTACATGAATAAATGCAATTTCTTTATTCAACCTTATGACCTTATGTTAATAGATTTGTAACATTTTGTAAATGAATTTAAGTAAGTCATGTAAACAGTTCAACTGATTAAATATTTATATATATGTATATGTTTTAATGCATAGATATAACTTGGAAATCTTTATACATTTGAATAGTTATCCTTATACTATCGGCAGTTTTTGTTATCACTTTAAATGCACTTAAGTTAATATATTTATCGTTCATATAAAATTTAAAATAATGTATTATAATAAACAAAGAAATGTAATTTTATTACAACTATTATTTAGATAGTATGGATATTTTATCAGATCAGTGTACTTTAGTGGTTTTTCTTCGACATATAACAAGATAATTTGATTGTCTTGTAAAAATAGCAAGAATCATAAATAAACTATAAATATCAATCACAGTTATTTTGTATGTAAAAATTAAAACAAAATATATAAAATGTCTAAAAAGAGAAGTTTTTTGTCAAAAAATATAATACATTGGAACTTTGAATTAAATAAATTGAAAAATTATTTGTTATACAAATTATAATTGTGTTACTTAAGTTAATAGTGATGTGTGTGGTTATTTGAATGCTGCATCCAACGCTTGTTCCAGGTCTTGTATGAGGTCATCGGTTTCCTCCAGACCAACGGATAATCTTATCAATGAATCGGAGATTCCCAGTTGTTCCCTTTGTTCAGCTGGGACGGATGCATGAGTCATTAAAGACCTGTAAATAATTAACATTATATGTAAATTTTATTAAAGTATTGATAGAATTTATGAATAAGTTATACTTTAAAATGAAATTAAAATAATGCTATTATGAGAACTATTAGAATTTATATTTGGGAGATCTGATGAGGTATATTATTGGTATACTATATAGATATAACTAATCATCATCATCATTATCATCAGCCTATCAGAGCCTACTGTTGAGTAAAGGCCTCTTCTCACATGGAGAAGATTCGAGCATTAGTCACCACACTTGCTCAAGATGGGTTGGTGATTTCAAACTTATAATTTGAAATTATAAGTCTAGGTTTTCTCACGATTATTTCTGAATGCATCTAATAGATCAATTCATAGAAGAATATTTAGGTATTTACTTATTTAAGATTCACCAGTGGTAAATACATCAATACATACAAAGGTATACAATTTTTATGCAACTTAAAACTAAATGCATTACCTATTAAGGTGAATACCACTTGCAATGATAAAGATGGAGATGACAAGCTTACAAATTATTAATTGATAGTAAATTAAGGTTAAAAATGACAAGGATTAACAAAAATAGATATGTTTAAAGTACTCACGGCAGCTCAGCTAAGCTCTCATATCCGCCGAGACTCTCAGCCAGTATGAACACTTTGATGGCACTGAAGAACTTTCTAGACTCCTGGAGCCCGCCGGAGTGACGGAAACTGAATACTCCCGAGTGACCTGTGCTTTGACGTCTGGCGATCTCGTGTTGCGGGTGGGAGGGAAGACCTGGAAATAATAATACCATGAAACATAAATTTATATTAATAATAATTTGTATTGAGTCAGTGGTGACCTAATGGTTAGAGAGCCCGCCTCTCGTTGCCGAGGGCGCGGGTTCGATCCTGACCCGGGCAAGTACCAATGTGATTTTTCCGAGTCATATGTACTTTCTAAGAATATTTAGACATCACTGATTAATGCTGATTCCCAAAAGAGGGTTTATGTTAATGTTGATGTCAGGCAGGCGGACGGTCGTAAAAACAATTAGCCAAAACTATTCACAACATGTAAGGCAGACCATGGCTATAGCCGGGATATTGCCAGGTAGAAGAATTTGTATTGAGAAAGTTCTTCTATAGCAACAGGATAGTTGTTAGCAACACAGAGTTTTGAATATTGTTTTTGTGTTCCAACAGTGCTTATGATTCATTATGAATGAGTTTAATTGAATTTATGTAATACTTATTCCTGTATGAAATTCATGTAAAGAAATTCAATTCTTTGAAAGTACAATATATTGAGAATTAATCCAATTTAACTTTAAGTCAGTATGACCATTAAGAGATTTAATAAGGTGTAGCTCGAAAAGTTTTATTGCTTAAACCTTAGCCTTTTATAAAACAATCTCTAACACTACATAGAAGTGATTAATTAATTTTAATATGATAGACTAATATTTCTATACCTGGATGCATAACTTCAACGACTTTCGGATGTTTGAGAAGCCACTCCGCTATCTTGAGAGACGACTTCTTGTGATGTTCCATTCTCAATGCCAGTGTCTTCAGACTACGTATTACCAAGTAGCAGTCCATTGGCGAAGGAACGATGCCCATTGCTGAGGAGAGGTTCAATATTAAAATAATACATAGAAATAGATATATATTTGTGTCTGTGTGTGTGTATGTAAAATTACATCAGATCGCCGTCTGAATATCGAAGTACCTTAAACTTAGAGGAACAATTGCTACAAGATCCACATATTTAAGCCTGCTAATCTTTATTGAACATAATCTACTTCTTAAGTTATAAACTAATTGATACATGTTATATGTCACATATTTGATTTCTAATGTGTGAATCTATACGAATAGATTTTAATTAAGTTCAATTATATTAATATACACGCAAGAGGCCCCAAAGATTCAAGGCAAAGCCGATTAAAGGTCCTTCAAAACTAATTTGCTATAGAATGCGAGTCTTGTTAAAACCCTAACTATTTATTTGAGAAGAAAAAAAATAATGTTAGCTACAATCTTTGTCTATGCTTGGTCATGCTTAACTCAGGTTCTTAGTAAAACTAAGACTCATTGAAAATTTTACGTTGAATTCATTTCAATCGGTTTATAAGTAAAAATTAGCAATTAGAGAAACGTTATTACTGTAACCAGGTTTAAGATCGGATAGAGCCGCATAAAATAAATGTAATTTTGTATTGATGGTGGTTGTCTCATAAGCTAATGTCCTAACGTGTATCTAGTTTCCAATTCTATGAGAGTCCTGTATGGGATACTGAGTTTACATGGGAAGGCGAAAAACAATCTAGTACCAGCATTTGCCGATTATCCAACTCTCTTGGACTTTCTAAAGATACCATATATCCCCATTGGAAATCATTAAATAATATCTATATATTTTGTCGAATTATATACACAAATTCATCGAGATTCATACGAATCGTTGAGACAAAAAAGCTGTACAGGGAGAAGAAAAACATTACCAGAACCGGTCGCGATGAGAGGTGGTTACGACCGTCTTGTTATGTGTTTGATGGAAATATAAAGGTGTAGTTTACTTCGAAATAGTAATAAATAGTAGAACTAACATTGACGAGGTATACAGTAGGAGAACTATAAAAATCATACTACGAAAGTTACGTGGAAAAGAAAACTTCGATAGGATTGAACTTCTAACACATCAAGAATTTAGTTCGTAACTTTGACAGTCAGATTACTATTTATTCAATTTACATTCTTTTGTAAAAAAAAAATAATATTTTGAAACTGCACTACGATATTTTTTGCACCTAAGTCCAAAGAATAGTTTTAGTGACAACTCAAAGTGCGTAAATTTAAGTTAAAACCATAGAGTTCGTTAGACTATACTTTGAATATAAATATTTTTTTTTTATAATTATTGAATAAGCAATTGAAGATTCGAAAACGGCGTTATTTATGAGAACTCCGTATATATCTATTAAGTTGTACTCATAAAATGTAAACATATATGTATTACATATCACGTGTATTAATTTAAATAAGACTAAGATTTTCAGATTGTATTTTTATTATTTTAAAACTACTTCCAGACGTCACAGCAGTTCCTTAACACCGAGACGAGATGAATAATTTTATGATAAATATCCAAAAAACCCTAATTGTATATAAACGTACTCGTATATTATCATTTATCTCCAAAGACGCTTTTCCGAGATCAATATTCAATAATAGTCAATAATAATCTGTGAGAATTTATGAAAGAAAAACTGTTAACGCTTAGTATGTAGTGTGATAATGCCAACTCTGACTAAGAGTACTAATGATCCTGCAACCTTCATTCACATCTAGCATCATTAACTACTGATTGTAGGTAATTCAAATAGTGCGGACACTACATATATTTGATTTTTTTTTTGATATTTCATTGCATTATTTCTATGCGCATTACTAATCCATAATATGTATTTATACGTAGTCCAAATAGCGCAAACATGACATCCACACTTGGCACGCCAACACACGTATGTGTGTTATTTGTGCAAATATGTCAAATGAAAACGAATAAATCCTCCACACGTTATCTTATTTCCGAATGCAATAAATAAACGGTAAGTGTAGTGCCACCTTTAGATCGACTTATCGTACAATATTTGAGTGAATGACACGTATAATATTTTTTTTTATCAATCTATATCAAAGAGAGTTAATAAGTCATTGTTATTAACAATCGAGCAATAGAATATACAAGGTGACTCCGGTCACATGAGGTTCAGTGACCACTTTGTGTTACTAAATATTAAATTGAAAAGACATTGACGACTCATTAGACTACATACGTCTTTGTTTCGATGACTTTAGACACAAATAACAGTCAAAATAAATATTTGTCATTCAATACATTGTTGTGAAAATTTATTTCTATTTTTTCGTATATTGTTGCTTATAGTATACTACCAAAATGTCAGATCTTGGTTGTAGGATATAATTCAATTACCAGTACCTCCGAAAAATATTACTTTCATTTAAATGAATACTCGCGAAAATCTTAGATCTCATCACATTTTAGTTCGTCTTTGTGTTATTTTTATATATATTTTAACAAAAAAGTGTACATAACGTAATTATAATTAATAATTGTAGTATTTATATGCATGTTTTTATTAAGTTTGCTCCACGCAAAACTTCTTTTACAAGAATGTTATTTATTACCTTGTTAATGAAATATTATTAAATAATTTAAAATAAAAACGTTACTTCAAAATCTCTAACCGACAAATTAAAAAAGAAATTCGAGAGGAGACTAAAGAACAATTCAGAATGACGAGTGGAGTATGAAAAGTGGAGTATTACTAAGAACTATTTAGATCAAAAATATATGGTAGAAATTGTAGACGAAAATTAAATTGAAAATAGTTTCACCATTTATCTTTTCGTTAATACTGTGGTTCGAGAAGATACATAAACTAAGATGATAATCGCTTTTGATGCAATCTCTAATTCGGCCATCAACAAAAGAATAGAAAACACAAAATTACCTAATTTCTGTCTTAAATTTACTGTCGAGATTTTAATGAAAATATTACGGTTTTTGTATGATGTATGGTATGTTCAAACAGTTGATGCAATTTCTTGTAACTTATAATATTTATAAAATCAGACCAAGTCGAATTGATAACCTTCTTATATGAATTATAGTACTCATAATTGATATAAATAAGAAAAAATGAGTGAAACCTATGTTTTCATTAAGCTTTTAGAACTTCAGTTTGTAAATGAACTTTGAAATATCGTTCATAAAAATTAATGAAAAAAAAAATCAAGATGTCATAAGCCATAACAATTATTTTAAATATTACTATTTTAAGAAACATAATACTCATTATTTTTTTTTAATTTAAACTATGCCTTCACTGTCATATATTTTTAAAATGACACGAATTAGTTGCTTTCACCTAAATATATCGTCGAATACGTATTTATAATAGTAAATAATATGTACCACACAAATGTTTTCTTATATACGTTTTTCAATAGAAATATTGCCGTTACAGAATATAGACATTGGAAGTCATTTGAAAACATCAGCCTGTATACAACCGGAACGAATGTATTGACAAAAAAAAATAGCTGAATATATATATTTTTTAAATTTCAACCGATCTATTTACATAAAAACTCTTCGGATCACGATGTTATCAAAGAATATTATATTATCAGCATAATAAACATTTATCATATAGCACAATATTTTTGACGCTTTTAGTGACCCAATTGGCTGCGTCTATAAATATAAATGTTGTAAATTTTCCGCAAGTCATTTGTTTTATATTGTGACGTATCTAATCGGTGGTGACGTCATATCCTGTTGGATTTCCTATGAACGAAACCGCCTCGTAATGGTACGGAAATACGTCATTGAGAAATATGAATCTATGCCGATACGTAATTAAATTCAGATTATAAAACGGAATAAAAATTAAACGATAACTAAAGGATTGTACTTGGAAGTTATGACGAGAACTCACAACGCTTTACCAAACTATTAAATCCAAGTAATCCCAATCATGACGTCATTAAATTATTTCGTGACGTCAAATCACGTTTATAAGACACTCGTACTAAGGAAACTATATGCTAATGTATCTATACTCCTATTTCTATGAAGTTATTTTAATACAAAGGATTCCGATAACCATCAAATAGGTCAAAAAGACACTTAAATTTAAAATGACGATCCCGAACTAACTACATACGTCACAATGTTATCTAAAATCAGAATAATGTTTACATGACAATAGATAAGGTTTCTAAACTTATTATTTTTTGTGTCAGTCGAAGCCACAGTTTGGTAGTTAAAATATACTGTGTCAATGTATTAGGTTGCGGTAAACCAGTAAGTGTCACGTTTCGAACTTATATCAGAATTCAGTCTTTCACTCTTCAATTTGAACGAAATAATTTCTCTAATATAAGTAATAAATATATACATACATATCTATAGTTAGAGTAGAATAAATTTCAATAAAGTTTAATTTTTAAATTAAATATATGAAAATAAAGAGAAATCTTAATTTATAAGTATTAAAATCTTCAGTACCAAAAACTGTTTCAGTCATTACTACGATAAGAGATGTCTTTTTTGGATATAATTTCGTCTTTCTCAATATACAGGGTGACTGGTGAATTACTATCGATATTTGAGGACGTGATATTTGACGATCATATATGACAAAATAAAAATTAATATAACATAAATATTAATAAACTTCTAAGTAAAGTTAACCAAAAGCTATGTAATTAATTATCGTAATAAAATCGTGTGAACACCCTACAGATTAGGTATACACAAACACACACACACGCGTGTGGCGGCGTGGTGTTGTATCAGCACGCCGCCGCACGCGTCCACACTTGGAACACTTGGAACGTGTCAACACTTTATTTATTTATACGGAATTTTTTCAAAAATTAAGTGCCTATTTTTTTTACATAATTCGAATGAGAATCATGTACCGAGTATTCTCCTTAAATATTGATAGTAATTCACCAGTCACCCTGTATATATGAAAACATCGCGCAAGAGTTTCTTAGTGAAAGTGACTTAGTAGTTTTCACAACGCAATTATCTCGTAAAAACAATCGAAGTCCATTATAAGAAGTCGTTAATATCGTTATTATAAATGATATCCAATTATATTTTTTACAAAAAATATACTATAATTTAAATTAGAACAAAGTTCTTTGAAAAAGAAATCAACCAGTCTAATTTAAAAACCAAAGTTTTCTAATATGCTTATCACTGAATATCATATTAACTTTTTATATTCGTGTGTTCGTCACCACAAAAACAGACCTTGAACGACTGATGACGTCACACATTTCCACACATCTTCATTGTTCTTTATTTGAATTTCTCTAAATTACCTCGTTCTTTATTATACTTTATCATAATTTTTTTTTGTTTCTTTTATTTTTATTCGGCCAGCTTATTTTTTTTTTAACTAACCTCATTTCTTATTTAAATTACTGCCCGTATGTTTTTTAAATATCGAACGCACAAAAAAAATATTACTTACAGTTTTGTAGGAATCGTAGCTTGCTGGCTAGATCATCGTTGTTGACTACGGCTGCTCCCATAATAACATCGGCGTGTCCGTTCATGTATTTCGTGACGGAATACATTACTATATCAGCGCCGAAGTCCAAGGGTCTTTGGAGGTATGGCGTGAGGAAAGTATTATCAACAACCAGTATTATATCATCGCTATGGGATTTCACTATTTTGGCCACAGCCTTTATATCCAACACTTTCAGCATAGGATTCGTTGGCGTTTCCATCCATACTAACTGAAAATATATCCCATATGATAAAAAGGAAATTACCACATTACAAATGTCGGGGGTACGAATCCTGACCAAATGATTTCGACATTTTATATATATACATATTAGTAACATATTACATATGTATCTGTCATGTAAATATTATTGTTATTATTAATAAATCAAATAATATTTTGATTTGTATATAAATATTGCGTTATACACGCTTAAACGTAATAATCTCTCGTTTTAATGCTAAAATGGTTAAAGGCTTATCAGTGTTTAATGTTTTTACAGTAATCATGATAAAGGCTGTTGTAATTCAAACATACAATGGTGATAAAAAAATTATGTGACATCAGTCAACCGCTGCTTCCTTAGTTTCTTATAGAAATCTCCAATAAAATGTTAATAAAATTAGGTAAGTAGTTTCTGAGTATAGGGAACAAACATACATATATGGTAGAAGTAATAGTATAATGATGCAATCAACATATATAAAGTCCACCATAATTTGCCATGTCATGGTGTTAGCAACAAGCTGTTAACATAACTCACCTTTGTTTTACCATTTATTGATCTATCTAACAAATCCAGATCTGAGAAATCTATAAAATTTATTTCTATACCAAACGGCGCGGCTACTCTCCTATAAGAATAACAAAAAACTTAATACAATAAATAAAAAATAAATTCAATTAAATATAATAATTATTAATACCTAAATAGTCTATTTGTTCCTCCATACACATCATCACAGCATATGATTTCATCACCCTGTTTCAGGAGCGAAAATATCGTAGTTGTTGCACCGAGGCCTGATGCAAAGGTGAAGCCGTGCTTGCCTCCGTCAAGGGCAGCCAAACATTCCTCCAAAGTGTTCCTCGTAGGATTCCCAGATCTACCATATTCATAGCCCTACAAAAGATATTGAGAACTACATTTTTTATACATATACACACATATATGTTGGTTATTTTGACATAAAAAACAAAGGTATATTATCACTATGACTAAAACATTAAAATGGAATTATCATAATGGAATAGAAAGTAATATTGATTGTATCTTCCGAGATGGGATGATACAAATATATTTCTTTATTACATTTAAATATTCAAATAAATACACAGTAATTTTAAAATTTAAAGAAAATTATTATGTAATTATTAATTTTAAAATTTAAAAAATAATTACATATTTTCACTTTAATCCTTTGAATATATAAATATATTGAAGTAATTAAAATGGAGTATATACTTACAAATAACAAAACTAAAACCTTATAACTTACATTTTAAATAAATTTGTTAATGAATATAAAATATATTACCGTGTGTTCTGCGGGGGCTGGTTGTTTGAATGTGGTTGATGTTACAATGGGAGTCACTACACTAGCATGTCTCCATTTATCAGGGCTCTGGCCAGCATGGATTGCTAAAGTGGAAAAACCTGGTTTCTGTTTCAGGAATCCTTGATCACCCATCTATTTAAGACAAGATAACTCTTATATTTTTGTTCAAATATTTACGTGTATTTTACAATTATTAAGTAAATATAAACAAAATATCTATTTCGCTTTAAACCCTAAAGATGATGCAATTTCAGTAATGTATTGTCATGCTAATGGTAATTAATCGCATGAATTTTTTTTTCACGAAAGGCGTTATTCCTTATGACGTGCAAGCCGGAAACAAAAAAAGATAAATAAATTCAAAATTGGAAAAAATTATTTCTTAAATTAATCTCACAGTTTTTTCGTATCCACAATTATATAATAAAATAACAAAGCGACTATTAATAGATGCCAGACAACGAGGTAAAATATTTTTTTATATATTTATTCCTATTTAAATATGTAATATTTAAGAAAATAAACACACACTGAGAATATACGTACCTTATATTTCGTCTTAAGTCTTAATTAAACTGTTTTAATTTTCAATGAAGCAAACTGAGAGTAGTTACCGAATACCGGTTAAAAATATTAACCTTAAACACGGAATCAAGAACAATGCTCAAATTCCGACTTCCCCGCCTCTGCAATGTCTAAACTCGAATTATAAGCAATGTTGCACTCTCATGAAATATATAGGTGTAATCCTAGCCATACTAAAAAATGCTGTTCAGATATAAACACTAAACTATAACACTACTGTTTCGAGAAACAATTTTTAAAAATTATTGAATAATAAAGCTAATTGAAACTATAATATTATCATATCATTTATTATTTCTCTAAAAGGGTGCCGTTGAAATATAGCGTCAAAGGAAAATAAAATGGATAAAGTAAAGCGAAATAAATTATTTAGAATGATGTGCTTATGTGTGGATATGTCGGTAGAAAATGATAAAATTGTTTAAAATATTAATAAAATGATTTTAAAAGTAAACTTTTATAAGCTGATTTCCAGTTTTTTAGTTCAAAACTTTAATATATCAATGTAAATTGTAAACTTGTAGGCAGTTACAAGTGGGCATATAACTAGGTACTTAAGGCTGAAAAAAAAACTAATATCCTAAATATAATACTTGAAATAAAAGAAATAGACTATTTTTTCTAAAATAACTTATGCTACTCTTTTATTTTACTTTTTAGTATTACTTGTACCCGTTAAATATATTTGGACCACAAATTCTCATACATAATGCCACCTCACACTAGATAGGAGTTAATGTTATCTAATTCAATTTGAATCATGAACTATTGTAATAATTCTAGTTTGTTAATCATAACTGATACTGTAATAAATATAGTGGGAACACCTTAATATATTCTGTACTCATTTGTAGTTATCAACTTGACATTATAGTATTTGATGAATTTAACCGCCAAAATCGGAAAACTATAGACATGGTTTAAATTTTAAAAGTTACGAATATTAGGTTTTTGTTTTCTTTATTTTAGTTTATTTTTGTTCTTATTTTAATTTAATAACGAAATGATATCATTGGTTACATATATTTACTTTAGATGAGAAGTGAGTTTATTTTTAATTTGAATATTTATTTGCATTTCACATATTTTCAATTATGAAGATTGATAGTAAACCACTTCGATACGCTCATGCTGAGGGTCACACAGATGTATGCTATACTGAGGATGGAAAGTTAGTACAATAATACAATATTATCAGACATTGAAAAGAATATTTTGTTAATTATGATGATAAATATCTTAATTTATTGCTGATTATTTTTAGACACATAATTACTTGTGGTCACGACGGAGATGTTAGAATTTGGCTGGATATAGAAGATGACGATCCAAATTCCCACTGTGTTGGTGAAAGTGCTTTGTCCGTTTGCTTCAAAGATGGCAGGCTGTATGTTGCCACTGACAATCATGCAGTACAAGCATACACATTCCCGGCATTTGATAAAGATGGGATAATAACCAGGTTTACAGCACCGGTCACTCAAATTATGTCTAAACCTAAAATAGAAGTATGATTATTGTGTAAAATTTACTATATTGAAACTTAATGCAATTGAATATGATCCTTTTAATTATTATAAATATTTTAGGCACTGGGTTGTTCTTCTGAGAATATGGAAGCTAAAATTTGCAGTTTGGAAGGTGGAGCCCCATTATTTGTAATGTCTGAACACAAAGGCCCAGTACTTAGTATAGCAATATGTCCGAACATGAAGCATGCTTGTACAGCATCAGGTGATGGGTTTATGAGGGTCTGGGATATTGATACGCAGAAAGTTGTGAAGGAACTCTCCTGTGTACCCAAGATAAATACTTTCTATTCAGCTAAAGTGCTTTGTAAGTATAAGGAAATAAAAGAAAAATGACATCTATACTTCTTGAACATTTCAATATCAATAATATTAAATAATGAAATACCCATAACTGAAGGTTTTTGTATTACAATTACACTATCTTATAAAGATTCTTGGGAATAATTTGATAGATAATTTTAAATTTCACTACAAATATGTGTAAAATCAGCTTATATGTATCTGATAATAAAAATGAATACCAAAACCACTGAATTGGAATTCTTCTCCAAAATGTAATGCTCTTTTGGATAGAATCATAGAAAATTGCTTAAATTGTTTAACTGAAATGAAAATTTGGATTTACTTTTATTCCAGGCAGAATGGATTTTGAGCCACAAGAAGGTAAATCCTTAGCTTATCCAAATAACAGAGAGATCATTATATTGGATTGTGAATCATGGAATCAGAGAGTGGCATTCACACATAGTACAGTAAGTTGTTACATTGCCAAATTGCCAGTAAGGAATAAATAAATATAATTCATCACCACTACTACCAACACATTAAAAAGCTGCTCTGATATAGGCGCATTTATATTTTTATTTACTTGTTAATATGCATATGTATAACAGTTAAAAAAATTAATTTGCTTAACATATCTTGACCGGGAATTCATTTATCAATTTTGGTTTACCAAACAAATGTATCATCAGATAATTAAGAAAAGATGCTTTTAGATGTTTTGCTTTAAGTTTGTTCTGAGCTGTAATTTCTTAACAATCATTATAAACTACAATATCTATATTGCAGATTAAATGTGCTATCTCACAATGCCTATACTCTCCGTCTGGTCAATATTTGGCGGGTAGTACAGTGGCTGGTCAGATAGCTGTGTGGGAGGTTGAGTCTGGAGCCTGTATAGACATCATTGAACATCCCACATCACATAACGTGTCTTCTATGACTTGGAATCCTAAAGGTGAACAATATATTGATATACTATTTGCGCCCCGCTGTGTTATCCGCGGATTTCCGGGATGTAAAGCAGCCTATGTGTTATTCCTGGATGTCAGCTTCCTGTAATACAAAATTTTATCAAAATCGGTTCAGCCGTTTGAGCGTGAAGAAGTAACAAACATACACACACTTACAAACTTTCGCAATTATAATATTAGTAGGATGACCTGGTTGAAAACTGATTAAACCATTGGGTTTGAAATGATCATTATAGTGAGAGAGTTATATGAGTATAAAATTTATGATAATATGTCTGTAATGTCAGTATTAATAGTTTCTAATAACAATTTAATACATTATGTTATATGAGATTTTTGCAACTACTCATTTAAATAAAACTAGATAAGTTTTTAGGATACTACATGTTTTTTAATTTAGTAACTACGTAATCCCATTATTTTGGTTCTTTTACAATCTTGTCTGCCTGTGATCAAGGTTGCTGTAAAGAACAAATGAATCTGGAACATGTGCATATAAAATAATAAAAAATGGGTAGTATCCAAAAACTTAGTCTCATTTATTTGATACATTTTTAGTTGAAAATCATTTAAAATTTTAAGTAGTACAATAATAACTGATGTTTTTTTCTAGATAATGGTGTTTTGGTGTACTGTGATGTTGCCGGTCAAATGGGTATGTTGCTCAACTGTTATGGGAAGGATAGCAACAAAATCACTGATGAAAATACAGATGTGGAGATGGTCGAAAGAGATGACGGTCAGTATTAGAAAAGCTCTGTTACTATCTTAAAAAATAATTAATTAATACTTTTAACAGGTAATATTGCTCTTTATAAGATTTATTCGGCATGTATGCACTATATCTTTATACAAAACCATACAACTTTATGCTAACACTAGCTTTCCGCCCGCAGCTTCACCCGCGTGGAGTTCGGTTATATCACGTTTCCAAGAGAACTTTTCAAAAGTCTGGGATAAAAACTATCCTATGTTCTTTCTCAAGGTCAACTCTGTCTGTACCTAATTTCATTAAAATCAGTTCAGTGGTTCAGGCGTGAAAGCGTAACAGACAGACAGACCAAGTTACTTTCACATTTATAATATTAGTAGGAATTTCAGTTAATATGTATTTTTTGATTACAGAAAATGACTTGGATAATTTAATAGAGAATTATGAAAGTGATGATGATAATGCTATATCCTTGGAGAGAATCAAGAATCAGACTTTAAAGACGGTTGATCAGGACGATTCCAGGCCTGTGTCAAGAGCTACTGTTGTACCACAGAGTACTGCTGCACAACCAGCGTTTCAACCATCCTCAACACCTGTACATTTAGAACATAGGTAATATATATACACAAATATTTTAATATCAATAAAAAAATATATATAGATACATATACACTACATACATCCAACGTTTCGGTTATATTATGTTAGTTAGATTTTCATCTTGTCTGTGATCACAGTTGCTGCAAAGTAACCGAAACATCAGGAGTATATAATTAGAAAAATAACATTAAAATTGCTTGGTAAATCCCAAAGTATTTGTTTTATTTCAGTATATGTATTAATGTGCAAATTATATTTATTTTTAAGGTACATGTGTTGGAACGATATCGGTATAGTCAGATGTCATACAGCAGAGAACGGCGAGTCTACTATAGATGTGGAATTTCATGACTCAAATTTACATCACGGCATACATTTAAACAATTATTTGAATCACACTATGGCTAGTTTGTCCGCCAATGTTCTGGTATTAGCGTGTGAGACTCCAAGGTAATGTATTATTCATAAATAGTTCTCTATAGAATTGGTTGCTGTACTTTTGAATATTTTGTTTAGTAGCTTCTATATGATTTCTTTCGTATTCAATATACAAGTAACTCAGGATTTGATTAGGGTAGAATCATCACCTATGACTAAAATAATATTTTCTTATACATATCATTTTTTAATCAATCATTTATAATTGAAGACAGTATTACTTTCCTTAAAGACTAATTTTATACAATTTCATGATTTTATACATATTCTAGTAACTATTAAAAATGTATGAAAAATAATTGTTTTTCATATCAATATATTTTCATTACATATCTTATATGACATGTAGGTATCGAATATTTGTTTGTAGCAAGCTGGTGTGTATATCGCTAGCCGGCAGCAGTCGTGAGTGGAGCGTTTGTATGACGGACACAGAGGAGGTGGTGTGCGTGGGCGCGGGCGGGGTGGTCGCGTGTTGTACCAACGCCAGGCTGTTAAGGCTGTATACACCACTGGGGACGCAGAGACAGGTGGGGCGTTGGAGACTTGACTAGTATTTTATTAATAATACATATATGGATATGGAATATTAATAATATCGTGCGGATCCATCGCGTTGCAGGGAGAGGAGCTTTAACAGCGCCTAGGACTTGTGACCCAGGTGTAGAATTAAAGGACCTCTACCTAACGCGAGTTAAACTCTCACCTCCACCGTACAAATTCCTCTCTCCATCTTATCAATTTTGAAACGAACCTACTAGGGCTGTCTTCGAAGAAAACAAAACAAAACCTATTGAGCGCTAAAAGTCCGAATAAGAAACTTTAACACAGCCTTAGAGGCGGGTTTACTTTACACACATAATTATATACCATATGTTGAACTAGTAAATTGCCATAATGGCCATAATCGTCTTAAAGCGACGTGACTTAATAAATTAACCAGATTAATATAATCATTTTTTATACATACATTATTACAGGTGATATGTCTCTCGGGGCCGCCTGTGACGCTCGCGTGCTACAACACTACAGTCGCTGCCGTGTACCACAGGACAGATCCCGGGGTCACTGACCAGCATCTCGCTATGGACATCATAGCACTTAATGGTTAGATTATTATGTTCATCCCTACTAATATTATAAATGCGAAAGTAACTCTGTCTGTCTGTCTGTTACGCTTTCACGCCTAAACCACTGAACTGATTTTAATGAAATTTGGTACAGACATAGAGTTGACCTTGAGAAAGAACATAGGATATTTTTTATCCCAGACTTTTGAAAGATTCTCTTGGAAACGCGATATAACCGAACTCCACGCGGGCGAAGCTGCTGGCGGAAAGCTAGTTAGGTTACAAACATTAATGGCTTGTTAAGACATTTAAACAGACAGCGCATGGTGGGATGCTAAATACATACATCTAGGAACCATCAAACGTCTTTACAAGACATCATTTATTTCACATTGTTCAATGAAACTGGAATCTTAAATATTCTCCGACCTAGTATATAAACGTAATTAAAATTTTCAATAGCAATAATTTTCAAACTATAAGGTTATAATCTCATAATAATTGATGACCTCTAGGTCGTCAGGTCCGCAGTAAGACAGTACCACTTCCTCTATCATCGGGGTCCAAGTTATCCTGGCTGGGCATGTCAGACGCGGGGTCCCCATGTGCCCACGACTCCGCTGGGGTCCTACGTCTCTATGACGTCACTAGCGCCCTCTGGATACCGATATGCGACACTAGTCATCATTCTAAGGGGGTTTCGGACTCGTGGTTTATTGTATCGGTAAGTATGCTATTCTTTTATTTAGGATCAAAATCCACTAACATAAATAATTTTTTATAATGTAGTATTTCCGATAATTATATTTATGTTATTATTTATTATATAACATGTGTTTTATATACAGGGTGACTGGTGAATTACGATCAATATTTAAGGAGAATACTCGGTACATGATTCTCATTCGAATTATGTAAAAAAAAATAGGTTACTTAATTTTTGACCAAATTTCCGTGTAATAAAAGGTTGCTTTATCATACAAAAGAGCAACAAAGGGTCTCACAACTATATATTTGTAAATATAAACCTAGTATATTAACAATTCAGTTTCAAATATTATACATGTTATTCAGTTTATGGCAAATTTACTTTTGTATATCAAAAATGTTTTCAAGTTTGATGATTTTAATAGTTCAATGTTATAAAATTTGGTTAATCTTATTTCTGGAATTGATTGAACTGATTTACATTCACATAAGAAGTGTTTCATAAATAATAATTGTATTATTATTATTGTTTACTTTAAAAATGTGGATAAAAATGTTTAGCTGCTATTTTTATTTATGATATACATTATATTGTTTAATTCTGCTATGTATGATTAAAAAATAATCATTCTAGGTCAGTGAACCGACACAGAAAGTTCGAGCAATATTATGTAGAGGTGCCTCATTCCCGTTGACCGTACCGAAACCAATCATCGCTGAATTACCGATACAGGTATATAAAACAATTTTATTCATCACAATGTTATGTAGTCATTACAATTAATACATTTAATTTTCTGTATATTTCAGATACCGTTATGTGAGTTAGATACAGAAAAGGCACAATACGAGGAGCAGTTGGTGCGATGGGCGCATATGACGTCAGATGTTGACATCAAAACAGCCAGAGAGACTGCCTTGAAGTTGTTTGCTGTAAGTTATATTCAAGTGATACTTCTAATGCAATTTCTAATAAGGTTGCGTTAAAGGTTTAACGCTACTTGGTGGTGCTCGAGCGGTATATGCGCGATCAATTGTGAATTATAAAAAATATTTATAAAGTTTGTTTTAAAGAGATAATACAAGTACAATAGAAATCAATTTACACACCTTTCTATTTTTATTTCCACATTACGAAGTTTTACTTTTTTCGCTTTTATAGACACACTGCACAATTTTAGTGATACTAATTTATAATTTGAAATCATATCAATATTTAATTATTTTCTATATTCTCAGTTGGCGTGTCGCAGTGAGATAGAGCAAAGGGCGTTGGAACTAATGGAATTATTGAGAGACGATCGTCTGTTACCTCTCGCCGCGAAATACGCGTCGCGGTTAGGGCGGATACATCTGGCTGAGAAATTAACTAGTCTCGCTGAAACATGGGAGAGTGACGCGAGTAAGGTCAATGACACACAAATGACGCACTTCACGGAGTTGGATACACAGGAGACTTATGACGTCACAGAACAACACGAAGATCTGAACGCGAGCTTAATAATACCACAGAAAACAACGAAGAAGAAAGAAGCGGAGACTGTGTTGAAACCTGTTGTAAGTTATAGAGATGTGTTGATACAAGTGGCGCCATCTGTGCCCTTATAATTATGGTGTAAGAGTGATTCTAATTAACAATAAGTTAATGTGACTTTTTATATTGCTAGGATAATATTGTAGGAAGCTGATACTAGATTTAAATCATATAGTGAAATTGTAAGTAAATAGCTATTAATTATATTCAAACGAATATTTGTGATTAATTATAAATACTTACCTTACTTATGTTAATTTTGGGATGACAACGTTTGTTTGAATTTGAAGGCTTTAAATACTAGCAACTTTGTAGGATATTTCTCGAATATACGCGAAACATTAAGAATCAAGACTAAAACTGTACCTTGAACAATAATAACAACATGTAAATGTTTTGTTTTAATGAATTCTAGCCAATCAAATCATCGCCGGGCGGCGCCAGGAATCCATTTAAGAAACATCAAGATAACAAGCCTAGCCAAAGTCCTCTCAGCCTCACAGAACGAACGCTGGTCGAAGTACATCAACCACAAACGGATGACACCGAAAATAATGACGTGAGTATCATAAAAAATTATTTTACCGATTCTTTCAACAATTATTAACCATAATTATATTTCCAGTCACTAAAACCGGCAGACGGCGAGACGTTCGTAGAGTGGTTTTCAAGGAACAAGTCGATATTAGAAAAACAGAATCCTGAACTAACACCCGCGGAATTAACACGACACTGTGTGAGGACGTTCAAGAGTTCGCAAAACAAAGTGGTAGAAAATGGTCAGAAGAGAAAATTGGGTGAAGATGATGAGACTCCGGCCACTAGCGCGCCAAAACAGTCCAAATTAAGCGCATTTGCATTCTCCAAAAAGACTTGATATTTTAATTAAAAAACTATATTAAAGCAGCATAAGTATTTATTACGTTCTGTACTTCAACAATGAATTGAAAGTTTCGACATTGTTGAAAACTTCAGGACTGTTATTGTAAACATTTTTATTATTGGATTTATGCGTTTTATACATTCACCTTGTTTTATATGCTTTATTATGTATAAGAAAAAATGTGAATAGTAAAAATGTTGTTTTTTATTTTAACCGTTAACAAGTTCAGCTTCATCGGGCTCCGGGAACATCCCTTCATTTATCATCCTCTTCCATTCACTGCCGTGTGGGTAAACGAATTTTTTCAGTGTTTCCGGCAAAAACTGCGTACTGTATCCGGGTTGCTAAAAAAAATGACAAATATATAATTATAGCAATTAGTCAACCACTTATACTAATTTATGGACATTCTGCTTATAGTAATAAAAACGTATTGTATATCAAAGCAATAGTTGATTTTATACAAATTAAAGTTTAATAAAGTTAACACAAAGCAATTAAATGACTAGTCATATTTTTTTTATTATTAAAAAATGTTTATCATGTTTCGATGCAGAAAAAAATGATGGGGTAGGTCAAGATAGTATTTAATAAAGGAATATAAAAAACATCAAACCTTAGGTGCGATATATCTCGCTCTCTCAACTATGCAAGGATCGTAGAAGTGTTCGTGTTGTTGGTCGACGTACTCTATGAGCCGACCCTCCATAGATCCCGACAGACTCACGAAGTCCCACGCCTGGAGGTGTTGCACCATCTCACATAAACCAACCCCGCCGGCGTGAGGACACACTTTCACTGTATTATGTAAACATTAATTAAAATTCTGAAAAGCTAAATTATGTGTCTTAGATCACCTTATATGAATAATAAAGCTAGTTTTAACTAGTCAGTAATTACACAAGTACTGTTCTTGGTAACTAAGCAAGTTATATGTTTTTTAAAGCATGCTAGGTTTACATCCAGAAGACTGCAACTTAATGACACTCTGTTTAGCTTAGATTTTATTTTGTATGCACCAGTTGTCAGTTTTGTAAACTTAAAAAAAAGCTGAGATTAAGAATTGAAAAAATATAGCCTTTAAAGTATTAATGTTGATAGTTAAGCCTCTGCCTCGATAGGGTCGTCCATCATTACATATATCTCATCTTAAAAGATGATTGGGTATCACAAGAATGTTGCATTAGACAAGTAGGAGTGGGGATGCAATCGAAAAAACTATAACGTAACTTTAAAATAGGCAAACACCAAGCTCATGTGTATATAAAACTTTAAATATCAAATACTTCCAACTATATTCTTAATAAAATAACACTCATCATGATATAAACTAAATTATTATAAAAATCATAAAATAAGAAAAGATAGATCTTTTATAAATCGGTTTTATATTACTATTTACTGATATATCTTTCTTAAAACCAATAAATAAATACAAGTAAAAAAAAAATATATAAGGGATATGTGGGGTATTCAAGTTTTTGTTATCTCTATTTTTATATATCATAACTATATTTTAAAAATAAAATTACGTACCATTAAATTTGTAGGCCATGAGGTATATCGCTAATATCTCATTGATGCCCCCTACTCGAGCCGAGTCGATCTGGCAGTATTGCATACCATTGCTCTGTAATAGCTGTTTGAATATCACTCTGTTCGCACACATTTCTCCAGTGGCAACACCGATGTTATAGGGCCTACGAAAAAATATATAATAAAAGTATTTATAGAAAAAAATAATCTATACTAATATTATAAAGCTGAAGAGTTTGTTTGTTTGAGAGCGCTAATCTCCGAAACTACTGGTTCGAATTGAATAATTCTTTTTGTGTTGGATAGTCCACTTATCGAGGAAGGCTGTGGGCTATATAACATTACGCTACGACCAATAGGAGCAAAGATATAGTGGTAAACGTGTAAAAAACGGGAAAAATTATTTCATCTTTGAAGCCTTCCGTTGCGTGCGCCGTGAAAACGGTTCAAGATACACAAAAAATATGTATTAAAGAATAATAGCTCTTTTAATGATCTAAAAAACAGTCCGCGACAGTATATGTCTATCTTTTAAGATTAACTCACAAAAACCATTTTTATGGTACCTAATTTGGTCGAAAAAATTTGTTTAAGTTGTATCAATATAATAATATTAATCTTTATTCAAATAAACAAATAAATATGTTGTTGGTTAAGAGTACTTCATTGTGAATAAAAAAAATATAGGTTTTATCCTCAAAATTCTACGGGAACTCGACCATTCCGAAAATTCCGCAAGAACGGGAATTATGTGGGATGAACCAAAAATCTGCCGGAAGTCACTATTCCACGCGGACGAAGTCGCGGCAAAAGCTAGTTATATATATAAACATAGTATAAATGAGTTTACTGTAATGCTTTGGAAATGGCAGCGTGTCCCAAGATATCATCTGGAGATGTTGGTTCTTCGATCCACATTGGTTTTAGTGGCGCCAATTTTTTCATCCATTCTATCGCCTCTTCCACACTCCAAGCCTGGTTTGCGTCTACCATCTAAATAAATCAAATAGTTATATGCCTTTAAAGTTTTACATTTTAATTAAAGCAGTGAAATAAATAGTACTAGGTACCAAGAATTTGTCATCTCCTATGTACTTGCGAACCAGACTGCATCGTTTGTAGTCGTCCTTAACGTCACGACCAACTTTTACTTTGAAATGGGTAAATCCCATATCTAAATATTTTTTACACTGTTCCTTTACGAATTCATCGCTATAGCCCATCCAACCTATAAAAAGACTTTTTCATAAAAGCTGTTTATTGTACTTTTACTTCAAATCCAAATAAAAATTATAAAATAACAAATTTTAAACATCCATAATATAGTGTTGCAGTTTTTTTTACCAATTAAGCTGTCATGCTTTCGTTTAATTATTATGTTTATGTATTTAAAAAAAATATGTACCTAACTATTAGTTAAGAATAAAACTTAGTTATATATACCTAATAAAAATGTTTTACTCACCTACTTGGGTTGTGTAAGCTGGATAACCTTTCTCTTTTAGTATTTTTTCTCTCTCATTTTTGCCATTTTGTTTTGATTTTAAAATTTCGATAGCCTCTTCTTTAGTTATTACGTCGGTTATGTATCGAAAATCAATTGTAGATATGAGTTCCTGATAAAAAATGAAGTATTTTAGTAATTATCATCAAAATAAACTAAAGAGGATTGATAAGAAAGTTCGAAGGTGCTTTAAAGATAAAACTATATGTAATAACATCTCGTGAATCTCTGGGTTACTTAAATAGATAATGTTAACGACAGAACAATATGTTTGTACCTCTGGTGTTAAATCTGCTAAAAGTTTCCAAAGCGGCTTCTTCTCGAGTCTAGCCCACAAATCCCAGAGTGAATTTAAAATTGCTGCCACAGCTAAAGTGCACTACCCCTTTTTCGGGACCGAGCTGAAGACAAATTTAAAATATGAGATCATACCATTTAAACAAAGCTCGTCACTCGTCGGATTTCAATATCGTGTATTTTATTATTTTACCTCAAGCGATTCAACGAATTTTCACCAATCGTAATGACGTTTAAAAAGACATGAAAGAATCTCAAAATTTTATACTTCAAGGGGTGGCATTATAAGGTTGTTAATACTTTAAAATCGTGTAAAATGTAATTAAAACCTCATACGGGGCTCTAAAACCGTAAAAATTGTAAAGTGTTATCAAACATCTCAATTAAGGACTAATACTGTATGATAAATTTTCCAAGCACTATGCAAGACAGTTAAATTATCGTGGCTGGATATATGCTTATGGACCACTGACTACATCGTAATTATGTTAATCTTTTTATAACAATGGCATTTCATAATCGTCACTGGAGTTAACAAGCAGACTTTACAGTCCTATTGAAGGGCGACCTTATTTTTTTCCATATTTTTGGCTTTCAAGTACTGATACTTTATTGATTACTGATATTTACAATATCAAGAATATTTTAAAAGATTAATGAATTACCCATCTCATCTGCGAATCATTAGTTATAGTCCGCCAAAATTCAGAGAAATTTGCAAATATGTCAACGGCGTTGCGACCCAGTATAAACTTCTTCATAGAGCGTATAGTGAGTACTACAATCTCCGTTCCTCGGCCGCAGGTGAACGTTAGACCATAACCCTGCTGGCCATTCTCAGTTCTGGTGGTGACGTACGCGCAGGAGTAGTTTGGATCAGTGTGCTATAACATTGTAGAAAAATTTGATTAACTAAATTACTGAATAAATATTATAAACTGAACTCCTTAGTCCATCCTAAAAACAATATGAGGAGAATAATTTAAATGAAAGTAATATTTTCGGATTTACTACCTACGCGTTTTTTCATTAATGTTTATAAACTGCATACTTCCGACGTTTCGGCTACTTTACAGCAACCGTGATCACGGTAGTTTATAGTCAAAAATAAAAAACGCGTAGTAAATCCGAAAATATATTAGTTTAATTTAAATGAGTACCTACTGGCGAAAATATTGATCTCATTATGAGGAGAATAACTTTAAAAGCAAGTAGAAAAGTAGTAGAAAAACATTGCAATTTTTATATATTTTCTACAGTAAACAAGCGATTCGTGACCGCTCAACAACTTTAACTCTTCAAAGTAATGATACGGGGATAATAAAAAAAACATTATTGATTGTTAAATAAGTAACATAAATATTTAAGTATAACAGCTTCTTTATCTCAAAACTGATTGTTTCAAAGTTACAGAATTAACTGACAAACAACTGAGCAAATAGTATATCGATGATATGACTTACACAAGACGCGATGTTTATTAAAATTACAAAAGGGGGTATAAGAGAAAAGTTCATATGATATTGCACTATTATAGGTATATATATTAATATTCTTTTCAATTGTAATTTTATGTGATTTACTTACAAGTGCATCAGATCCATGGCCTCCTAGAGAAGTTGGGAATCTCACATCCTGAACGTCGATGTCAACTATATTAAGACCGTTCCGTGATAAAGGCATTGTTTTTAACGAATACCTTACGACTAATGAAATTATTTTAACTCGTGTCTATATATAGCTGATAATTTGTTTGTTTTGAAACAAATAGAGATAGCGGAGAAGTTATCAACATTTAACAATTTAATTATTTACTTGTTTTTTCTTTATCTTTTTAAAAATTATGATTTAAAACACCTGTTTATATGAATTGATTTTTAGACGTCTTCCACAATTTTGAACACACTTAAATATAAAATTTAAATTATTATTTTCTCTAAAAGGTAATCAAAATAATATGGGTAAATAGTTACAAAGTTTTTAATGAAAAATCTTTATTTCACAATAAATCGAAAACAGCAGCCTTTTCATAAATTTCTTTCAACAAATATAATTTGGAATGATAAAAAATATACAATTTGGTACTTAAATTCCCGTGACTAGAAAAACGAATATACAAAAAATATTAAAACATCTGTGAACATTTTTTTTGTGCACATTTTGTACTTACAGTACTCAAAAGGCACTTGAAATATTTGCTTAAAAATACTTACATACTAAATCTCCTTATTGACATTGTCATAGAAAATATAAATTTAATCTCAATACAAAATATAAAAATATGCTTATAAAATTGTCCATTTAGTTTATTTAAGCACCTGGTATTATTAACAAGACAATAATTACATCATGTAGCATTTTTCAAATGCAAGGAATGATGAAGTGTTGTGAACTATACAAAAAATACATTTTTACAAATTGTATAACACAATCCTCAATTTACAATCGTTATTAATTTCTAAATATATTTGTATACAATTATTTATTGTTTGGATCTGTCATATATATCGGCCATTCCTTTAACAATCTGTCTGTCTCCGTTCTCCCACAGCACATTTGATAACTTCCCCAATGTACCGATATCATCATTCCTCTTCCAGTCCAATAATAGTTTGTAACGAGCCTGAAAACATTTACAATTATATAGATTGATGTAAAATGACTAACACTGACTCATAGCCACTGACCTAAGATAAAATAATAATACATCCGTAATTAAATATTATCGGCAAAACAAATGTTACAAAAGTAAAGGGGTATACTGTATGTATAGAAAAAGTATTTGAAGTATACAATAAATCCAGTAGTTTATACTACTTATGCACTCTGAATATACATTTGTATAACTATTTAAGTCTGGTCACTAAGAAAGCAAGTCTAAATAATTATATGTGCTTTAAAAGAAATTGTAAGCCACTAAACCAACTAGAAGTAGTTGCACTATTAGCTTATAAAATTGGTTAATTACTCCTTAACTTAAAATAACTGGTTATTAACATTATTCAATTTAATAAGAGTTACCTCTGCAACACCTTGCTTTGCGTTATCAATTTCAGCAGTTTCTATTTGTCCTTGAGTGTATCCCAGCCTTCTAAAGAGACTGTACCAGTTTTTGCCCAGATTTTTGGATATATAATCAATGTATTCATGTTCTGGCTGCAACAATGACAATCAGAGGTTGAATTTGTATTTGGGTTAAAATGATGACATATAAAATAATTCATTACATGAATAGTAATATAAGAACTTGTTTACCTCAATACTGGCTTCCAACAGCATTGCAATCAACTCTGTTTTTTCTATAGGTTCTTCGTCATCACTTGAGGGTGTATGGGATTTCCCTGGCTGGCCGTACGCATTTCCCATGTAATACACAAACTCATTTCCCCACCTTACTTTGCTTGAGTTCACGATATTAATTACATTACCCCCAGCTGCAATAAGTGCACAATTTTATAGAATACTTTATATTTACACAGGTTAAATTTTTTACAACCAAAGTAAAGCAAACATTGAGAATACAATTATCATATAATTTTTTCCTCGAAAATTCGATGGTTACCTTGAGTGTTGACGTTGCTGCTAGCGGTACTACTGCGACGATCTTCCTCATCACTTTTCACATCTTCACTTTCATTTTGAGGAACTGAGAATGACTTTTTAAATTTTGGTTTCTTTTTGTTTTTCTTTTCGTCATGATTAACAAAGATTTCTTCGTAGTTGCCATCTATGTTTTCAGTTTGTGGTTCACTGCATTCATTTTCATTGAGGTTCGTATTTTTACGAGGCGGACGAGGTACGGCGTCCGATTTTAAATTTCGGAATATTTCCATAAACTTGGCACTTAATTTGCTTGTCATTTTATATAAATAAATATTTAAAATTTTTGAAACAAACACAACAAGGAATTGAAAAATCCCATTGACGTCACTGTTGGTGTTGCAATTATTTTTGATTTGCGCTTTTAAAAAATATGTTATATCCTTTCAAGACCAATTAATTATTAAAAAACATACATAATTGCTTTTAATATTATTAATGATAAATTCGGGACGGTATGGAATTTTATTGCAGTATATTTAGTTTTAAAAATGGCCTGAAAGGTACAATAAGAGTTACCAATCTATGATTAATCGTATTTTATCTCGAGAATTTTGACTATCATAATTTGTTTTTGTGACTATCTGATAAGGACTAAAATAAAATAATTCTAGAATAAAACATTGTAATCTTTTTTTTAAATTAGTAACTAATAATTATGATATTAGAAGTTTTTTTTTATTAAATCATTTAAGTTGATACTTTCATATGAAAACATATACCTAAATGAAAAAATGATAACGCTTAATATGGAGTGTGAGGATGCGAACTTGGGGTAAGGGTACCTACTATTTAGGAAAATGGAGTCAGATTACGATTATTGCAGAAGGGTCTCCTGAAATTTATCTCAAAAGGACATTTGTGTTTATAGCAAGGCCTATCACATTATAATAAAGAGAATATTTTTTTATATGTAGTTATTACTTATACATATAAATATATAAATAAATATAAAACTAATTCGAAAATTTTAAACCTTAATACGATCGTGTGTTTTTATGAAATCGAAATAAAAGTGAAGACTTCTATTAAATAACAACTTTATATTTTTGATTAAATACTTTACCATAGATTAGCCCAGTTTTACTCTAACTATATAAATGGAAAATATAAATGATAATAATGGCCATTCAGTAGAAACTAGAAGACAAGATATTCAAATTTAAATTTTAATTACTTTTATTAGAGTATGAAATTAAAATTAAATAATTGATTAACGATTAATTAAGCATTATACTTACTTTTATTAAAGTGCAAAAAGCATAGGTACAATTTAGCGAAAATATAAAGATTACACAGCCAGTTGATGCGATGTCAGCCGAACTCAATTCTAACGCGGACTTTTTTATTTTAATTAGAAGCCGGCTGTTAAGCGACAAGTGATAGTACTTAGCTCAATTTGTAAGATTAAATGTTTAACTTTGAATACTAAGTCAGAAGCCCTCCTTTTATGTTTTTAATTGTAATGCTTTAGTTACATAGAGACTCAGAGGTAGTCGAATTTGTTTTCCTTATTTCGTAATTTTTATTTAAAATATCATAATAATTCATTTTAAATATGTAGTACATAATTTAAAAGTGTTTCGCCCTCTTGAAGCGTTAAAAATTTATAAAGTTGATTTTTTTTACATACTACATTTGATGGGTTAGATAATGTTTTGTTCTCATACCATGTACATAGATTAATAGATCCAAACGTATGAAATACATTATATATTTAAATTGTTTATCTAGATACCCTTAAACGCTTTGTCTTAAATAAATTCTTATTAATAATACAACAATTTTAGTAGCCTAAAAATTGACACATCAGTAGTAGTAGCCAAACAGCAGTAGCTTTTCTTTAAAATGATTGAAAAAAGTATTTTCAAATTGGAATATTATTTTTAAATGACGAATGTAAAATTGAAGTTTCGTATACTTAAGTTCATACAGAATTGTGTTAAATTATTTGATATTCTATTTAATTTAAAGTTCTTTAACTTATTAAGAGCTATTTTTTTTATTTGTGATCATCATTAGGTACAATACCTTGATCTAAAAGATGTGTCGCAAATTGAAAGTATACTTTTAAAATGAGTATCTGCTCTCTTAATTTAGGTAATTATTATTTTTTAAATTAACATACTAATATAGAGTTTTATTTACATTTGGTATAATATGTTTAATTTGTAAGTATATACACTTTTTGGTATAAATAACCGACAATTCTTATTACGAAAAACAATATTTCATTTGATAGGTAGGTATATTTGTCAAAGAAATCGTATTGAAACATTTTATACACTGTTAATTTTGAAGTTATACGTTTAATTTAGATATAATTTACTAAAAATGGACGAAAAATCTAACAATAATACTTGGTTTCGACCTTCAATCTCCGATCTATTAAAATTATTCGAAATGAAAACAATCCACGCAAAATCCAATCCTTGTTCTGGAACAAGTAGCCCCAGGAAAGAGAATGTTTCGCCTTGCCCACCGATAGCTGACAAAGCTGGAGGAGGCGATGCACCACCCGCGAAGAAATGTGCATGCAGAGTACAAGATAGCTCGAAATCTGCGAGTGATCGGGGTATTACTGGGGCTGGGGTGACTGGTTCAAGAACTGGAAGAATCTGTGACAGAGAAGACGAGCCTCCGCTTCCCCTGGGAGCCACAAATCCTGGACTCCTTCGCCACATACACAACGCAGCACGACACCGTATACCACAATGTTTCGAGGGCGCCTGTGTGTCCATGAAACATAGTTCTACAAGCAACTGGGTGGTTGGGCATTCTATGTCGTTCAGTTCCGTTACTCCAGGCGGTTACAAGATTTTATTGTCGTACGCTGATAAGAAAAGGTCTATCGGCTTGCCATATTTTGTGATGGAAGCGGCTCCGGGTGGTCAGATGAGTTGTGAGATACGTGTCGGTCCGACCGCAGGTACAAGAGCGACGGTCGTAGCTCAAGTCGCTGATGGGGAAATTTATAGCTTCGAGGGCATCTACGACGCTTACTTTAACAATTTCACCGCTTCAATTATCGCCGTCAATCGCGAGTTCATTGCTCTGCATTTCTTACAAGTTTGTTTATCTTATTTCATATAATTTTATTCAAAGTCGTCCTTATATAATTAGGTGAAATATAAGTGGAAATGTGACTTTGCAGGCTATTACCGATCAAATTTCTCTTGGAGCGGAGGTGGTAGCCCGGAGTCATGCGGCTGAATTAAGTTCTGCTTCGGGCGCGGCTCGCTGGGTAGCTGAAAATCATTCTGTCAGCGCAACACTTGGAAACCGTGGTCTTGACTTATGCTATGCGAGGAATATTAAACCATTCCTGACTGTTGCTGCTATGCTTGAAGTAAATATTGAGCTACTTGCTAATCGTCATGCAGTTATGAACTTTATACATTATAAATCTATTAAAATAGAAACAATTCAACAGTTTTTTTTCAAACGTATTCATTGAAATTTTAGTCAACGACGCACTAAACTTATTGTAACGATGTTGCCTAAAAACCAAATACATATTTCTTTTCTCATAATAGCGACGCCGTTTCTCTTTTAAAATAGATTTCATTTATGAGTGTCAAAATAGTAAACAAAAAATAATGCTAAATCAGATTAAGTCAGTCGGTTTCACCTTTTTAGCTTTTGTTCTAGGCCCTCAAATAAGATGTATGTTTCAGGTGGGTTTTGCTATACGTCGAGCGGTGGCCACACTGGCCTACGAGTGGCACACTGACCAGTGGACGGTGAGAGCTTCCGTGGATTCCGACGGACTCGTGGGCGCCACGTTACAAAGAGCACTAGGTGGGAAGAGATCACACCTAGCTTGTGCTATATCAGCACTCCTCAATCACCCGAACGATAAATTCAGGCTGGGATTCGGAGTTACCGCGGCAATCATATAAAACGAACACAAGCACAAAAACATTTTATATTGTATGTTCTCTTCAATCAATCGCGTTTTGAAAGTTATTACATTTCTTAAATTGATATTTAACTATCATTTTAATAATTTAAGACACCTTTTATAGTTAAAAGTATATTTGTATAGCTATATTTAGCGGACGCGTCACCTGTGACTGTGATTGTTATACAATTGTTAATGTTAAAACTGAGACATTAATTAAAAAAATGAACAAAACTGACGTTTTTTTATTGGTAGCACTGTATTCACAAACGTTCACGAAAACATTTCCATCGACACACAACAGAGGTTCGGATAAAAAATTCATTTTCAATATAAAGATAATGTAGGCGTGTATTACCCGCCGTCGGGAACTTCAGTGCATCAACACGGCACATACTTGGGCGGGCGCCTGCGCGAACCTGGGGCGGAGTCTGTCTCCCAACTTAAACATCCTGCTGCTCCAAACTAACCTCTATTTCTATCACGGCAAGATTCATTTATTACATTAATATTCATGCTATGATCACGGAGGCGGAAGAACCGCCTCAGCTGCAGTGTGTTCCGTAGAGCGTGGCGAGCGATGGCCGCGCGCGTGGTCGCGTGTTGAAGGCAGTAATGGTTATGGAGCGGCTGGCGGACTTCGTCAGCAAGTCTCTGGAGGGAGGAGAGGCCCCGGCGCCACCACCGGAGCCCGGGGACCACGAAGATGTGGACGAGGAAGTGGATATAACGGCGCTCGAAGATAAAGCTCCACCGGCCAAACGACCGAGAAACTGGCTGGTGTCTCCTCTCCCAGTACAGAATTACAAAAGAGACGATGATGATGAGGATCATAAACACGGTGAGTGACGACCAGTGGAAACGTATAGTCTTAAAAGAAAGCAGTTTGAAATGTAACCACTAACCAGTACAAACATAGATACCTATACATTGATTTCATGAATGTTTGTTATCTTTCATAATAAGTTTACATTAATATTAGGTATTTAGACAAAAATTTAGGTCTTAAAAAGTATATAATGTATTGTTTGAATATTTTGTATCTTATAAACATCTATCTTAGCATCACAGCTAGCTTTCTAGGCATATTTCCCCCCATTTTGTCATTCACGCTGCTACACCATTTGTTTCTTACATTGAAATCATGTCAGTGGATTAAAAAATATGTAAAATCGTTCAAATATTTTAAAAAGAACAAAGATTGCGGCAATAAAAATAACCATAACCAATGTTGCCAACGTTAAGCAATGATATACGGAGTAAGTACCTATTTTAAGTTGAGTAATAAATGCATCTGTTAGTAATAATATAAGTAATATTGTTTATGTATTTCTCACTTGCTATTCATTTTTCCATTTTAGGGGTCGTAAGTACGAGTATGATTGTAATATTACCAATTGATCATTAATTTTAACTCTCTTTTATATTAAAACAAGTTTTAGAGTGCATTAGTTGTTTATGGGTACTTCGTGGCGAAGTACCTACTAGTCTCTTGTTTGTCATCTCCCTTAAATATGCATATAGTTATTCTATACTATTGTACATCAGTATATAATCAATATTTCTTAGATTAGTACTATAAAAAACATTAAATGTTATTTATATTACCCTTTTCAAGCGACTATATTACCCATTTTGTCTTTGGAAAGGAGTCATTTAATAATTTTTCTCTGTAAAACATGACCCAAACTCATATATCAAAGTGAAATTATATCTGAAAATTTGTAAATAATATTTAATGATTATTATGTAGTTTGATTTCTATTTACTTATTAAGCAGTTATTCAAAAACGAACATATTATATTCTCAATAAAAATTGATAAAGAGACGAATCTTAATTGAGCGTTTGATATAATTTAAATTTTTTGTTAGGCGCTAGTAAATATTTACTTAATGCACCTGCTAGGCTTCCATTTTCTTGAGGTATTTCTCCGTCGGCAACTCGATCTTAAAAAGGTTTGATATAATGTTTTCCAAGAAGAATATTCTCCTTTTTTCATGAAAAAGGAATTGATTAGGTAGATATTATTTGTGGAAAAACAACGTCCTTTATTAACAAAAATTCGGTTAGGTTCAGCTCAGATAGTTAAGAAATAAGCTATAGCTATCAAGAGATATTAAAACATATAGATATTAATACATAGTTTATAGAAAAAAAAAATTATAGGGCTGTAACAGTTAGTGTTAAGAGTATACACCATGTATGTGTAGTAGAAAATATTTCAATATAATGTCGTATATTTAATTAAATTGAGTACAATTCTTAATATGCGTATAACTTACTTTAGACAAACAATAATCATACATATTTATTTAGGTAATAGTTTTTCCCATTCTTAAATCACATCTTGGCAATGAGATAGAAATTTTTTCGTATTAAGAGTCGAAGTAAACTTATAGTATCCATAAATACTATTTATTGCTATTAATTTCTTTTTTGGATTTCGATTTTATTGTACTTAGTTTATTTTGTAGGCACGACAGATCCTATTTTTACAACATTTATTAATATTTTTTTATTTACAAGCACTTATTTATTTCTATAATTTGTCATAACATAGTCATTGTGTATATTAAAGCTTTGTTTTAGAGTGCCTTTAGTTTTACTATATTATCATATACCTATTTTCAATAGTTTTATAAGTATATTGGTGTTTAAGAAATAATGGAGTTTTCAGAATATTTTGAAATTTATTTGAAATTTCTATTTGTAATTGACAATATTATATATTTTTTCGATAACTCTATATATCTAAGCTTTCTTACAAAAGGTTTTCATTTGACATAAAGGATACAATTACTAAGAATTAATTTCATAAAATATATTCTTTTATTTGTTCAAGCTCTCAATTCAATGTCATTAATATATAGTATCTACTCGAGTTATGGAGTTAGGTATATTATTATTTATAAAGCACATACAAATGTAGTCTATATAATAAATTATCGACTACTAATAGGAGTATCTTATGCATCGTTCCACAATCAATCACTGCGCAAATCTCGGTGATTAAGAAGTTAAAATTCCCCGGAGACGAAAGGGGAGAGGGTGTGGTCGTCAGCGCCGCCTACGTTCGGATAATCCCTCCATTTACATAATTGACGTATAAAAAGAAAAGCTCGCCAATTTGCTAAATTGCTTTTAACGACGTTCTCTAACGCATCTAGAGAACTACATCGCTGACAACGATTATCACTTTGATTCACACGTAGCAATCCGTTTGATTAGAAGGCGATACTGTCATTGAATAGGTATAGCTGAAGAATCTGCATGAAGTAAATTGATTTTAAGAAGCATAGTCTTCGCAATTAAGTTTAGAATAGACTAGGAATAATTGAATTAATATTTGAGTAAACAGGTCTCATAGTTTTTGTATATCCTTAAAGTTTACTTATAGTCGTATTCGTAATGAAATAAAAAATCAATTATATCCAACCGATACTGAAGTAGGAAGATATGTTGATGTTATTTTTTAAATTTTTTTATATATTTTTGTATAGTAACACTAAACAATACGTCATATTAAACCCCATAGATATAAATGACAAGTCGAACGGCGGTATCAGCTCGAGTGGTAAGCAGCGTCGTTCCCGGACGAACTTCACCCTGGAACAGCTGGGAGAACTGGAGAGGCTGTTCGATGAAACACATTACCCTGACGCCTTCATGAGGGAGGAACTCAGCCAGAGACTGGGACTCAGTGAGGCGAGGGTGCAGGTTTGTTGAGTAACACGTGGTTAATGGTATTTAGTAAGTTTGGTGAAGAAGTTTGTCTAAAAATGTTATTGGATTGACTCCATTGGGGTAGCACGTACGCTATAGTAAATAATATCTTTATTCAACATGTTAAAACAATGCATAAATTTAATGAGATATCATCATTCATTTAGTATTTGTATACCTATCTTAGTTCCCAAAATTTTATCTCACGAAAAGATTCCTAATAAAAGATTAGTAAATAAGTAAATAGTTCGAACTCCACTTGATTTACTTTCCCCACAAGTACCATCTAGTTTTAGAATCATCATGATTTACAAGAAACTATAAATATGATTAAAAATGTATACCACTCAAAACTACGGAACGAAATCCAAAATATAGCTTTCTACAAGTACATATAAGTTATCGTGTATTCAATCACATAAAAATGATCACGTGCGATATTAATTAGGTCCCCTTGCAATCCGCTTCTCATTACTAATGCAGGTCATTACTGTCTGAGGGCCGTAAATCGCTATTAAACCTTCATCAGAGTTAAGCGGTGTCCGGTCATAGGACATTAACAGCCAATGGTGCCAGTATTAATATAAATACTCTCCTATACTTTTCCTATTTAGTATATTAACAATTGAAAATATAAGATTTATATTAAAAACATGGAAGTCATAAAATATGCGTATTTATTGCCAAAAGAATATTTTCGAAAAAGTTGTGATAAATATGTATAATGTCGAGATGTTAAGATTAAGTTAGTCTTTATTCGTAATAAAAAAATATATAAACAAAAAGCTAGTACTTTTCATGTTGAATATTTCAATTGATTGGTTACATTAAATTACTCCACTATAAGTGTCGGTTTATCGGCGATATATCGCGATTAGTGACCGATCGGCCTTAAGTGGTCGACCCGTGGGGGGAAAATAAATAAATAAATAAAAGCCATCCCGACCCGGCATACATCTTAACTAGTGTCAAGTGAGGTGTTCACTGATAGTACTGATTCCACCTCATTTAAAGGACTAACTTATGTTCGTACATGACTAACGAACGAAAATATATCGTATTTGAATTGAAGTATTTTGTCTTTATAAATTTAAATTGTTTTAATGAAATCTAAGACTTTTTATTCATTTAAATGATACTAATATTTTGCGGATATACTATGCGCGCTTTATCTTTGTATAAAACTACATACTCCCGATGTTCGGTTATTTTTCAGCAACCGTGATCACGGGCATACTTGATGTGAATTGACATCTTCACAGTTTTTTACAAAAAAAATATTAGTTTCATTTAAATTAAAGTGTCTTTATCGATTTCACATCAAGACTTTTCAATGAAATATCCAAACTATTTTGTTTATATAATTCGTTAGTTCTCCCTTCTTTAATACGGTCAGCGTAATCCAATGTAGTTGTAGTCATGTTTTGTATAAAACGAAGAGGTATGTTTACGTATTTGCATGTCATTTAGTCTGGATTGTCTAATGTAATCAGAGCTAATGAATTCGCCCCTTGCCAGCTATAATTGAGCTACAGTTGCTATTGCAAATAAAATTAGATGCGATTTAGACTAAGTATACTTTCGAACCTGGAAGCGATGATGTAAGATTAACTCAGTTGAATAGAAATATAAAAAGGTTTGCTAATTTATTGAACAATATTTTATATATTTTAACTCTTTACAATCCTCTTTCCTTCGTCTAAATTCATATGTAATGTGATCGTATTGAATTAATACATTATATGTTTTATTGATACTTATCTATAATAATAGCGATGTTTCATAATTTTCAAAGACTTATGTCAGTAAGATTTAAGGTCACTTCAAATCGTCTGATCTTAACCAAAACTAAGAAACAAGAATAAAAACAATAGGGCTACACATCACGTATTTATTAAATTTGAATAGTTTGTTTCTTTTTCACATTTATATTCCACATATTTAGTCGTAATATAAAAGATAAACGTTTTATCCGTCCTGCGGTGGCTGCAGAGCAAACTGCATGCAATCAGAGAGGGCGAGCGGGCGTGCGGGCGTGCCCTCCGTAATGCGGTAAACCATGTTTGTATGCTACATGTCTGTTACTATGACCAGGAGTAGAGGAAGCTGGATCAGAATACGACAAAGAATATATGTTAAACGTGGAATATCTCCATAATTTCCTTGGGTTCATATGCTAGTTAATAACTTTATAATATACAATGAATTACGAAGTCTTATGTCTCTAGGTCAATTAGGTTTGGTAGTCAATAGTTAATGAGTAATGAAATAGTTAAACTTATATCCAAAACATAATATGGATAGAGACTAATTGAAATATTTTTGTTCAAAACTAAGCTCTCGTTTGACTACGTCTAGTTCTTGAAATTCTTAGAACAAGAATAAAGATGATAAAAATAGATAACTCTCAATTATGTCCTCCGTTTTTTGCGGTTAATTTGCGTATCTATACCAATACTAGTTGTACACTTGTAGTATATAATTTTCTTATAATTGATTTTGTTAATCTTTCTAGTAAATAAGATTATATTATAGTGTATTTTTTCAGGTGTGGTTTCAAAATAGACGCGCCAAATGTAGAAAACACGAAAGTCAGATGCACAAAGGTATGTACTTAGAAATATAAAATTACGAAGACGTAAAAATAGCTTTAATCTACCAAAATCTCTCCAGATATTGTTAAGTTTACTTCTTTTTTCTTCTTTTTCCTACGATGCTCCCACTTTATGTAGGTTTGTCACAATATGTTCTTCTCTTCCTTCGTCATCTCATTGGTTACCCTTTTCTTATCCATGTCATCCTTCAATCAATCCATCCATCTCTTCTTAAGTCTACCTCGACCCACGAATCCCTCCACATATCTAACATTCTTCTTGTTATATAAGATTCATCTTCGCATAATATGTCACTACAAAACTATTAAAACAACCTCATAATTAATCATTATTATTATTAAGACAAATGCCTGAATCACGTATCATGGTAAATAAATTTACCGCTTAATGTAGTCGAAAAGTAGAAATCGCTAATGTATTCCAACTGGCCCGGGTTGGCATCGCAATGCACATTATCATTCAGCCAAGTGGAAACTCACTACTGTCATGACACCGCACATTTAAATATTCAACTTACATTTACAATTCATAGATACATTTTACTTGATTATTTATATCTGAATCTGTTCCTTCGTTGGAATAAATTGATTAATGTATTATGTGTTCTCATAATGAAATCGCGTAAAGTCTTAATTTTATTATGAAATAAAATCACCTAATTTCTAGTTTAAAATGTATTTAATTTTTCTCAAACCTCTAGTTAGGTATCCATTAATTGCTTTCTATATTTAGATATTAAAATAAATAAAAAGAATTACAATGCAACATTAATTAGTTAATAATTAGATAAAACTCTTTGTAATCATAAAAATATACTTTATATATATGTAGTATGAAAATTTAATTGGCGTATTTATATAAAATAAATATATCTTCAATAGAATAAAACTTACAATAACCACATCAAGATCATTTGTCTAACATAAATAGGTTTCATCATTATAAGATGCCTTTAACGTTACCCATAAGTCATAACCTGTGCAATACTTAAATACAATCAGATTATTATTGTCATTTATACAATTTAAACAGCACGAAGAATCATAGAACACTGGCTTTATCGCATTATGCATTCTCCATCATTCGTCTAACTTGATTACAGCCGCCGGCTCGGGTCAGAGCTCCGACTAACAGTTTTTTAATTCGACCATAACTCACGCGGATGAATAATTAAAACGGACCGTCGGGAATAACGCGAATCGGTAAAAAAGCAAGCTCTACACGTGAACCGATAAATTTTGAAAATGGCTGAACGCACTTAACGTTTGTACGTCTGTGTATTACAAGAATTATAGTCCGTTGATTATGAAATTATGATTGTATATTAGAGATTGAGAAAATAATTATTTAATGATATCAAATAGATACAAATGTCACATTACTGTATAGGTATCTAAATTCCAAAAGTCATAATGACAACTAGAGATGTCAATCTCAAAAGTAAAAGATTGTTGACAGCTCAATAAGTAACTATATAATATAATGTTCTCATGAGAACGGATCAAATTGAAATCGTGAAAAACGATATTTATAATAAACAAATAATAATTATTACATACATGAATGTAATAATGATTAAATCAAAACAGTTTTAGTTGGGATGTTATAGTAGAAATACATTAAATATACCTATTACTCGTAAGAACAGTTTTTGGACCATATAGAATAGAAACAACGAGGTCATATAAATACAGATAATTTGCTGTTAAAAAATAATTAAGAATATCTAAAACAGCCATGAACAATATTATAACTGCGAAATCAATTATTCTTCCTTATATTTTTGTCATGTTATTTTTTCGCAGGTGGGTAATTAATTTTAAAATAACTTTTTATTTACGACCTGAAAGTTTCGTTTTTATATAAAAAAATATCTTTAGAAGAAAGTTTTAAATATAACGGTATTACATAATTTTATAAAATGAAAAAAGTTGTAGACAGCTAGGTTCAGTTTGAAAGTTATTTGTGTGAGCCGAGTTTTGTAGGCTTACATTTTATACTTATAATAATTATAAGTTACATTATTAATACATTTTCTAGTATCGTAAAGCTTATAATATGTTGTCGTTGTTAATACAATACGAGTAGTGCGGCCGTGATACGTCTCCGCTCATAAAACGTCTCAAGCAAACCGTAGTTGACAGTCTGGTCTAAGATTCCACTTAAGCGTGATTGCTACATCGCCAAGGAACCGCTAAACAGAGCGTAAACTAGAAAAAAATCGCTCTCCGGAATCGAATAAAATGATTCCCCGCGGGAGCCATTCGGACGCAATCCCGCCGTCCCTTGCTAAATGTCTTATTAACTTATGAGCGCCCTCCCTCTAACACGAGAACAATCATGTAAAGTGAAATGAAACGGTTATTTGTTATGTTTTGCCCCTTTAGCGAGCGCCGAGATTACAAATGATGTTATTGATTCATATTCATACGACTGTTTTGTGGTGTGATTCGATTTGTAAAAACCGTAACCGAATCTCTATAATATGAGAGTTGAATTTTTGCTACTAATATTTTCTTTATTTTTATCAAATATTAATGATAATTTCAGTATTTTGATCGTTGTGATCAATAAATATTAATAGAAGTCAAATGCTAAGCATTTTGCACACACATTCAGATAGCTACGTAGCAAATCATAAAACTAAGGTCCTGAATCTTCATAAAATTAAAAATTCATTTTTAACAAAGAAATAAATCTCGACAGAGAAGCAGAGCATAACCGTATAAAAACAATGAAGGACTTCGTAAAATCCAAAAAGAAAGAAATATACATAGCCACCTAATTGTTCCCCTGTTCATGAAATAGTAAAGTTACTCGCGCACTGCAAGGGTGGCGATGTTTTATTACTCAGTAACCGCTGTAAAGATGTTCCGAGCGCTTTAAAATAAGCGAAAACGAGCCTGCCCCCGCGCTGGCTTACCTTATAATTCGATTAAATTAAACAACTCAGAGTTAATCAAATAAATGCGCGGCCGTCGTTGGGGTGAGGCTGGGTGGGGACTGGGGGCGCCGGACTCCATGGCAGGAGCTCACTCGTATTTATGTCGGCACTTCTCGAAAGTAATTCGGTGTCAAATATGGAGATAACTCATACGCGCCGGGAACATCCATTTTGATAATGTCGACGGGCGACCGGAGGAGCTATGATTTACGTGTATTCGGTCAAACCCGCTGTGTAGTGTGTACATACACAAATGTACTTACTAAATAGATTAGAGATACTGGATTAAGATAAATCAATTATAGGTAAATTATAAATATCTTAATGAACTCACAACCTCTGAACATTATGAATGTTTAAGACATGGCAATATATGATCATTAAAGCAGTTCCTATAGAAACTCCTTAATAATAAAATAAACTTTAAATGAAGTAATATCATTGAATATATAACATTGCAAAGCTATAGGATATAAAAGGGTGTATTTTATGGCGAAATTAATAGTATAGTTACTCGTTCACATTTTGTATAAACTTTTTTCACAAATAACAACTGATAAAATCAAATCTCTCAAAAGTATTGTTTATTTATACCTAATTAAAATGTATTTTCATAAAGCCTCATCTCCTTAATAAATTGTACTTAAATAATCGAAGACAGAGTTAAAGGAGTAATTAAATTAATGAATATTTCCGAAAAGACCGAACACCTTAAGTCGGATAGATCCGAGTAAATTTATTAATTGCGCACTTCGCCCCAGGCGGGCTATAAACAAGGAATCTTACTTAATTTACGAGCAAATTATGCTTTACTTAAATATCAATTTAATTAAGTGGTGTTCGGGTTGGAATCTCCTTGGATATCGCTAGCTCTATGGTCCGCTCGTTTGTCTCTGCCGATCGAGGCGGATCAATGCGCAATGCGTTCACTTCACAATTCAATTAATTTATTTTAAATGACCTCAATTCGTTTATGCTGTTTGATAATACGGTCGTTATATAAACTTTACACTATTGTTTTTATATAATTAGCGTTAATTACTTTGATATTTTACTTATGTTTATTATAGACTACATAATGATTTACAGAATATATTCGCGACTCATATCTAAATCTAAATGTCACAGTGACAGTGACAAATTCATCAATGACAATTGTTAGATATGTCTATGACATATCTTAGTTTAAAAAAGTAATTGACACATAGAACGTGCCTACTAATATTATAAATTCGAAAGTAACTCTGTCTGTCTGTCTATCTGTCCGTTATGCTTTCACGTCTAAACCGCTGAACTGATTTTAATGAAATTTGGTACAGAGATAGAGGTGACCTTGAGAAAGAACATAGGATAGTTTTTATCCCAGACTTTTGAAAGGTTCTCTTGGAAACGCGATATAACCTAGTATAAAAATCTAGTAGTAAATAAGTTTATATCATCTACACGACACTGTCAGAATATACTGTTCACTTATTTGCGCGGATGAAGGCCAAAGATATTTTACATAACCAACCAAGTTTATGTCATGTGAATGTCGTCAGGTCTCCTGGTAGGTGGTAGCGGAACTCCCCTGGAGCCTTGTCGCGTGGCCCCGTACGTGTCCGTGCCGCGACTGTCGAGCACCACTCAGCGTGCGCCGCCACCGCTACCACTCACACCACACCCACCACCGACAGCTTTCGCTCCGTTCGACTCCGCTATGCTGTCTGCTGCTGCTCATCAGGTTGTTTATCTTAAAAGCTATGTACAGGTGTATTTTACAAACAAATCGTTATACAGTTTATTTTTAGTACGCTAGCGCGGCTGCGGCGGCGGCGGCTGCAGCGTTGTGTCCACCGTACGCTGGTCTAGCGGCTCTGGCAGCTCGGTGTCGGTCCTCATCTATAGCGGACTTACGACTGAAGGCTCGCCGGCACGCGGCGGCGCTTGCTGCTGCGAGAGCTCCCTCGCCATCAAACTCGCCCGCTCCCGCTCCCGCTTCTGCACCCGCTGACACTTAGCCCACGCCTCGGACGCAGATTTTTGAAATCGAAACGTAATTAAACCACCAAAAGTGTCGTTTTAAAAGACGTGATTATTTTAAAATTCGACCAATGGATGAGAGTCGTAATTTATAATTTTTAATGTATTTGTAAATGAATAACTGTGATAGTGTTTTAGCAGGCGGGTGCCGTGACGTGCCGTGACGATTGTAATGACATCGTTCGTATGTTATTAAATCAAAATTAACATTAAATTTCTCGCTAAAAATTACATTATATTAGTTTTTAAGAATGTAAATACAAAGTTAATTATCATGTTTATACACTTGAAGTTAAGTGAAAAGCTAACGCGCTGTTCATAGTTGTGTGCTAATTAAAATGATTAGATACAAAATCATTGGTTTCCTTAAACATTTACAATAAAATATTTTCAGTTTATTTAAACTATTTTTGTCAAACAATCGTTAAATATCTATAATTTGGTCAACAAATAAAAACGTTTCCCTTAACATTAACAATAAAATAATTTCAGTTTTATTAAACTGAACTATTTTTTTTTTCAAACAATCGTTAAATATGCTTATACTTCGCCCCACAAATAAAAACGTTGATATTTGCAGAATATTCCATGATTCCAGTTCGAATAAAGCCATAGCATTAAAAAAATATACCTATACATATATTATACATAGTAAGTGAAGTCCTACATTATATAAATGTTATCGCTCGTGAATAAAGGTTATCTATTTACTCTAAATATTAACTAAAACATTTCTATATTTTATACCTCATAATATTTTAGTATGAATACTATAATATTTACGTTTATGGTTATAGATTATACATAATACAAATACTATAATCTGTGGTACAATGATAAATGACGTCATTGCTAAGTAATGGGAGTTTATACCGACGTCGGAAATTTTTGCACCCTCAATGAATTTGCGATTTCTTAATGCGATTCATAAGTAGGTAAGTTCTAAGTTTAGAAAACAATGCTTCAGTATTATATTGCGTAATCACAATAACAAAGTGTGTTATTATCAGTACATAAGTTATGGCGAATTGGTATTAATTAAACATTTTTAAATATTCCTATATATTAAAAATTCACTCAAAATTTTTGACCAAAACACATTTCCTCAATATTTTAAGATTTTGAGAAGAAAAATGAAGTTTTAATGCATAACTATCGAATAAAATCTTTCACCATATTTAAATATTTTATAAAAACTTGGTAACAATAGTTAAGGAACATCATCACGGTTTGTTTTCCTAATTCGAGTGTGACCCCGGCTTTGTAGCTGGCACAGAGTGAAAATATTTGCACAACCTGTTAAAAAACCCGCCCTCGCATCGGGAGCGTCCAATTAGGGAGGCGACGCTGCTGATTGGACGTAATCGGGTTAGCATCGGAGACAAATACGGGGCACGGGACACGGGACACGGGGCAAGGGACACGGGACACTGCGCAGGATACAAACACATATAAATAATGCCTTAATACGTCTTGCAAATCGTTATGCTCTACCAATAATGTACCTTTTTTCATTCAGACATATCTGTGTTGCCCTATAATTACGTTTAATATCAGAGCCAAATGTAGAATTTAGATTTGTTTGGAATCTTAAATGTCATGTGTATCGAAATTAAAATGGTGTCTCTCAACATAGTTTCGATAAGATGTTTTTTTTTTTATACTTACCTTATCAGGAATAAAGCGGACCGTTTAGCACAGATAATATAATTGATTCTACATTACACTGACAGGATATAGTGTGTATACGGACACAAGTCCGTGTTTTTGGACGGATGAATTCCATATTAAAAGCTTACATCTACTTAAGTCTTCACCAGTCAATATTACTCATTATTTTCTTTATGCTTTACTGCTAATTTCAGCTGAATTTTATAGGTTAAATAAATGAAAAGATAACAAGAACATAGTTCATAAGATATAATTTATTTTAATTCTGTTACATTAAATGGATAACCCAGACGTTCCCTTGCAGTCAAACTGGCGAGTTTCCCGTTTGTGGGAAAAGTAAACAAAAAATCGCAGGTAATGCATCGGTAACGAACATTCAAAAGCGCCGCGGATTATGACCTGAAAAAATAGGTTGGAGACTTCAAAAACAACAAGTAACAAGAAATGGTGAAAGAAAATCGAATATTAGGATTAAGTAGATAATAATAGGTTCGGTCTTTTGAAAATTAGATCAAATTTGAAACAATTACTTAATTTTTCTGTCAGAATAGTCCAAATATGAGGAAGAAAACGTCAAATACCCAACCTCCATATATGTGTCAGAAGGTTGTCGTTCTGGTGGTATATCTTTAGGTGGTAGTTTAGGTGGTTCCAGCGTCATCTGGTACGTCCGAGCCATCATTATTCTACCATCAGGAGTTACCACCGACACGTTCCTCGTTCGGTACTCGCCAAGGTGAATGCCCTCTTGCCTATATTTATATATTTTTAAAACAATTGTGTAGGTTTACATTGAATCAAATGGATTTGAAGACAACAAATCTATAATCTAGTACTCATAATGATTTAACTCTACAATGTTTTTTGTTTTTTTCATGCTAGGACTCATTCGCAATGGCATAGTGAAATATTTTGTCAACGCCTATATTTTTATATGTTGGACGAATTATAATCTTGGGTACCTACTGTGTGGAGAATACACGAAATAATTTCTAAAATTGGTAATTGTACCAATGACATTTTTTCAATCTCATATACCTACGATTTTTTTGGTACACCTGACTTAGGACTCTAAAAAAAACTAGAGTTTATAGGGTTATTTAGAATTTTATAGGGTTGTTTACAGATTCACTCAAGGTCCTTTGTTTATTTCCACTTCCAGTGACGTCACAATACCCTAATGACGTCACAATACCCTAATGACAAAGTCAAGTCAAGTCAATTATAAGTCCTCTTACTCATCCAGATGAGGTATATCCTTCACGTCAAGTGTCCACAGAGCTCCCCACACGACACTGTCCCCGTCATCAACGATGGTCGCATCAGCACCATTCCAATACTCCGTGTCGAAGCTTTGGAAATCCAACCTAAAGTTCTAAGAATTAAAGAAACATTTGGCTTAAAACAATTTTCAAATGATTTACCTACTGGTGATTTGAAGAGATATATGGCAATTACTTTAAGTCAAAAACAAAAGAAAACCAAAAAAAAATTGTTGTTCATTGTAATGAAATCGTTTTACTATGCTTTTTCATGAAGTTTGATATTAATGAGTTTAGTTAGGGCGCAAGTGTTTAAAAAAAAAATAGAAAAACCCAGTCCATTGCAATATACTTAATTGTAAATTCAAAATAATAATTAATATCAGGGTATAAACATGTGCTAAACGTAATCTTTAAGTCATTTATAACGAAAAAATTAATTGTTTACCCAAGTGATATTTGAAAATTGTCAAAATTTAAATAATACCGCATTCCTAGCTCTCTATTTACAAAAATAATGGAATCGTTAGCTATCATAAAGTTTGAAAATATTTAAGCAAATTTATCTTATTTTAAGGAAAAATGGGTTAAAAACAAAATGTTATTTGTCAATGTAATTTCAAGTTTATACGCCTAAACTACTGAACCGATTTTGACAAATTTTGCTATACAGATAGATGGAACCCTATAGAAGGATATAGGCTACCTATTATGACGAACTCGATCCCGACCCCGATCAAAAAATAAAAGGATGGAATCGTGATGTGCAGTTCGATTACAGTGGCCATAATGGCGGAATACAACTTTGATGTTCACGCGGACGGAGTCGCGGGTAAAATCTAGTAGCATAATATAAGTATAAACTGTTATGCGTGTTTAAACAATTGATATGATAATCAACGGGCAGCGAGTTCTATCTACGAGTATGTCACGTATACAACTACTAAGCACTGATCCCGGGTAAGAAAGAAATTTCGGGATAACTACCCAATCTCTTATAATGGCACGGTATAGTTTCATAAAATTTATAATATTTAACTTTTATAATATTATAAGAATGCTGACAATGTAATAATATAACAACTTATAATTTCATACTTACCGGTAACTTTGCCGCGGAGAAAAACTCCGCCGTTGGGTTGTTAATATGTATTCTTTTTGCAAGAAGGTTACTTCCATACGCGAAATAAAGAAATTTGTTTTCACTTATTGGTTCCACTCCATCTTCAGTCAATACTAGTTTAAATATGCTGAATGAAAACAGAATATGAATGTACACTGCTGTCTTGAACGACTCCATAACGACTGAGTATTATAAATTATTGAATATATTAAATTAAGCGATTACTTCAAAGCCGTTACGCTATGACGTCAACTCATTCAGCCTATCTCAGTTTTTTTTTTTTTTTTGTTATCGCGGTGAAAGGTTTTATACCTACCCCTCCGTCTAGGGGAGACAGAGGCGGTTATGTGGGATTCACGGCCGGAAGGGCCCATGTTACCCACTAAAACACCAGCGGTCACTCTCCGTTGCCGCCAAGTGGATCGCCACGGGAAACGCCGAAGCATGCATCCGCGACGATCCGGCGGCGGGCCGCGAACGGCCACCTCCCCCCCCGAGGGCTCACTCCAAGTGACCAGGAGTGTCCCCCCGCCTGGCGGGCTTGCTTAATCGCGAGAGGGTTAACCCCTTACCCCTCCCACCCAAGCCCACGCGGCCAGTCTCCAACCACCCACCGACGAGCGCAAGCGCCCGACGGCAGACAGAGAGGAAACCGACCGACCACAAGCGAACTCAGGCCTCCGGAGAGACCCGAGTATCCCCTCCCCCCCAAGACAGCCACGGACGGCCTCCTGCCAGATCCGTGACCGTCTTACTCCCAGGGCTGTACCCCCAGCCCTCCCCCCCGTGACTGATTGCACCGGAATACACCAGTGGGCGATGGGGTCGTCACGTCCCGACGCCGGTCAGCCTATCTCAGTTGTCCTAATACTAATTAGTCACTGAGATGCTAAAGTTTATGTAAAAAAATACAATATGTATAGGTACTAAAATTTTAAAGAATAGTTAACTAAATTATTTCACATTACTATTGAGTCATAAGTACATATAAGCAATCTAAAATTATTATTATGTTGATAAAAATTTTACAATCAACTCTGATAGATGTTAATAAATCTGTTTCTGATGTTTTTTTTTGTTTTTTAACGTTAGTATGTTTTGAATTTAATCACGTTAACGTAATGGTCTATTTATAAAAAATAATCTTTAGTTTATTTTTTTTACTTTTGGGTATAAAATACAAATCATATTTAAAACATTTGATAAATTTTAATGACGTTATTAACTTCGATTACAAAAACCACTATTATAAATATAGTAAAGTCATAGATAAATTAACTTGTAAAGTTATACCTATGAAAAACAGATTTTCTTTTCATAGCTACGTTGAGGATATTTTAAAGTATTTTTTTTTGTATATGTAATTTCACTTACTTATTAATTAATCAAACCTGTAAATACATTAGGTACAAAATACAAGAAGCTGCTTTCGCTCTTATACAAGTACGTATGAATAACAAAAGTAATTGCAATTACTATACTTCACTAGCATAATATTACACCAATAAAATTGTATTATGCATACAAATTATTAACCCGTGAAAGACTAGCTCATAGAAAAAAAAATCTTGGATTTTAGTCTCATTAATCTCTATTATAAAATATTAACTGCTTGCTATGCTTTTCAAAAAACCTTTTAAGCGTCAATTATATTTGGGTTCTACACAGTTAAAAGTTAATTTAAATACCTACGTCGTTACTTATACTATCTACTGTCAACTGCGTATGAATGAGCAAGTGGAAATTCTTTTTATGTTGCTTGACTACGCAAATTTGTAGTAACAGTACCTACTAATCATTATGTAGTTTTACACTACACTAATGAATATATTAAGTTAGTTCAATAATAGTTAATCAGAGCATAATTCCTAGTATCTTTTAATGTCTTCATGGTCATTATTGTTCCGCAATGAATTAGATTAATTATAATATAACAAAACAATTCTCTGTTACTTTAAAATATGATAACAAAACTAGTAGATAAAGGTCTCCATGTCAAATTATTCATAAACATGTTTTACAAACAGTATTCTGGTTATAACAATATTAGATGTGACACAATGAAGACGTATTGTATGTTATCGTGGCTCTTGGTTTTAATCTCATGTCAGAGTACGATATCTTTTAAAATAGACGACAGTGATGAAGTCGGTAGTGAGAACACATTTCTGTATTTTGCTTACGGCAGCAACCTTCTAGCAAAAAGGATACACATCAAGAATCCTTCCGCCAAATTCTTTTCCATTGCACAGTTACCGGTATGTATATTATATTCTAAGCTTGTTTTCCAACGACCATAACGTCTTTTGTATGCGTAAACTTTTAAACATTAAAAGAATCTCAAAGTAAATCTTATGTATAATATCTGTATCTGACTGTATACTGTATTATATTAAATTTTACTACTAACAAATTTTCAAATGATTTATTTTAGAATTACAGGTTGGATTTTGAAAATATCAACAATAGCTATTGGAATGGGGCCGCGGCTACTATCGTTGAGGAATCAGACAGCGTCGTATGGGGAGCTCTGTGGACCCTAGACGTAAAAGATATTCCTCACTTAGACGAGTAAGATATATTATTATTTTGTTTACAAAACAAACTAGTCAAAATCAGTTGAAAGATGAAGGTTAACCACGGTCAGATTCGTCAAGGCCTCAGCAAATAGTCAAACAAAAAAAGATTTGAATAATAATTCCGTTCATCACTATTAATAGTACAGTTTGTGTAAGATTGTAACGAAAAAGAATAGACTATATTGTATGGGATAATTTTTTTCAACTAATGTAAACATGTGATAAACTCATATCAAATGTATTAAATGTATAAGTGTTTTGGTATATGGATAGTTTATACATAATAATTATAATTTATAACGTAACAAATTGTAACAGGTATAAAGAAATAAATAAAAAATAACATATAATACGACCAGTATCATTGCTTAGGATATAGGTACCGATATTAGCTAAAATTTAATATAATAAGTAGCTTGACAAGAAGTCACTCAAATTCAAAGACAAGGAATTTAAAAGTTTATCTATCAGACTTATAGAAAAGGGATAAGCTCTATTATAAATGTGCCTCGATTAAATTTTTTTATTAGAGAAACTAAAAGTTAATGGCATTCAAATCAATAATCTAACAGAAACTAATTATCGTGTTTAGGTCGATGAAATAGTTTGTAAGTTATTTGTAATAATACACATATACAAAAAATAATAATATATTTGTTTTATTAAAGGCAAGAAGGAGTAAATGTAGGTCTGTATCGGGTAAGAAATGTATCAGTTCATACTCCCGATGGAAACACCCTGACCGCACGAACCTATCAGATCACTGTGGATCCACCGAAAGTACAAGTTAAAGACATGCCTCTAGAACGACAACCATCAAACACATATATGGAGGTATTGCCATTTATATATTTATTTTATAAAGATATTTAATCAGGACATATGTTTTGGACGAACTTGTTATTAATAATAGTTATTATAACTATATACTGAGCACAAAAGTATTTAATTTAACGGATTATAGATGCGTCACTGTATACTTATGAAACGATAGTTTTAAATTCCATAAATCTAAGTTTTACTTTTAAATATACTAATCTATTATTCCACTACACACTTTATTAATGGTTTGCACTATTTTGTTAAAATTATATTGTATAATTTAAACTAACAAAACATACAAGAAATAAGGAATGTATAACGCTATCTGGGAAGTCCCAGTGTTTTTATAACCAAAAGAGTTTAGTGACCTCTAATATAAGTATTACAATTTTATAAACGTTCCGATAAAAAAAAATACTGTCAATTCTATCAAAAGAACTTATAGATAAAGACTTATATTGATTTATTTACTTATCAAATACGTTTTTTTAATGTCAAACAATAGTTAGCGCCATCTGTGTATCTTTTAAATCGATGTCAAATGAAGAGGCGTAACAAATGACTGGAGGAAAGGGTGAACAGTTTTTAAGAAATGTCTATATTATTATCTTTTCACAGGTTATAGTACGTGGCGCTTTTGAATGTTTGTTGCCAATGAAATACATTGGATATCTAGTTACATTTCCTACGAATGGAAAACTAGCACGATCAGACGTATTGCAACTGCTTGGAAGCCCGTTTACTGAAGAAGCTGAAGAAACATGAAGATGTATAAAAGAACATTTATTTATGTATATCTGTGAGAGAATTTTTTGTAAAAATTAAACATAAAAAAAATATGCTGTTTTATATTATAATCAAGTTAAATAAATAAATCAGTTTAAAATAAATTAATGCATCATTTTATGACAAGAGATTCAACAGATAATGATGATAATAGACTATAACTTAATGGTTATATGAAATCACACACAAAAATAAAATCTGAGTTAAATAAGATAGGTATTGGTCCTTTCAAATTCTGTTACTAAAATTAATTTAAACTAATTAATTAATGAGATTTAAGATTTTCGCGAGTACTCATTTCATATCTAATATTTTTCGGAGGTACAATTCCGCAAAGTAAAGTAAAGTAATCGGAATTTCGGGAGTATGTAGTTTATAATTAAAAATAAAAAATCGCGTAGTAAATCCGATAATATTAGTTTCATTTCACTAATGCTTTTTTGTTTACAACCACTAAGTAAATGTGATATATAAAGTTTTAATCTGTTGACTGTTAACAAAATAAATAGATTTTAATAATAACTATATAACATTAAGTAACTTGGTAGGCATACACATCAATGAATAGAAGCTGATGGTGTCTTTCCGTGATCACTATGACCACAAATTTTAATGAATGTTTTTTTTACAATAAATTTCGTTTAAGTATGTACTATTTTAAAATACCAGGTTTTATTAAGATAAATGGTTAAAAAATATCTTTTTTAAAATTATAATCAATTTACCCCGTTCAGTAACACGAAGCCAGAACACAAATTCAGAAATGTCATCAGTCAATTTTATGACAATCCTCGCCTGTATGAGTTAAAAGTTCAAAGAATCTAAAAAACTACCTATTCTTGCTTAAGTTATCGAAAAATTCAAATTTATTTTTAATTATTAAGCATATAATATATTACATGTGCCGAATACAGTTAGCATTGTTGTAATATTGTCCAAATTGTCAAGCGCAACAATTTTCAGATCGTTAGTGTAAAATGTTCAACTTGAAAGCTTATTCATTGATTTATTTACATAATACATATATGCCAGAAAAAGTTTTCTTTCCAAGTGAATAAATAGAAGAGACTTTTATTTAGCAGAATGTAACTAACAGACCAATTCTATTACATAATGTCTTTAAACTACGCTTTCGGATTTTCTCTTTTCCTGCTTGTCCTAGTTGGACTGAATATTTATTTTTTCTACACTTTGAACACCGCTGGAAAACAGTCTCCAAATTTTATGATCCCTAGTTTAAAATTAGATTTAACCTCTAATGTTTTCAAAGATATTTACAATTATCTAAATTATCTTCCAAGTCAGTACAAAGTCAAAAATAGCAAGTTTTTACCTGTACAAAAAATACTCTTAGGTTCATTTAATTTAAGCGAAAATATTAATACAGCTTCAGTTTGGAGTGAAACTGAAAAGGTAAAAATTAAAAATATATAATATATGGTTGAGTGCAACTTCCAATAACTTTAAATATTTAATTATTGCAGTGGTCTAGTCAAGATTCCCTATTTCCATATAAGAATGGAACTGCAGGAAGAATACTGCATGCAATACAAACATCACAGATAGCGTTAGTTGATAATGCTCCAAAAGGAACACAATTAAAATTATTACTCCTGCTCGAGGTAATTCTATTACATAGTAAATTTTAACAAAGTAATGCTTATGCATTATACTAATTGATATTAATTTTAAGGGAAAGCAAAAGATTTATTTCAAACCAAAAAGATATAACTTAACTCATGTGATAAATGGAAATATATATGGTGGATATGATCGTCACAATTCTGAAGTGTTTGCATATTATTTAGCAATGGTTTTAAACTTCAGATGGATACCTCCCTCTGTGACTAGACGTGTACACCTTCACAAACATATTATACCAGTTGCTACTATGGGATTGAAGAGAACTATGGTCAAAAATGGTAAATAAAAAGGAAATATATTTCACTAAATATCATGACTTTAAATTGAACAGAATATAAATTCATAGAATAACTAACAATTATTCAAAATAATTGTTCTTCTTTTGCAGATAGTGGATCTATGTGCATTTACGGCAAATGTTTTTACTGTAGAATTAATGAGACAGTATGCCCTGACAGTAGCGGTGAAATTGAAGGGGCGGCAATATTATTTCTAGATGGACAGTTCAAGACACATAAATCTCCATGGAGAAGGTCCTATAGCAGTAGAAAAATGGAATGGGAGATTGATGATGATTTTTGTAAGTAAGTACAAACTTCATGCTTGATAAATACATAATTTTTTAATGTGGCATTGACAGAAAAACTAATATATAATTATTTTTTTTGTAGAAAAGTAAAGGGTTCAATCAGTACAAAAAGATTACTCAATTTGATAGATGTATCTATTTTCGATTTTCTTATACAAAATGGCGACCGGCATCGTTATGAAGTTTATAAGGATCAGATAATATTGCTAGACAACGGTAAAGGTCTGGGGAATCCTAAAGTTGATGTGATGGACATTCTGGCTCCGCTGTACCAGTGCTGTATGTAAGTAATAGGTGTATTTTTTTTAACATATAATAAAATATAATAAAACCTGATCAATCTAAAAATTCCTATGTAAATATTCCATTTATATTTCTGAAATTCTGATAAAAATATAAAACCTCTTTGTGTCTAAAAAACAAAAACATTTACAATGTTAAGTCTTGAAAATATGGCTTAACACAGTATATAGTTATAGCTTTTACAACTATATATTTTGATTGAGAATAAAACTGCATAAAGCTTATTCATCTTTTATATTATATATACATTTATTTACTTACTGTGCTTGGTCATTGTATTTGCTTATTAAAACACAATTAATTAATAATGCCTACTTTTTTCCAGAATATCTCCATCAACATGGCACAACCTAGAGCTGGTCTCCGGAGGTGTGTTAACAGATACCATTAAATTACTATCAGCTGTCCGCGAGCGTGTTCTAGCCAGTGAAGAACATTTTAAAGCAGTTGAGAGAAGATTACTCAAAGTATATGCCACTGTTCAGTATTGCATCGGTAAACATGGTAGAGCAAAAGTTTTCAAGAACGGATATGTTTAGGAACAAAACTTTTGGATTATAAAAGTATTATATTTTTTTAAATAACTCCAAGCAATACTCATTGTTACAATTGATTAATAAAGTTTACTTATACGCTTTAAAATTTCATGCTCATGTAAAGAAATTCGATGATTAGAATAGAAATACAAGTTGTGAAACAAAAATGTTTTGAGAAGAATCATTAAGAAATAAATTAGTCATGAAAGTGATACTCATGTAAAAAAGTGTTAAAACAATAATTAAAACCATGTTTTTTAGTTAAATGACTTTCTTATTGCAATTAAGTATTACACAATTTCTATTTTAATAATTTCAATTATACCAAATTGTGTTAAGAGGACATCGAAAAATCAATACCTAAGATTTTTTCTTTTATTCAAACTTTTGTTTGATCTACTCAACTTAAAAAGCAATATACAATATTAAATTATATAGGAAAACTTTTTAATGAGTTTAATTTGTAATTCAAATATTAAAAATATTTCTTAATATTTTTGCTATTTTATATACTTTTAAAATGTAATAAAAATAAAACCTTAACCTTTCTTAATATACATTTCACGTGACGGTTTATGATTTGTAATTGCAACAGTTAATTTAAAATATATTTAGTCATAAAAGGCGTTTTTTTATTCACCAATTAAGTCAGTCATTTGGTAGTTTTACCTGGAAAGTTTTCGGGGAGTTTTGAAAATTGGTGTATTTATAGATTTGAGAATGCTCTTTTCAAATTTCAACTTTTACCACGTCTTCGTACTTCCGCCGCTTGCACGGCCGTATTTGAAAAATGGCCCCCTCAAAACGGTTTTTTGTGAATATCTCCTTTCCGACGAATTTTACGAAAAAAATAGTTATGTAAAAAATTTACTTAAGTAGACAAAATTTCCTACAATTTAGGTATATTTTTTTTTATAAAATCAATATTTTTGGCGTACGAGCGCCGCAAAAGTGGTAGCGATCTGCACTACAAAGTGTTTTCGTATATTTTTCTAAAATATTTATTGCGTCTCTTTCTCTCGACTATCGAGACTATACACTGTACATAATCTCTATACCCTCTACCTTCAATCAAACATATGTCGGTAGATGCTTTATTACGAGAAATATACAGGGTGACTGGTGAATTACTATCAATATTTAAGGAGCATACTCGGTACATGATTCTCATTCGAATTATGTAAAAAAAATAGGTACTTAATTTTTGACCAAATTTCCGTAAAAATAAATAAAGTGTAGACACGTTCCAAGTGTTCCAAGTGTGGACGCGTGCGGCGGCGTGCTGATACAACACCACGCCGCGCGCGCGCGTGTGTGTGTGTGTGTGTATACCTAATCTGTAGGGTGTTCACACGATGCGTAATTAATTACATAACTTTTGGTTAACTTTACTTAGAAGTTTATTAATATTTATGTCATATTAATTTTTATTTTGTCATATATGATCGTCAAATATCACGTCCTCAAGTATCGATAGTAATTCACCAGTCACCCTGTATAGCGTAGGCTGAGTCATCAGTAAAAGTTTATCGTCATACAGTGTTGTTTGGATTTTTGGAACCATAGCTTCTAATACAGAAAATAGTTTTATTTGTGATACTTCACTCTTAGAAAATGAATCAATTGAAGTGAAAGAAAAAGGATTGGATACTTTTCTTAAGTCAAGTGCTAAAAGAGATTTAGTCTCAGCCGATGCACAGTACCAAATTTCCTGCACGAAAAAATTATATACATCGCTACCAGCTGGCATACGGACCTTTTTTTATATCTTGAGTCCCGCTAAAAGTTTATCTTCATTATCATTTCTTTTACGTTTAATGTTTTCTTTACGATGCAAAACTCGCTCTAAGCCAGTTGCGATAAGTTTGCAATATAATATAATAAAAGTGGTTAATGTAATATCAATATTATTACTATTACCACCATCAAACATCCAAGTTGACAGCGTTAACATTAGACTATCCTAGCTGTGTATGACCAAACAAAAATGGAGAGAAAGTTGTTAGCCAATTAAACTCAACGGTTTTATTAAAGTATATGCAAAACTATAGTAATACATTATCCAAGCACCCAATACTGTTTTTTTTAAATTGTAAAATAAATCATACATAACAATTTAATATCGCTCATGGATCACATAACTGAGCTGAAAATCAAGATAGCAACATTACCGAGCTTATACTGTATAAATATATATAAGTACACTGTGTAGTAGTGATTAAAGGACTCGCCTCTCGTGCACGAGGGCGCGGGTTCGATCCTGGCAAGTACCAATGTGATTTTTCCGAATCATATGTACTTTTGAAAAGTATTTAGACACCACTAACAGACGATGAAGGAAAACATCGTGAATATAAATTATAAGTTTGAAATCACCAATCCGTCTTGAGCAAGCGTGGTGATTATTGCTCAAATCTTCTCCATGTGAGAAAGAGGCCTTTGCTCAGCAGTGGACTCTGATAGGCTGATGACGATGACACTGTGTCCGTATTCTTAAAAAAAAACTATAAATGAAAATTATATACTTAATACAATTAATTTAAAAGAAAGTAAATCTCAAAAAAACAGACGTCTCAACAAAGTATAAGGTACCTAGTTCTTGTGCTAAGAATTAAGTGGGAAACAATATCATAAAAGATAACAAAAAACTCCCAAAACTGGTGAATTGGAAAATTACTAATAAATATTTTGGTCATATTATAAACTATAAAGAATCCTACGTAAAAATTTATAACTTATAAGCAACATAGCTATAGACTCAAATTTTTCTGATTTATTGTTTGATATCTAAAGATTACTACTAATTAAAAGATTTCTACTTAAATATTTTTTTAATATTTCAAAGAACAGCAATAGAACAATCATAAAATGAGGCGGTACAACTGGTTACTGGAGGTAACTGATAAAAAATAGAATTTTTAATATTAATAGTTTTGTTACAGCATTAATTTATGGAACATTTAAATTTACAGAAATAGGAGTCCCTTGTGTTAGTTTTGTTGTAATTAAATAGTGTTAAAAATTAAATCACATAAAGCATGCTTGTATGACTTATGTGTATCCAAACACTTTTGTTTGGATACACGTAAGTTTTCCATGACTTAATATTACGTCAAATTTGAAATTTTTACTTCTATCATTTCCTTTAATAATAAAACTTAAAAATGGACTATTGTGAACAAAAAAAAAGTATTTTCTAACATAAACATATCAAAGAACACAGCTGTGGTATTAAAAAGTATTCAAAATTATTAATTTACTAGTGAATGTGAAAATGGCATCTGATACTTTTCTTTACTTTGCCTATGGAAGCAATTTACTGAAAAAGAGAATACACATAAATAATCCGACAGCAGTATTTATTGGTATTGGAAAGCTTAACGTAAGTAGTTAGCTCTAATCGAATAACATTATAGTTATGATTATATTATCACAATTTTTTATTTTATTGGTGACAGGAACACCAGTTGGATTTTATAAAATATTCTGAAAATTGGCGTGGATCGTCAGCAACTATTATTCCAACTCAAGATCATTATATCTGGGGTGCCATTTGGAGATTACACAATAATGATATGAAATCATTAGACCGGTAAAACTTCTTTTTGTTATATTTTGTATAATATATTAACATTCTTATTAGATTTTAAATAGATTATGCTAAAATATTCGACTAAAAGTATTGAGAATAACTACCTTGCCTTGAAAAAAAATTCCTGTTGGTAAGGATTCGGAGAAAAAGTTTAATTGTGTAAATTCAATACCAATTAGCTTCCAATACCAATCTTCTCTTGCACTTGTAACTAATGTCAATACCAGCTATTATTTCAAAATTTTGCTTTACGCTGTAGTTGTACTTATCATAAGAAATCTAGACAAGCCTATACTTTGTTATCCAACAGAATAATTCTTACCATTTTGAACAAAATTAACAATCATCAAAATATTTTACAATTGTTTTATGAATAGAGAGAACTTTTCTATGTATTTTTATCAAATGATCTCAACCTTTTACACTGTTTCAGGCAAGAAGGTGTTGACACAAACTGGTATTTTCCTAAAAGTGTTGAAGTTGTTACACCGGAGGGTGAGAAATTAAAATGTCGAACTTACCAACAAACAATCAACCCCCCTCTTAGAGCCCCAGGAGAAGAATTACCCATAGAAAGGAGACCTTCTAGTACTTACATGGATTGTATAATAAAGGGAGCTGTTGAATGTAATTTGCCAGAAGATTATATTGTAAAACTGAAGAAAATTCCTCATAATGGACAAAAAGCCAGTCAAAAAATGATTGACCAGTTAAACTTGTAACTTGTTAAATTATAATGTATGATGTATTCGTTATTGTAAATTTATTGTATGAATATTAAAATAAAGATTATACACTGAAAAGTTCCTGGTTTCTTACTGGCTGGTTTTTTAATATTTTTATATTAATGTCAAAAAACATTTCAATTCCTTTAACTCAGTTTCACTCAAATCAGACAAATATGTTGAAATCAGAAATATATAAACCTGAAACATTCTTATACTTTTCTTATGGGAGCAATATGTTTTCGTTTAGAATACACATGAATAATCCAACAGCAGAATTTGTATCGATAGCACGACTTGATGTAAGCAATTTTCCATTTGTATATTCATCATTAAAGTTAAATAAGAATGTCATACAATCATTCCTCTCACCAAAATCTAAGAAAGCAACGATTTTAGTTCATGTTTTACTCAATGTCTCATAGTTATTGTAACTGATAAAGAATTACAGGTTAGATTTCATAAAATATTCCAAATTCTGGGGAGGACCTACAGCTACCATCGTGCCGACTGCGAATGCACAAGTATGGGGCGTAATATGGCGATTGTCAGTAGACAAGTTGTCGATTTTGGATGAGTGAGAAAAATTCTTTAAAATACTGATTCATAACAGATTTACTTTAAAAAACGAGTTTAATTTCTTCATTAACACCTAAATCAGCTTTCTTTGGAATTTCCTCTTTATTGATCATGAGGAAGTTGCTAATAATTATCCAGATTTGAGTAAATTACCTCATTCTTAGTTTATTCTCATCAATATTATATTTACTGCGGTAATATTAAGAAATTTATAAGCTATCAATATCCAGTGGCTAAATGTAGTCTTAAAATCCTTTTCTATACAGGCAAGAGGGCGTAGAACGTAAAATATACTACCCAACCCATGTTCAAGTGCTCACACCTTACATGGGGTCTTTTACTTGCCGTGTTTACGTTCACAAGGTCAATCCATTGCCTAGAGGAGACAATGACGTCATACCTGTTGAGCGCTGGCCTTCTTGGACCTACAAAGAAGTTATCATCATAGGTGCGATGGAGCACGAGCTGCCGGAATACTATATACAGAGTTTAGAGAAAATTAAAGATAACGGGGAAAGGGGATGCCTCAAGATGTATAGTCTACTGATACGTTATGCTAATGACCCTCCTTGTATATGTCCTCTCCCGCGCAAAATACCGAATCCACCGGTACTAGACTTGAAAGCAATGAGAGAACGAAGGAAACAGGAAACTGAAAACTAAACTATGACACAAAATATTGGCGTTAAAATAAAGAAGGAAGGGAAATAATATTTGGGGTTTTAAAATGGTTTCATATATTTTCAATAAATTTATGTACAAAATAATAAAAGACATTAAATTAAAAAATCAATTTTATTTTAAGAACGTTATAGACCTTGTTTTTATTAACTTGGTATAAAATATAATATTTAAACAAGGGTTATTTTAGGATACATCGATATTCAAAACTATTTTCGCTAATTCTGTAACTTTCATTAATATAAATATTAAAATTATTATTAATAGGTACTCGGTTTTCATTAAATTAAAGACTATGTACTATCTCAATCGTTTGGTGAATTTGTATCTAAATTGAGCATATAGCACAACGCTACCCCGACACTATAACACATAACACGCACACAAATCACACGAGGAACACATCAATTGGAAATTATTTTATATCAGTCAACGATTTACGACAACATAATCACTAAATGAGGTAAGGTGCCGTACAAGGTGGAAATCACAATTATATAAATACTGATGAACAAAAACAAAGCGAAATATAGGAAACCAGCAAAGGCCGCAGGTAACGCCGTGTGAGGCAACGTTATGTTAGTGTGGCGACACACACACGCGCCGCTTGTTGTGTACACGGCCTTACATCTGTCAAGTCAACGGCGACATCTACCGACCGCCCTCCACAACACATGCCTACAAGCAAAAGGCACGAAGCGATTTGTAGTTACAAAATATTTGGATTTAAACTTTGGAATATATTCAAGATCGAAAAACACTGATAAAGATTTAGAACTAATGCGTTGTGCCTTGAGCTCATTACAATTTACAATATTTTATCCAAACTTTATTTGATAACATACAATTTTAAGTATTTTTTATTATTATTATAATATGATGGATCGTCTCCCAATACTCTATTTATAATTAACGGCGTCTGGCGACACTAGTATCTATAATATAATAAAAATTACAAATCCCTCAAGCTGTCCTCGCCGAGACCATCGCGTCGGAACCGTTAACTTTACAAAAGTATGAAATTGTAATAAAAAAATAATAATAATTTAACGATAAATAATAAGGTGCAATCGTGTCATGTTCCTCAATCAATCAACAATCCTGCGTTCCTCTGAAGGCTGGATTAATGAAGGCACTCGTTAATACCCTTAAACCGAAGTTATTGAAGACACGACGGTCAGGATTGTTGTACCGCGGATATAACTTTGGTTGACGTACAACTAACATGATAGCTCATCATAACGTAACATAATGCGTCTAGCGAATAATTTATATAAGTAACGTACATCCACATTAAAATCTTTAGCTACACTTTCATTATATCATTGTATCTATACAAATTGTTTTAAGAGAATTATTATTATTATAAATATTTTTTTAAGAAATTATACTATTTCAACAGGTCCAAACGGCGGCCGCATTGTTTTCTAATGCATTAATTATCGTAAGTGTTAATCGTAGGCTACTATCGAACGCGAGTCCACTGGTCAGTTACTATACGTATGTATATGTGTAAACGTCTTGCGAATTAGCTCGACTTTGGCTAGGTACAGTAGAGATAATTCACACTATGCAATCATTGTAAAATTATGATATATATATAATATATAATAGTCTATAACAAGAATGGCAGATTAATCATTTATTTATCTATTGAATTGTAATTGATATGGAACACATCGATTTCAGTTTCGTCTTATACATTCGATTTGTTAATCATTAATTGTCAAAAACACATGCATCATTAAAATAACACAATGCATCTAAATACAATATAATTACGACATCTAAATTTTAGCATTCTGATTTCATACAAGTCTTTGGTGATTAAATCCGATGGATGAAATTATTCCCTCATTACGATATATAAAATGTCAAAGGAAATGTTCCGCTGATCCGACTATGAGTATTATCAACAGACGCGCGCGGCGGCACAATATAATAGTATTGCAGTCGCACGACGCGAGCCGCGAATCTGCGAGTGGGCGAGGCCGCGCCTTCAAAAAAAAACGCTCCAACAATAACAAGGACTCGCACAGCGCACATTCACGCTCGCTCGGACGTTTGTCTCATCTGACACGGTCAAACTTAAAGAAACGAATTACAACTATTTGTACACGATCTCGCCTAAACTAACATTAGCTATACACACTTTACAGCTTACACGGTACACTTAACGATAATAGGCTGCGTCATAAATGACATCCGTACAACTATATTACTGAGGTAAACTATATAGGATCCGTCCCGGGACTGATATGAACCGAACACGCTCCGGGCGGCGACCACTACCTACGCTTACACCTAGGATTCGAACAGCCGGCGCGCGGCCGGCCTGAGGTAGATAACGGTGTGGCGGGGGAGGGGACGGGAGGGGAGGGGCGCGGGGTTGGGATGTGAACCGCTAGCACGCCGGAGTGTCCCGCAGGGCGCCGTTGAGCGTCGGCGCGAGTAGAGCGCGTGCCGGCCTCAGCGGAATAGCCCGAGGAGTGTGCACGTCGTCGGCGGGCTGGAGCGGCTCAGCGGCGGCGTCATCGGAGCCCCGGGACCTCAGAGACGATAGTTCCCTGACCCACGAGGCCAGCCGCCCCGATACGCCGAATAAATTAGACCCGGAGCCCGTGGCCACCGCGCCCACGTTCACTTCCTGCATCTCCGCCTCCTCGTCTGTAATGATATTAACATCTATTACTCTCTCGTCACTGCTTTCGACCCCATATAACAACGATTGCTTCTTTTCATGCGAGCGGAAAGCGGCAGGGATCAAAATATATATGTATATACATATATATATAAAGCCATAACGGACAACTCGCTGGTTTCTGACTAATACGAACCAATATAAATACAACTACTAATTATTATTTACTTTCTACAATCTATGGAAATTAGTCAGAAGCCTCAACTAACTTTACTCTATATTTATATATATATGAGATCTACAAATTCAACTACAAACTAAGTAAGGTACTAAAATACATAGTCACAACTAAGCGTCTAGTCAATTACATATTTTTTTATTAAGAAAAAAACGACCCACAAGAAGCTATTTTACAATTATCCAAGACAGTTAAATTCTTAATCAAGTGCTTTTACAACTCTAGTATTATATTACATTGTTATGTTACATCGACTTCTTAAAGTAATTGCTGAAAAGTTTTCCAATTGCCAACAAGATGTTAGAATTATATAAGAAATCTAATAGATTTTTTGTTATTTCTACATATTCGTATAGTAAAACGAGCAAACAGCAATTACAGTGTAATTCGACAGTGGGTGGTGACGTCATAGAGAGCATGCATGACCGTTACTTACAGTTAGCAGTGTGCCGTCTGCTCGGCACTAGCCTCTGTACACCGTGCGGACAAACAGAAAACATTACTTCACATATTAAACTACTAGCACGCTACTCTCCTCACTAGGGGGGTGGTACGTTGGACCGCTCAGTAGGGGCGGGACGTGCACAAGCGACTCCGTTCGGCTTTGATCCCTGCCGCTCACATGTTATATGTGTTACAACTAGCTTACTCAGACTGTTGCGCGTGAGGACGGCAAGTTAAACCTCTTTTATATCAAAATATCCAAGTTATATAGAGGCTTATTTAGAGAAATCGAAAACACCGTTTAAATGAAACTAATATTTTCGGATTTTATTTAGCTTTTTATTTTTGATTAGAAACTACATACTTCCGACGTTTCGGTTACTTTTCAGCAACCGTGATCACGGACAGACGAGATGATCTTCCATTGTCTTCTTCATCGATTCGAAGTAAAATCCGAAAATATTAGTTTCGTTTAAATGAGTACTCGCGAAAATCTTAGATCTCATTACGAAAACACCGTTGCTTGTACACAATATTAGTGTGAGTATGTATGTTTTGTGTGTGTGTGTGTGTGTGTGTGTGTTTGTGTGTGTGTGTGGGTGTGATGTTCGTACCTAGAGCGGTCCTCTGCAGCGCGTACATCTCCTGCCCCTGGGGCGTGTGGAAGAACGATCGGTGCCTGAAGTAGGGCTGCGCGGCGGGCGCGAGGTCGGCCACGAGGCGCAGGAAGGAGGGCCGGGCCGGCGCCCTGTGGGCCCAGCAGGCCCGCATCAGCTCGTACAGCCGGTCGGGGCAGTGCTCGGGACGCTCCATCACGCCGCCCTCCACCACGTAACGCACCACCTGCTCGTTGGACAGACCCTGGAACGACACCAGACTCATTACTAATCAAGTCTAATAAATATACTGTGTATACATTAAGTCTAGTGTAAAGTCTCCTTTATAAATCTCATGTATACATCCAAATATGGTGGACCACCCATTTGCCCAAGCTTTCATTATGCTATGTTAAAATCTTCTAATATTATTAAATACGACTTAATGCTACATGATAATTTCAAGATGATAAATTGATTCATGTACCTGATACGGCTGCATAGCGAGCGTGGCCATCTCCCATAACACCACTCCGTAACTCCACACGTCACTGCTACTTGAAAATACCTGGAATATAATGTTAATAGAATGTTTAATACTTTTATCTGCTCAAGATTTCCTGCTTTTAAGATAATGTAACCAAGTTATTCCTCTACCATATGAGACGCAGTTTTATTTTTGTATTATAAAATTAATTTTTCTTACGTAATATTCATTAGTTTCATGTAACGTTACTCTATACTGAATGCTCTTATACATGATTAATTATTAATTTTTTTTTGCCAAAATACATAAATAGTATTAAATATTTCTGATATAGATTTCTGTGTGAAAAAAATCTACATTTATTGCATTGTCACATTTACTACTTAGATATTTATATATTTGACATCGTACATAATACAAGAAGTTTTTGGTCTTCCGTCTGTGACTAAAGTAATTGGTGTCAAACCAAAAACAATATAAAATATGTACTACTAGCTTTCCACCCGCAGCTTCGCCCACGTGGAGTTTGGTTATATCGCGTTTCCAAGAGAACCTTTCAAAAGTCTGGGAAAAAACTATTCTATGTTCTTTCTCAAGGTCAACTCTATGCCTGTACAAAATTTCATTAAAATCAGTTCAGTGGTTTAGGCGTGAAAGCGTAACAGACAGGCAGACAGAGTTACTTTCGCTTTTATAATATTAGTATGGATAATCTTAACTTCTTGAGGTAATTTCACTCCTAAAATTACAAATACTTGTCTGGGTCATGATATCAGGTCGTCAACACAATAACATACATGTATAATGTACATATAGTTCCAAGGTCCAACCCCACCGCCCTAACCATGTCCTACACGTTATATGACAACCTATATACAAATATTTAATACTACACAAGGTCATATAAAGTGAATGTGACCACGTACCCCGTCCTTTAAACTCTCAGGGCTCATCCACCTGACGGGCAGCAGTCCCTTGGTGCCCTTCCTATAGTAATCAGTCTCATATATGTCCCTAGTCATGCCGAAGTCCCCGACCTTAACAGTCAGGTCGCCAGCCACCATACAGTTCCTAGCCGCCAGGTCACGGTGCACGAACTTCTTGGCCGACAAGTACGCCATACCGTCCGCTATTTCAATGGCCATCTGAAATTTTATTCCATCATAAAATTCAGTTTATAATAAAACTATTTAACTATATGTAATTATTATCATTTGTATATATTAAATGTATTTATTGCGTTCCAAAAAAATAAATCCATATTTTATAGATGAAAATTGCCAAGCCAATGTATTCTGTAGTATCTCTGTAACGTATTGCTATTTTATTTCATATATGGATTAAATGTATTTAATACCTTAAAAATTCCTTACCAGAAAAAATCCTTACTATTTCATATATGAAAATTGCCATGCCAATTTTTCTTATTTATTCAGTAGTATAGATAACGTATTGCTATTTTATATCATAAGGGGCATCAATACAGTAATGTATGTATATAAGTGAACCTGTAGTATATTCTGCAGCGTGGGCGGCTGCATGTTTCCCTTCTTGGGCAGCGAGGAGTCAGCGTCAGGTCTGTGTGAGCGCAGGTAGCTCTTGAGGTCGCCGTGCTCCATGAGCTCCATAACAACTAGCGTGGGTTGACCGCGCGACACGACGCCCAGCAGGCGGACCACGTGGAACGTGTCGAAGGCCTTCATCACGGAGGCCTCGTTTAGGAACTCGATACGCTCGCTGAAGAAGAATATATTGGAATAATAATAATATTAGAATAGTATGATCACAGTTCCGACTATTCTACGGATATAATGTTAGGACATTCAGGGAATATTTGTATAGATCATATCGACTTTGTATTGTTGGTGGTATTCAAATAATAAATTAATTGTAGATATTTTTATTTTATAAGTATCACATTGTAAATTATACAATAGAATGATTTTGATTGGCTATTGTTAGACACTATCTAGCTGCCTTCATTAAATAAAGCATGGAAAAAATTTAGAATGTATCCTTACTATTTTTTTATAAGAAGTCAACATATTTAAGATTTTATTTTATTAAAAAGATCTTCGTATTAATTTAATATAAATAGTGATACGAAAAATGATTCAAGTGATATAAGCATAAAGATAGTTGAATAACTTTATTAATAATTACCGGTCGGTCGCATGTTCGTTGACTGTCTTCACGGCGCACCTCGTCTCCGGTTTACCTTTTTCTATATTCTTCACTATGCCCTCGTACACCTACACACAGAACATCATATTAGGAAGATAACAACGAATACATGATTAAAAATGAATTAATACAAAAGTATGATCATATAGGTATATTATATACTTTTCCTCATTTTTCTGTATCCTGTTTTCGTTCTAGCTAGCTAGCTCCTATCAAAGGTTGTCTGTGAGAGATCGCTATAAGCGATAATACCTTTGCGCACCATGTACTTATTTTATGATTTTATATTTCCCTTTTTCCCAAGTGTTGTAATAAAGGATTTTAAATAAATATATATATTATCCTCACCATGCCGAAGGATCCCTGTCCCAGTTCCCGTACAAACTCGATGTTTCCTCGCGGCACCTCCCACTCGTCGGGCACGTAGACCGTGGACACGTACTCGGGGTTGACGCTCGCGAACAGCTTGTTGTTCTCGGCGGGCTGCAGCGTGCGGCGCGCGTACCACACGCCCGCCACCACCACCGATACTAACACGCCGCACGCAACCACCACGCCCCACACCCACTCGTAGCTCTGCTCCACCGCGCGCTCCTGGACAACGACATATATATTATATTATTGAATATTTGGCACAAATAATATATACTAGATGGAGTATATTATATGTGGTGATAGTATATGACCATATTAAAGCAATTGTCTAGAAATTAAAGTATAACTTCGTCGAGATAATTTGATATGTATATTATATACACAATAAAACAAATCAATATTTTATAATCATATACCATACTACTAATATTATAATTGCGAAAGTTTGTGTGTGTGTGTATGTTTGTTACTTCTTCACGCTCAAACGGCTGAACGGATTTTGATACAATTTTGTATATATGAAACTGACGTCCAGGAATAATACATAGGCTACTTTACATCCTGGAAATCCGCGAAAACACCGAGGGGGCAACTAGTATTGAATATTTGGAACAAAACATACATACTACATGGAGTTTTCCTTTATACCGTTATATGTACAGGGTGTATGAAAAACTGTGTCAACCCTCTTAACTACGTTATCAGTATCGATAATGTAACACAATAAAACAACTTACATTTAAAAACTTTTCAATAAAAATAATAAAATTAAATATTAAATGATTATTATATGTAGAGTAACAAAATGTTTGTACCCACTGGTATAACACGATAACACGCAATGACGTCATCACACCTGTTGCGCTACTAGTGACGACCTTGAAGTTACTTTCACATTATTGAGAATATCGATATTTAAAAAATCATAACAATAAATAAATATTTAATATTCATATTATTTCGATGCTTATTTTGATATATCAAACATTAATATTATGTTTGATTGTAAAACATCATTTTTAACAGAAATAGATTAACGATTTATCCTAATAATACAACATATGTAGTTAATTTACCTGAACAAGTTTCAAATTATAATATTTATTATTAATAAAAGTTATTTTAAATGAAATTATTTTAATGTGAAAAGCATAACTATTTATACCAATATTGAAAATGTCGATAGAATATTTATCGATATAACTAATTTTTACACTTTCAAATCTCTATTCGACAACTAACAGAATAGTAATAATAACGCCGGCGGCCCGTCGCCTGCGGTCAATGGTCACGCATGCGTCGTAGCGACTATACGGTGTCTTGACTTTGTACGAGTCAGATGTTTGGAACATATTTTCGAAAAATGTCGATTTAAAACTTACTTAGCCTATGCACTGTAACTGACTTCTGCTTGATTTTTTTTAAGTTATACTATTTTTTATAATAAGCTTATACTTATATGTATACGTGCCTTCAAGGGTTGACACAGTTTTTCATACACCCTGTATATTTATGTGGTGATAGGATATGACCATATAACTACGTGGACAATCTGAAATCTATATGATGTAAACAATAGAACACTTATTAACCTTTATATATGTATATAAAAATTTCGTGTCATGTGTTTATCCGCGATGGACTCCTAAACTACTAAACCGATTTTAAATTTGTTTTGCATTCCGTGTTCATTTTGATCCAACTTGAAAGATAGAATAGCTTACATCTCAATTTATAGTCACAATATTATTTTATTGCAAATTATTTGTCTATCAAAGAAAATTCTTTGTCATTATTACAATTATCTGTTGACTGAGTTAAGTATTCAATAGATGGCGCTATGTTAAAAATACAAACGTCATACATGAGCGACTATTTAATAATAGCATAACCACCACTTGTTTCTAAGGCTAAGGTATAACCTAAATTTATTTATTAAAAAAACATAACAGATATATTCTTGATTATAGGGCAATAGGAAGTTCACTGGGTCTTCTAGTATTTTATAATCATATAAACATGGTTGAGAGATCGTTTCATACACTAGTTGTGAAGGTGTTTAGTGGTTTAAAACAAAATGGCCGTTTAATGCCTACCGGTATAAAGACGTAGAGGTCTGTGGAGACGTTTCCGGAACCAGCCAGTGTGAGCGGCGTGACCCGCAGCGAGTAGTTCCCGGGCGCGAGGTTGCGGACCAGCATCCCTCGACCGTTGGCCTCGTAGTCCTCCGCCGTGATACAGCTGCCTAGACCCATCTCCTGGAGATTTACATACTTATAATTACTTTAAAGTGCTAGGTAGTTAGTATTGAATACATACATATGTATATAGGACTTCTATATATGCCAAATTATGTACAGTCTTGCTTTAGATGTACAGTCAGGAATTATGAGATTTTTTTGTGTGCGTTTGGTTTTTCGGCACTCATCTGGTTGTATACTGTGAGTGTTTGGTGCTATTGAGGTTTTCGCTCACATATGATGCATCCAGTGATTAGTAGATTACAGCTAGGTAGTGAGTTGTACAACCTAATATAACAAGATTAGGTACTCGAGATTATTATGGTTAAGTAAATTCAAATATAGATGGATTGCTTTTAAGGACTGGTATATTGATGACTTACTATAGAAATTTTACTAGTAGAAATGATTATGTAGAGTGCAAGAAATAAATATATATATACAAGAATGTCGCAAGAAATTAATGTAACTGCTAAATACTCAAAATGAAGTCGGTTTTAAAAGAAATTTTTTAGGTCATTCTGATTTTGAACGATTGATATAATGAAAAATAGATTATAGTTTAGATTATATATATATGTAAGTACCTGATTATTATTTTCGACCCGTGAGTGGTACACGTTATAAGCGACTACGAATCCGTTAGGGTCCTCGGGCGGGACCCACGTTACGTTCACTTCCGGTAGCGTCTTGTTGGAGGGCAGCACTTCCGCCTGCAGGCTCCGCACCACGTCCGCGTTCGCTGAACAACAACACGACTCCTTCACACTCACGATACAACAATTACATTCCACAGTGACGTCACACAAGAAAAACTTATTTTATGATTAATCATCGTCTCAGGGGCCGTTCAAGTAATACGTAAGCAGATTCATTACAATTATTTACCCCTCCATCCCCCTTGTCAGCAAAAGTAAGCAAAGCTCTTACCACCTCCCCCCATTTTTACGTAAACATTTTCAATTACTATATTTTTTTCTTAATATAAGTCCAGAAAATTATAATTGTATTATTTATGGATCTACTCGATGTGACGATTAAAAATTAATAACTACCGATGACGTAATCGATACCTAGACTCCCCTACCCCCCATGTCATCCAAAATAAGCAAAGCAAAGACCCCCATAGTGATTACGTTATACTTGAACGGCCCCTCAGCTAAATCAATATCTCAAAAAAATACAAAGATAATGATTAAGAATAAATCGTTTTATAAAATGATTACAGTTGACTTAGTTTAATTAAATATTGTCTGATTGAGAGGACCCAAATAAATATTTTGGTTTAAAACAATAGACTAAGTCTATGATAGTTTAATAGGTATGCCAAAGACCGTACAAAGTGAAGGCAGACCCTGGCTAAAGCTAGGAAATTGCCAGGAAAAAGAAGAAGTTTAATAGGTGATACATATAGTGTGTCCTTACATCTCTCGAGCGTGCGGAAGGTGTAGTGCGCTCGTTCGGAGCACCAAGAGCGCTCGTAGGCCTCGTAGGTTTCGTTGGCGTCCCTCTCGCGACACGCCCACACGTTGACCGTGTACCACGTGAAGTGACGCAGGTTGTCCACTGTCAAAGAACGCGCGCTGCCCTCCAAGTCATAGTACAGGGACTTCACGTACTCTGAAAGACATAGCGGGGTCAATACTTACACATAACGACAGTCTTATATACAAAAACATCCTACTAATATTATAATTGTGAAAGTTTGTGTGTATATGTTTGTTACTTCTTCAGGCTCAAACGGCTGTACTGAATTTGATAAAATTTTGTATACAGGAAGCTGACGTCCAAGAATAACACATAGGCTACTTTACATTCCGGAAATCTGCGGGTAACACCGCGGGCCGCAGCTAGTATGTATTATATAAATATGTAGTTAAATTGATAATTGAAGTACGGAAATCGGAATCAGAATGTTTAAAAAAAATAAAGCAATATTTTAATGACAACAATTTAATACATCTTCTCAGTTTTATCTGTCATTAACACGTGACGTGACATTTGACAGGGGCCATGTTTCCTGGTCCCAATTTACAGTCATTAAAGTATCGCGTGCAATAAAAAATATCGTAAATTTGCTTCGACAAATTTTATAGCCGTCTTTAAACGGCGACCTCCGGAGAGATGTTAAGTAACCTGTGATCCGCGGTGATGTAAGCACAGCGGACAATGTAACATACACACGTGTGACAGAGCTTGATATTTGATACAATACTATTGACATATTAACTAATCTAACGAATCTAAATTGTTACAATATAATTAAACGAAATGTGACTTTTTCTTACTGGACAATCATCAAAATAAATACATTTCGATCGACCAAAAAATATTTTTTTTCCTCCTAAAACACTATAAACGCCGTGGAACTTAAATAATGACAACATATTTTAAAAGTAGTATATAGGTTATTGAACTCCAAACTTCCGAAGATTTATTACAGATGTATAAAATGTATGAGTTTTAAGTCTTTCTATGAGTTTTTAGTCGTCGTCTTAGTAGTGAACTAGTAAGGGTTGTAACGTCAGACTGTAAGTATGTAGTACTAACTGCCGTCCGTGTCGTTGGTGTTGTTCCGGCCCATGTGCGGCGAGTGAGGGTCGGTGAGGATGACCAGCATGCTGTTGACGGCTGCTGTCACCGAGCGACGGATGCGGCTCGACGAAGACTCGTTAGAAGGGGCGCTCTGGCGGACCTTCACGTACACCTGGATAATATAATACATATTATACTATTATTGGAAATAACAAAGGTTAAGAGCAAGTATGGTGGGTGAATGTATGTAGTTCTTTCATAATAGTATTGTAGGTTAAACAAAATCGGAACAACGGTATAGGAGGTATATAATATGATGTGGTGAAGCAGATGCTAAATGTCGCCGTATAGTCATATAACCATACCCGCAGTTTTAATAACTTTTAAACGTACGATGTCCCTTAATTATAGACTAAACAATCTATAACGTCATCAGCCTATCAGCGCCCACTGCTGAGCAAAGGCCTCTTTCTCACATGGAGAAGGTTTGAGCATTAATCACCACGCTTGCTCAAGACGGGTTGGTGATTTCAAACTTATAATTGTGGAACTATAAGTCCAGGTTTCCTCACTATGTTTTCCTTCACCGTATGTCAGTGGTGTCTAAATAATCTCAGAAAGAAAAATATCCATAACTATTACTATCAATTCGTGTTCACATCACATCGTACCAGGTTCTGCAGCTCGTTCTCGAAGTTGATGCTCTCGACCCGTTCCTGTTCAGCCACGGACGAGAACCTCGTGGGCCGCGCGTCGTCCCGGCAGGCGCACTCCCCACCCACCTCGCCGGTGCCCGCGGCCCCCCCACCCCCCCCGAAACTCCCTCCCCTTTCCTCTCCTTCTTCTCCTTCTCCGGCCCCTCCTCGCCTCTCATTGCAATCATGTTCACGAGCGCGCTAGCTGTCGATTATATTTGATGTTTAAGTATTGAGTCTTAGAACGCATTGTGACTTTTGAAATTTTGATATTTTTCTTAAGACGTAAAGTTACTATCAAATCAAAATTCTAGCAGCTACATTGGTATTTGGTGTATGTAATATATTTACGATTGCCGCAGTAGTTGACGTTGAGGGCCAATATCTTTGGTCGGTTATAGTTGTTGGCCTGGATTTCTACGTAGTACAGGATGATGGTGCCGTTGGACATGGACGGCGGCTGCCACTTGATGGTCGCGGAATGATCCTTCAGAGATTCTACTGTAAGTCCGAGTGGAGGACTAGGCGCTGCAAGAAATATGTTATATTAGTAACAGAATTATATAATGAATTATAGTGGTTTTAATGTGTATACTCACGTCCTGGTAAAGTCTGGAAGTATATGATGGGGCTCTGAGCGCCCTTTCTGTCCTGTAGGGTGGTGTATGTCTTGACATAGGCCGCGTACCGAGTGTAGGGCGTCAACTGCGACAGAGGGTAGAACAGCGGCTGGTTGGGAGTGTTGCAGGGACTCTGTAACAAGGCCTTCTTGTTCTTGGGTTCCTCTTTCGTGTTGTTTCTCGCTTCGTCGATCGTTACGTCCAGAACATTCCAACTGAAATTGCCAACTGAGTAAATACCGCACTTAGATACGTCTCATTCGTTTCATTATAGTTAAATATGATACGCATCTAACTCTAACAGTATGAAACCTTACAATTAACCGAACAAAGTATTTACTTCACTTTAAAGGTAAATCATTCAACATACACCTAAGTTATCCTTCTCCTTCTTTCATGATTGTAAGTCTCCTAACACATGAATATATAAACTCACTTGTCGGAGCAGGCGTCTCTCTGCCCGTACAGCGTCACGTTATGTTCCGCGGCCACGTAGTAGATGGAGTAGCCCAACAGTTTCCGAGTGTCCTCCAGACAGTACGTGTCCCACTTAAGAATAACCACCTTAGGGAACAGCTCGCTCACCTTCAGGTGCAAAGTGTCCTGGAAACCTGAGGAGTGACGCCAGGGATCAACATATGTATACACGAACATTCAAATTATATCTATTTGTGTGATATATGTATGGCAAAAAAGATAAGTTGACTTTACTTATTATGTTGTATCTGGATCAATTTGTTTTCGTGAAGACCCCATACCTCTCACAGCGAATTACTTACAGGTGTTCTACTTACAAGAAGCCTGGTCTCCGTTGTTGTCCTGGGACACCTCGTTCTCGCTGAAGGTCTTCACGGGTATCTTCGTCATATTCTTCAGGGGTAACAGCTGGCTGTAGCACAGCTTGGGGTTGAAGTGTATGAACAGCCTGCCCTCAGATATTTCTATGGACTTATGAGTGGACCAGTTCCACAGCATCTCCAGGTTCGGGTTGTTGAAGATGTATAGACTCTGGCCTCTGGAATATGGTTTAATGTTATACTTTGTATATTCAATGATATATTACAACAATGAATCGTGAAGGTATTGGGAATAGATTTCAAAGTGGCTTGAGTCGTTCTTCTGGGATTTCAAGGTGATGAGAGAGGAAAGTATTCTTTTAACAATAGATCTAAAGCACAAATGACATTCTTAAATAGCTAATAGTCGGTAGACCATCATGTAACAGGTTTTAGTACAGAAATTTCATGACCATTCTGGATTTCACTATTGTCACACCGCTTTAAGGATCGACTTTTCCCAAACACGGCTCACATATCGTCGATGAAGTACCCATACCTCCTAAGTGTTGAGAATCTAATTTTACACCAGAAGAAAAAAAACTGTAAAATATATACGATTGAATGAATTCTGCCACTTAATAGACATTTTTACATAGCTCAAGAAACTGTTTGGTAAAGAAAAATTGGATAGGAGTGAAGTCAATCTATGCGAATATTTATTTTTTTATTTTATTTTTTTGTTACACAAATACATTACATATAATATACAGTTATACAGAAGAAAAAAATAAATAAATTTGTATCAAGGGGTTCCATCTCAATATAAGCTGTGCTAATGCACAGCACTGATTTTCAGATGGCCCCTGAATATGAGTTTTATGTCTATTGTAATAAAAAAAAGTACTTTTGGACTAAATTGTCAGTTAGGATCGACGATATACAAAACATGAGTAAAATAATACATCGCTGATAATAGTTATTTCAGTCAGTCAGTATGTGAGGTGTAGTGACGTCATAGGTGACGTCATGACGTGTTTCCCTTACTTGTCAGCGTTCTTCCCGCCGATCCGCTGCAGACTCCTGAGGAACATGAGCGACACCACCGGCACCGCGCGGACCACGCGCAGCGCGCCCTCGATCACACGGATCTCGCCCAGCGTCGACTCCAACACGGCCACCGTGTTACCTGACACACACACACACACACACATAGATAATACAAGTAACCACACACACACACACACAAGTGAACTCATGTGTATGGCTTCTGTGGTTAACCGACAGTTTTGTTAGTGTGGACGTAATGTACTATAACATTTGTAATTGAACTTAACGCTTTTTGTGTTATAAAACATTTGTGGTTGTTTTATATATGATTTTATATATTTTTAAATAATTTTCCGGCGTAGGAATCTTTCGTTTTATTATACTTAAAAAATATATTAAATATATACTAACTTTCCGCCCGCGTGGAGTTCGGTTATATCGCGTTTTCAAGAGAACCTTTCAAGTCTGGGATAAAACTACCCTTTGTTCTTTCTCAAGGTCAACTCTATCTCTGTACCAAATTTCGTTAAAATCAGTTCAGTGGTTTAGGCGTGAAAGCTTAACAGACAGACAGAGTTACTTTCGCATTTATAATATTAGTAGGGATAATCTTAACTTCTTGAGATAATTTCGCCCCTAAATCTACAAATACTTGTCAGGGTCAAATGATATCATGTCCAACACAATAACATATATATATGTATGTATATATAGTTACAAGGTCCAACCCCCACCGCCCTAACAATATATTACACGTTATATGACAACCTATATACAAATATTTAATATCTTTTTCGCTTAAATATAATTTCCGTTACATGTTATTTTCTATGAAGTAATAACATGAAAAGGTTTCCATATAATCAATATGGAATTGTTTATTTTAGGCTCAGATTAAATCCGTTTCTCTTAATAATAGATGAATTACAAAATCAGTGCGGCTATCGAAGTATTTAAAGTATACATCCAATTCTACAACATCAATGAATAATACATGAGGTCCAAATGTTTTTAAAGTCTAAGTGGAGTTCGCTCTCATATAAATGCTACATGAATCTATTTACCCGAATTGTTGCCAATTCATTTCACGGATCGTTATAGTTTAGTAACCAGTTGGTATTGATAGTATTACAGGAAAAAAGATACATAGGAAAATCATAATTTCTTCGAATGATTACTGAGATAATAATTATCCTTATTATTACTATAAATGCGAAAATAACTGTGTCTGTCTGTTTGTTACGTTTGCACGCCTAAACCACTGAACTGATTTTAATGAAATTTGGTACAGACATAGAGTTGACCTTGAGAAAGAAGATATGATAGTTTTTATTCCAGATTTTTGATAGGTTCTCTTGGAAACGCGATATGACCGAACTCCACGAGGGCAAAGCTGCGGGCCGAAAGCTAGTTTAGAAATAAACTATAAAATAATAATAAAGCTAATTTCACATAATATGATTCTTATATTGTAAAGATAGTTTCACACTGACCGTATACATAGATCATATAGTGTAACACCAGTAGTATATAAGACTGACCTCCCCTGGCCCTCACGGAGATGTCCAGGGTACCCTTGATGTGAGTGCAGCCTCTGAAGTCCTCTGCGGAGGCGACCGAGTCCACCTTCCCGCCGGGACACTCCCGCACACACCCTGACGCGGGGCACGGCTCACACGTGGAGTTGTTCCTGGTACCCACCTGGTATAGAGACAGTTTAATATAAACAGTTCATACAAAACATGAGGAATATTAAATGAAACTAATATTATTTTAACCTACATACGCCAGACATTTCGGTTACTTTGCACCAACCGTGATCACAGGCAAACGAGATCACGGTTGCTGAAAAGTAACCGAAACGTCGGAAGCAGTGGCGGCTGGTGGGTTATCGAACTGGTGGTTCACTTTACTAAAATATTGACAAAAACAACAATTAACATAAAATATTCAATCATCATGTTTTTTTATTTTTTCACTTAAATGCGTCAAATCCTTGATTCCAGTTTCTATCCAAATCGATTCTCCGCCAAAAATAATGCAAGGAAAACAAAAGAATGCATTAAGACGCTCACATCCACACAACCATTTCTTTCTATTATACATTTCACTTTTAATACTTCGTATAAATGCTTTATTTTTCGATTTACACTCTTGTTTTAAATTTAAAAAGGGCCGTGGCGGCCCGGCCAATTTTATGTTCACTTTACTTTGAAAAATTTTGTTATTTTCTTTAATATAATTAATATTTATACTCATTTTCAACTAATAAAAAACACAGTACAGAATAAAAGTTCAATTATAGAAACGAAATAAAAACTATAACGAATTACGGAAATAATTATAAACAATAACGAATTAACGCGTCACGCATACAGTGAAAGTTGAAACAATACCAATAACGATTAACGAAATGTCAATCATAGCACCCATCCTTTCGGCCGGCCCCTTGCCGGCCGGCTCAATCCGTCATACATCGGGTGCTCTCGGTAACCTTCGGCCGCTTCGTGCGGCGCGCGAGAACCGACTCGTTACTCGGTACATTTCTATGAACTATCTTTTGTCTCACGCGCCAGGCGTATTGATGCGTGTCTCATACAAGATGTATTAGCAGTCCTCGTGCACTCGCCGGAGCGCACGATATGAGTTTAGTAAAGCGCTCAAACTTTTTGACCATAATTGGAAATTAAATTTTTTATACCTTTTTGTGTGTTTAAAAAATAAATATTAAAATGGTAATTTAAAAATTAAGATGACATAATATTTTGTAATTTTTAAATATTTTGAATTGGTGGTTCAGCGCACGGGCGCACTTAAGGTACAGCCGCCACTGGTCGGAAGTATGTATGTAGCTTAAAAAATAAGTTTCATATAAATGAATACTCGTTAAAGTCCTAGATCACATTACGATGAATATTAACTCAGATTACTTCAACTGTTAATCATCAAGATCCCAATATCGACTATCAGAGCAGAATCTCTAATTCTAATACGTGTTATATAACTTCTATATTATAAAACACAGTCAATCCCACAGTATATGTCGTACATCTGTTCTCTGTAGTCGTTCATACATAATGCAGCGTCGTGAAGTTGCCATTCGATATATTTCGGGATCGCAAACAAAACAGGATGTCACCGATAATATGTAATGTTTAATACGAAAACAATAACAACGCTGTCCCGCGGCCGTATCGACACCACCGATCTTATATGAAATACATTGTTTAAAAACAATGATAAGATAACGTTTTATAATTTGCTTATAAATAGACGTTTTTATATGTCCATACTAATTTTATTTAGATTTAATATTCAAATAAGCAGTCAATAAATTTGAGTTATTTAATTAAGTAAGCTTTACTTTATGACTAGACTGAGTATATTCGCAAAAAATGTACAAAATTTTTTCTCATAAAAAAATCTACGAAATTAATCAAGGACTTAATCGGTATAAAAACTTTGATGATAACTTCATCTTTAATAAATATTTAAATAATAATTAATTCAAGATATATTCAAGTATTTATAACAGTATTAGCCTTACTCTTTGCCTCTAAGTGTTGTCAATACAAAATCTCTAAATATATTCAAAAAACGATCAAGTACCCATATATTAGATGATTTCACTGATCTTGTTTAATATCTGTTTATTATTTGTAATTTTAATTGTAGTTATAATTTATAAAATTTCCTTTGTAAGCGAACCTGTAAGAGATCGCTTGTAAGAGGCCGCCCTTGTCTTAAATTTTCGGTACTTATATGTAATGTTATTTCCTATGTTTTTGAGTGCAATAAAGTATATTTCTTCTTCTTTTTGTAAATAAACTTCTTTAAACCTAAACCTATTAGTTTAGTTTATATAATCGACTAACCTCCATATACCCGGCGGGGCACGAGTACACGCAGGAGCGTCCTCTTAGTATCTTGTAGGCGTTGATCTGTTGCCGACCGCCCGACAGGGGCGGCGGGGTCGAGCGGCACTCCTGCTCCGTCACACAACGACGGTGGAGCTGGTGGAAGAATATACATTAATATATGAACACACTGTATATATACAGATACTGGTAGGAAGAAAATAGACACCAAATTTGGGATATACATTATACAGTAGTACGTTAATATATGAACACCCTGTATGTATACGGCTACTGGTAGGAATCAAGCATAAGAACCAATCAAAGTTTTAAAGCTTTAATAACTAGAGTATACCAAGACTGAATGATATATTTATGATAATACTTACAATATATTTTACTATGTGAGGGATAAGAGTCATAATGGAACAGTTTATGCAATATTTCAGTAACATAATAAATCCCGTTATCGCACTATAGTATTATATCATCCTGCCTAATTATATAACCAGTAATACTCACCTCATAAGTATTAGCCGGACATCGCTCCATACAAGTTCTGTTCTTGCCGTAGTCCAATGAAAAGTTGGTGCACGCGTAGCAGTCACTGGCGAAGGGTCCGCTGCAGCCGCCGAGGCAACTCGCATGACAACACTCGCCAGTGTCCATGCATGCCCTCTTACCGCATTTAGATGGACAATCTGGTCACATACAAATATCGAATAAAATTTGGCTTAAGGACTCGTATCCAGAGCCGTAATAAAATAAAAAAAATACGAATAGAACTAGGAATACTTTTATAATAAGTCATTGACCTCTTGCTTGTCATATTATTAAATGATGATTTTTGACAGCTGTCAATTAATAGTCTGTAATTTTTTTTTTAATTAGTAGAATGTCACAAGTTTCGAATAAACTTTATTATTAATTTGTGATTTTATATTGAAGTTATTAATACGTATATTATTATGTTGTTATATAAGCGGACCTCGTTTCTGGCAGTGTTTCTCGTCCCAGCAGAGCAGCCGGCCCGTAAAATCTGACGGACACTGCAGACGCTGTTGTCTGTGGTCATCCATACGACTCTGCGCGTTAGGACACAGCCCGCAGAGACGCGTGTCGTAGTTTGACTAAGAAAAGAGAAAAATAATTAAATTACAGAAAGAAATCGTATTTTATCTGTTAATCTGATTCCGAAGAACATTTGTGACAGCACTATCAAAAACTTTACATATAAAAAAGTAATAAACGAACACATAAAAATAAAGAGACGAATCGAGATCGTTCTACTTTTAAGTCGGTTAAATAAAGGTCGTTGATTATAAAATAATAGGATGCTATTGATACTAATAACTAGGAATGTGTCCCACGGTGCTAGACCGAAACTAGTTCTGTAACATTGTATGTTACCGCAATACTGTCATCACGCCACAAGCCACAAAAGAAAACGCCACACGCCAGACATTCCTTTACGTAGTCCGCGCCACATATAAACAGGGCTTGCCTTTATTAAACATCGAATGTCGCGATTTCGCGGCGCAATAAAAGTTCCAACGAACATCCCGCGACATATCGAGGGAACAATACGCTTCAGATATTACGAACGGTAAGAACTACACTATATTTGGCATTCCTCTTGGAAACATTCCATATTTAAAATTTGTGTTCCAAACGATTACATATAATAAAATTTTTATAGCCTAATAAGATTAAAAGTATACGTGATGTTAATTATAATCTGATATAATAAATAGTATTACTATGATGTATATATAGATGAATGAAATAACAATAATAAATCTAATCTGTAACCGTTCTTCAGTCTTCTAAATCGCGTCAATAGTTCGTCACAGAGTAATTAAAACACAGAGTAAACTTTCTCATTTGTCAGTAGATGTTAGTACTCACTCTGATGATATTATTCTGTGGCCCCTCGGCGTTGATCCGTGACCAGTCGATGGTGTTCGCGTAACACAGGTGGTCGTTGTTCTGTATACGGACGGCGCCGCTCTCGATACGAGACAGCGAGTGCAGGCCCAGGGACTGATCATAATAATGAAAATATATTTAAAAATGGAACAATTTCACGATATTATTATACAAAAACGAGATATTTTCTTGAATTAAATATATTTAATTGAACAATTTCTGAGTAATCCTGTATGCTTAGTAAAAGTTTAGATAGTTACACTAAAAACGAAACGTTTTACGTTCGTCATTCGATAACATCCTTAATACTATCTTTTTCTACCTGGCAATTTCCCAGCTATAGCCAGGGTCTGCCTTACATGTTGTGAATAGTTTTTGGCTATTTGTTTTTACGATAACATCCTTAATACTATAATGAATGAAAATAATAAACTTAGCGTAAACATACTAATAGTAGGTAAAAATTAAAAGAGCGAAATCATAAGTTCATATGGATTACATAACAAACCTCTAGTCCTTCATTATCAAAAATAACAAGAGCGAAATCCTTGAACAGCTGCATACCACGTATAACTGTTAAATTTGGGAACAAATCACCCAAATTACGTACACCCTTCAATCTGGAACAAAGACATTTAAACGAATGATTCGCATTAGAATAAAACCTTTTTGTATCACAACATGTGACGACATATCAATGAAGATCAGTTAAACCATTTATTTGCTACACGCATACATTACAGAAGAAAATAATTAAATTTAAAGAATACAGTGTAGGAGCAAGGGCTTATTAAGTATAATTATTAATAATTATATAGTTAGTAATTTTCACCTGTATATCAGTATGTAGCCGGTGACTTCTCTCAGTAGAGGAAAGCTGACGTTCACGAAGGATGCTTCAGTGGCTCTTTCCATGAGCACAATGTTCAGATACCCTTCTATGACCCGACAATCACGTAACTTAGACATCTGCTCGGGATGATTCCTGATGTCTATCGATGGACAAACTGTGGAAAAAAAGATTTAAATCAAATTATCTATTAAAATTAATCCGCCATTTTGTTTATTCGATTCCTAGAAAGTAGGGTGAAATTATATAGCTCAGAGCGTTATTCGATAAATAAACTAAACAAAACTAAAATAATTTTTCAATGAAACCAATAGTTCCTGAGATTAGCGCGTTCAAACAAACTTTCAAATTTCTTAATAACAGTAAAAACAAATAATTAAAAAAAAACACTGTATAGATATAAGATATATATGTCGCATACAGTCACAACATATCAATTTCCTATACATGACTAACTCTCAAAACTAATAATAAAACTAAAGTATAAATTTTAATACAACGATCGTAAAGACGTTTAAATTACAGTTCTCAAACCGATCGGGACCGTTCGAGTGATACAAATGGCATTCTGTAATGAAACCTCAATAAACAATTAGTGATTTACAACCATCAGTTACGTACCAATAAACTTATTTATTTGCTTTAATATCATAACAGTTACGAACCAATAATAAACATAGATTCAAAAGCATAAAATTGTAATCAATAATGACATTTCATATCCATAGACTATACAGTTAAAATAAATTTTTTTTTTTTTTTATAATCTATCTATAAAAAGACTAAGAACTATTTCTTTCGAAAAAATAAAGATATCTCAATTCTCAACTATAATTAATATGTTATTGTCTATGATGACATCCCGCGAAGCAATTACAGCGTTTTGGATCACGAGTTCCAATGAAAACATCCATGTGGACATTAATAGGAGAAAGTAGTGCTGTATCATTGAACTAAATAGGTCTTATAGCTATGGTTAAATATTATTAGCTTTGACTTTCTTTTTATTATCTGTATTCGCAAAATTTAGTGTATCTAATACTTTTATATGACAATAGAAATTCCTTTAAAATCAGTCCAAAAGATTATTTTTTGTTTTGGATTTTATATATAAAGTGTGTATAGTATTATGTTTATTTATGCCGTCGTAAGTTTCTTTATATTAAAAGAATCATTAAATAAAAACTATTGTTACGACAGCAGGCATTCGTCCAAAATCCCTAACGCGTCAAGCGGAAACTTCCTATTCATCTCCCGTTAGGTTGACACAATGACTTCCAAATCCGTCCTAGGTTTATTAAAGTAAATCGGTTACCGCTCCATTCAGTTCAGAAGTTCTTAGAATTCCTAAATTACATAGTATCAATGTTTACACATATATCACTGAATATATAATAAAAACTTTATTTATTTAAAATAATTCCGAACGTAATATGTAGTAGTAAACCTAATAACAAATCATTAGTCTATATTATATTATTTTAAATACAGAGGTATATCAAAAATAAAATAGACATACATATTTTGATTTAAATAAACCGAATGTTTTTAAACGTTTATAACGTCTGTATTCTAACAAATCATAAATACAAGTAAAGGCACAAAACAGCCGCGACTCAAGCTGGTTTCAATTACTGATAACGAGTTTGTTTTTATATCTAACAATGAAGGATCCAAGGTCGTGTTATTGCGTAGTTCATCATCTCCGTTCGCGGTACGCAGTACGCACGGAAGGGAGAATAGACGCTAACGCAACGCGCATGTGCAACAAAAGCGCGGGAGACGCAATACAACAAAATGGCGTCACTACTTTTGTAAACAATGCCCATTTATCACCACAAATAGAGTAATACTTTAAAACGATTCAAATTTAATATAAAATTTATCAATGTTTTTGAATGGACCGCTAAATTGACGGCGCAGTTGAAGTACATGAGTCAGTGCGACTGTAAATACGATTAAGCCGACTATGACGAGAACTTGAATGAAAACTACACAGTACAAGTACGTGTATGGTGTTGAATGAGCAATGCGTTCTGATTAAACGTATTACATTTTTACACTGGCCGCAAACCACATCCGCATAAATATTACGAATTAATTAATTGCTATCTAAAAATCATAAAAACATGAGCACAGAATATAATGCAATTAATTTTATTGTTCGACCAGTTGTTTTGTAATCGTGTTATGTTTGTTATTATGTTAGTGATATTTTGTAATCATTCTGAAATCGGAATGGAGAACGTTAATATTTTAATGTATAATTTTATAGTTAGTAAATAAAGGGTTTATGTATTGAGACGCGTTGTAAATACGTTTACAAAGTCGCCGCGTGGCAGTGGCCAGTACGTATGAGGCCGGCGGCGGCGCGGGCGTGCATTGCGATGCAAATGAACTCGCGCCCCGCCACTACATCGTGCACCGTGCACCGGTCACTCAGCCCAGCGGATATTTATAGTTTGGAATGTTATTGTACTCCTTACAGGTACAAGCGAGTACTAGTATCATGCACCGACGCTATGTCCGCTAGTCACTTGTAGACTGTAACAAATGTTATTGCTAGTTACATTACTGACGTGAACACGATATGTATTCAAACCAGGTGTAAAAATAGTACATGTTATTGAACGTTAATATACACCCTGCCCCTCCCGCCCCGCTTACTACGCCGCTATACTACAGCCTCGACACCCCTCCCCCTCCCGCCGGCACCCTCCGCACCCCCCTCCCGCCGCCGTCGCCCTGCCCCACGTACTACGAAACCGCATCGCTATATTATTGTTTATACGACCTGAATTAACAGTTTTTACTCTTTTGTTTACGAGACGGAATGAGCGTACAAGTTCAGGGACTTAAATCCTAATTTTTTAATCAGTTTTCACTGAATTACATTTCTAAAACTTATTGTACTAATTATAACAAAATAGGATGGGATCGAAACCAATAAACGGACACCATTTTACTCAAAATATAATTTATTAAGATATATTTTTTCCATATTATGTCGTTTAGGAAAACGAGTGTGCATTTGTCTCATTCATTTAGGTATAATTATTCTAAAACACTGTTGAATTTACATCGGTAACACAAGACTTTGTTAAATTACTCATAGAGCGGCGTGCTGGTAAACAAGTTGCGTCACACATAGTAATGGATGCAGGCAAGTTGTAACGCAATGCAAACGCCGTCAATACTGCACTATGTTATTCAAACGTACTCTCACTATTCCACTACAAACCATTACTACACAGTACACTACACAGTACGACGCACCGCACCGCACCGTGTGAATCTATGTGTAATTACGACATTCCACACTGATGATATACAAACAAAAAATAAAACAACTCCATACAGTTATGTTGAATTCTTAATGGAGATGTGCCGCCCCCCGCCGCTAAAGGAATTTATTGATTCCGAATGACATTTAATGTTTGCGAATGTCAACACGAAACGACATATTAACTATTAATGACAGATAACTACGATAATTAAACAAGATGGCGGCCTTGTTTACAGCCGACGGATATGTTACGGATCCGAATCATAATTTAAATAGATTAATATTTCCGCGAAATATTACGAAAGGTATCCAAAGTATTGTTTTGCTATGGTTTCGAGCGGATTCCATTGTTCCGTTTATATTTAATTATGTTATTGTAGTAATAAAATGTACGGAATGCGCAGGTAATTGGAAGTCGTAATAAACACTCAGTTTTTATATAAACGTCTACATTTGACCTCATCGTGATCATTAAACGCTGTCGTTTCGCTTTATAATGAGATAATTTCGTAATTTTTTTTCTTATTTAAATGGGAATCATAAAAAGAGAGACAATAAGAGGAATAAAACGATCTCGCAATTTGCTATTTATTGCAAACAAATCATCAAGCAGAGGGGGGACGTTCGGAGGTGAGTATCGTTGGTTTAGGTACATCATGAATGCAGCAAGGAGACGTGAATCAAGCAAGCAATAATCCTCAAGATCTGTTAATGGGTATATCGTTGACCGTAGTAAGTGCGGCACGTGTGGGAGTCTGCGCGGGCGTCGCCAACGGCCGTCGGGATGCTATTTCCGACGCAGCGGTCGGCGGAGGCTGACTCACTGCACTTTCACTGCAAATAGAGCTGCTCGTCTGCCGATAAACGCTGCATCACTGCATTTAGATGACCGCCGGCCCCGCGGCTGGGCCTACGTCACACGCTAGGGCCGCAGTGACGACATCTGATTACTGTAAACACTGAACATTCGCTAGCTCGTCATGGCTCGAAGATAACGTCTTTATGATGACCATACTCACTGACACTATAGCCTTGCCCTATTGTATATACATATATTAAAATCGTCCGTATTCAACGTGATACAAACGGACAAAACGGCTAAGTAATTGTACTCGCCTTTAATATGACAAAATATATCTCAACAAATAATATAAAACAACTCTTTTTATATAACATTTGGCTCTCACGAGAACGGCATTCAGGTATCGCAGAACGAGGAATTACGAGAAAAACATTAGTCACTCGCGACATTACAATCACATTATACAAAAACATGAAGTATTTGATGGGTTTATCAATAAAGCTAGTACTATAAGATGGTTATCTCTTATAGTAAAGTAGGCGGTAAGTTACTCTACGGATGATCCGTCCGTCTGAGGCCGTTCTCTTGATATATGTTTCCTGTATACAAGATATCAATGGTCGACTCATGGAAGTGGACATAGCCACAGCTAGTGTCAGCTAGCTCATATTATTGTGCTTCATTCACAGATGCAAATTAAAATACATCCATTTTTACACATGCGCTATGAGACGAGATAAAAAAAACTCATTGGCGTCGCTTGTCATCTTTATGTTATTATAATTAATCCTTATTATTGATTTTTGTATGACTTTTTTGAGCTAGATTATTGCCGTGGTTTTTCTCATGACAGAACTCAGAGATCGTAAATATGCTATAATTTTTTTGATACGGGAATTAAATATGGAAAAAAATATTAAATATTTTCTATGAATTTAATTAGTTATAGTTAAAATGAATATCAATAATAGATGTTATTGTTATGTATTGCGCAGATTACGCGGAAGTGTGATGTACTGAGTGAAGCCGGTCCGGTGGCCAGTGGCCACATCCAATGAATGCGCCCGCTTGGCTGGTATTCAATCAATACATTAACTATAATAATGTTGTCTGTTGTTGCGTATTTAGATCTGTAACGTAAGCGCGGATAGTAAACAAGTTTATTGAAGTATTTCATGTGATCACGAGACTCGCCAGCACACACATGCACTGACGCACACCTACGTACATTTGAAATGTATGTACGTGTGTGTGTGTTTACTTTTATATATGTATATATGATCAAACTGATATTCTTAATAAATAGTGACATATATTCGGTCATATAATGGTATTCTTTGGATTGATCTGTTTCTTATTGTGTGTGTGATATGTAAGTATATATTTTAAGTAATATATAATAAAACATATAAGAAAATATATGATGTTTTGTATTACATATAACATATAATATGTTAGTTCAGTACGTGCTCTCGTAATATATGTCAGGGATGAAACTTATTTGAGGCGCGTAGCTTTCGGTGTTCGTCACTATAATTTAATAATACAGAAAGTAAGACAACAGAGGGATTCGGATCACGATCTTTGAAGTTTGATTTACGTATATTACAGTACTATACTTAGATTTTTATAAGTTCCAAGAAAACCACATAATACAGTTACTCGTTACATTTGCAGTATTTTTTTGATACTTTTATAAGGAATTCTCGTGAAATGACTACACTCTATTGTATAAGAAAACGAAATCAGTACGTCTTGTTTGTTATATAAATAAAATACTGAAAATATTCATGCAAAAAGACTGAAGGAAAATGACTGACTATATAGAAAATAACTTACAACTAAATACAATTTTAAAAAAAACAGAGATCTGAAACAAAACTTGTAGGTAGCCGGTGATAACTAATTACATATAACTCAGTTCTATACACTATACAGGGTGTACGAAATATTATTAGCAGTCTGTTGGGGTGTAATTTATTCGGGGTATGTAATAAAATTGTCTCGGAGCTTAGCACGTGACCGGGCCACAGTCGTGACTCGTGATCCCAATACTTATACCACATCACTTACGCCCGACGCGTACACAGCTGATGGCGAGATAATGGGAGAACTAATCTACAACTTTCACGGATCAAAGAAACTAAATCTCATGACGTCATCATGTTAAAATGTTACTCATTAGTCATGACGTCATTATTTTTGTTATTATTATAGTAATTAATTATTACAAACGACGACACTACGTTTGAAAGCGAAGTATCATAATCATAAAAAATGAAATTAAACCTAAATATATTCATATTTATTTCTTGACCTATACTACTATTTTTTATATACTATTTGTTTGTTATATATTATTTTTTATATAAAACTAGTTATCCTCAACGCGACGCTATTTCTAGACTGGACACTAGATCCGCTACGACCCACGCCTTTAAGCTCTGGTTGATTTATTTTGACGTTACATTTTATCGTTGTATGAAATTTAATTAATTTATTATATATTATAAAAACATGGTTATCAATAACAGTAGTTGTTTAAAATATAAATCACGACAATTAGGTATTTGTAAATAGTTTTTTTGCTATATATTTTCCTCAGTTCTCTAAACCGCGGAGTAAACATTTCTAGATATAATTAAAGTGTCGTATATTCAAAATTAATTATAAGCTACATGCTAGCTGTTTCTAGATTGTTCGTTTAATTACGGACATACCGATGTAGGATTCAAATGAAATTGTACATTCCTATGTAACACAAAGCGTTTATTATTCCACAACTAAAATAATGAGCATTGTTATCGCGCGATTCATAAACAGTTCGATATCGTTATATGAAATACTTTTAATACGGAATATTCAAAACATATATATATTGTTGCGAATACATATTATCACAACACCTGAGTCTGTTGTGATAACTTTAATAGTATGTATGTTCATGTTTTTCGTCGTGATTTAATCATACATTGTAAGGTCCAATCGTAATAAATGTATCGCATCGAACTAAATGTCGAAGGTGTATTTATTCGCTGGCTGAGCGGCCTCCGGTTGTTTACGTCGCTCGTGTTGCCGGTTGCCGATGCTGAATGCCGGTTGCCGTGACTCACTGACAACCTTCCACTGATGACGTCACCCGCCGCTCTCCATTAAAATTCAAACTATGCATACACACCTCGCTCCTTGGGTATTTCGCGATAATGGGCCTTGGGTGATTTAAGGGCTAAGCGGCGTCGGCAAGGTCGCGAGGCGCGGTCGTCGACCCGGAAGAGCTTGCGGAAAGGGGGAGGGGGGGGGAGGGCTCCCTCTCGCCTACTTGAGAAGGACCCTCTCGCCAGCGGCATTCCTCGTACTATATTGCGCATTACATTCATACTGATGTCTTACTTCCATTTCCTCGACTCTACATCGAATGACTTGCGTTATGTTTGCTATTTTATATACTAATGTATCCGACGCATATAATGCTGATCAAATTATACTTTTTTAGAAATTAACTATGTATAACTTTAAAATGGTAGGTAGTACAAACAAGTATACATACAAAGACGCAGAGATCTCCTTATGTTAATATAAAGTTAGCTTAAAATGCACCTTATTATGGAAAAATATTCCATCGATCACAAAACATATCAATAAATAAATTCTATTAATAGTATAGAAGTTGTTTTCTAGTTTCCCAAGACGACATTCTGTCGCAAAAATACTCTTTAAAGATAAGAATTTTATTTATAATGAATAGAAGACAATCCGTTAAAATGTTATAATGTGTAAAATTTCCATATATTTTTATATTATAATCAGTAGGCATTTTAGTGGCCATTAAGTTGAAAAAAAAAAATTAAAAATAAAACAAAAATCTTGTTCATTGATTTATCATCCATTAGCCTAAGTATCTTTAAAAATAAATCAATAATTAATTTGCATATATTTTTTTTATATTAGAAAAAATAATTTTCGTACCTTTAGGCTGACAAGTGACAGTCTAGTGGAATGCCATTTATAATACAGATTAAACAGATCCATAGACTATTAACGGTCATTTTTTTTTTTTTTTTTTTTATAATTCCAAAACATAGCCCGGCTCGTTAGTCACTCTTTATTATAATTTCTTTCGCGAAATATTTCATGTTTCGAACATGACCGCGCCCACTCTATTAATTTTACGGCGTTGGTTTTTTGTTTATCCGCTACAGAAATAAGATTTCCACTGGTGGAAAATGTCATAGAATGTAGAAAATAAATCCGTTCGTGCCTATATTTATTTGTATAGTAATAATTGTACGATTTATTAATTATAATATAGTTATTCGTGAAGTTGTTTACCAGTGTTGTGTGTTAATTATAGTCCAGTGGAATTTGGAAGGGAAGTTCTGTTAATTGACACAGAGCAAGTAAATATAGAGGCGTAATATCCTGAAAAGGCAACGGTGACGGCTGCGATGACCACTCGTTTATTTGCGTACTCTGTGACGTGGGTACCACGCGCCAACTACACGACGCCGCTTTGATAATAGAAATAATAAAAAAAAAAACCAACTACACATAAATAAAATGTACATCAAACAACACGTCCAGATATATTATAATACATATAAATTAAATTCAACATTCCACATATAAATATAGAGTTAAATTTAAAACCAAAAACATACATATACCATTCCAGGAAGGATTGTAAAGTAACCGACTGGCACACATAAATTCCGATAATATATTTAGAATTCATTGTGTGTATATCATCTTTTGAAAGTAATAACCCCGTTTTTAATTCCATGGAACCAGGCATGACATCCGCCGGCCCAGTACATAGAAAACTATTACGGCCGAAAATGGCACGAATGTTAAACAGTATCGGTTACTTGATTGGCGTTCACGAGATTTTAATACTGAAACATATATTATACGAGCAGTTTATTATTCATGAGCCTTCCGTACTATGTACCCACATGACGTAAACAAATTGTACTGGCCCCATCACTAAACAAACAGATTATTTAACGACGAATTTTATTTATTTCAGTCTAATATTTAACAACAATGATTATTAAAAGTGACGTACTTAATAGCATATAGAAAAAAACTATATGTATATAAGGCAACGAAGCATAACTATGATATATATTTTGTTTACATATATGTATATAATGTAAATTTTACAAATATATTTATCAATAGTAATATAATATTATTACCTATATGATTTATCAAAGATAATATTACTTCTAGTATAACCAATAAAATAATTCATCTATGTACATACGTTATCTTTTGTATGTATATAAAAACTGTCTGCGAAAAAAAAATTGCGCATTTCGGGAATGACGTTTGCTCGGTCGAGGCGGGCGAGGCGGCGTTCGCCCGTTTTGGCCTCTCTTTGCAAAACAACACTTGTTGCTGAAGCGGCGATTAAAAACGCTTGTTCGATACGTTTTATACACTAACTGTTAATACGATCGAAAGCACGTTAAAATTAACGTAAACTACAAATTTCAGTAAACTATTGAAGGTGAAACTAAGATTATTATTATTTTAAGTCTTAAAAAGAGAGCTAGGAGAACATTTCGTGTATTGTCTTAGACTGAACACTCGGTATATTAAAGGACATATAATAATAAATAATTAGTTTAATGTAATCATTCATTTAAATTGCTAATCGTCTTCCATTTCGTTGGAATACATTCTACACTGTTATTACGTAACATATAATTGTATTATGTTAATAAATGAAATAAATGTTCAACGTTCTCTTATCTTAAATATAAATTACTATTCGTTATCTATAATTTAATGTTTCTCGTTGGTCTGTGTTAAATATAAAAGTTTATCACGTCTGTAGGTGTACGAGCGTCGGTCGTCCTTGTGTTATATTGCACTGAGCTGGTAGGAATCAAAACAAACAGTGTTTTGGCCCCATCCAGTTGAATAGTTACGTGGCGTGTACGGATCCAGATATAATTAGACGGTACACTGACATTGAACGCTGAGACTAAGTGGAGCGCAGTTCGCGCATGCGTGCATACTATTTAATACATGTATGTATGTATTTTTTTATAAGTATCCGTACTAACTGTTCGTATTATAGTACGCAGTAGAGGCCCGGTTAAGGCCCCCCGGTGACGTTCGTAGGCCTCACTAATTGGTATAAGGAAAGTTGATGACCGAGGGTCAACGACCGCGGTGACGTCACAAACGAAAAATACCAGCTAAGGTTATTAGCCTTGCACTAAGGATACTATTATTCTGTACCAGTGCAAGTGTCAGATATACTGGTCGGATGTTACATAGAATAGATACAGTTCAATGATCATCGGATACGAAACGAATAAAGCGAATTAGAGAAATAATTCTAAATAATTTCCACTTATATCAAATAAAACACCGTTACTACATAGAGTATTTGAATTTTAAAAGACGAAAGCTATATATAAGGAAAGCATAGGTTTCGGAGAAAAGCTAATAAAAACCAAGTTGTGGGCTGAAATTATTTATCAATAGCAACCAAATAGTGTCGCATCATATTCTTCATATATATATGATGTTTTAATTAGCTGTCTACAAAGTAATTTGATTATTCAAAATTAATTGTAAATCAGTAAAAAGTTTAATTGTAAAATCCGTTACGGTCGGAAGCCCGTTAAAAATATGTAACTTCTTTTCTTATTTGTAAATATTAATATTGGCCCCATATAAATATGTTTTAAATATTTTATTTTAAACGAATTTCAATTATTTTTTTAAAGCACATTTATTTAAAGAGGAAAAACTATATTTACGTTTTTTAACAAGTCCTTTTATAATTCAGAACTATGTAAAAGAAATCAATTATCAACCAAAGAATATTAGATTTTTAAGTAAGTTTCAACTTAAAATTAATTTCTCTATTATATGTAGATATGTATAAGTATACAATATACATATATACTATTGGTACTTTCATCACTATTTTATTTTATATACACAAGATATATCAAAGTAATTTTAAAGTGTATATGAGTATAGAAAGTATGCGTATATTTGCGAGTATTCATTTAAATGATACTTATATTTTTCCTATAACTACGCGTGCTTTATTTTAATATAATTAATGTGATAAGCTTAAAATTAAGAAAATCATATATGTATATTATTATGGTTGTATGATAATAAGTTTTTAAAAACATTAGCATATTACGAAGTGTTATTTCCACTAAAACCCGCATGTGACCGCGGTGTTATATCTCTCTCTGTAATCAATGACGAGCAACGAGGTACACTTTATTATGTTACTATTAGTGAACTGACTACGAAATAGTGAGTTATATATTCAATATTATATATGAGAAAAATATACTTAATAATACTTTTTTTTCGGCATGACAAGAAAGTATGTGGATTTTGGAATAGGTACATGATATGTACATCGAACTCTCAGATATAAGAAATTAGGAAGAGATTTGATTTTCTGTATAATAGTAGAGGTTGAGTTTAACGTAAAAAATTAGGAATATTGTAAAAATTTAAAGTTATTAAAAATTTCCTCTCCCAATATTAGTTGATACGTCTAATTTCTCCTTTTGAATACAATCAACCAATTTGTATAACCAATGTTTTTCTGATTTAATCAAAATAAAAAAACTAGATCCATTAGAACATTATATAATTTAACGTAAAAAATAGAAATATAATATTGTAAATACGTAAAGTTATAAAAAATTTACTTTCCCAATATTAGTTGATAAATTCAATACCTCCTTTTCTAACTCCTTATCAATACAATCAACCAATTAGTATAACCAATGTTTTTCGGATTTAATCAAAATAAAAAAAAACTAGATCCATTAGAGCATTATATCACAAAAGAATTCATATAAAAGCTATCACCGTGCTTATCTGTGATATGATAGAAAACAACCTTGATATTGCATTTAACACGACATTGGAATAATAAGTTGACCGTACAAATGAGAAACAGGAAATAAATAATGCATACGACTAGCTAGTGAGTGGTGAGGCGCCGGCGTCTGTGCTGTACGTTTTTGTTTTTGATATAAAAACTACTTTACACAGTATCGTATTTAATCTGAGACGCTGAGTAGGTAACTTTGATGTCAAGTGGACTTGAGTCAGCTTGTATATAATACAATTAATATAAATTAAGTGACTGTTAGCAAATATTTTTACAAACGTATCAAAAAGAGCATTAAATTTTTGGTCATATACTTAGATGTTTTTTTTGTTTTAGAGTATCAGAGAGACCCACACAAAATTCTTTATTTTTATCATCAAAGAGAAATTTATACTAGAACGAAAATAGGATTTTTTTTTCAGTATATACATTGGTGTATCATTATAAAATATATAATACAAATCCTTTTCAAAATTAAGGCACTTC